ATAGATTTTTGTTGATAAAAAATATTTCATTTAAACATTAATTTTGTTTCATTCAAAGTTATTATATCCTTGACATGCAATTAAATATAAATGAAAAATAATTCATTCATTATAATCTAGTTAAAATCTTATTGACAATAAATATAAAATAATGCAGTGAAACATCCGAATTGTGAAAACTTTGTAGGGAATGGTAGTTTTTTTTAAATCTATGATGGGGAACAAGAATAGAAAAAAAGCAGAGTAAAACAGGTGTCAAAAATATAAAGATATGGCATATTTCGGACGTTCTACTAGATTTCCAGTAGAAATATACGGTTGATTTCCATTGTTCCCACTCGCTATTTGTCATAATTCTCGTCATCTACCGCACCCTGCTCTAGTGAAAATTTAGTAACTTTATAGTAATTTTTAATTTTAACAATAAAGTCACTAAATTTTCACTAGAGCAGGGTGCGGTAATTGACGAGAATTATGACAAATTGCAAGTGGGAACAATGAAAACCAACCAAGGCCATTCTAAACTAATTCTTAGGTTTAATCAAACATATTATAATTTCCATTCAAACAAATAATATTTTTAAATGAAAGTGATAAATATTTTCCATATCTTAAAATAAAACTTACAAACTGTGTTGAATTTAAAAAAAAAATCGTTCAAACAGATTTCTATATTTAAATAAAAAATTTTTTTCTAAATGTGAAATTTTAACATTTCGAAATGAATATATTTTAAAAAATTAAAAACTAGCGTGTGTACCTTAATAGCCCCGATTGACGGTAATTTTGTCTTTTAAAATAATAATGTTACATTTGAAGCTTTTGTATAGTAGTAGTTATAACAATATTTAAAATTTTCAACAAAGTCTGTGATGAAATAACTATATATATATGCATTGCTCTCAAAAAGTAAAAGAGATTACAGAGAGTGGAATTAAAAAGTGATTTGCTCGTCGTTGACACGGTCATATACGCGATAAGGGATAAAACGGATATTGCTGCGCCGCGCCACTGGGAACGTGGGAATTCGCGGCTGGTATCCGCTCAGCCTCATTAATGATGATGTCGGTATATAGCTCGCCAGTAGCTCTGCCTCCAAACCCAGCTCTCGAGACCAAGCTCAAAACCCTGCAAGCTGAAACCCAGCCGAACCACATTTACTATCTCTCATGTCCTCTCTCTCTCTCTCTCTCTCTATCACTCTCGTGTAGCCTTTCTCCCTTTATCACCTACCACCTACTGACATTACACCTCCGCTGCTTCACTTCTATATACATCTCACCATCAGTTTTCTACTATTTCCTACACTCTTTCAAAAATTCTATATAGATTTCGCACTATTATTTTTTTTCCCATCATCGTTTCACACTTGTCTCTCATACCTGATGACAAAATTTTTAGTGACTTTATAATTCTAATTTGATCGAATTTTTAAAAAAAAGCGATTGTAAATTTAGCCTAACTTTCCGTTAACCTAATTTGAATATGTCATAAATAGAAAACGTCCTAATTTTTATTTGCACAAAAAAATGCCAGTGTAATTATATACACTGTAAAAAAAGGAGTTGAATTTCAACTCCCTAGGGGATGCTATAAAAGTCCCACCCTTTTGGAGTTGAAGTGAAGGGAGTTAATGCTTTTCGAGTTAATTTTATGCCTATAGGGAGTTGGTTTTAAGGAGTTAATTTAATAATTAACTCCTTTTTTGACTTGATTTTTAACTCGAAAAATTTAACTCCCAGTAACGTTAACTTCCTAATTTTTTTACAGTGTACTATGTTGGACGCTGGAACCGAAAAGTTAAAAGGCTACATAACCTAAAATTTATATTTTATAAATTTTTTACTTATTCTGTTTCTTTCAGTTAAATATAAGTATACTTTTCTTTTGTAAAATACCATTTTATGATATTACAATACATAAATAAAACACTTAATTTCTAGTAATTAAGTTTCATTGTCTCTTTTACTATTGGGTTGGTTTCCACCAGGGATGGGTAAATGTCGCAAACTCAAGGTTTGCTACGTATGATACCTAAAATGTGTAGTATACGTAACAAATTGTCGCAAACGTCGCAAACCATATTATAAATATAACCTCACTTTTCGGATGTCAACTCGGACTCGCCTCATCATCATAACAGATAAATTATAATAATGTCTCAGGCAACTCAGGTAAATAGATCTACTGGTAAATATAAAGAGATGAAATATTCTTTAAATAATAATTTATTGCACTTCAGTTTAATAATTTTTATTAAGTTAATAAGTGTTTTTATATGTCTTTACTCTTTACTTTGAATTTCTATAATCCTACAAAAAAATCTCGTCAATGCTTCTGAAAAATTAAATATAGATCTTTTTGATTTTTAGAAACAGCAGGAAGAAGCGGATGAAATTTCGAAGATATTGAATTTATCAAAAGGAGATCTTCAACTAGGGATGTTCTTTTTTGGATGTAATATTCCATTCGCGGTAGTTGAATCCGATTTTTTTAAAAAGTTTGTCAAAACTTTAAATCCGAATTACTCGCCGCCTACCAGAAAAACTCTTAGTAATTTTATTTAAAAAAAATTTATAATAAAATGTTAACTGATCATTCATCAATACAGACATTAATGTTGAGAGGCCTTCCACCTAGATTTATTTTTAAAAAAAATGTCCACAAAGCAATAATCAAACGAATCAAACAAAAATTCAAAGACTAAACACATAGCGGGAACCAACTAGATTGAGGTTATATTTGCTTCTGACCATTACGAGTGCCTACGTCATGAAATGTAACAAACGTTGTGTAGCAAACTGGACAAGTTGTATACACATGTAACATACGTAGCAAACTTAGGTAACATACATGAAGTATGTTACTTACCCATCTCTGGTTTCCACACAATAAAAACAAAGTCTTAAACTGTTTACACCTTAAATTAAGCCCATGTATTTTGCATAAGTCTGTCTTTGTCTAGTTGGACTGACTCTGTTTACACCTAGAATTCAGCCTCATAAATAGGCTGAAATCAAGACTTTTTTTTAGTGTACATTGTACCCACTCGACAAAATACCTATTTGCCATAATTCTCCTCAACTACCGCACCCTGCTCTAGTGAAAATTTAGTGACTTTATTGTTGAAATTAAAAATTACTATAAAGTTACTAAATTTTTACTAGAGTACACGGAGAAAATTTGTTCCGAGAGTTTTACTGAACTTAGTTCGGTAAAATTGGGATATAACGCAGCAAAACGGTAATTTTTCAAAAATTAGTACAGTAAAATAAATTTCATAAAACTGTAATGCAAAAGGCATAAAATATTATAACATATATATATATTAGTGTCTCAAGTTCAGTTCGGGAAACCGTAAGGTACTGGCAGTACATAAACTAGAACAATATAGCTAAGAATATTAAGGTCTGTTTTTGATAAATCAGAATTGAAATTTCATAAATTATTTAAATTATTAATGAAGAGTTCGGTAAAACTTCAGGCAGAAATATAAAAAATAAATATTACCATTACCGGAAATCTCAATTCACCTACTTTAATGATTCTCTGAACGTTCACAATTTTATACTCACATATAGGAATTGAAACAGTACGTATACGTTTTACCGAACTGGGCTTGAATTATGTAGTGCCCAGAATGGAAATACTCAGGAGAGCTGCACAGAAAAAACCTGAACTCAAAATGATAGCGTATGCTACTCATTTTGATATGCAGCAAAAATGAGTCAGGTTGGTGGCGCCACTGTCTATGTCGTTTAGCATTGACTCATTTTTGCTGCATATCAAAATGAGACTAAGTTTTTTCCGTGTGGCTATAGTTTCATTCGTCAAACTAAAATTCCATACAATTACATGTAGCTTTAAATTTGATTTGTTTGTAAAATTAGTAGACAGTTAAGAGAAAAACTACATGTTTTAAATAAAAGATTCATCAACAAGTGATAAATAGCACAGGTTTTTTTGGTTACTTTTAAATCTTAATAAACGATTGTTTCAAAAACTAACTTTTTGAGAAATTCATTGAATAAATATTGATTTATAATTTCTTGTATAGACAAATAGTCAACATAATCTACGTATACGTTATCGTAATATAAACCAATGTTTAATGATTCAAATTTTGCATATATTTACAGTACTAGCTTGTAATAAATTAAAATATCATATCAAGTTTTAACTATCATCACTACAAAAAATAAAAAAAATATTTTGAAAAATTCCTTTTGTGCAACTATATCCCAACTTTCAGTTAAAATTCATAGTAAAATGTCCGAAACAAATTTTCTCCGTGCAGCTGGGTTAACTTTCGGTAAATGAAAATCGCCAGGGCTGAAGAAAAAGAAAAAATAGCAGTGAAAGAAAAAGAAAGCTCTGAAACAAATATACAATTATATTTAACTTAAATAAAATATAGCTGATTGAATGACAGATATTGATTAATTTGACCTAATTTTAGAGTTGATCTAACAACCAAATATCTAATTAATTCCAACGAACCATTTTCTCTATTTATTCTAAAAAAAAAAAACTCAAATACTATTATTATTATTTAATCAAATTAAATTGAGTTTTTACCAAGTTTTATAAATAGATATAGGAATAACTGACTCTCGAAATTATAAAAAAATTTATTTAGCTTCAAATTATTTTTTTAAATAAATTAAATTTTAACATCAAGCGGAATATTTTATTCTAAATGGCGTGAATTATTTTCACCTCTGGTAAACATCATTAGTTAAGTTCACTGCAAGTGTACAAACAAATGTGATTGCGAATAAATAATCAGCTTAGTTTGGGATATAGTGATTATATATTATATATATTCGATTTACATTTGTCTCTCTCATCTTTGTCAGATTTTCGTAATATATATATATATTTGCAAAGATTGAATAATATTTTGAAAAAAAAAATGATGAGAATTAAATTTGAAAATTCGAAATAATTAATTATTTTAAACTAATTAAAAAATTTGTAATTAATTTTCATGTTTATAGCTGTACAACATGAACGAGGACCGCGGAAAGCAAAACAACATTCAGTGTTGTCGGACAGACATCAACAGCCACCTTCAATTTTAACGCAGCTTTCGCCTCATCACAACGCATCGCGCGTTGACATTAATTCAACACATCCCTTCGTTCCACAAAGGTTAATATATTAATTTCATAAAAATTTGAATTTATTTATTTTGTATTAACCAAAATTCATTTAACTTCATCGAGAGAAATATTTTATTTGCATTTATTTGCGACAAATAACAATTAATTTGAATAAAAAAAAATTTATTTGTCTTAAAGCCTACAATATCAAAAAATTTTTTTATTTGTTTCAAATAAAAAATTTTATTTAGCACAAATAAAATTTACTTTTAAAGCAAATAAAATTTTTATTTAAACCAAATAAATATTTATTTGGCTCTGAGATAAATAATATATAATTTCTCGGTGTGTGATATAATTAACGCCAATATTTGGGACAAAATAGCAAATAACAAAAAAATAATTATATAAGAAATAGAACATTGTAACAAGTAAATTTTTTTTTTTAAATTGTTATCAAATAAATTAAAAATGTTATATCTAGTTCTTTATAAAATTTGTTTTAAAAAATATGTATGAAAAACAAAAATTTTATTTGTTCAATAACTTTTGAACAAAATTTAACAGAAAGAATAAGAATCTTTAAACAAAATGTCAAATAATTATATATATTATTTAACAACAAATTTTGGCTTGAAATAATCTTTTTTGGAGATTATACGAACTATAAATCGAACCGCCGGATCGTAGAAGGGCATACGCATGAAATCCAGTGCTTTAAGTTGGCCCCTGACATGAAAAAAAATTTTTTTTTTTAATTTTGATTTTTGAATATTATATGGGACCATTCATTAATTACGTAAGGACGATTTTGGCTAATTTTGACCCCCCTACCCCCATGTAAGGATACATAAGATTTTTCGGACCCCCCCCCTCCCCCTTCTTACGTAAGTTTTTAACAATATTAATGTAATTATAAAATTAATAACAACAATACAAATGGAAAATACTTGACAAAATCTTACGTAAGATTAGCTTCTACCCCCCCTTTCCCCGACGTAACACCATGTAGAGATTTTATAAACCCCCCCCCCCTCCCCTTAAGGACCCTTACGTAATTAATGAATGGCCCCTATCCTTGTAGAGAATAAAATTACGCAACTTTTTTTCTCAATGAAGTTTTTTCTTAAGGGGTTAGGGGTAGTCAGAATTTTCAAAAAATCAAATTTTTTTTTTTTGCATTTTCGTTAAGTAAAATATCTTAAAAATAATCTCTGAAAATTTCAAGTTAATCCGATAATTCGTTTTTAAGTTATTCGACAAATAACAAAGAGAGCTCGGGCCTTTTAAAGCGCTCGGGAGCGCTTGCAGCTAGTGTTAGCTGCAAGAAATCGGCTTTTAGGGTTCTATTGTCATCGATGAACTTAGACTTGGGTATATGTAGTAGTACCTAAATTAATATGGCCCAGGAATAGATGACTCGGTGTAAGTAATTTAATAATTCGTTTTTTTGTACGTAAATCTAGTGTGAAACTAAACGCGTTTTTCTCAAAACTATGTTTTTTGAACTGGTGACAACTATAACTCGAAAACCGCTCAGTCGATTTTAATGAAATTTATACAGCTTTTAGAATACATAATAAACTCGGGCCTGATCGAAGGATTTTTTTTTTTTGAAAAATTTCGATTTTTTAAGACCAATTAACTGTTGATTTTTTCCCAAAAATCTAGACAAAAATTTCCTGAGGCCGCCATTTTGTTAATTTTTGAAAAAAAAAAATCCTTCGATCAGGCCCAGGATTATTTATTTATAAAACTAATTTTTTTTATCCGACCCTGTTGAAAATTCCGACCTCGTTTACGACGTCGTATTCTAAGTAGTTTGCGACGTAGTAAACGACGTAGTAAACGACGTAGTAAACGAAGTAGTAAACGACGTCGTAAATGAAAGCGGAATTTGGGATAGCAAACTACGTCGTTTACTACGTCGTTTACTACGTCGTTTACGATGTCGTTTACTACGTCGTTTACTACGTCGTTTACTACGTCGTTTACGATGTTGCAAAAATTATTTTAATATTATTTATTTAGTAATTTAGTAAGTCCAATATCCAATATTAAAAATTTTAATAATAATTTAAAAAAAAATTTATTTTTATTATTTTTTTATAGTTATTATTATTATTTTATTTTTAATATTTAAATTAAAATAAAAAAATGGTCATCAAAATATTAGTGAAACCATTTCTTCCAAAAAAGAATTTGTCTCAAATCCAATAAAGGAGAGACATCGGGCAGAAAAAAATTTCGACAAAAAAAAAATTTTCGATCACTGCTTATATACCAATCTAAAGGCACCTCAACTGCGAGAAACAGTTATGATGTTCGCCCTCCCTGTGGCGTTGAGCGAACTTAAGTCCAGAGCTGAGCCATCAGCGCAGCGCGGAAACATTTGAAAAATTTGATTTTATTAGATATTTTATTTTATTTTAAATATGACAAATAATTAACTTAATAAATAATTAATGTCATAAATAATTATTAATAACATAATGTCATACTTAATAATTCGTTAATTAATTATTTTTAACGAAAATTTGACAAAAACAAAATTTGTTGGCCAAAAAAAATATTACCATTAAAAAATAATTTTTTTGTTAAAATTTCGTAGTAAAAAAAATTTTTTCAAGACAATTATTTGTGACCTAAAAAAATATCACGATGAGAATATAATTAACAAAAAAAATTACTCGTAGCACAGAAAAAATTTCACCATGAGAAAATAATTTTTTTTTAATTTTATTTGTAAAAAATTTATTGGTAGCTCAAAAAAAATATCACGATGAGAAAATAATTTTTTGTCAAATTTTCTCTGTAAATAAATTAATTAACTAAATAACGTACCGTAAAACGGGGTTATTTCGCTCATTGCGGGTAAATTCGCTCACCCACTTTTATGCTTTATTTCAGCTTTAAAATAAAGTTTAATACATTTATTACCAGGTAAAAATGTTAAATTTGTTAATAGAAATACTAAATTTTAGTTTTTAATCAAATTTAAAGCAAAAAAATGGGTGAGCGACTTTACCCGCACTGAGCGAAATAACCCTGTTTTACGGTAATTATTATAGTTACTTAATTTTTTACTACGAAAATGTAACAAAAAAATATTTGTAGAACAAAAATAATATCAAGATGAGAAATTTAATTATCTTTAAATTTTCTCTGTAAAAAAAATATTTTGTGGCCTAAAAAAATTATATCACGATAAGAAAATAACTTTTTTGTCAAATTTTCTCTTAAAAACAATTAATTCACTAAATACCGTAATAAATCGTTGATTTTTTTTACTACGAAAATTTACCAAAAATTTATTCGTAGCACAAAAGAATATCACAATGATAAAATAATAATTTTTTTTCAAATTTTCTTTGAAAAAAAAAATTCGTGTTTTTAAAAAAAATCACGATGAAAAATAATTTTGTTGTAAAAATTTCTCTGTAAAAAAATTTAACAAAAAAATTATACGTAGCACAAAAAAATATTACGATGAGAAATTTACTTATTTTAAAATTTTCTCAATAAAAAAATTATTTGTGGCCCAAATAAAATATCACGATGAGAAAATAATTTTATTTGTCAAAATTTCTCTGTAAAAAAAATTAATTAAATAATTATATAATAATAAAATGTTTGGTCTGTCTTTCTGTCCTAACTTGAAGTTGGCCTTTTCTGATTTCACGTATTTTTTTGAATATAGTAATCTTATGACGTGTCAAATTTTGACAATTCTTTTTCTCATTTTTGCCAAAGTTGTATAATTGTGTTTCCAAATTTCTTTAAAATAAAATAATAAAATAAGTTTCTTTAAAATTCCAAATTCGAAAATTCAATTCACGAAGCTGAAGTACACAACGTTTACCAACGAAAATTTTTTTAAAGTTGTATATTGATTCAAAAATTGTATACAAATACAAAAAATTTATAATGAGAAAAAAGATGCGCCAGGAAATTTCGTACAAGATAGTAATTTGAAAAAAATTTATTTTTAAGGTACCAGGGGCCAACGATTACCTATTAAATATTAATTATAAAAACACAGGCCTCGAATCAACTTAAAGACACAAAACAGTCGTTTTAGTCGATTTATATTCCAAAAAAAAGTGGATTTGTTTTTCATTTTAACAAAAATATTTTACAGATTTTTAAATAAAAATTTTTTTTTAATAATAATCCTTTTCGAAGGGTTAAAGTTGAAATTTTTAGAAATAATTAAATTTCAAAAGATATAGTTAATTTTCAAACAATTATTAAATTTTACAGATCTAAAAATAATTTATCAAACAATTTTTGGAAAACATTTTTTAAATTTAATTGAATTTTCAAAGATTTAAAATTGAGATTTTTGAAATTAATTGAAACTTTAAGTGTTTTGTAATTAAAATTTTAGATGATTTCACTAAAAATTTATTAGAAAATGCGGACAAAATACAATAATTTGAAAATCATTTTTAATTGAAAAATGGTTTCACATAGTTGAATTTTCAAAGAATATTATTAAAATAGTTAAAAATAATTGAATTTCCTTAGAGTTATAATTGAAATTATTAAATTTCAAAAAAAAAAAATTTCGATGGAAAATTTTAGAAATTTTAGATGCTTTTAAATTCAAATTATTGAAAATTCAATTAATTTTGAATTAAAATTTTTGAGAATAATGAAATTTAATTTTGATTTTAAATTTGGAAAATAATTGTACTTCAGTTCATTTTGAATTAAAAATTTTGGGAAATACTTGAATTTTACTTGAAATTTTTTATAATAATTTAATTTAAGTTCATTTTTGATTGAAAATTTGGATAATTAATTTTGAATAGAAATTTTAGAAAATAATTGAATTTTATTTCATTTTAAATTGAAAACTTGGTAAATAATTAAATTTTAAATTGAAAATTTTGGATAATTATTGAATTTTAATTGATTTTGAATTAAAATTTCGGGTAATAATTGAATTTTAGTTTATCTTGAATTGAAATTTTTAAAAAATAATTCAATTTTATTGTGATATTTTTTTTTAAATTATAAACAATTGTTAAATTTCATAAAAATTTTAATTGAAAAATAATTTTGATATAATTGAATTTGTGATGTATTTCATTAAAATTATTAAAAATAATTAATTTAGTGAAGAATCATTTTAGTTCAAAATTTGTTAAATAATTGAATTGAAGAAGATCTGAAGAAGATCTACATTTTATACCAAAAAAAATGTATTTTATTTACATTTTCTTTTCAAATGTAAAAAACAAGTCGCATTTTATTAAAATAAGTTGATAAAAGTCGTATTTTTGAAAAAAGTCGGAAAAAGTCGTATAATCCGAGGCCTGTAAACATATAATTTTCATTATTATCATTTAATATGTTATAATATTCTAATAAATTAAATTATTATTAATAATATTAATCTTTAATAAATTTCTTTATAACAAATAATTAAATCCTCGATTTGGCGCGCTTGCGCGCGTTTAATTTTGCTAGTTAATTAATTTTTTTACTACGAAAATTTAACATTTTTACCTGGTAATAAATGTATTAAACTTTATTTTAAAGCTGAAATAAAGCATAAAAGTGGGTGAGCGAATTTACCCGCAATGAGCGAAATAACCCCGTTTTACGGTACGTTATTTAGTTAATTAATTTATTTACAGAGAAAATTTGACAAAAAATTATTTTCTCATCGTGATATTTTTTTTGAGCTACCAATAAATTTTTTACAAATAAAATTAAAAAAAAATTATTTTCTCATGGTGAAATTTTTTCTGTGCTACGAGTAATTTTTTTTGTTAATTATATTCTCATCGTGATATTTTTTTAGGTCACAAATAATTGTCTTGAAAAAATTTTTTTTACTACGAAATTTTAACAAAAAAATTATTTTTTAATGGTAATATTTTTTTTGGCCAACAAATTTTGTTTTTGTCAAATTTTCGTTAAAAATAATTAATTAACGAATTATTAAGTATGACATTATGTTATTAATAATTATTCATGACATTAGTTATTTATTAAGTTAATTATTTGTCATATTTAAAATAAAATAAAATATCTAATAAAATCAAATTTTTCAAATGTTCCCGCGCTGCGCTGATGGCTCAGCTCTGGACTTTAGTTCGCTCGACGCCACAGGGAGGGCGAACATCATAACTGTTTCTCGCAGTTGAGGTGCCATTAGATTGGTATATAAGCAGTGATCGAAAATTTTTTTCTTGTCGAAATTTTTTTCTGCCCGATGTCTCTCCTACCTATTTATTGGAATTGAGACAAATTCTTTTTTGGAAGAAATGGTTTCACTAATATTTTGATGACCATTTTTTTATTTTAATTTAAATATTAAAAATAAAATAATAATAATAATAACTATTAAAAAATAATAAAAATAAATTTTTTTTTAAATTATTGATTTTTTAAATTATTGATTTTTTAAATTATTATTCAAATTTTTAATATTGGATATTGGACTTACTAAATTACTAAATAAATAATATTAAAATAATTTTTGCAACATCGTAAACGACATCGTAAACGACGTAGTAAACGACACCGTAAACGACGTAGTAAACGACATCGTAAACGACGTAGTAAACGACGTCATTTACTATCCCAAATTCCGCTTTCATTTACGACGTCGTTTACTATGTCGTTTTCTACGTCGTTTACTACGTCGTTTACTACGTCACAAACTACTTAGAATACGACGTCGTAAACGAGGTCGGAATTTTCAACAGGGGATTGATTTCTGATTAATCTCCAAGGACTTATGATTGTCACCGCAAGGACCTTTTTTTGGAACTGGGTTAACAAAAACAGCTGTAACTTCGGAAATAAAAATTTTTTTTTTTTTAAATTTTCGTGACTTCAAGTCAAAACATTGTTTAATAATACCATATTACTACTTTTGTAAAATAAAATTATTTAATAGCAAAAAAAAATACTGAAAATTCTCATTTTTTCGTGCCTCTGACTACCCCTAACCCCTTAAAGTAAATTGTTTTGAAAATAATTCCAAAAAACTTGATTTTTTTATACCGTAATATTTCATTCAATTTTATGTTCAACTCGTCATAAATCCAAAGTTTTTTTGACTTCAAAATCCGGAGGATTTACTAATTTTTTTTTTTTTTTTAATGTTTCGTCTAATTTATATAATAAAGCAAGGTTACACAGAAAATTAAAAGGCATTAAAATAAGCTGCAACGCTTCTTATTTTAATCCAATTTTGCTTATTTTAATCCATTTTGGTATTAAAATAAGCAAAATTGGATTAAAATAAGAAGCGTTGCAGCTTATTTTAATGCCTTTTAATTTTCTGTGTATTTGACAACCTTGCTACAAGTTTACCGTGCAAGCTTACTGAGCAATCTTACGATAATCTTATTATGCAATCTTGCAGTAACCTTACACTGCAATCTTTCGGTTAGCTTACCATGCAAGCTTTCGGTCAGGTTGAAACTTGCGGCAAGTTTGCCTTTCACGGTTGGTAATATTGCGCGGCAAGCTTACTAAAAGTTACGTGCCATGTCTGATGGGTACAGTAGATATAACCTATAATTTTTTGCTTCTTACATTTATTGTTTTTGTTTATTTTACTGAGAAAAATTAATGCAATATCAAACCATTTGTAAAGTCATAAATGATTTTTTTGATAAAGTTACAACCCACATAGCACGACTTCTTGCTGGAAGGTTACTGTAACGATATCTGTATGGTTTGTAAGGTTACCGTGTAAGCCTGCAGTAAACTTGAGGTCATCTTAAAACTTCCGCCTTACAGTAAGCTTACACAGTAAAGCTAAGGGAAGCTTACATAGTAAGGTCGTGGTAAGTTTACATGGTAAGGTTGTGGTAAGCTTACACAGTAAGGTAGTTGTAAGCTTCCTTTAAGGTTACTGTAAGGTTACTGTAAGGTTGCTGTAAGGTTACTGTAAACATAGAATGTTGTTAATAAATAAAATTTATTAATATTTATGCGCAGTAGTTTTCTATGGCACATACGGCTGCGCAGTAACTTTTATTTGACAAACCCTATTGGGGTTCATAAAGTACTTTACTAAATATATAATTTTTTATACAAAAAAATTTATAATATAATATATGTTATAATATAATTATTTTTAATATATTTTCATATTACTTTATATTAACAGTAACCTTACAGCAACCTTACGGGAAGCTTACAGAAACCTTACCATGTAAGCTTACCACAACCTTACCATGTAAACTTACTACGACCTTACTGTGTAAGCTTACCTAGCTTTACTGTGTAAGCTTACTGTAAGGCGGAAGTTTTAAGATGACCTCAAGTTTACTGCAGGCTTACACGGTAACCTTACAAACCCTACAGATATTCTTACAGTAACCTCACAGCAAGAAGTCGTGCTATGTGGGAATGTTAAACATAGTAAGAAAATCAGAGGTTAGGAATACAGCGACGTCTGACATTGTAAAGTTGCAATAATATGAACAGAAACAGACTGTTTTGTAGCTTTACAATGTTAGACGTTGTCCATTTTTCGAGTCATGTTGGACGTTGTAAATTTACAAACTATCGTAAATTGACAATCGTTTGTAAAAATGCAAACTCATTGTAAATAAGCTAATCTTTATAGTAAATAAACAACAAGGCTTGTATGAATACGTGTTCATACAAGAATTTATAAAGATCTGTTCGAGTCCAGTAAAATTCATGACAAAAAAATAAAGTCATCTTTGTGATTGTGATCATAAGATAATGTGCATTGAAGATAATTCCTTTTTTTAAATTAATTATATTCGTTGCTTTTTAATTATAATTAAAAATTATACTTTTAATAAAAAATTATTTCTTTAACATCTGAGTTTTATTATTATAAGAATAAAAAAAATTTTTTAAATCTAACCTCTTATTATTTGAAAATCGCATTCTCATATTTGTCTCTTTGCAATTTTACAAAACGTTGGTAACTTTACAACGTCTGACGTGGTCCATTTTTCGAGTCACGTTGGACGTTGTAAAGTTACAACGACATTTTTCTCAGTGTTATTTATAATATCAACTTTTTAATTTGAGGTAATAATAATAATTATACGAGCACAATGCAAACTGTGTACTTAATAAATTTTCTACGTCAATGGGTTGAACCTTCTTAACTATAACTCTTACATCATATTTTCTATAAAAGAAAATGATTTGGAATTTATTTTCAAATAATAATAATACACGTATAAAATAATAAATTTGTATTAATTCTGCTTTATATATTGTTCTTATCTATATATTTTTATATAATGGTAATAATGAATACTTGCAGAAGATTTCGAATGGATCACCGATTTACACCGTACCCTATACCACTTCGTATTCATAAGTCATCTGAGGATTCCCCTCCGCCTGCACCATTGGCACTTACTCATTCTCCATCGACAACGACCCTCTATCATACAACGACAGTTACCGTCGCACCACCGCAACTTCTACAACTAATTTTGGCCGCAGAGAAATGCCAGGTAAAGTAATTCAACCCCAAATTGTTCACCCCACCCCCTCTCATTCCTTTTCACGCTAATAATCCCTGATGAATAATTTTAACGGGGGAAACAAAGTGCCAACAAGTTGTGCTTTTCTCCATTTAAATTCCTCACTATCGCTTCACTGATTCCCTTTATATTTCGTTTATATATAATTATACTCTGTTAAACCTCTGTTCTTTGAATTTGATTTTCTCATTTAATTACGTACGACGAGTAATATGTAATGTAACTTGGGGAGCTTTGCTTACCAAACACATTATTTTTAATTTAAAAAATATTGTCTTTGCGAGGCGCATGATTTTTCCCAAAAATTAAAAAGGTCGAAAATTTAATTGATCGAATTACATTAAGTCGATATTTTATTTGAACGAAATTCTAAATGATCGATATTTAAAATGGTCGATATTTTATTTATTCGTAATTCTAAATTATCGATATTTAAAGTTGCCAATATTTTATTTAGTTAATATTTTATTTTATCGAAATTCTAAATGATAGACATTTATGAAGGTCGACATTTTATTCAGTCGATTTTTTATTCGGTCGAAATTCTAAATAACCGACATTTATAAAGGTCGATATTTTATTTAGTCAATATTTTATTTGATTGAAAATCTAAATGGTCGATATTTAAAGTGGTCGACATTTTTATTTAGACGATATTTTATTTGGTCGAAATTCTAAATGATCGACATTTAAAGTGGTCGAAATTTTATTAGTTCGATATTTTTTTTGGTAGATATTCTAAATGAACGACATTTAAAGTGGTCGATATTTTATTTGTTCGATATTCTAAATGATAGAAATTTAGAAGCATCGAATTCTATATCCATCGAAATTTAATTTGGTCGATATTTTAAAGGCGCTCTCACACCTTTTTGGCTGCCTGCAGGTTACCATGGCAACGCATGAGAGTGAGTACGACAGAAAATTTAAAAATTTGAATATTCAAATTTTCTGTCTCACTCACACTCGTGCGTTGCCATGGTAACCTGCAGGCAGGCAGGCAGCCAAAAAAGGTGTGAGTGCGCCATAAAAGCTCGACATTTTTTTAGCTATACGAGTTTCCTTTCTATGTAGATTGTCGGTAAAGTACATTGAAATTTTGCGGGAAATTTGAAATTATTGATGTAAATAATAATAACATAGAGAGGAAACTCGTATAGCTAAAAAAATGTCGAGCTTTTAAAATATCGACCAAATTAAATTTCGATGGATATAAAATTCGATACTTCTAAATTTCTATCATTTAGAATATCGACCAAATAAAATATCGTCTAAATAAAATGTCGATCATTTAGAATATCGACCAAACAAAATATCGAACTAATAAAATTTCGACCACTTTAAATGTCGATCATTTAGAATGTCGACCAAATAAAATCGTCTAAATAAAATCTCGACCACTTTAAATATCGAGCATTTAGATTTTCAATCAAATAAAATATCGACTAAATAAAATATCTACCATTTTAAATATCGACCATTTAAAATTTCGACCAAATAAAATATCGACTAAATAAATTGTTGACCGCTTTATATATTGATCATTTAGAATTTTGAATAAATAAAATATCGACCAAATAAAATGTCGACCACTTTAAATATCGATCATTTAGAATTTCGGTCAAATAAAATATCGACTAAATAAAATGTCGACTTTCATAACTGTCGTTCTTTTAGAATTTCGACCAAATAAAATATCGACTTAAAGTAATTCGATCAATTAAAATTTCGAACTTTTTAATTTTTGGAAAAAATCATGCGCCTCCAATTCGAGTTAGTGGCCGCTCAAAGAAATAACAAAAACCTATTAACTCCACTATTAATTACTTTTTTAAATTATTTCGCATTCAATTACAGTAAATAAGTAGAACAGCCCAATTCCTTCAACCCTTTTTTATCATTCCTCAAAATTTCAACCCGAAATTAACATTAAATTTTTGTTTATAATTCACTTTTGGAAAAAAACTGAAGAATAACATCTAGAAACAAATTACAATAATTTTATTGACCATATAGGTTTAACTATTTTTTATAATTTCTATTAAGAAAGGCTAATTATATATTTTATATTATTGATAATATAACATTTGTGCAATTTTACTTGCGATTGTATTGAATTTTTTAAATTAAATTTATATTATAAATTTTATTTTAAAAAATATTAATTTTTTATAAACAAATTTATTTATTTTTAAATTGATCGTTTAAAACTTTTGTTTGGTTTATTGCATATCTGAAAACAATAAGAAAATCTTGCAAAATATTTTAGACTTGCCCACGTGCGAATTTAGGTTGGCCGCCAGAGTTTGATGGTTGGCCCAAGGTTGGCCTAACTTTGGCATGCAAAGTTTGGTCCGCCAAAGTTGGGCCAACTTTGGTGATTACATGAACCCATGGTTGGGCCAACTTTGCATGCTAACTTTGGGCTGCAAAGTTTAGCCAACCATCGGGCCAACCTTAACCCAGAGTTGGGCCAACCGTTGGCAAAACTCCAGCAAACATAGTTTAAAAGACCTAAAAGCTTTGGTTGGCCAAACTCTGGGCCATGGTTGGCCCGAAGGTTGGCAAAACTCCGAAAAATGTAGTTTAAAAAACCTATAAGTTTTGGTTGGCAAAACTCTGGGCCATGGTTGGCCCACTGGTTGGCAAAACTCCGGGGAACGTAGTTTAAAAGACCTATAAGTTTTGGTTGGCAAAACTCTGGGCCATGGTTGGCCCACTGGTTGGCAAAACTCCGGGGAACGTAGTTTAAAAGACCTATAAGTTTTGGTTGGCAAAACTCTGGGTCATGGTTGGCCCACTGGTTGGCAAAACCCCGGGAAATGTAGTTTAAAAGACCTATAAGTTTTGGTTGGCAAAACTCTGGACCATGGTTGGCCCACTGGCTGGCAAAACCTCGGGAAATGTAGTTTAAAAGACTTAAAAGCTTTGGTTGGTCAAACTCTGGGTCATGGTTGGCCCGAAGGTTGGCAAAACTCCGAAAAACGTAGTTTAAAAGACTTAAAAGCTTTGGTTGGTCAAACTCTGGGCCATGGTTGGCCCGAAGGTTGGCAAAACTCCAAAAAACGTAGTTTAAAAGACTTAAAAGCTTTGGTTGGCCAAACTCTGGGCCATGGTTGGTCCGAAGGTTGGCAAAACTCTGGGAAAAATAGTTTGAAAGACTTTTAAGATCTGGTTGGCCAAACTCTGGAACATGGTTGGTCCGACGGATGAAAAAACTACATGACAAATAGTTGGAAATATATATATAGATATATATATATATTAAACATATTCAGTAATAAAATAAAAGTTGTTTCTAATTCCAGTATTTTATTATTTTGTGGCTTCTATCACCCGTTTAAGACTCTTAATGAATTATTAAGAAAGTAAAAATATTTTTACTGGGTCGCAACTTATGAAATCATTTTTCATTTATTTTCACATGCGAGCGTATAGTCTAGTGGTTAGCGTATTAGTCTGCGGTGCGTTAGGTCAGGGTTCGATCCCAGCGAGCGTCAAATATTTTCTAAAATGTATGTCGACAATTGCGTTTAATAATAATAGTTTAAGGTTTATGTAATGTTCTTCACAATAATAATGTGTTAATTGTGTAATTAATAATTAATTCACGTTTGTAATTAATTTTCAGCTTTTTTTTTTAAGTTGGGCCAACTTTGGGATCAGTTGTTGGGACAACCTTTGAAAGTGATGGTTGGCACATCTTAAGTATTTTAAGTTGGACCAACGTTGGCATTAGTTGTTGGGCCAATCTTTGAAAATTACGGTTGGCACAACATACGCATTTCAAGTTGGACCAACGTTGGCGTCAGTTGTCGGGCCAACCTATGTCGCCAATGGTTGGCGGACCGTTATCATTTCATAGTTGGCCGAACCTTTGGCATGCGAAGGAGGGCCAACCATAGGTATAGTTGGCCCAACTTTGGGCCGACCAAAAATTCGCACCTGGGTGGTCTCAGGAAACTTTTTGTTTAAATAATTTTACCCACAGAAAAGCAAAATAAAGTACATTTTAATTTTGAAAAATAAAATCAAGTTGAAAAAATTTTGATGTACAAAATATTAAAACAAAAAGATTCATCGGGTTCACTCTAGAACTTTTTGTAAACTAGTATTAATCAAAAAAAGAAAATCTATTTGAACCAGTACTGGCTCAATATCGGCTCAGTACTGGTTTGCCAGTACTGGGAGGATGGTACTGCAACAGTACGGATACAATGAAAATACCAGTACTGGTTCAGTACAGACTGCCCAGCCTCGGCAGCCAATACTGAACCAGTACTGCGCCACTAGTCAACTCTGATATAATACTGAAATTTTTGATTGGGATACTTTCTTTTTTATTCAAAAATACATGAAAAATGCTTTAAATTTTTCTATTTGCCTTTCATTTTCACTTTACTTTTTCAGTGAAAAATTTAAAATAACATTAAAATGAATATCAATTTTAGGAAGTAGGCTGGAATAGTAGTTTGCAGCCAGACCTGGAGGAAATAGAACAAACTGAAACGGAAACAAGTCGCAGTCCATCCGGGATTGTCCCAAGTTTCAATCCCACTTGGGAAGTTTTACAAGTGAGATAATTTCACCAAATTTATTTAAATTAATTTTTTCAAAAAATGACGCGATTTATAATTTTTCTATAACAACAAAATATATTATTTAAATATATAACTACAATTATGAAAATTAAATATATTATTGAAAAATTAGAATAATTTTTTTTTCTCGATTTTATTAATGTTTTCTTTTTTGTTAATAATTAATTTTTTTTTATAGGAAAAGACCGCTAGACTTTTATTCATGGTGGTGCAATGGGTTAAATGTTTGGCCCCATTTCAAGCAATTCCAGAATGTGATCAACGACTACTTTTGGAAAAAACTTGGACTCAATTATTTCTTCTTCATCTCGCTCAGTGGTCCACATCATGGGATATCACTGGACTTTTGGATGATGAACAAGCTCGTAAAAGACTTCCAGATAATACTTCACGTCAGGAGCTTCGAACTATTCAGGTAAATATTTAAAATATGAAATTTAAAAACATTTTTAATATAAAATTTTTTTTATTTTTTCGAAAATTAAAAATTAATTAAGATAATTTATTATTCAACATAATCTATAAAATATTGTACTGTTAAAAATTTATTACCGAAAATTTGAAATTTATGACAAAAAAAGAATAAAAATTATTAATCATTATAAACATTATTTAGAATTTTACAATTTATTCTTATTATTATTATTATTATTATTAAAAAATTATAACAAAATTTTTCTTCATTTTTAGAAAATAATGTACAAATTTAAGCAAATTTGTCCCGATAGTAGAGAGTGGGGTTGCATGAAAGGTGCAGTTTTATTTACTCCAGGTAAATATTTCATATTTTTATATTGAAATAAAATTTTTTAAAAATTCCCAATTATTTAAATTCATATTTCATTTTCATTTATTAAGTTAACGGGAAATAAATATTAAGATTTATGCCATGAAGAAAAAAAATCTATTTAAAATTCTGTAAAACTTAATTATTGTTCGACAAATTTTTTCAACATTATAACTAAAAAATATGACAAAATTTTTAATTGCAATAAATTGCTTAAATTAGACTTCAAAAAATTTTTAAAATGGAACTTTAAGATTTTTTTTTTTTTTTTTGAAATTTTTTGAAAATTTATTCCAAATAAATTTTCTTTATTTTATTCTTATAGAATTATTCTTATTAAGAAATTAATACAATGAATTTAATGTCTAATAACATTAGTTATTTAAAGTTAAATATTTATTAAGTAATTATTAAATTTAATTAAAATAAAAAAATTAACTTTTTTTTAGAATGTAAATCAACTATAAAACGATTTTAAATATTTACAACAATTTTTCAAATCGAAAATTTATTATTCCAATGTAAAAAAATTTTCAATAGTAACATATTTCCAGAGAAATAAATTTTAAACTGTTAAAGAAAGAAACCCTTAGAAATTGGAACTTTTTCTTTCTTTTTTTAATAATAAAAAAAAAAAAATCATCACTAATTATCTCTTAATTTCAATATTATTATTTTAATTATTAAAATTAATTAAATAAAAATTTTTTCCCTTTTTTTTCCCCCGTCTAATGAAATAGAAGGCGAGGATCTAAGTGCACCAGAAACAGTTGAAATGCTTTATATTCAAGCACATTCGATATTCTTCGATTATACAACGCCTCGATATTCACATCAAAAATTTTGGAAACTTAAACGTCTATTACAATTATTAGACGATGTAAAACCAAAGACAATTGAACATTTATTTTTCCGTGAAACTATCGGACAAATACCAATAGCACATCTATTAGATAACATATATAAAATGGAACCTTATACTCAAAATAGTCATTGTTAGGAGAATTTTTGATTTTTTTAAAATAATTTTTCTTTTGTATATGCGCGATAGTAAATAAAAATAAAGGATTTATTAATTTCTTTAGTGAAATTTCGACATTATCATCGAGATGAAAAAAAGAGGACAGAAATTTTCCTAAAGATAATAATTTAAAGGATTATCATTGTTGAGCGTTCATTATAATGTGTATAAATGCTGTAACTATAAAATATATATTATATTAGGATTTATATTATAAGTATATTATATCAATATTCAAAAAAAATTTTCTAAACAAATTTATTTTATTTTCTGGCTTATTTGGTGCTTTTAGCGTAAATGAATTTTTCATATTAAAAAAAATAATTATTATTATTTAATCAATTAATTTTTTCATCATTAAAAATTATTAATCTTCTCGCTTCTTCATTAGAAAGAATAATTTATTGACAGTTTTTCCAAGTTTTTAATTTTTAAATTTTGTTTATTTTAATTAATTTTGATATTACAAAAATGAAATATTAGAAAGAAAATCTTTTCTAATTTGTAATTTAAAAATTTGAAACAAAAAAGATTATATATTGTTTCATTTACATAATTTATTTATATTTATTTATATTTATATTTATTTATATATATATCAATATTCCTTGTTTAAAATTAATAATATATTAATTAATTATCATTATTAAATTTAATGGTCTATTGATAATAAAAATAATAGTGCAATATAATATTTTTCTATGAAGAAGAATAATAAAAAATTTTTAATTTGATGATGTAATGAAAAAAAAATATTCATTGGCTCTCTTTCGAAATTTTCATTTTAAGAAAAAAAAAAATTGTTCTCTTTTGACGAAAATTTATTTTCGCATTAACATTTTTTTTATTTAATTTATTTCACTAATCTTCCTTTTTAATTATTTATTAATACTTATTTATTTAAGAAAGAATTGAACAATTGGAACAAAATAGTCTAACATCATATTTTTAAATCTTTAAATAATAGGTATATAATTTAGAAATTTGAAAATTTTTTTTTTTTTTTAAACTTAAAGATTCAAAAATATGAAGTTGGACTAACGTTTTTTTATGACACTGTCCATCCGATTCTACCTTATAAAACATGTAAGGAATTAAATTAAACTAACAAAAAACCTTCTTTTTTTTTGTTTTAATTATATTTATAAATTAATTTTATTAGACAATACGCAATTATTGCCAAATTTAGAAAGTATTTAAATACAATAGCAATTTGTATGAGATAAAGACTGCAAAATTTTATTTTACTTTTATAATAAATTCTGTAATGTACACTGTAGAATTTATCGACGAAATTTCTATATCTAAATTAAAAATTAAAAAAAAAAAAATAAGATATTTTTCGTTCACAATTTCGCGTTCGTACGTAAATGGCACAACGGGTCTGCTGGACCCGACGTATTCAAACGTATATTGTACAGCCGGTATTAAATATTTTTGCACAAAAATTTAATCTGAGGTAACTTATGATGTATTTTTTTTTTTTTTAATTTCATTAGTTTCACAGGAATTAATTTATTTTAAGTTGGTTAAAAAAATTGTGAAAAATAAAAACAAAAACTTGCAAAAAAGGAATATATTAAAATTAAAAAAAATATTCAAAAGCTACTCATTCAATTAATTGGAACTCGAAAAAATACTCGGGTCTACTGGACCCATGATGTCAGTTAAAGGGTTAATTTAAAAAAAAAAAACTTAAATTTCAATCTCTCTTTTGCTTCAAGTGATTCAACAGTTTTTAAATTATCTCTACTTATTAAATATAAAATGATTTAATTATAACAATTTTTTTTAACTTTTATCATCGTTCTGAAAATTTCGAAAATTTTACAGTGTGCAACTTTTATGTTTCAAAAAAAAAAAAAAAAAAAATTGCTTTTTTTTCCCACGACAAATCACTTTTTAAATAATTCATCAAAGTGAGTGATAAAAAAAAATGTGCAATCTCATTTTAATAATATTATTTTTATTTATTGATTATGAAAAAAAGTTTTGCTTCAATTCTAGTGTAAAAAAAATTTCTCCTCAATGAATATTTAGACGTTAATATTATAAATTATAAAATGTAAATAAATTCGTCTCAATTGTGACGATCTAAGACGGCTGTTTCTAAAAATCCAATAAATATTTATAATTTAATTATTATATACCTACAATTGATAACTTTTAAGCAAGTAGAAAGTGTAAATGTTTCCGCATAGTTTACGAATAGACTTCAGAAATTTAAATTTATATCAAATTAGAATTAATTTTTAGCCCCTTAACTATCTTCACTTGAATTTTTAAATTATAAATATATAAAATAAAATTTGTAATTTTGTTTTATTTTTAGAACTGCGAAATTAATTATACAGTTTAATTGATTAATTATTAAATAATTAATTTATATTAATCTAATTTAAATTAATGTTTACTAAGTCAATAAAAATACACTTATAATTTTTTCCGATAAAGTTTTATTAAAACTTGAGGTGAGAATAGTCTAAAATATATATAAAAAAAAAAAAATTGGAAGTTAAGAACATAAACTTTTGTGATTTTAAATTATATCGGCAAATTTCCAGAACTTTTTGAGTATTTATCTAATAATAAAAAAAAAATTGTTGAAAAAAATGTATTAATAAAAAATTGTTAAAATATTAAATAACCGAAGAAAGTGTAAAATTAATATTTATCATTTTTACACGTCTGATAATAATAATAATAATAAAAAAGTTGAAAATTTAAAAATTCTAATGGAATTTGAAAAATTGTTCTTGAAAAATGCCAATATAAAACAATGTAAAATCTTCATTCTAACATTGTAAATATCTTCATTGCACATTGGAATTTGTCTTGTACATGAAATTAATGTATAAATGTAATACAAATTGTAACTGTAAGATATAACGTAATATTAAATCACACTTGTCTGTCTTTATTCATTTTCTTTTCTCTCTCTTTTTTTCTTTCTGTTTTTTTTTTGTGGCAAATTTTTATTGAAATCAATATAATTTCAAGTAGACAAACAGTAAGTAAAAATTTTTCAAAATACATAATATTTCGTGTATTTTTATCTCTATGAAGACATACGATGCAAAAGACAAAAACTGGAAGAATGTCACAATTGACTTCAATGTTTTTTTTTTTTTTTCAAAAAACTGTGTTTTAATAAATATTCTAACATATCGCTAAACGGAAATTAAAAACTCTTTCTCACTGTAAATATACAATTCTAAGTACACGAAGGAAAAAATCACTTAAAAAAATTCTATTATAAATTTACTCGACGCATTCTTCGAATAAATTCAAGTCTCTCTTGTCATAGCGATAAAAACCTATTTAAAACGTTAAAAACTATTTTCTTTTCCTTTGTTTTTGTTTATTCATTAAAAAAAAAAAAAAAAAAAAACTATTTAACAAACGTCGGAAACTATTTTTTTTCACTCTTGCACAAACTTATATATTATAATGAAGAAAATCGTTTCAAAAGTCGGTAACAAATTTTTTATGAAGGTTAATTTTTTTTTTTTTAGTAATGTATTATATTTCATTACACTGTCATATTACGATTAGAAAGGAAATAAAAAAAAAAAAATTTCATTTATCACCGGTAATAAATGAAAAAAAAATTGACAATAAAAATGAAATACTGACTATTGTAAATGACTTTGTACAATATAATAAAATATTAATATTCGTTAAAGTAACGATTGCAAGGAATCACAGTTCATCGTGTTGTTTTAAATGATTCATGACAAATTCATAAAGATCATCTAAGCTACGTGATCCATTGTATTCGGAAATTTTCTTTCCATCTCTATACAATATTAAAGTTGGAAAACTGTCGACCTCTTGATCGTTGCAAAGTGATTTACTTGTTTCCATTGTGCAATCAACTTTTGCAATATTTATATCATCTTTGCTGGAGAATTTCTTGCCCAAATCTTCCCATGTTGGCGCCAATCGTTTACAATGACCACACCATGGTGCAAAAAATTTAACAAACGAAATACCCTTCTCAACGCCATGATTGAATGTTTCACTATTTAAAATTGACACCGATGGAATTAATCCGTCAGCATTATCTTCTTCACTTTCATCTCCTTCTGCACTCTTGCCAAGCATTGTCGAAACGTATTCTTTCAAATTTTCAGCAGTTCTTTTTCCTGTATATTTGTCTTTCTGTGGAAATTTTTTATTTAAAAAATTTTATTTTTATTTTATTCTATTTAAAAATTATATTATTATTATTGAATATATATATATATGTTACTTTTATATATTTTACTCAAAAATGTCTTTACCAAAATTTGGTTAATATTTCCCATTGCTTCCTATGCGTCGAAATTAAAAAAAAACAACAACAAAAGCTTTCGTGGGGAAATATTTGTTTTCAAAATCAATTTTTAATTTTAATTTGGTATTTAACTTTAAAAAACTTTTTCATTTTTTTATTATGTAGGCATTTAATTTTAAAAAACTTTTCAATTTTATTGAAATTATCAAATTAATTTGAAGTTCTAGATTGACTTAAAAATTTAATTTATTTTTTCCCTGTTTTTCAGATAAAATTTTTTCTTTTTCCCTGAACCGAACACATTAGTTTTTTTGTTTAAATTTAAATGAACAATTTTATTAAATTTCTCTTTTTTTTCTAAAAGTCAAATTTTTTTTTACAAATATTTTTCTAGTGATTATAACAAAAATTCCTGACATTTCCTTGGCAACCCTTAAGTCTGAAGTTAACGTAAATTTTTTTTTTTATTTATTCAAAAAAAAAGCAAAACAAAAGATTGGACAACATATTTTTTTTTAATTTTTTAAAATAAATTTTTCTTATTTTAATTTTGAAACTAAACCCTACTGATATTATTTAGAACAAAACGAAATAAAAATTAGTTCAAATCCATATTTTCGAATTTTTATATGAAAAAAAAGCAATTTAAATTTTAAAAGTGTTTCAATGCAAGTGTAAACAATTTAATTTTTAACATTTTGAATAATTAAAAAGTTTATTTTAATAAAAATTACAATTTTCTGATAATAAGAAATGATGATGAAGAACATAACTTAAAATTTGAAAATCAATTTTTTACCGTAAAAAATTTTTAAATCTTTATTCAAAGGCAAATTTAAAGAAAAAAAATGAAATTTCAAAACAACTCAAACTTTAAATATAAAAATTACTCACATTTTTTAATTATAAAAAATGATTTATTTATTAAAAATAGGTAAATATAAAGTTGAACTAAATTTTGTTTTTTTTTTTTAATTGTTCGTCCAATTATTTCTTTACGAAATTAAATTTTTTTTTTTAATTTTCTAAGAAAAAATTTAAAAAGTGCGATATTGATTAAAAATAATTAATTTTCTTTGTTTATTAATTCATTTCAAAATTAAAATAGTAGACATAAAATTAATAATTTAGATAACAAAAATGAAATTTAATTAACTTATAAATTTTTCTAATTAGTTTTTCGAAAATCGACTTTAAATTTTAAACTATATTGACGAAGAATGAATTTAAAAAATTGAAAATTAAAATTAGAAACTTTTTTTTACGAATTTTTCCCAGTTTTTTTTTTAATTTTAATTTTTCTAAATTAAAACTTTATTACAAGAGAAAAAAAAATTCAAATAAGTATGAAAAAACCATCATTCGGTTAAAGAAAAAAATTTATATATTTCATCACAAAAACTGTTTAAAAAAAAATTAAAATTGCTCAAAAATTAAAAAAAAAAAAAAAAAAATTTTTTTAGAGATAAAAAAAACATTTTATTTTAATATAAAATCATCATCTTAATATTATATATTATATTCTTGATGAATTAATAGTGTGAATTAATTCAAAAAAATTAATTTCTGCAATTTGAAAAATATGGTAGTCTTTTAAAACATTTTATATTATAAATTTTTGAAAAATAATGTACAATGAAGCTTAATTTCAATTTTTAAGATTTTTTTAAATTTAAAATCAAAATTAAATTTTTTGTATAATTTATTTAAAATATAAAAGTGAAAATCTAATATTCATGAAAATTAACTTTTAAAAAAATCTAACAGACAAAAATTTTATTTCTTTTTATAAATTTTTTTTTTTTTATCTTTTAAAAATATCGATATTGGACAATAAATGTCGAATATTGATTGGTACTGATTGTTATTTATTTTAAATGTCTAATTGTAAAAAGCAAAAATCAAAGTGAATTTACAATTTTTTTTTTTTTTTTAAATAAATTTTTTCATAAAACCGTCGTTTTAACAAATTTCCATAAAAAAATATTTTTAAATAATCATAAAATCACATTTACCTTCTTTCCATCCTCAATCCAAAGCAATGTAGGATATCCCTTGATGTCAAATTGACCGCAAATTCCACGAAATTGAGTACAATCAACTTTGGCAATGCTTACCGATTTTTCATAACTTAAACTATTGGCAAGGTCGTCCCATGTGGGCGCCAAATTTTGACAATGTCCACACCAAGGCGCATAGAATTTCACAAAATGATTACCAGTCGACACATGTTTATCAAAAGTGTCCTCTGTTAATTCAATCAATCCATTCACAGGCTCTGGAATTGATGGCACCACTTCTTCTTCTTCACTTTTTTCATCTTCCTAAAACAAAAAAATTTGTATCATCACCAATTTTCTTTTTTTAAATTAAAAAAAAAAAAAAAAAAAAAAATTGTAGATTAAATTAACGAACCAAAAATAATAAATTTGATAATAAATTTTTAAATAATGTATTCTTAATTAATAAAAATTAAAAAAGAAAAATTACTGAAGGAATGCTGCCTAATTGTTCATTGATGAATGAAGTTAATGAAGGTAAGTCGCGAGTTCCACGGAATTTTGTACCCTGTGATTCGCCAGCCTTGAAAAATTTGAGCCTGGTATAGAAAAAAAAAAAAAAAAATTCAAATATTAGTAAAAAATTTACTTTATTCAATATAAATTGTAAAAAATTCAAATTTAAAACAAAACGTACGTGGGATATCCAGTCACATCGTGTTTCGAACAAACTACATTGTCAGTTGTACAATCGACTTTTCCAATGCGAACTCGACTATCGTCATCTTCATTCAACATTTCAGCAAGTTGACCCCAAATAGGAGAAAGTCTTTGGCAGTGACCGCACCTGAAAAAATTTATTTATTAAAAAAAAAAAAATTGAATCAAGATAAAAAATAAAAAATTTCTATCAGAAAATGAAAATTCTTCAATTATTTTTAAATATTTCCTATAATAATTATAATTTGTGTCATATTTAACACAAAAAATAAAACTTTTTTTTCAGAAACTTATTTTGATCACAATAGGAATTAAATAAAAAAAATTAAATTTGTTAATTTTAGATGATCGATTTAAAAAATTCTGACCGATTATTATAAATATTATTGTATCAGAACTATAATTGATTAAAAAATTGAAAGAGATTATTCACAAAGCAAACTTTAACGAGGAAATCATTATCTGCTACATTATAATCTTCTTAAACGCAATTATTCAAATTGAAATATAAAACCAGTAATCAAATCTCACACATTTTTATTTTATATTTGTCATGCATTTTTATTTCATTTTTCATTATTAATTATATTTGAATTATAATTTACAATAAAAGTATACATTTTTATTTATTAACTAAATTATTAAATATTATTAATTTAATAAATAAGTATTCAAATTTTTATATCATTAAATCAATCAATAAAATGTAATATTATTTTTTCTATTTAATACACTCAAATTCTGAATATACTTTGAACCTCTAAAAACATCACGTAATGATTATTTGTATTCTATATAAAACTGGAATTTTTATCTAATCATTTTTATTTATCATTCAATACAATCTCCCGTTTAAAAATGAACTAACCAAGTTTAGTTAATAAAATTATTTTCTAATAAATAATAAATATATATTAATAAAAAGCGAAATAATAATAAATAAATAGTAATTAAATAATAAAATAGAAATAATAAATTAATCTCCAAAAATCACTAATAATAAATAAAAAAAAAAAATATCATTTTTTTTAAATAAAAGTAAATTTTAAATAAATCTTACCAAGGAGCGAAAAACATGATAAAGTGATTTTTCTTGCTAATAGCATCTTTAAATGTTTCCTCATTGTACTGAATAGTATGTACATCTTCTTCGTGAGCAAATCCACAATAAATTAATGTTAATGCAAAAAGAAAAATGCTTTTTCCAAACATGATTGAACTGCACTTAATAATTCAACAAAAAATATTGATATTTTATTAGATTTGATATGCACAATAATATTTTCTACTTTTATCAATCGCACGAAACAAAGAATATACGGAGAAGGTTATTTAAAATTTTTTCTAATATATTTTCATATAAAAAAGAACAAAGCAACAATAGAGGGAAATGTAAAAAATTTATTAACAATAAATGAAGGTTAGGTTAAAAGTTATAAATATAATATATATATATCGAACGCGGACAAATATATTATTTGAATATTAAAAAATTAAATTAAATTGCTTTAACGCTAATAATGACCAATATTTAATTTGCACTAATATTGTATGATACTTCCTATATATTATTTACAGGATAGAAAATAAAAACCGGAGACCGCCCACCAAACGTTGACAATGAGACTCAAAAACACGCTCATCATCATGATTCAAGTAGTACGGTCTCGTAATGCGCAAGTACAATAAAATCAACCAATCATATCCTTACCACGAAAGCATCCATCTTGACTCGCGGCAAATTTAAAAGAGTAAATGCAAATAATTACTTTTTCTGTAATAGTATTTACAATTATATTCAAATATTGTAAAGAAAGATAAATATTGTGAATGAATAATAGATTACATAATATTATTAATTTTAAATTATGAAAATAATAATAAATATTATGTTAATTAAATAATTAATTTTTTTTCCCCTTTTTTGAGAAATAATTTTTAAAAATAATTTCAAATAATTTTTTAAAATTATTAACGCACAAATAATACAGTGTAAAATATTTTCAAAAATTTTTTTAAATAATTTAATTTTTCGAAATTTACAGTTTAGATGAATAATTTATGTAATCGAAATGCTAAAAGGTTAAATATTCATTTGATGGAATTCCTAAAAAATTCGAATGATTAGGAAAAAAAATTAGAAATTCGAATAAAAACAACATAGCTTTTTAGGCATGTAAGTTCACTTTCTATGTTGTGTATATAGTCATGGGATGAATTTAGAATTCCCACCCCTTGTCTCACCCAAACTCTAAAAAAAAATAACAGAGACTGATATCTTTTATTTTTATAGAGAATTTATTATAAATCAATGTGTTGATAAAATTCAGAATAATTAAATAAAAAAATAAAATTGTTAAGAAATAATAAAGAAAATTATAAATACATATTATGTACCATATATGACATTATTTTCTGCATCTAAAATTTGTTTTATAGAAGTAAATTTTTAATTTTAATTTTACTAATTTGTACACTTGTTCACTATATATATATATATGCTTTTCACTGATGAAAATTACTATAGAATCCGCGATAATTCCTTATTCTTAAATTTAATGCTGATGAACAATAAAAATATTAGAAATATTCCCACATAGCACAATATCTTGCTGTAAATTCCACTTGAGCATAAACATCAGATTCGTATATAAACTTACAGTGCAAACTTCAGGTGAGGTTAAAGTAAGTTGCAAATGTCTGTGAGCTTATGGTAATCTTCCGCACCGTAAGCTCAACATTTTTGCAACTCACCTTAGCCTCATCTGAAATTTAAGTTTATGAATCTGAATAGGCTCAAGGGAAACATACAGCAAGATATTGCGCTATGTGGGTCATATACATAAAAGAGATAAGATTTTTTAAGGCTAATATATAGGTATATAGATATAATATTATAAAAGATGATTCATTTCAGTTAAAATTTAGATTTTCACAATAATTGAGAATATTATAGCGAAGTTTAATAATAATAATATAAAATCAGAATGAAACCAGAGAAAATTATTGTTGACTGTGATGCTGGAACTGATGATGCTTTATCGCTTATTTTACTAATAGAGGCTCATAAATTAAATAAAATTGAATTATTAGGTATTACTTGTGTAAATGGAAATACTTCGGTGGATAATGTTGTTTCAAACGTGTTTCGAACTTTAGAAGTTTGCAATGGAAATGACGTGAGTAAATATATTATTCTATATATTAAAAAATTAATCTAATTTTATTATTTCAATTTTTCATCGACTTTCGAAACCAAGGGGCGCATGATTATTCCCCAAATTTCAATTTCATAATTTTCAAGACATCGAAATTCTTATTATCGAAATATCACATAATTTTTATTTTTTCGAATAATCATTTATTCTAATTTTTAAATAATAGAATTATCTATTGACATAATATTTATTTTGCCGAAAAATTCTTTAGCATAAATTTCATTCTTCCGAATGGTTATTTGTCACAATTATTAATTCTCCGAATGCTTACATAATCTAAAATTTATTCATACTATAATCGCCATTTAATATAATTTGCATGTTTTTGAGATGTCATTTCGCACATAATTTTTATATTTCGAAATAACGTTAAACATAATTTTTATTTTTTCGAATAATCATTTATTCTAATTTTTAAATAATCAAATTGCCTTTTAACATAATTTTTATTTTGACGAATGACCATTGGTTAAGAAGTTTTAAATGTTCAATCACATATCCATTTAGTATAATTTTTATTGCTTCGAAATATTATTTTACATAAATTTCAATTTTCTAAACTTTATTTGTTATAATTGTTATTTTATTAAAATCCACATAACCTAAAATTTACTGACACTATTTGCTATTTGACATAATTCACAAAACATTTCCGAGCGATAAAAATGATGAAAATCTCGTCAATCGGTGGTCAATCGAGAACAGCACTACACATTCGTCTGTTCTCGATTGACGTTTTAGTGTATCACGTATTAGTTTTTAAGCAGTTGTTTCCCATCTATGTGTTTTATATATTTTATTAAAATTATCGGTAAAGAAAATACATATGTAAAGATTTTTTTTTGTTTATTTAAGGCCAACGCAGAATAGAAACGTAACCGGAATCGTAATCGCAAACGCAACCGGAAGAATGAGTTAGAGAAGGACAATCAATATGTCTATCGTTCTCTAACTCATTCTTCCGGTTGCGTTGGCGATTACGATTCCGGTTACGTTTCTATTCTGCTCAGGCCTGTATGCGTAGAATCTACATCTACTTTACCGACTATTTTAATCAAAAAATATAAAACACATAGATGGGAAACAACTGCTTAAAAACTAAGACGTGATATTTGAGGTGAAATGAAATTTCTGTTCCAGTTGATTGGATCATATTGGGAACGGTGGTCTAGTAACAATCTATAGTAACTTTGACCCATTCTCTCCCTCCATTTTGTTTTTTCTACTCTTTCTAACCTATTAATTGAAGAGAGACAAAGAAAGAAAATGGAGGGAGAGAATGGGTCCCTACCAGATGGCGTATTGCAGTTTAGCCGATCCCATCGAAAATGGGAACTTATGTACAGTGACTATTATAAGAAATAAAGATTTTTAAAAATTATATATATCGGTAAAACAAAATTTAGGACATTTAAATTTTCTACGTGTTTTGTGAATTATGTCAAATAGCAAATAATGTCAGTGAATTTTAGGTTATGTGGATTTTAAAAAAATAACTTTATAACGAATAAAGTTTAGAAAATTGAAATTTATGTAAAATAATATTTCGAAGCAATAAAAATTATACTAAATGGAAATGTGATTAGATGAAAATTCTAAATAATTGAAATTTGAACATTTAAAACTTCTAACCAATGGTCATTCGTCAAAATAAAAATTATGTTAAAAGGCAATTTGATTATTTAAAAATTAGAATAAATGATTATTCGAAAAAATTAAAATTATGTTAAACGTTATTTCGAAATATAAAAATTATGTGAAATGACATTTCGATAATAAGAATTTCGATGTCTTGAAAATTATGAAATTGAAATTTGGGGAATAATCATGCGCCCCTTTCGAAACATGTTAGCAAAAAAAAAATTGTTTTGAATTTTTTATATGTAATTAAATAAATTTTTTTTTTAACTTTAGAGACAATTTTTTTTATTTTTACATGGAGAAATATTAATAATATTTCTCAAAAAGTTTTAGAGTGGGCCTAATAATCCTTATTGTTTAAATAACACCAGCACACAAAAAAAAAAAAAATTTGGAGTGCGAAGACCGCCACATGGTAGGTTCTCTTCCTTAAGATGTATCTAAAGAGAAAATCCTAGTCCGACCTCGAGTTTGGTTCTTGTTTCATTTTTACAGGCCTGGTGGGGGGGTGTAGTTTGAGAAATTAACATATATGGGAATTTAATTTCTTTTATCAACTGAAAGTGAATGTTTGCTTATTCTAACTGTGGATTTTGATTCAGTGGCTCTAATTACATGAAAATTTAATAAATACACAAATTTAAAAATGGCGGATCAAATATGGCGGACCTAAAATGGTGGATTTTTTGAAAAATTTGCTTGGATTTCCTTGAAACTTGTTACTAGGGGGTTTTTCGGGTCGCTGATTACGAATTTGATGTCAAATTTTATAAATTCAATATGGCGGATCCAATATGGCGGATCTAAAATGGTGGATTTTTGAAAAATTTGTTTGGATTTCCTTGAAACTTGTTACTAGGGGTTTTTGGGGTCGCTGAATACGAATTTGATGTTAGTTTTTCAAAATTCAAAATGGCGGATCTAATATGGCTGAAAATTTTCGAAAAATTGTTTGGTTTTTGTAAAAAATTGCTATTTTGGGCTGTTTAGGTTGCTGAATAAGATTCTGACACTTCTATTTTTTAAATTTTGCAATAGTGAATTTAATGCGTGGCATATTTTAAACCTAGAAACTTAGCCAAAAATTCGTTGCCCGCCTTCACCACGGGGAGGTGTGCTAGTCGCGAAAATAGAAAAAATAGAAATTAAATCGGAGAAATATTATTTATAAGACAACTAACTTGAGGTTGTATTTTTACAGATATGCAGTTATATTTTGACAACTTTTACATCAAGCCATTACTAAATTTTGGTGAATTCAGATTCAGGGTAAACGATCGAGAAAATAAAAAAATGTTAATTGTCAGCCACGCATTAAATTCACTATTGCAAAATTTAAAAAATAGAAGTGTCAGAATCTTATTCAGCAACCTAAACAGCCCAAAATAGCAATTTTTTACAAAAACCAAACAATTTTTCGAAAATTTTCAGCCATATTAGATCCGCCATTTTGAATTTTGAAAAACTAACATCAAATTCGTAATCACCGACCCCAAAAACCCCCTAGTAACAAGTTTCAAGGAAATCCAAACAAATTTTTCAAAAATCCACCATTTTAGATCCGCCATATTGGATCCGCCATATTGAATTTATAAAATTTGACATCAAATTCGTAATCAGCGACCCGAAAAACCCCCTAGTAACAAGTTTCAAGGAAATCCAAGCAAATTTTTCAAAAAATCCACCATTTTAGGTCCGCCATATTTGATCCGCCATTTTTAAATTTGTGTATTTATTAAATTTTCATGTAATTAGAGCCACTGAATCAAAATCCACAGTTAGAATAAGCAAACATTCACTTTCAGTTGATAAAAGAAATTAAATTCCCATATATATGTTAATTTCTCAAACTACACCCCCCCACCAGGCCTGTAAAAATGAAACAAGAACCAAACTCGAGGTCGGACTAGGATTTTCTCTTTAGATACATCTTAAGGAAGAGAACCTACCATGTGGCGGTCTTCGCACTCCAATTTTTTTTTTTTTGTGTGCCGGTGTAATTTAAAAAAAAAAATTCTTTTCTTTTTTTTTACTTTTCAAAATAAAAAGTTTTTTGGCCACTAGAATATTTCACTTTACTCATAAAAATGCAAAATAAATTGCATTTTTTTTTTAAACAAAAAAAATTATCAGGTCCACTCTTAAATACTTGCAAAATATTCTTAGTATTTCCAGGTATATAAAAAGAAAAAAATAAAAAACATCATGCCCAAAGTTAAAAAAAAAATTATTTGTTTCTTAAAAATCGTTATTTTTTTATGAAAATTCAAATGAAAGTCGATGAAAAACTGAAACTTTATTTTCTCTTGTCAAAAAAAAAACCTCTAAAAACTCTGATTTTTAAAAATTCATAACTCGAAAATTTGGACACTTATAGAAAAATAAAAAAAAAATACGTATTTATCCGAATAAAAAGTTAAAATATTAAAAATATAAAATAAAAAGTAAGGTCTCATCGCATGTGTATGTCGGCTCTGCCTGTGTTTGTCCGGATTTGAATAAATGTGTTACAAAGTTCTGTTTTTACGGCCGAATGTATGGCTTTGAGCGATGCAATGGACATTGCCTTGGAGAATCGAAGTCATAGCTTTCTCATTTTTTCGGACTCTTTAAGTGCTTTACAAAGTTTACAATCCAGTTTTGCCACTATTAAAACTAATCCGTACATCTTTGAAATAAAAAAAAAATATGTCGAATTTATTAATAATAATTCTGATAATAGTTTTATAAAATTTTTTTGGGTTCCTTCACATATTGGAGTCCGGGGAAATGAGGAAGCTGACTTTCGGGCTAAATCGACTACTGAAAAAGATTGTTTAGATGTAGTAAAGATTCCTTATACTGACTTGTATGAGTTTTTTAGAAAAAGGTCATCCTCTCAGTCTTTAGATATCATATTACAACAGGGCCTTTTTAAGGGCAAATATTATTTTCAAAATTATTACTCTAGCGCTAAGAAGCTATGGTTTGGTCATAAATCTTTAACTAGAAGACAGATAGTCACAATTAATCGTTGTAGAGCCAATCATTATAATTTGGCTGAATCTTTGGCTCGAATAAATATTGTTAATAGTAGTTTGTGTAAGTGTGGTCAATATAACGAAAGCTTAAATCATGTTGTTTGGCAGTGACAAACTATATGTACCTCAACGTACTGTTTTATACAAGAAATTGTTTAATATGAAAATCTTTTTGCCGCTGTGCATGGAAATGTTCTTAGCAAAACCAAATATTGCTGTGTGCAAGCTCATTGTTAAATTTTTGGATGATTGTAATTTAAAGATATAAACTTTATGTATGCTTATAAACCTATTTAGGTTTTTTTTAATGCTTTAATAAAAAAAAAAAAAAAAAAAAATATGTTAGAAAAATAAATTTAGGTAGACGAATTTAAAATTAGATACAATTTTTTGAAAATATTTTAATTTTTTATAATTATGATGAACAAAAGGTTGAGATGGGAGTTTAAAAAATTGTTTTTAGATCCCAGTCTATAAAGGAGCATATTCATCTCTTCTTAATATGGAAAATAAAAATAAAACTGATGAAAATATTAAATATCATGGTTCGGACGGTTTTGGAGATGTTTTTCAAAACGAGCCGGATATTAATAAATTAAAATCGGAACATGCCGTATGTGCTCTAGAGAAAATAGTTTCCCAATTTCCTGGTAATAATTAATTATACATTATTAAATTAATTTTTTTTAAGTAATTAAATATTTTAATTTTCAGATGAGGTATCAATTTTAGCACTTGGACCATTGACAAATATAGCATTAGCAATTAAAATGTATCCTAACTTTGCAAATAATGTAAAAAGATTTTATGTTATGGGCGGAAATTACACTGGTTGGTTTTTTTAATTATTTTTATTTTTTCAATTTAAAAAATTTTTTCTTCTTTTTTTGGAAGAGTTGAGATTGAAATTTTTAGAAATAATTGAATTTCCAAAGATTTTGTTAATTTTCAGACAATAATTAAAATTTTACAGAACTAAAAGTAATTTGTCAAATAATTTTAGATAACATTTTTTTAAAGTATACATAATTGAATTTCCAAAGATTTGCAAAAGAGATTTTTGAAATTAATTGAACTTCAAGTGATGTTTAATACAAATTTTTGATGATTTCACTAAAAAATTTATTAGAAATTGCGGACAAAAATACTATAATTTGAAAACCATTTTTAATTGAAAAATGGTTTCAAATAGTTAAATTTTCGAAGAATATTATAAAAATAGTTAAAAATAATTGAATTTCAGGAGAGTTATAATTGAAATTGTTAAATTTCAAAAAATTTTCAATGGAAAATTTTAGAAGCTTTTAATTTAGGATTAAAATTTTTGAAAATAGTTGATTTTGAATTGAAATTTTGGAAAATAATTGAATTTCATTTGAAATTTTGGATAATAATTGTATTTTAGTTGATTTTGAATTGAAAATTTTGAAAGTAATTGAATTTCAATTGGAATTTTGGAAAATAATTGAATTTTAGTGAATTTTGAATTGAAATTTTGGAAAATAATTGAATTTCAAATAACTGAAGAATTTATTCAAAATTACAGACAAAAATTGAACTTAAAAATCTTTTTAATTGAAAAATGCTTTCAGATAATTGAATTTTCGAATAATATTATAAAAAAATCATTAAAAATAATTGAAATTTTTGAAAATAATTAAATTTCAAGTTTTAAGCATTTCATTTAAATAAGTCGAAAAAGTTTTTTTTAATTCAAAATCACTTAACATTTAATTACTTGCAAAAATTTCAATTATTTTTAATGATTTTTTTATAATATTATTCGAAAATTCAATTACCTAAAAGTATTTTGCAATTAAAAAGATTATTAAGTTCAATTTTTGTCTGTAATTTTGAATAAATCCTTCAATTATTTTCCAAAATTTCAATTATTTTCAAAAATTTTAATTCAAAATTCAAGAAAATTCAATTATTTTCAAAATTTTCAATTCCAAATCAAGTAAATTCCAATTAATTTTAAAAATTTTAATTCAAAATTAACTGAAATTCAATTATTTTCAAAATAACTAAAATTCAATTATTCTGAAAAATTTCAATTCAAAATTAATTATTATCAAAATCTTTAATCTAAAATGAACTAAAATTAAATTATTATCCAAAATTTCAAATGAAATTCAATTATTTTCAAAAATTTCAATTCAAAATCAACTAAAATTCAATTATTTTAAAAATTTTTCAATTCAAAATCAACTGAAATTCAATTATTATCTAAAATTTCAATTGAAAATCAACTATTTTTAAAAATTTTAATCCAAAATTAAAAGCTTCTAAAATTTTCCATCTAACATTTTTTGAAATTTAATAATTTCAATTAGGGTCAGTTGGGGTAAATGGGGACAGCATAGTTTCTAAGAAAGTTTTAAGATAATTGAATTTTCAATAATATTATAAAAAAATCATTAAAAATAATTTTGAAATTTTTGCAGATAATTAAATTTCAAAGTTTAAAGCATTTCATTAAAATAAGTCGAAAAAGTCGTATTTTTGAAATAAAGTCGGAAATGATAAAAAAAAAATTGTATAATCCGAAGCCTGTAGTGTATACCTTTAGAGATTCTAAATATTTTTTGGATTTTAGTAAAAAAAAAAATTAAACATCCATTTTCAGCTTTGGGCAATACAACTCCACAGGCGGAGTTTAATTTTTTCTCAGATCCAGAAAGTGCTCACATTCTTCTTTGCAGTACTAATAAATTGTGGCTATTTCCTTGGGAAACTTGTTTAAAATCTCAAGTTACAAATGTAAGATTTTTTAGATTAATTCCAATTTATAATATTTTGTATTTTTTTTTTTTTATCATACTTTTACTGATTTATATTTAAATTTATTTATTTGAAAAAAAATTCACAATTATTTAAAAGGAATGGCGAAAAGAAGTGTTTGGTCAAATAGACACTCCAGTGGTACATTTAATGAATGCAATTGAAGCTGAAATATTATCGTCACCTGAAAAAATGTTACCATTTTACACGCCATGTGATGTATTTTTAGCGGCTGTTGTATTAAATCCAAAAATGGTCACAAATTTAGTTCCATATCACATTGATATTGAATTAAATGGCAATAAAACAAGAGGAATGGTCGTTATTGATCATTTCATGACAAACGAATCAAATGCCCATATTATTAAGGATTTTGATTCAGAAATTTTCAAAAATTTTCTACTTTTTGCCGCAAATCCATTGGAATATAAAAATCGAATTTTTCAAAATTGCACTTAAATTTAATTAATAACTTAAAAAAATTGTAATTAATAATTACTCAATGAGTAATTTTGATTATTTTTAATAATAAAATGATTTTTACATTTGTAGATTTTTTCTGATTTATTTTAAATGTCGACCAAAATGATTTGGAATGATTAATTAGCTTATATGTTAAAGTAAAACATTTTTTTATTAATTTTTTTTTTTTTACAATTTTAATAAGTAATAATAACGAAATAATTTTTGTCGTCAAACATCTGAGCAATTGATAAATTCTATAGAAAATAAAAATAATTATTGCAATTTATTAGATTAAATTTTCTATTATGTTGCTTTTATTAGCGTTTTACAATTAAACTGAAGATTTAAAAATCTAACTTGAAAAAAAATAATCATTAAAAATTTAAAGTAAAACATCAATTTGATTCTAATTTGTTTTTTAACACAAAATCAAAAATAATATACTGTTTTTTTTTTGTAGTTAACATAATTTTGGTCATTATTATTATTTTTAATTATTATATCACCTTTTACAATCTATTAATTTTCTATAAGTAAAATGCGGCTTTTTATTCGAAACTATAATTATATTCTACAACAACTATGCAATAATGTAGAAATTTTACTCAAACTTAAATTAAAATTGCTTGAAGCAATTCTTTTTTTTTACATTCTGATAAATTAAAATACAATACTTGTTTTCTGAGATTTTACTCTTACATTTTTTTTGCAGAAATTAGCTATAATTATTGAATTAGTAACATTAAAAATTAATTACTCTTGACTTGATTCCTGAATTTGCTTTCGGAATTTTCGATTGGATTCTAACAAATTCTTCAACTCCGCATGAATATCGTCATTTTTCCTTTCCAGAGAATCCAAAACTGAATTCAACTGATCTAATTTGTTGTTTAACGCTTGATATTCTGTGTAAACAAAAATCGAAGACTGAATTTTTTTCTATAATTTCTATATCATTTTTTTATTTAAAAAAATTAATTATTCATATAATTATTGAGAATTGACAAAAATTAACCTCCAAGAATTTTAGGTTAAAAAATTCAAGAAAATCGAATTACTGCGATAAATATTTGCTTTTTTGTAAAAAAAAAAGAACAAGAAATAAATATATCATTAATCTCCTTAATTCTTTAAATATTTTTTTAAGCAAATTATGGAAAATACAAATATAATAAATACGAAAGTCACTGTCCTTCAAAGTTTTCTAATTTTAAAAATTATCGATTTTGAAATTTATTCGCAAAATAGAATTAAACAAATATTTTACCTTCTGGATTTAAGGAATCATCTTCATTTTCAACGTCCATTTCGTTATTTTTATTATTTTTATTATTTTCTTGAGGTTGTACAGAAAAATGAACCATGTTTTCTTTAGCCATCAATCAGCTGATTTGTCACGTGCGGTCAGATGTCACAGAGAGCATTTAAAAAAAAAAAAAAAAGCCCAACCAATGAGGAGTGTTTGTTAAAAGGAAATGTAAAACATCACGTAATCTAACCTCAAAAATTATGTTGTTTTTGAAAGATGAACTAAAATTGTAAATAAAAGAATTTCATTTTTTCTTTAAAAAATGCATTTTAATTATATGACTATGGGTTTTAATTTCCTTCAAATACAGATAAGGTAGGTTTAAAATTATTTTTGTTATGAAAATGAAATATTTTTGTTTGCTTTCGATTGTTTTTTTATTTTAGTCATTTTTGAGTTATCATATTATTGTATATATATATATATTATTAGTATAAAAATCGTATTGTTATTATTCTCGTATTGGCAAATAATTAGCAAGAATTCGATAAATTAAAATTTTTGCCTCTATTTTTTTTTAAAATTTGAATTAATTAAATTTATTTTCGTCTTTAGAATATAAAGATAATTGATAAATGCGAAAAAGTATAATTCCACATGAAATACATGAGTAGAGTGAGAAAAATATAAATAAATGAAAATGAATGGAATCTCAGGACAATTTCGTAAAACAACATGGGATCCATTTTTAATAATATGTCAAATAATTGCCGTACAAACGATAATGTACTTTTTCCTTGGCATATGGATTTGGTTGACAGCAACATTAATGGGCTCAACACGATCACTTGATTATGCATTTCAATATAAAGAAATACATGTACGTGATTTTGGTGGTCATCTTGTGATAACAATTTTTATAATAAACGCTCTTATTGGTGCACTTGCACTATGGCGAATTGTACAGAGAACAAAACAATGTATGGATTTTGCATGTACAGCACATTTAATTCATCTCATTTGTTGTTGGCTCTATAATGGAACATTTCCAACAACATTCAGCTGGTGGTGTTTAAATATTGTTTGTGTTATTATAATGTGCGTGTGTGGTGAATTTCTTTGCATGAGAACTGAACTTCAAGCGATTCCCCTAAGTATGAATAGTCAAAGAACAGCCTTATGAAAGAAATTTTTCATCTTTAGTTTAATTTATTAATTTAAAAAAAAAAAAAAAAAAAATTTTTACTAATTTTCCCCCCCCCAAAAAAAAACTAAAAGAAATGTTTATTTTTACATGTAAAAAAATAAGTCAAAAATTATTAATTTTCATTTGTAAAAAAGGGATTTTATCGAAAGATTAGAAATTTGTTAATAATATGCATAAGATTAGAAATTATTGAAAAAAAAAAATTTGTAAAAAATATCATTTTTTTCAGAAATAAATAAAAAAAAAAAAATTTTTTTAAAATAAATTCGTCCACTTGGCAATTTATTATTTATAATTTTGTAATGTATACGTCGGTGAAGTTCACAACGTTTATGATCAACGATTGAGAAGAGAAAATATTTTTCTATGCAAATTATTTATTTATTTATCCAAAAAAATTTTTTGCAACGTTTCTTGATCCATAATTTTATGAAAAAAAAGGAAAAAAATTAGTTATTATTTTTTTAAGTAAAAAATATATATTTTTTTTCAATCGTTGATCATAAACGTTGCAAATTTCACCAACATTAATGTATAATAACAATTCACAATGACGATTCAAACTTAATAATTTATTATAAGGACTATATAAACTGTACAAGTTTTTTATGGATTTTAAAACATCATGGAATTAAAAAACAATTTTTTTAAAAGTACCTTCTTTTACAACATTTTACAAATAAAATTGTACTAAAGAAACAAAAAAAAATTAATTTAACTGTCTTTCGACTGCTTTGCTTGTGATTGTAAATATTCTTCACGAACTCTTTTGTGACGATCCTCTATTTGTTTTGTGAATGAATCACCTTCTTCCATGGATTTTTTTCCACTCCACGTTGCCCATCCGCAAAGAATTAAACCACAAACCATAATAATATTTGCAATTCGAATACGACTTTTACTGTGAATATGATCGAGTATTCCCTCTCTAAAAAAAAAACATAATTAATTATTAAATTTAATACTTTCCTTTTTTAAAATTAATAAACTAATTTTTTTTCTCGGCTATTTATTTACAAATTTTAATTTATAAAAATCGAAATAAAAATTATAGTTCAACTCTATATTTAAATTTGAATCTTTACAGGCCTCAGATTATACGACTTTTTTTTTCAAAAGTACGACATTTTTCGATTTATTTTAATAAAATGCGACTTTTTCGACTATATTTTTAAAATTCTTTTTAGAAAATTTTTAAACAAAATACGTTGTTTTAATGTACAATAAAGATCTTCTTCAAATCTTCTTTATTTCAATTATTTAACAAATTTTTAACTAAAATTCTTCACTAAATTAATTATTTTTAATAATTTTAATAAAATTCTTCATAAATTCAATTATCTTAAACTATTTTTACAATTAAAATTTTTATGAAATTTAATAATTGTTTATCACTGAAAAAAAATTAGCAAATAAAATTATCAAAAATTTTTTTAATCAAAATCACTTGACATTTAATTATTTGCAAAAATTTCAATTATTTTTAATGATTTTTTATAATATTCTTCGAAAATTCAATTATCTGAAAGCATTTTTCAATTAAAAAGATTTTTAAGTTCAATTTTTGTCTGTAATTTTGAATAAATCCTTCAATTATTTTCCAAAATTTCAATTCAAATTTCACTAAAATTCAATTATTTTCCAAAATTCCAATTGAAATTCAATTATTTTCAAAATTTTCAATTCAAAATGAAGTAAATTCCAATTATTTTCAAAAATTGTAATTCAGAATTAAATAGAATTCAATTATTTTCAAAATTTTCAAATTAAAAATCAACTAAAATTCAATTATTCTGAAAAATTTCAATTCAAAATTAATTATTATCAAAATTTTTAATAAAAAAAAAATCAAAAATTTCAATTTAAAATCAACTAAAATTCAATTATTTTCCAAAATTTCAATTCAAAATCAACTATTTTCAAAAATTTTAATCCAAAATTAAAAGCTTCTAAAATTTAATTTTTTCTAAAATTTTTCATCGAAAATTTTTTGAAATTTAACAATTTCAATTATAACTCTCCTGAAATTCAATTATTTTTAATTATTTTTATAATATTCTTCGAAAATTTAACTATTTGAAACCATTTTTCCATTAAAAATGGTTTTCAAATTATAGTATTTTTGTCCGCAATTTCTAATAAATTTTTTAGTGAAATCATCAAAAATTTGTATTAAACATCACTTGAAGTTCAATTAATTTCAAAAATCTCAATTGCAAATCTTTGAAACTTCAATTATGTACTTTAAAAAAATGTTAGGGTAAGTCCACGTCAGAAATATCAGAATCTGCAAGTGGTTCTTCGATTTTAATGATACTTGGTAAAATTATAGCTTTATATAAGAGCAATGTGTAAGTAAAAGGAATTTTTAAAATATCTAAAATTGTAGGAGTTATATCACTTTTAATTTTGATACTGCATTTTTTTCTTTCCTTTATATCTCGGTCAATTTTCAACCGATTTTGATGAATCAAAAACGATTTTTTTCAGAAAATTACGTTTTTTCAGAAAATTTTAAAATAAAAATAAAATTTTGTTATTTAAATAGAATAAAGTAAAAAACAAAATTTCTTTTAGATTTTTTTTCAATTTCGACCTCTTTTTTCTAATTTTTAATTTTTTAATAATATTCCTTTTTATTTTATCTTTAATTTAAAAAAAAATTCATCCTGGAGACTTTTTTAGATCTCGTGATATCGTTCTTTAAATATCCACATCTCAAGAAAACTAGGATCCAGATTTGTGTTTCTACTTTCATTTGTTTTATAATATTATTGTTACAAACTAGAAACTTTCGCGTAATAATGTTTTTATTTTTAAATTACTTGATTAAAACAAGTGAAAATTCAAGCAAAACAATATTTTATTAATAGATTTGAAGCAAAGTTTTTATTTTTTGTAATATTTATAATTTAAAATAAATTGTAATGAAACCTTAACAATGCAACCTGAAATTGTAACTGAAGTTTTTAGCGCTTTCTTTTAGAGGATTCTAAAACAAATAGTTATTCATAACCATAAAAAATTTCAACAAACAAATGAAAGTAATGATAGAAGCAAGTCCTGCGGTTTTCAAATTGATGAAGACTTATAATACTTAAGGACGATATCACGGGATCAAAAAAAGTCTCCAGGATGAATTTTTTTTAAATTAAAGATAAAATAAAAAGGAATATTATTAAAAAATTAAAAATTAAAAAAAAGAGGTCGAAATTGAAAAAAAATCTAAAAGAAATTTTGTTTTTTACTTTTTTCTATTTAAATAACAAAATTTTATTTTTATTTTAAAATTTTCTGAAAAAACGTAATTTTCTGAAAAAAATCCTTTTTGATTCATCAAAATCGGTTGAAAATTGACCGAGATATAAAGAAAAGAAAAAAATGCAGTATCAAAATTAAAAGTGATATAACTCCTACAATTTTAGATATTTTAAAAATTCCTTTTACTTACACATTGCTCTTATATAAAGCTATAATTTTACCAAGTATCATTAAAATCGAAGAACCACTTGCAGATTCTGATATTTCTGATGTGGACTTACCCGTTATCTAAAATTATTTGACAAATTATTTTTAGTTCTGTAAAATTTTAATTATTGTCTGAAAATTAACAAAATCTTTGGAAATTCAATTATTTCTAAAAATTTCAATCTCAACTCTTCCAAAAAAAAAAAAAAATTTTTTAAATAGAAAAAATAAAAATAATTAAAAAAACCAACCAGTGTAATTTTCGCCCATAACATAAAATCTTTTTACATTATTTGCAAAGTTAGGATACATTTTAATTGCTAATGCTATATTTGTCAATGGTTTGAAAATTCAATAATTTTTAAAAAATGTTATCTAAAATTATTTGATAAATTATTTTTAGTTCTGTAAAAATTTTAATTATTGTCTGAAAATTAACAAAGTCTTATGAACTTGAAATATTTCTAAAAAATTTCAACTTTAAAGTCAATCCGAGGCATGAAAGTGTATTTAATTTTGAACTATAGGTAAAAGTGTATTTTAATAAAAATTATATTATCGATGAAAAAGACTTACGGAATCCGAGATGGCACATCATTGATGGATTTATATTTTTTAAACCACACAAGTAAATATTTATCGATTAGTCTAACATTAACATGATGCCGTGACAATTCTAATCAAATGGAAGAAAATAAAAAAGAATTAGGTTTAATATATCATATAAATAATTACATAAAATAATACATTTCTTTTTTAAATTAAAAATACAAATTTTTTTTTACCACTTTTATTCAAAGGCTTCTGCTGTCTCTCAACATTTTTCGCCTCATCAGTACTTAAAGTTTCATTAATTTCTTTATTTTTGTGAATTTTCGCACTTTGATGAATATTTCTAATACTGTTCAAAATGAAATTTCGTTGCATTTCACTTCCAAACATTATCTGTAAAATTAATTAATTAATTAATCAATACAAAAAAAAACTGTTGCCAAGTTGAAAAATGTTTATTTCACGAACACTTTGCTTCCTCATGGAAATTTTTTTGTGATCAATTTATGGTAACTTATTTAATAAATAATTTATTTAACTTATTTAAAAAAAGGTGAAAAGTTGTAGTTGCTCGGTGATTGCAGAGTTAGATTTTTTAAATCAATAACAACAATTTCAAAATAGTTTATAGTAAAAAGTTCACAAATAGATCAATTGATTCGTTTTTAAATATAATAATTTTAAAGTATTTTTTTTCAAAATTTTTGATTTTTATAATATCAATAATTTTTGATAAAATAACAGTAAAATGTTCGCTAATTAATTAAAAGATGTGTCTTTAAAAAAATTCCATAAAAAAAACTATATCATTAAATTTTTTTAAAATAATGAGCAAAAAAAACAATGTTTTCTTATTTTAAAATGTGAAAAAAAAATTCATCCCTATAGTTTTTTATAGAATTCAAGATTTTTATGAAAATATAAATAGAATATACACATACATCAGGAAACAAATTTTATTTTTGAACTCTTGTCAATTTTTTTAAATACTAATTCAATATTGAGATCAGATATTTGTTTATTATGCAATCAATTTTATACTTTTCTCCTCTTTCATAAATTATATATGAGAAAAATATTTCATTTTGTTTTGCAATCTCTATATAATAATTTTACCAAAATGATAATATTTTTCTAAATAGGTTAGTTTTATTAAAAAGTAGTAATTTTTAAAAATTATTTAATCCTGTATCATAATTAATTATAGTACAATAAAAAATAATAAACTTTCTTTCATTTTTTGCTTAAATTTTTACTCTATATATTTCTATTTTATATTATTTTCTTATTAATGAAAGGTATATTTTTGAAATGTCTAAAATTTTTTTCCTGAAATTTTAGATTGATACAAAAAAAATTATAGAAAATACGTGATATATTAATTTCTGTTAATTTTTTAAATTTTATGTCTAACAAGACTAATTGAATACGTTTGTCCTTGACCGAAGTTGTCATTTAAAATTATTACTTACTCCAATTATTATTTATTCTAAAATGTTTAAAGACTCATAAATTCAAACATTTTGCTCACCAAAAATTTAATTAATTACACTTCCTTTCACTGTAATAATAATTTACTAAAAATTAGAATTAATTCCTTAAAAAAGAGATAAATAATAGTGTTTAAATAGTCACAGATGATAACTCACGACGCATTGATACGTATATGGTATGAACAATTATTTGTAGTAACAAAGAACACCGAAAGGTTCGTGAAATTTTCAGGAAAATTCAAAAATCCTAATGGAAAATTTGCAGTAATTTAAGAAAAATGTCTTTAAAAAAAAAATTAAAGATAATTTTTTAATTTTTTCCCACTAAAAACTTGATTTTTAATAATTATTTTTTTTGCTTTAAATGTAATTTAAATATTTTTTCAAATTATTTCTTTTTTCTACCTTCAATGATATTGTGGCGGGAAATTTGAATTTCTCTAATTAAAATAATTCATTTCTCTTTATTTTATTTAAGACAACATAATAATAATTAATAATTTTATTCTAAATTTGAATCAATTAATTTATTTAGTTAAAGATTATACATTTTCATTGAATAGATATTTAAATACATAATATATTACAAATATTAACTACCATTGACAAATTGATCAATGATGATGATCTTCTTTGTAAAATCGAAGTCCACAATAACCACAGCTGTGATTTCCTGGCTTATCCTGATAAAAAAAAAATTATTATTAAATAAAAAGAAAAAACAATTGTTTTATTCTTATCACAAATTGAAACTTACAAAAATTAAAATTTTAAAATTTAATTAAACAATTAATAAAATAAGATAATTTATATAAAAACATTTGAAAAACAATAATAATATAATTTACATAATTATAAACAAATCAAATAAGATAATAAAAAGGGTAAAGTAAATTGCTATAATTTCTTTTACCAAATTTATGTAAACTTTAGGATGTCCCAATGGACCACCACCTCCGTCACAGGCAACAATACGATCTTCTCGTGCCATTGGGGGAACATCTTCAATTAATTTTATCGCCCATTTATTATTTATTTCTTTTCCCTCCAATCCAGTGAATCTCACCATTCGATAATCATCAGCATCAAATTTCTATAAAAAATTTCATTTAAAAAAATTTCTTTTACACTTACCTTATTCAATTATAGAAATTTTTTTTATTTTAATTAATTGCAATAATATATTAGCTGTCAATTATTGTTAATATTCTCAATATGGTTTTAAATATAAATAAAATTTAATTATAGAAAGAAAAAATAAAAACTAATGTTAGATTTATGAGACTAAATTAATGACAAGGAAACTTAAGCAGTAATTTTGAAAAAATAGAAAACAAAATCATAAGCATTTTTATAATTCTTATAACTAATAACAAAAAAATTTAAAGAATACTAAATATGTATTTTTAGGAAATAAAATACGAGAACTGACGTAATCAAAATAAATTTTGAGGTTATGTTTTATTAAATATAATTTTTATGACATCCTCCTACCTGTCCAGTGTGAGTTACAACATCTTCGGGTTTATTAGAGGAATATTCACGACTTATTACAGACAAAAATGATTTATTGATAACTGATTGCAATTTATTTACATCTTTTACCAAACAAATGGCTCTTTTAGTCGCCATTTTTTATTTACAATATGTCATTACATCTGATTCGCTGCTATTCAAACAATTATACCAACATTATAAAAATCAAGTAAAAAAAAAAAATTTCTTTTATTTTAATAAAATTTGTCATCTTAATTTTATTTCTAATATAATTGACTAGGAAATTAATTTTCCAATTAGTCAATTAATTACATTTTTTATTTAAATTACAATTGAAAATTGATAATTTAAGTTGAAATTTCATTATAATTGGAATTAAGTTGTTGAAACTGGTGTAAAATTGGCGGGAAATTAGAAATTATATTTAAAAAAATTTAATTTAATTTTAATTTTTTTTTTTATTTATCCAATAAACATTTATGTTTCAGTTCTCAAATTTTATGTTAAAATTTTAAGGAAACTTTCAGTTTAAAAAGTTTTCAAGATTTTGAAATTTTATTTTTTCAAAAATTTTTAAATATTCTTTTCGACAAATTGCAAATAATTAAACAATTTATTTGCAATATTTTTTTAATATTATAAATAAAATGTAAATTAAGAAAATAGAATTAACGAATTTAAAAAAAAAAGAAAAAGAATAAATTAAAAAAAAAATCTGTTTCAGTAAATTTTCTTTAAAATATATGTACATATTTAAAAATTATCGTAAATATTTAATTTGTTTGAAAATTTCATTTCAAATAAATTACATAAAAATTAAACAAATAAATTTTAGAAATTAAAAAAATTTTTTTTTTTTAATTTCACGTGAAAACATCGAGACTAATTTTAAGATTTCATTTTTTTCAATAAAAAATGAAAAAAAAAGTCTAAAATTCTATTCAAATTGATCAAAAATTATTTTTCTTTTCTTCAAACTTTTAATAACGAAAATATTAATTTTCTTATTTTTATTTTTATAAAATTAAAAAAAGAAAAAAAAATATTTATTAAAAAAATAGATTTTAATAATCGCTAAAAAACAAGAAGATTAAATTTTTCCAAAAATAAAAACATTTTTCCTATCAAAGAGAAACACAATACGATCTACATCATTTTCATAAAGCGCATATAAGAAATAATTCCCTTTTCATTGAGTATATTTGTCATCCTTTTTACTTTCATCATATTGAGAAAACAAATCTTGTCAGCAAATAAATTCATGGTCACCAAAGTTTTTTCCAGTATCTCGAGTTCGCAGCTTCTTCTTATATATAGACAAATAATCCACTCGGATGACTCTCAAAGAAATATAATAATAAAATTCTATATTATATAAATAGTTGAAGAATTTTTACGGAAAGAAATTAATTCGGTAAAGGCAACAGGTCGTGTCGTCTGCTTTTTTTTCGAGGAAAGCCGAATTTTCGTGTGAGCCTTTATATATATATACATATATGGTCGTTTCATTTCTTTTTATTTTATTTTTTTTATCGACCGGATACCAACATCAGTCTGGAAATTGCTCTTGGATCTCGTGGGTCACTGTCAAGGGCTTGCGCGTAAAACGAGGAACAAACGCGCAGGAGTTCACGCAGCTCTCCGCGATTAAAATATATATAGATAGTAAGTCTGCCGATTACTCCTAGTGCAGGACATGTTGAATTTTTGAGTTTGCAATAATTTCCTCAGTTCAATTTCCCTCATTCATGGAACATCATTCAATAAATATATTGAATCGCCCGTGACTTATTGAAAAAAAAAAAAAATTATTCTCCAACTTCTCTTCGTGGGTCCCAAGTGTCCCTCAAAAAATTCAATACACTTAAAAAAAATGAAATACTCATATTAGCGGATAAAAAAAAGAGGTGGTAAGTATAATCCATGTGGCATGTTTTTTTTTATATTTCCGCAATTAAATACGACAAAATATTTCATTATTTTATTAAAAATTTGGTATTAAACAATGTTTTTTTTTCTATTTTCTTTTATTTATTTAGTGACAGGACAATAATGAAGGTTTAAGAAATGGGGGTGGCGTTATAATTTTCCATAAGAACGCTTGCGCGCATTTGTCTTGATTATAATTCTTTTTTTTCCACTTTCAATCGGTCACGTTTTACTTTTCAAATCCAAGGGTGGATTTTTTTTTATCCCTTTTAATACGCTCAAGGATCTTTTGGAGCTTTTATCATATTGTAGAAAATTTACATATTTCATCCTCTCTCTCTCTCTTTTTTTTTATATCCGCCTTTATAAATATCGAAATTGGAGCAATATTATTATATTGCAATCTGTATGGAATTTATTTGCGGATGTTGGGGAATTTTTATTAAACTTCCGTTTCTCGCCTCTATAGCCAAGGTTGTGATGAAAGTTTGTTGTTTAATTAAATTCCTCAAAATGATTATTTTTCATATATATATATATATTAGGGATTAAAACTTTTGATGAAATGTAAGGAAAATAAAATTAATTGAAAAATTTACATTTTTTGTTTATTAATTTTATCGTTTGTTATAAAGTAAAAAAAATAACTTTTATACAAAGTTTTTTTTTGTTTTTTAAACATAAATTAGTCACTTTTAGAAGAATCATTTTAGGGTAAAAGCACCAGTTACCGAGGGTGCACCAGTTCTCGATGATTTTAATTTTATTTTTTCTATAAATAGTATATTATTGAAAATTTATAGACAAAAATAATTTGTAAATATTCTTTATACTTTCAACTATAGATTCACTTAATAAAATTTTATATAAACGCCACTAAAATAATTATTCAATTAAAATTAAAATGCATTGCTGTCAATTTTACTCGATTCGTCATTTTCTTAATACTTCAGGTTGATGAGAATAGAATTTTAGAAATACAAATTAATTATATTATTAATTATTTTTTCTGTGAAAAAATATTTGTATATTATTGTAGAAAAACTATATATTGAGTTTGCATGTAAAAATATATGTTAAAATAATTATTTTATATTTTTTAAAAACAAATCATCGGTATCTGGTTCCATATTTTAGGTTTTCTCCATTTTTCGAGGTAATGACTCGAGAATTGGTGAATTCAGTTTTTTAGCTAATGCACCAGTTCTCGATGGTTCGAAACAGAAAAACAAATAAATTAGAAAGTAGGTGAAGTTATTGTTTATCAAACGTCAAACAGTGATCAGAGATGCAAAATACTAATAGCTAAGTTATTTTTTATATTACAAATTAGAAAAAACATGTTAATTTTGAAACATTTATTTTTCTATTTGTCAGATTTATAATAAAAAGTGTGTGCTTAACATATTTGATTAAATGAGCTATTTTTAAATTTTTTAAAAAAAACTTGAATAATTTTCTACTTATTACTGTTTACCAAAAAAAGTTTTCAATTTAATATTTTAAACTAAACATTTACAATTTAAAAAATATATTTCTTTCCTGGTAATTTTCTATGATATTTTAATCTTAAAAATAAATACACACTCGACTTTTTAAGTTTTTGTAAAGGTTAATTGTTAGGTTATTTGTTTACAAAATGTCACCCTCGAGAACTGGAACCGAACCTCGAGAAATTGGTTCGCGACCATCGAGAAATGTTGATTTTGCTTAATTGACATTTAATTACAATTTTTATTTATCAATTTAATTTAATTTATAAAAATAAATATAAATATTGAACATTATTAAATTTTTTATCCAAATATACAAAAATCAAATTTTAATATATATTTACCGCTGAGAAAAAAAATATCAAAGACAGGCGTCGTCTTAAATTCGCGAGAACTGGTGCTTTTACCCAGATGAGAAATTTAAAAAAAAATATTTATTTCAAAGACACTTTCAGCTTTTGCGTAATTATTGTTAAATGTCATTTTAATATATATTTAGTAATATTAATATTTTGACCTTTGATAATTGATTATTAAAAATAAATTAAAAATATAAAGTGGAATTTATTTATATACAATTGAAATGTTGTAATTTTTATTTTTTTATTTCAAAATTGAGAAATTAAAAAAAAATGTTTGAAACATAAAAAGAAAAAATATATATTGTATTATAAGAATTAAAAAAATTTCTCTGTAATGATAAATAGAAAAAATTTATATAAAATAATTGCAGTGGAATAGGAAATGGATACTCACGGTGCTGGAATTTTTGCCATTCTGGGAACAATTGGAGCAGCCACAGGAGCAATTTCAGCGGTTCTCGTTTATACAATCTGTGCTCGTCGTCGTCGTCTTCCTTTATTAAATCCAAGTGGTCCTCTTAACTGGTAATTTTAATTTTCGTTCAATGTTGAAAATAAAAAAAATAAATAAATAAACTTTTCCTAAGATTTATTTGGATAATATTTTTTAAAAAATTGACACAAATTAAAATATTAATATTAATTAAATATATAAAAAATAATAAAATATTTTGTATACGTTTATATTCTTTTCTTTCTAAAAAGGTTCGAAAAGGATCTTCTAAATAGAGCAGCGGAGGAGCAAAAATCAAAGGAAACATCTTTCGATATTTGCCCTAATCGAAAGCTTCCAAGACAAAGTAGCAGTCGTAATGAGGAAACATGGCAATTAAATGACATTGAAAATGCCAGGGAATTGCCTAGAGAAGGTAAATAAATTTTCAATATTTCGAAATTCCATTGCAATTAAATTAATTTTGCATAAAAAATCAAAAAGTATATTCCTATTAAAGAACATTTTTAAAAATAAATTTTTTCTTTTCTATAGAATTTATTAAAAAAAAATTTTATCAGAAAAAAAATCAATTTTGAAAATAATTCAAATAACAAAAAAATTAGTTAATATCAAAATAACACAGATAAAATAAATATAATCTAAATATATATATATAAAGTAGAAAAATGAAATAGAAAATAAAAACTAATAAATATAGTATTTGAAAAAAAATTTTTGTTGAAAAATTGATTTCTCAACAAATTTTTATTGAGTGCAACAATAATAATATTGTCAATAAAATTCTAATAAGTAATTATAATTTTTCTTAGTAAAACGACATTTATCATCGGAGTGTAGTTGCGATGACGCAATTGGAACAACAGTGAGTCCAATTGCACCCCCTTTACCAGGAGGAGCCGTTGTCGCATCAGATGAAAGAATGGTGATTGTAAAGACATTACCAAGGTCCTCCGATAGTTCCTCCAATTCAAGGTTGAATAGCGCAGACAGCGATGAAATTTCCTGTCCAAGATCCGCTAACGAAACAAGAGGTGAAATAGAATTGTGCTTGGTTTACGATGCTTCTGCTGGAATCCTCAATGTCAAATTAATTGAGGTAAATTACCATATACCCTATAGAAAACAAAAATTATTCCTAATAAATTCAATTTTCAAATTTATTTTTTTCATTTATAACATTATTTATTCAATAATAATAATAACAATTATAATAATTTTAATTTGTCTTAATAATTTTAATTTTTCTTATTTTCGATTTTAAGTGTACATATTAAAAAACTCGTATATAGGAAAAAATATTTTTTTACTCACATTTTATTTAAACAATTTAAATTATTAAAAACAAATAAATTTTTTTTTATTAAAATTGAACTAAATATTTTGTTATTTGAAAAGAAACGTAAGATATGAAAATATTTATTTATATGTAAAACAGAAAAAATACGAAAAATAAATAGAAAAATTTTATTTCGATAAAAAAGTTAAAGACAAATGTTTTTGCAGTTATTATTTATAAAAAAAAAAAACTGAAATATTATTTATTTATTAATCGTATTTATTTCTTTATAGGTATGCAATTTGTTAAATTTTTCAATTATTTTTTTTTTAAATTTCTATTTTTGAAATAATTCAAAAAAACTAAATCAACTTACAGGCACGTGATCTACGAGCTCGTGATCTAAGCGAAACAGCGGATCCTTATGCAAAAATTCGATTGCTTCCTGATAAAAATAATGTTTGGCAAACAAGAATTCATAGGCGAACTTTAAATCCAGGTATAAAGAAAAATTCATTTTCTTCTACGCGGATAGAAAAAGTGTTTAAAAATATTTTTATTTGATTACTAATTAAATTAATTTAAAAGAAAAATTAAATACTAATTTTTAGTATTTGTTAGACTTTTAAAATTTAACTTCTTTCACAATTTCTATTATTTTTCATCAGCAATTTTTTTTTTTTTTTTTGCTGAAGTACATTTTTTTTTTGGTTCTGAATTATTTAAAAAAAATTTATTTTTTTTTTAAATACAAATTCTTAAATTTCAAAAATATTTTGAAATGCCAATAATTTATAATAATTTAAGATCCTAAATAACGACAGAAAAAAAAAATTGGAGTGAATCAACAACGTAAATTTTGAAAGGAATTTCTAATAATTATTAATTTCCTTAATTTTTTATGTAAATAATTATTGATTTAAGAAGAAAATAAATAATTTTCCCAAAAAAACAATAATGAAAAATTACAATTGTGTTTTTCTTTAAATTATATGAGAATAATTTTTGTCTATACTCAACAGTTTTTGATGAGGATTTCGTCTTTGAAGTTCCACCTCATTGTTCATTGGCCGAGAGAACCCTGGAGGTTTTGTTCTATGATTTTGATGCATTTTCTCGTCATCGTGGAATAGGATATATAAAGCTTCCGCTAACAAATTTAGAATTAAATTTGACCCCAAAAACAGTGACAAAATCTGTTCTTCGTTATGGTGCTGAAGGTTTTCGTGCACCGCCTCTTGGTGAACTTATGGTTTCATTGTCCTATCAACCATCATGTGAAAAACTAACCGTCATTGTTATTAAAGCCAGAAATTTGCCACTTCCTGATGATACCAGCGTGAATTTTGAACCCTACGTTCAGGTAAATATCAAAAAAAATTTCAATTAAATGAACAAATTTTTTCAAATTATTTTCTTAATTTTTTTTTTTTCATAATTTGCACAAAAAAGAAAATTTAATTAAAGCCGCGCGTTGAGGAGGGATCTAACTTATTTATTACCAAATTTTAATTGCATAGAAGAAAAAAAAAAAGAAAAATTCACAAAATAATTGAATTAAAAAAACAAAATTTAATTAAGTTGTACCTTATGTAAATAAATTGTACAGTAGATAATTAATTTTAAAAGAATTGAACTTTTTCAAACAATTAAAATTTTAATTGAATTTAATTTTTTTAATAATTGAATTAAAAAAAATTTGAAATGCTAAATTATTAAATATTTAATGAATTTACTTTTTAGACGTTTGATTTTTACTGTGAATAAATTAATAATGTAAATTAATTAAAAATTTTTTTTTTTTTTTTTTATTATTGAAAATGGAAAAAAGTGAACAATTTTTTTAAGAATGTTTTGTTTTTAATTTGAAGGAAAAAAATAATAAGTATATTTTAAACTTTGTATTCAAGGATTAATAATTCTTTAGTTTATTTTAAAAAAAAAAAAGTTTTTTTAAATTATTTTTTAAAAATAAAATTAGAATAATCCGGCCAAAAATTTTGTAGTATTATTTTTGCATACCATTAAAAATATGTTTTTAATTTGAAAAAATAATATGAATTTGTATTGTAATTTGTTCAAAATATAATTGAGTGAATGTTACAATTTCAATTAATTTAAAACAATATTAATTGAAAAATAATCTTTTAATTAAATTGTAGATATTAAAAATATAGAAATAAAAATTTTATGATTATATTATAAATTTTTCTTGATAATTCAAATAAATTAACAACGCAATACTTAAATTTTAATATTGAAAAATATTTTGAAATTCCTTTTTTTTGGAAAGAGTTGAAAATTTATCAAAATTGAAATTTTCTTTTTTTCAATTTTTTTTTTTATGTAATTAAAAAAAATGAATTAATTCAGGTGACAGTGATTCGGGACGACAAGAGCGTGAAAAAGAAAAAGACTGGTGTTCGTAGAGAAGGCTCGAGTCCTGCATGGAGTGAAATTCTCAATTTTGATATAAGCAGCGAAGCATTGTCCACATCACGATTACAATTTTATGTGTTGCGGGCAGCTGGTCAACTTCTAGGCAAATGTGAAGTTTCTGACAAATGCCATCGGGAATTATTCCGTCGTGTTTTATCGGGAACGGGAGCCTCCGCCCAATGGATATCATTAACGGAACCTGAAAATTCTGGCGATATTGCCGAATAGAAAAAAAAGAGAGAGAGAGAGAGAGAGAGAGAGAGAGAGAGAGAGAGAGAAAGAAAGAAAAACCATCAGGGTCAAAAATCAGTACAACTCTTTTTGCAAAATTATTTTTCTGCAATTCACTATTTAATCGATCGTTTCAACAAATAAGATTAAAAATTTTTTTAAAAACTAAAAATGACAAATATTAATTTAAAAAAAAAAATAATAATTAACAAACAAAAAAGAGAATTTTAATAACAAGAAAAAAAAACCCCCGATCGATTTGATGATCCGATTTCCCCGATCTTGTCCATCGAGCTTATTCTAAATCGGAACCTAAAAAAGCCTCAAGAGTCATGCTCGATATATATATATATTTTTTTATATTTAAAGTTATTTTCCTACTCAGAAACTTTAAACTTGTTTTTCAAATAGATGAATAATTTAAAATATAATAAAAAAAAACTGTTGACTAGTTAAAGAGATCTTTAGTGTATAATAAATAAAAAAAAAATAATTACTTGTACAGAAAAATGATAAATTGAAAATAAAAGAGATCTATAGACTTGCGAGGTTTTTTGGTTTTTCTGATTAGAAATGGTTGCGTGGGCCAGGGCTTGATTTGTCCACTCGTCGTAAGTGAAAATGTACAAGAAAAAGCTGTAAAATAATTTCGCTGAGCTCTCTCTTTTTTCTTTTCATCTGTCTTCCCTCACAAAAAGCTATTTTTCTACTCCCTCTGAAAATTCGTAAATAATTCATTTTTTTTTTTTTTTGCTCAATCATCCAATATTCTTTTATTTCCAATTTTCACATCAATTTTTCCCGACTGTGAAAATGAAAGTTCCATTTTTTTTATGACTTTGATACAAATTTTATTATTGTAATAGAATTTTCAATTATGTTGATGGAATTGTTATGACTGTAATTTTTTTTTTATTACGATAGAATTTTATTTGCCAGTATGAATATGAATATATAAACTATACATTAAAATTTTTTTGAAAATGAATTTTTATCGTAGCTACCATTTTTTTGGTTGAAAATTTTTTAATTAGAATAAAAATTCTACAATACAATTATTATCTAAACTTCGTTATGAATGAATTTTTATCATTATAAAGCAACGCACTCGTCTTTGAAAACTGAAACCTAAGCACGCACAAAATGCAATGATTTGCCGTTCCAAAGATGCAATTTTTGTCAATTATTTTTCACGAAGAAATAAGAGATTCTTTTAAAAGTTGTACATTTTCACTGATCTTACGACAGAGTTAAACGAATGCATTTTATCTACTGATAATATATATTATATTATAAAAATATAAAATTTTATGATGCGCATGCACCATCATTTTTGTAAGGCTTTGATCCTTGCTGCACACATAATAATGAAGAAAACTATTTTTTTGAACTGTTTCATTTGACTATTTAAATGTATCTTTAGCGTATATATATATAGATAAGTACAAAAACAAAAATGGTATGAAAACGTGTCTAATAAAAAATTCTAATAACTTTATCTTAATCTTCTTTTCCCGTATGATCAAAATTTTCTTCATATAGCTTTCTCAAAATTTTTAAAAAATAATTTGAAATCAATGAAAAACAAAATTTGGTTAAATAAAAAATTTATAGAGAGAATTTCGTTAAATAACAATAATTTAAACAAATTTAATGAACATTTTCGTAATTACAAAAAATCAAAAACTAAAATTCCATGAGAATTTCAACTTTTTCAGTTATTGTAGACTGAATTAATAAATTTATTTTTGTAAAAAAAGTTGATGAGAAGTCATAAGTAAAATTGAGGGTCCCGATTAAATAAAAAAAAAATTGAAAATTTTAAACATATACCATGTAAAGAACAGAAATGCGCAACTTTTTTTTTTATCTTCGACATTTTTTTTTGTAGAATTATTATTTTTAATAATAATAATGAAGAAAAATTGAAATATTTTTCTTTCTCAATTTAATTTAAATTTAAAACATAAATCGTCATATTTTAAACAAATCTTTACGAAATTAATTGAAATTTGGTATACATATTTATTTGGGTTCAGAGAAGTCGATGAAATTATTAAAAAGTTAATTGTTTAATTTTTTTTTCTTTTAATAAAAATTGAGACATGTCAATATTTATGTTTTCTCAACTTCAGCGACAAAAAGTATGTTTTTAAATTGAAAGAACTTCAAGTGAGAGATTTGTTTATTATAATATGAGCGACACCACGTCAAGTGATCGCATCGATTTAGGCTATTTTGATAAATTTTTATAATATTGATAATTTGTGTTTCTTTATGGGTCAAAAAAAGAAATCCTAAGTATTTTTAAAAAATTCAAAATATTTTTCAAAATATTGCACATTTAAATTTTTTGTAATTTTTTTGATTTATTATAACTTCCGTAATTTTTAACCAATCAGGATAAATTTTTTTAAAAAATACTTTCATTTAGATGCTTTTTCATGAAAAAAATTTTGAAAAAAAAATTCAAAAATTTTTATTACAAAAAACAATTTTAATTGTTTAAATAATTCGAAAAGTAAATCTTCGATTTTTTTCAAAAAATTCATGAACATTCTCTACAATGTGCTGAAACAAAGATTTTCAATAATCATCTGTTATAATAATTTAGATTGTTAAAAATGCTATTAAAATGTAGCATTAAATTTTCAGTTTGATTAGAAAAGATTTGCAAATTTTTCTTTTTAGTTTCAAGGTCAGTTTTATTAAAATTTCATTGCACAATATAGTACAGTCGAAAAATTATTGGACCCATTGGTGACGATTCATCGACTTTTTAGTCAAAGAGACCTGAAACAAGAAGAAAATTATTGTAAACACGAATATAATTTAAAAATTTGGAATAAATTATTTAAAAAAATTTAATTCTCATTTAATAAATCTGTCTTCAATAGAAAATTTGATTTCAGTAGCTAATACATGCTAAAATAATCATAGAATTATTTCCCAAGAATTTGGGGAAAAAAATGTTAAATATATATATTTAAAAAAAAAAAATCATGTTATTCGTACCAAAGCCCATGTCATCGTCGGATTCTTCTTCTGGTTCTTCCTTCTTCTTCTCCTCCTTGGCAGGAGCTGCATCACCGCCTGCAGGAGCAGCAGCAGCGGCCGCTGTTTTTTTTTTTCAAAAAAATCCACATTTTAAACTCAAATTTTAACACAATAACATTAAAATTAATTAATAATATTAATTATTTTATTAACATTTTTCTTTTATAAAAATTCAATTTCTGTTCTGTAGATTAAAAAAAAAATAGAATTAAAAAAGAAATTGAAAGAGATTTGTTGCTCAAAAAAGCCGAGGACTCAAACTATAGTTATCGATTAAACCCACAAGGCTAAAATGTTCAATTGATATTTCCTCTCTCGCTGTCCGATCTAGTCGTTTAAAAATAAAACCAGTCCGGAGGATGATTGGAGGAAAATAAAATAATTAATTTTTAACGTACCACCACCGGCGGCGGGTGCTGCTCCAACGCCGGAGCCGATCTTTGTGATCAGTTCCTTAACGTTGACTCCTTCCAGGGCTTTGGCGAAGAGTCCTGGCCAATAGGGTTCAATGTCGACACTAGCAGCTTTCAAGATGGTTTGAATTTTCTCACCCTGCAAAATAAAAAAAAACCATGTTCAAAAATTAAAAAACCCAAAATATTCAAAGTTCGTTTCAAAAAATTAAAATTATTACCAAAAATTGAAAAATAATTTTAGAGAAGAGACTCAGTAAAATTGAAAATTACTCTATGCCAATATTTTGAGACGCATGAATAATGGCTCTAAATTTAATTTTTGTTTACCCAAAAATTATTTCTTGCCAAATTTTTATTTCATCAAATTATTATTTAACATAAATTCCATTTAACCAAATTTTTATACTAAAAAATTGTTTGTTAACGGATTTTACAGAAAAAATTCTTTTCTTGACGAATTTTCATTTGTTCGAATATATATTTTTGACAAAATTCTTAAAATGCAGAATTTTTATTTTACAGAATTTTCATTTGTCCAAATAAATATCTAACAGAAAGTTTTTGGATGAAATTTTTAAAATGTTGTGTCCCTTCCTTGAGATAAACTTATTTTATTTCTATCTATGAAAGTGATTTAAGGAAATACATACAGAACTAAACGTAGACATTGTGATTTAGATAAAATCAGTATTATTGAACAATAACAATTATTTTTGAAATTAATTGATATAATGGTAAAGCAGATTCTATTTATCGAAAATTAATCTTCTCTTTTGATAATAATGTAATTTGATTTATGTTATTCTTTACTGTATAAACTTATAATGAACTTTAGCCATTATAGCGCCTACCTAGATTTAGTTAATATTTTATATTTTGTATTGTTACTTACGTAACTATTAGAATTTAGGAGTACTTTTGTACGAAAGGGCATGTCCCGTTATGTTCTAAATAAATAAATAAATAAATAAAAAAATTAACCATTCAAAAGTTATCAACGAAAAAAAAACAGGCGTCGATTTACGTTCAAAAAAAAGTCGAAAAAATCGATTTTTTTTATTTTAATTAAATTTAATTCGTTTATAAGTATTTTAATTTAAATAATTAATGTTAATTTCTAAAAAAAAATTCAATTTTAGAGTTTTATTTTGAAATTTTTTTAAATAATTGAACTTTAAAAAGAAATAATAAAATTATTAAAAATAATTGAATTTTTGAAGAGTTATAGTTGAAATTTTTTATAAACAATTAAATTTCAGACAATAATGAAATTTTACAGAATTGAAAATAATTTTAGCTATAACATTTTTTAAAAGTGTAATTAAATTTTCAAAGATTTACAATATTCATATTTTTGAATTTTAAACTTCAAGTGATTTTTAGTTGAAATTTTTTCTTATTTCTGTTGATAAAGAATTTATTAGAAATAAAAAGACAAAAAATTGAATTATCAAAAGTTTTCAATTGAAAAATACTTTCAAATAATTGAATTTTTTAAGAATAATGCAAAAAAATTCAAAAAGTTTTATATGAAAAATTTTAAAAAATTAATAAAAGATTTTAAATTTAAATTTTTGATAATTTTATTTGATTTTTTTAAAATTGTAAACAATTATTAAATTTCATAAAACTTTTAATTGAAAAATAGTTTAAGATAACTGAATTTGTGAAGAATTTTATTAAAATTATTTAAAATAATTAATTTAGATAAAAATTGTATTTTCTTTAAAAATTTTGTAAAAAAAAATGTTAAAAAAGTCGCATCTTATTAAAATAAGTCGAAAAAAGTCAGAAAAAGTCGTATAATCAGAGGCCTGAAATTTGAATAAACGAAAATTCGGTTAGAAAAGAATTATTTTTGTAAAATAAAAATTCATTTAGGTAAATAATTATTCTGTCTATAATAAAAATTCTAAAAAATTAATTTCATAGCTTACTCATGTCATTTTTAAAATTTAAAGCCATATTTCATTATTAAAAATTAAAAAATTTTTTTTGCAATATTTTAGAATTTTTTTTGTTGAAAAAATTGGATTTTCCAAAATTCATACAACTTTAGAAACAAATTTATAATTCGGTGCTTTCAATTTCCATTTAAAAAAAGTAAGGTTATGTAAATAATCAATGTTTTATTTTCAAAATACTTCGAAATAGGAAAAAAATTAACAATTTTTATAAAATACAAACTTTTATTTCAAGCAATATTGATCACAAATGCGAAAAATAAATGAATTGAAATAAGGAAAATTCAATTTGTATGTTAACAAAACAATACATGATGCTTTTTTTCAAACCAGAACCACGTGGGGATTAGATATATATTATTAAAATTAACAAACTCTCTCTAAGTATCAAAAAATTGATTCTCAATTTAAAAAAAATGACTATATCAACAAATTAATTAACGAAATTTAAAAAGTTATTAAAAGAATGATTTATTATGCGAATGCATTACACAGGTTAGAAAAATTCGATATCAAAATATTTTTGTCAACTTACCGTTACGGCGACATCGTCGTCAGCCAAAATTAAGGCGGAATAAACACATGCAAGTTCTGCTTTTGTCGACATTGTTTTTTTGATTAAATTTTATTGCGAATAAACGTGTAGTCGCCAAAAAAAATTGGCCTTAGCTCCACAAGAGAACCGACACGTTCAAAAGGCAATTTGCAAAAGGAAAGATGGCAACCACCAGACACAGATACCGGAAATCGGAAACGACAGCAGCACCCTCTCATATATATATTAAACATCTTATCGACAGAGTGTTTCTTCAATTTTTAAAAATTGTATCGCTCATTTTTTTATTACTTTTTTTCATTATAAACAACGATAATTTTTACAATACAATTTAATACTTAAATTAACAAATAAATATGTTCCAATTTTATTTTAAAAAAATGATAATTTAATTTGAAATTCCCGCTAAAATTTAATTTTAAAATAAGAATTCGTCTGCTGTATATAAACACACAAATTCTCTGCAAAAATGATAAATTTCTGAAAAAAGTGAATTTATTTCATTTCATATTTAAAGATTAAGTTAATGTAATAAAAAAAACACTGAGTGATTAAGTAGAAAGAGAGAATTCGTTTTTATCGTAAGAGCATGTTTGGAATTTCTTGCAATTTGTCGTTAAATTATCAGTGGCGTGGCGAAAAAAAAACCTTTAATCTCGGGTCTCATATTTGATAAGTTCGTGCGTCAATATATTCGCCTATCCATCGTACAAGAAGGCTGCGACTTATAACTTGTATTTCTTTCAACCTGTTTTTCTTGTTAGCTTAAAGTAGATAGGAATTTAATGGTGATTATTCAATAAATATAATATTCTAGTAGTAGTTTTTTTCGGTGTGAAATCGTTAGGAAACAAATAATATAAAAAATGGCTGTGGCAACTAGAGCATTTTCAAAATTTGCAGGTAAGTTGAAGTATACCGACAATATGTATAGTTGTCTCTATATATATATATATATTATATAGAAATGAATGCCTCATAATCGGTTACAAAGGTCATTAGCTTCCCTTCCTCTTTGAATAAACAAAAAAAAAAAAAAAAAAGAAAATGAATAAAACTTCCTCACGCATCGGATGTATTTTATCACTCTCAATTTGTCAATAATAATCAGGTCATTTGTCGTTGTTCTTTGAAATTAACATTTTATTATATAAGGAAGGGCAGTTATTACGTTATCCCTGTATTTTTTAAAAACAAATTTAAATTCAGTATAGTTATATTATTTAAATCAAATTGATATAATTGAAAATTTGTCATTTCAATTTAAAACTGAATTCTAACCTTAAAAAAAAGAAATTGATTTTTCTTTCAATAATAATGATAGTAAAAAAATGTATCAATATTTAAATTATAATTTTGTTTATTTTATAAAGTAAAGAAATTTGCATCACTTGTTTTGTTTTTACAATTATGTATGTTGTTCATGACCTCGTTCCTTGATGATCAATCGAAGACCTTGATCTCGAATTCTGGGCTGAATTAGAATTGGCTAAAAATAAAATTCTCCCATCTCGGAGGTGTTGTTACTTGTTTTTGTCTGTTAATTTCTTTTTTTATGCATGTTAGAGAGAAATACGATATTTTGAGATTTAAAAAAAAAAAAAAAAAAAAAAAATTAATAACCTTGAATCTCTAATGTTTCATTTCCTATTATTTATATGTGTTAAATTTAGATTCTTACGGCAGAATATTAAATGCAGTTTGCATATATATATATTTTTTTTTTATTTTCAAGAATTAATGATTTTTATTAATTGATTATTACAGTTAGAAGTCGCAGTAGCCTCTTACGCACTCAAGTAAGATTTAATTACACAGATACGAGAAAAAATCTTGTAATAGATTCTAATACAAAAGTCATTTGCCAAGGATTTACTGGTAAACAAGGAACGTTTCACTGCCAACAAGCTATTGATTATGGCACAAAAATTGTCGGCGGTGTTAATCCAAAAAAACCGGGTACTGAACATCTGGGAAAACCGGTATTCAAATCTGTCAGGGAGGTTAGTTTTCGATGTATTTAATTTTATTATAAGAAAAAAATTTCGTATAGAAAATTTAAAAAAAAAAGATACATTTTAACGCGAAAGAAATTAAAATATACAAGAAAGTTACACGTTTTTTAAAATGGATTTAAAATTTTTATTTAACGTTTTTTTTTTATTTCTTTAATTTTAAAAAATTACAGTTTGTTGCACTTGTAAAAAAAAATATGAGAGGCAAATGTACGCCTATAATCTTGTTGACCTTTATGCACTGAGTTTGATAGATCGATGAACAAATATGCATGAACTATTATCGTGTTTTCACACTTTTTCATTTTTACATTGATATATATACATTTTTACGTTCATAATTATTGTACTTTTCAACTTTGCAAGATAATTTTCTTGTCAAAGCTTATGCTTAGCTTTTAATTTTAAAAAAAAATTCAATTCTGAATATTTACCCAATTAGATAATTATCTTCATTGGATGCAATAATAATTTATATAACTTTTAGTCTATTTTCGATTTTATTTTATTTTACAATTTCTTACTACTTTTGTAATGTAAAATGAGAGAATTCGACATTTTTTAATTTAAAATATTAGAATAATTTTCATAAATTAGATTTGAAAATCTTTCAAGAAACATATTTAAAAAATTTAATTTTTATTTATTAATTTATTCAATATTTAAATCTACTAGTTAATAACGAATATTTAATAATAATAATAATAAATTATTTATCATCTAATTAAATTTATTAAGAATTAAAAATATGGATCGAAGTCTATTATTTATTAAAAGAAAAAAAATGACTTTTTGAAATTTAAATTGAACTAATGGGAAAAAATCGAATTTTTTTTTTTTAGTTTATGAAGTCAATTAAAACAATTGGACTTTTAAACTTCCTCTATTGATAGCAAATGTTTCATTTAAATTCTAGTTTTTAAATTATGTTAAAATTTTTTGCATTGCAAACAGACTTTTTTTATATTTATATTAGGAAAAAAAAGTTCCTTTTTAATGTTTAAAATTAATTCTAATTTAAAATTTATTTTAGTATCTTGAAAAAAAAAATTTATTTACAAAGAAAAATTAGAAGAATACATTATGTAATTTTGTTTCTTATATTGTTAGTTAAAAAATTGTATATTTAAGGAAAATATTGTATTTAATATGGCGTTCAATCACATGACTAAATTTTAATGAAACAATTTTTCAATTACGATATAAGAATTTCAATGAATTTTAAGAATTTTATCTTTAATTTTATAAATAACTTTATATTATTTTCTTAATTAGTTTTTTTTAGAAAGTTTATCTTGCCGTAACTAGTTCGTAATAACTTTTTAACTCTACTTTTAAAAATGTTTTATTTTTCGCTTTCAAGATTTTTTGTTTTTTTTTATTTTTTTTTACATTTTTGGATTAATTTTACTTATTTTTAGAATATTGGGAAAAATGAGTGTCCTATTTTTTTATTTTTTTACATGTTTGTAGTATTAAAATTGAAAATAAATGTTTGCAAAAAATAAAATGTATAAATTTATATTATCAACTGTAGTAAATTATAGTGTTTGTAAATTTCATGAAGATTTGGAATGTTATTGAATTTTTAAAATAATATTTTGTTTTATAGGCAAAAGAACAAACGGGTGCTACAGCTACGGTAATATATGTTCCTCCGCCTGGTGCAGCGGCAGCGATAATAGAAGCATTAGAAGCTGAAATGCCTTTGGTTGTTTGCATAACTGAAGGTATTCCACAACACGACATGGTTAAAGTTAAAAGACTACTCCTGCAACAAAGTAAATCCCGTCTTATTGGTCCCAATTGTCCAGGAATAATTGCTCCCGAGCAGGTATAATATATTTTTATATCCCCTCACCTCTCACCATTTTATACAATAATCCAAAAGAGAATTTTAAAAAAATTTAAATTACAAATTAACTTGTTTAAAGTTAAATAATAATAAATGATCAGAGGAAGGTGACGTGAAATTCTTTTTTTTTTATTAATTTTTATCCAATAATTAAATTAATTAATATAAAATTATTTTGTGAACTTTAAATCGATGAATGTAAAAATAATTTTATCACATTTTAATTGTGTAATTAATAATTGTTCTAATTTACAAAATTTAAATTTTGCAGTGTAAAATTGGAATTATGCCAGGACATATTCATCAAAAGGGAAAAATTGGAATTGTCTCTAGGTCAGGAACATTAACTTATGAAGCCGTGAACCAAACAACACTTGTAAGTTTCATTAAAAAGAGAAAAAAAAGGCATTTTTTTTCAAATAAAAATTTATTTTGATCTAATGTAAAGTAATATATTTTTTTTTTTAATCTATAAATGGAAATGTTTTTTGAAAAAAATCTAAAAAATGATAATTTTTTCTTTTTTCAAATTACAGACTGGATTGGGACAAACGCTGTGCGTGGGAATTGGTGGCGATCCATTTAATGGCACAGATTTTATTGATTGTTTAGAAGTTTTCTTAAAAGATTCTGCCTGCGATGGAATCATTATGATCGGTGAAATTGGAGGTAGCGCCGAGGAAAAAGCAGCGGAATATCTTGTTGAAAAGAATTCGGTCAGTAGAGTAATTTCGAATTTATGACAAATTTATAAATTTAATGAAATTACATATTATTATTATTATTATTATTATTATTATTATTATATTATTAAATGAATACTTTCTAGGTGAAAATAAGATGAAGTACAAAATATTTCTTGATCGAAATCCATTTTTTTTTTATTTTAATAAATAATTGGTAATTTTAATTTTTGAAAAAGGGCGCAAAGGCCAAACCAGTTGTATCATTTATCGCTGGAATCACTGCGCCTCCTGGACGTCGAATGGGTCACGCGGGTGCTATTATTTCGGGAGGTAAAGGTGGAGCTCAAGACAAAATTGACGCACTTGAAAAGGTACGTGTTAAAAAAAAAAAAAAAAAACTTCTATAGTAGAAAAAGTAAAAATAAAGATATTTTAATTTATTCATTCGGTGCATTAAATCCGATATTATTTTTTTTTCTTTCTAAGCGACAGTTATAATATTCAGAATTGACACAAGTCAGTGAAATATTAGGAAAAATTTTTTTTTGTCAGGGAATTTATAAAAAAAAAAAAAAAAAAATGCTGGAAAAATGTTGTAAATTTAGATTTGCTATTAGAAGCCTACTTAACACGTTCATGGGTTAGAAATTATTGTCCAGTGATAATTAAACAAAATTGAATTCTCCTTGAATTTACTTTTTTTACCCTTAAAATATTTAAATCATCATCAATCATTGAATTTTAAAACAAAACTTTGAATTATTAATATTTAAAAAAAAAAATATTTATATTTTAAAATGCTAGAATTATTAAAATTATAATTTTTTAATTTTTCAATTCAAACTTTTAGTTCAAAAAATTGTCTTAAATTTTTTTTTTAATATTTCAAATCTCTTGAAATATTTTCATTACGGTCAGGAAAAAAATTTAAATTCTGACTGGAAATCAGGGAAAAAGAAAATGAAATTTTTTGTGACAAAATCTGTTCTGAAATCTTTTTTTTATACAAATTTCTGACAATAATTAAATTCGAGAAAATATTTGATTAAATTTTTTAAAAAACTATTAAAATTATTAAAAATTATTGATTCGACGAAGAATTTTGGATAAAAATTTATAGGCATTTAAATTTTTGAATAGTTTCTAATAAAATTTTTAGATTTAATTGAATTTCAGAAGATTTGAAATTGGAATTTTTTGTAAATTTAAAATGAAGATTTCTTTCACAAATTTTTTAACAATAAATTGAGTTTTAAAGAATTTTTAATTAAAAAATTTTGTAAATAATTGAAATTTCAAAAAATGTGTGTTAAAATTTTTTTAAATTAATTAAATTTTCGAAATTTAGCAATTAAATTTTTTTTTTAGTGATTAAATTTTAAAACATTTTCAATTAAAAATTGAAATTAATTTAAAAGTATGAAAAATTTTTTAGGTACTTTGTGAAAAAATTTAATTTCGATATTTGGAAAGAATTGATATCTTGAAGAGCTGGCAAATCAAAATTTTTTAATAATATAATTTATTTATTTATTATTTATATAATGAAATTTTTGAAAAATTTATAAGGAATATAATTTTTCTACAAATAAATAAATTTTAAGTGTAAATTAAAATTAATGTATTAGAAGCAATAATTTTAATTATTAAATAATTAAATTATTAAAGAAGTTTATTGACTTTTTTTGAAAATGGTAAATTTTGCATAGAGTTTAGTTAACTTTTTTGTTTTAAAATAACATAATAATATGAATTTAATAGAAATAAATAAATATTGAATGAATTATTGTAATTAAAAGTTTTGACTTTTTCTATTTTTAAAAGATTTTAAATTAAAAATTTTGAAAAATAATTCAATTAGCGAAGAATTTATTCAAAATTATGAAATAATTAAGTTTTTTTTAGGTAATAATAATAATTTAAATTATATTTTTTAGAATAATTGATTTTTTAAAAAAAAAATTTAATTAAAACTTGAAAATATGTAATTGATTTTTTTTTAAGAATTTGAATAATTGTTCTTTGTACAATGTTTGTTTAACATAATTTTCATTTGATCGAATTTTCATTTATTACAATTTTTTTTTTTAAATAGAATTTATTTTTGAAAAAAAAAAGTAACAAAATTCGAAAATTTTTCAGGTAAAAACACAAAATATTGTCTGAAAATCAGGGAAATAATGAAAATTTTTGTGGCAACCCTGATATTATAATACAAAATAATATTAGTAGTAGAATAAAAAAATGTTTTACTTTTACCTAATTTTCAAAATTGAAAAAATAATTTATATTAAATATAATATTTAATTAATTTAACAGGCAGGCGTAATTGTAACGAGGAGTCCAGCACAAATGGGAAACACATTATTGAAAGAAATGACCCGACTTGGTCTTGTTGGCAAATGAATGATTTAAAGTCCTACTTCTTAATCTAAGTAGTTCATCTCCATGTCCGTGTATCTTCATGAAATATTAAAAAAAAAAAAAGAAAACAAACAAAAATAAAATAAAGCTTAATTTCATCTGCTAATGTGTAAAGAACGAGTCGTCATAAAGTGAAAAAAAAAAAGATTTGGGACTAATTGAGAGCTAAACGAGAGCTAATAATTGTTACTGTACATGATATAATATATATTATATACATATTCTATATCTATATATGAAAAATGAGATTATCTAATTCTGTGAAGTCAACAATTGCAAGAAATGAAAGTTTTCCTCCACTTTTTTCTAACTCAGTTTAATGACTGTACAGTATTTACTAAGCAGAAAATAATTATTTGCTAACGAATGTTATTCAGTTCGCGAATTGAATTGTGAGGTCCACGCAATTTTCTCTTAATGAAAAAAAAAAAAAAAAAAAAAAAAAAAAAATTGTATAAATTATATAGGTTTAATTGTTTCTTTAGTGGACATTGACGTGAGTACCTCTTACGATCCGTCAGATTTTTAATTAACGAAAAATGCGTATGACGCTTACATTTTATTGTAAATTATGTTGAATATCGAAATATATCTATTAAAGTATTAAAAATTGGATATTTATATTTAAATTGGTTTTTTTTAAATTTTATTAATTTTACAAATGAAACAAGTTGTAAATTCAGATGTTCATTATATGAACATTTTGCTTCCTCTTTACGATTAGCAAAAAAATTTGCTTCCTCGTGGAGAAAGAATTAACATTGAAATAAGCATACAAAAATAATATAATAATATAAACATTGGAGTACCAAAAATTTGAATTAAATTTAAAGAATTAATGAAAGTTAAAAAAAATCAAAAATTCACATTTTAGCCGAAATTTCTAAATATTAATGAAAAATAATATATAATTATTTACAATTATATCGATTCATTTCAATGCAAGGAACACAATTATTTTATATTTAAACTTGAATTTAAATAAATACAAAATTTTTCCAGCTAAAATGGAATTTTTTTTTTTTTAACTTTGATTAATTTATTAAATTTAAATTGAAACTATATTTTATACATACCAATCGATTCGTTTTCATACAAGGAATACAATTATTTCATCTATAATTTTAAATTTAAATAATCACAAAATTTTATAGCCAAAATGTGAATTTTTGATTTTTTAACTTTCATTAATTCTTTAAATTTAAATTAAAACTATACTTTATATATACCGATCGATTTGTCTTGACGTAAGGAATACGATTTTATTATATATAACATTAAATTTTTCTATTTAAAAATTTTTTCGATTAAAAAAAAATTTTTTGGAAAAAGACGATAAAATTTTATTTTTTGGGTATTTTTTAAAATCCTTTAGTCAGTTTTCAGATATTAATATGATAAATAAACACACATACATACATCCGGACAATTGATCAGGATCTCATATAACATGTTTCTAATATAGAGAAAAATTTGTTTCCGTCACTTTGAAAATTTTTATAAACGAAAGGACTACAAAGCTTCCTCCACGAGGAAGCAAAAAAGCAATTCTTTATTTTTTTTTCAATTTATATTTTCTTTTTATTTAACGATTAAATTTAATTCAACTGAATCCCATGAATTTATCAATTTCAGCAGCTATTTCCTTGCTCTTTGTATAAATAAATGGTTTTAATTTTGATAAATTTGTTGTTTGAAGAGTTTTTAATAAAGTATTGCAAGTGCAATAATACAAATAACCATCTTTGTATAATTGTTCAGCTAATTCAATTTGATGATTGTCCATGAGCGATTCATTTGTAACGACAATTAATGGTTTCTTAGCTTCGAGTGCCTCCAAACAACTTCCGGCACCTGCATGACTAATTATTAAATCAGCTGATGAAATATATTTATCAAGAGACGAACTCAAATGAAAAGATTCAATTTTATCAAATCCACATCGAGCAGTACAATCAGGATCCAAACAAGTGTTACCAATTTGTAATACTAAATTATTATATCCCATTTTATTTAATATCTGAAATATTTCTTTTATTTTTAGAACACTAAAATATTGAAAAAATTTTCAAAAAATAATGAGATTTTATAAAAAAAACAAAAAACAAAATAAATCAACAAAAATTAGTCAAAATTAAAAAAAAAAAAATTTAACACATAATACATTTGTTCAAAATTTATTTTTTCATGAAACTAAAAATTATAATAGTTAAAATAAAATTTCGATATTTTTAAAATATTTACCTTCAAGATTTCATTGTTAGTTACAGTTGTTATTAAATTATCAAACTTTGTTGTTCCTACAGTAACAAAAATTGTTTTTCCAGACATTTTGAGGTTATGTTAGTTATTTTTTTTTTTGTTTTAACAACTATTTATTTTCAATATGCACATTCTTTACACAATTATTAAAGAACTAATATTAGTATTAATATTCTTAAAAAAAAGTATTAAAAATAAAATATTTTATTATCAATAAGAGAGTATTTTTCTTTTTTTTTTATACAACTTAACAGTGATACCAATTTACCTTTTGCGTACATCGCTATCTGGTGGTAAAATTGCAAAACTAAGTATTCAAATTATATCAACAAATCATTTAAATAATTTTTGTGTTTTAGTACAGTAATAATTTCTTAATATTACAATAAATAATATTTGTAAACTTAGAATTCAAAGAATTAATTATTATTACAATATTTAATATTTTTACCAACACAGATGGCGATGTATGGCATATTTTTCCGGAAATTAATTTCAATGTTGGTAATATTGACAGGCGCGAGCCATTTCCGCCAGCAGGCACTAGTTTCTGCTTTTTTTTCCTGTGTGCGTGGTTTTTTTTCTCTAAAGAAATTTAATATATATTTTAAACACAAAAAATAAATGTGTTTTGTTATGTTGTTAATAATAATCGATTGTTCCTAAAATAAAGAATCGAAAAAAAAACATATATTGTGAAAGCATATTATAATAGATTTTTTGGTTGTTGGAATTCGCTAAATTGCCTTGTTTTAACAATGGCCGACGCAGAAGGCAAAAGATTAACTGAGCTTCGTGTGATAGATCTTAAAAATGAACTCGAACGACGAGGCCTTGATAAAACTGGAAATAAAGCCGCTCTTCTAGATCGACTTTCAAAGGTAATTTATTAATATTAAAAAAAAAAAAAAAAAATTATTCAATTGTCTATTTTGATTTGTCACATTTTTACAATGTGAATATAGTGACTTGACGCCATTTTAACCTTATTGATCCTAATTTTATAATAGCATCTCGAGTTTTCTCATCGATAGTAATAATTTAATAAGGTCATTTTTTTTTTTGCACTGAATCGACATTTTTTATATTTAAGCAATTTTTTATTTACATAATTTAAAATTGTTGACGAAAAAATATGGTTACAAGACCAATATGATTATCAGTTATACATAATATTCATTTTGTATTCTCTTTTAAGAAAAGAAGGATTTTTATAAAATTAATAATTTTTTTTTGCCACTAAGACTGATGTAAATTAATTTCTAATTATAAATTTTTTTCAACTGTTTTTTAAATTTGTTTTTCCCATCGGCTTTTTGAATTTTATTTCTCGATTTTTGTTTTAAATATCAATTCATAATTTTCTGCTTGGTAACGAGAGTATTGCATAATTGTTTATTCAGATAACTTCAGCTAATTTGCTTATTTATGGAAACTAGAGCTTTGAGCCAAAGAATTTTAATTTAATGTAAAATCCGGCCAATTTTAACTTAAATTGTGAAAGTTTTAAAAATATTTATTATAATTGTTTAATTTTAAAGAGATTATATAATTTTTTTGTTCTCTTGATTTAAACATTATTTTGGAAATGGTATTTTTATTATATTAAATTTACAATTAAATTATAAATAAATATATATATATATATATATATATATATATATATATATATAATTTAATTAAATAATTGTTGATAGTATTATTAGTAAAAAATGAATTTTAATTCTTTTTTCAGGTGATTGCTGATGAAGGTCACAATCCTGATGAATATTTGATTGTTCCAAATGCTGCTGTTAATAAATCTGGAAGGAAAAATAGTGGTAAAAATTTAACAAGTATTTATTTTTGCAGAAAGTATTAATTTTTTTACATTTAGGAATGAAATTTTTTTTTTTTTAATTTTATTAATTTATCTTGATTTTTCTTTTGAGGAACAGGTGTACAGAATCAAGAAGAACAAATGGATACATCGGACATTAAAGTCGAAATTTCTGAAAATTCAGAATGTGTTGAAGAAACAGCACCGGAAATTGCTGATGAAGAAATAAAAACTGATCCAGATGTAATTAATTTTATATTCAATTATATATATATATTTTTTTTTCACAGTAAATTTTATTTATTTATTTTTTTATTTCAAAGAATTATTAAAAATTTAATTCATTTATCTATTTGAGAAAAATTAATTAAAAAATTAGAAGAAAATTTGAATGATTAAAAATAATTTTCAAATGTTATATTTTCTGTTTATTTTAGAAATCAATTAAAGATGAGATTCCAGAAGAAGAGACAAATAAGAAAGATGTAACTCAAAATGAGATAAAAATGGAAATCAAGGAGGAAGATTTACAATTAAAGGAAATGGAGGATAAAAAACCCCAAATAGTGATCAAGGAAGAGAGAAAAATTTCGAATAATAAAGAATTGTCACAGAATACAGAATCAACTACAACCGCTGAAACCAATGGCATTGATAACGAGGACTCGATTAATTTGACTATTGGAGAAGATGAAGAAAATCTCCTAGCCGAGGAGGTAATAATTATTTAAAATTTGTTTTTTTTTTACTTAAATTTTCATTGGCTAACAACAATTTTTTTAATTTATTAAATTTTAAATTCAATAATTCTTATTTTAGTCAGTTAAAAAAATTTTATACTTCCTTTTATTTTTTTTTTTTTTTTTTTTTAATTTTTAGTAATATTTTAGTAAATTCTAATGTTGATAATTTTATTCACTGATGGGAAATTAATAATTTATAAAAAGTACTTTTTTTTTTTGTTTTAACTATTTTTGATTTCTATTAAAATTATATAGTTTTTTTTTTCTAATATATTATGATAAAGCAAGTTTTTATCCTTAAAAAGGAAAAATCACAATTTATTAAAAAAAAAACATAAATTTAGTTTTTAATCATTTTTGAAAATTTGTTTTTGGAGTTGGATTAAAAAAAAAAATTAAGATTTAAAATTTTTGAAAATTATTCTAAATTAAAGATTCTTTGAAATATTTGACTCAACAATATTAGACTATTTATTTAATATTTAAAGATAATTTCAATTGTTTGATTAAATATGCTATTTTTAGAAATTTATTTTTGAGTTTGGGCTTTAAAAATTTTTATTAGTTAAAGTCTTGATAATTGTTCTAACTTAAATGTTTTTTAAATATTTGATTCAACTAAAATTTTATGAATTGCTCTTAGAAAATTTTTTCTAATTCTGATTAAAATTAAAAAATTTGATTTTATCTTTCAAAAAAAAAAATTATCCTATATTTAATTTAAATGAAAATTAAACACTTTTTAAAAAAATGGAACTGCTAATTTAAAATTAGGTAATAAAATTTCAATTTAAGAAATCTTGAAATTTTTTTTTAATATCCGGGAAGAAAACCTTAAAAATGCTTTGAATTTTGTTCATAAATCTAAGCGCCAGAATTTTAGGAATTTAAATATATATTTTTTTTTTAGTAATTTACTTTAGTGTATTAAATAGATGTTTATTTTTCAGACTGAGGCGACAGATAGGCAGAAGGGTAAGTCTCTCTCTTTCATTTAATAATTTTTAATCAATCGTGTTGATAATTTAGTATATAAGCGTAGAATTAAATTTCTCTCTATATAAATAGAGAGAAGGTAAAACAATAGCAACGTTTTTTTTCACAATTCTGTGAAACTGCCTCGAGGTAAATGGTAGGAGTGAATGATAAAAGGAGTCATTTTTCATCGAAAATTCAACCCAATCCGATGAGAGTCGAGACGAGTCAGTACCACAGCTGGAGAATGAGGGGTTGAGGCCATCACACAAAAAGAGGAATCAACATCCGGGAAACTCGTTCCAGTGTCATCCTGATTGATCTTCTCCAAACTAATCGACGTCCTTCAACAGTTTCTTTTCTTTATCAGCATCTCATCATAGGGAAAAAAATTACTTTTTCAGTTCAGGAAAACTTTAACAAAAAAAAAAAAAAAGAAAACATTATATAAGCACTAGTCTTTAAGTTTAGTTATCCTTTTAGATTTTCATATTGCAAATTACATTAATTCTACCTGCCGCCTAGAGCATCGTGGGATCGACTCTTTCTCTCAAACACAACGAATTTTTGCGAAGACACCAAGTTTTTCGAAAAATTCTCCCAACAACGCATATTTATCTTCAGTCTACATCAATTTCAAGATACAGAGAGATAGAGACAGAGAGAACAATTTTCAATCTTTGATTTTCATCATTGATTAAAATTCAACGTGCCACTTTTTAGGATAAAGATGAAAAATGAATTCATCATGATACTATCCTCATAAACACAGCAAACAAAACAAAAAAAAAAAAAAAAACCGTACCGATTTTCCCTTTGTAGTTTCTCTTCTTGTTTCTCAACATGATCGTCGTTTAGTTAAATAAAAAAAAATATATATATATTTCCGAGAAGACTATAAAAAATAAAAATTAGCAATAAAAACGAGTATATAAATTATAGAAAAAAAAAAACTTATTCTGCGCTAAAGAGTGACAGATACAGTTTTTTTTGCGGGAGAGAAAAAAAAGCAAAAAAAAAAAAAAAAATTATTTTTTGGCTCCAAGTGTGTGTGAACAGTGATATGATGACCTCTATTTGCAACCTTGATTGTCCCTGCAGATGGTGGAGTAGGAGAGAGGAAGAGAATCCAAGATAACAAGAAGGGAGACTCTAAAGGGAGCGGTAGACTGGATGGCAGCGCCAACAACAAGGACGGGACAACGGGATCAACTGCTGGGACCAAGAGCAAGGACGCCGGTGAAGGAGGCAAGAGGTTGGTCTCACATTGCTAAACAAAAAAAAAAAAATAAAAAAAAAAAAATCGGTTCTCAGTGGTTTAAAGGTGACGTAAAAGGTCGTAAAAGGTTTTAAAAAAAAAAATAACGACAAATAGTTAATATTTCCAATGGATTCTCTCCGTCATCCGGATTACAATGACGATTTGGACCTCACGGATTCCAAAGATCGCTTTGTTTTATCAAAGTCTCTCACAAAACACAAACACACATGCAAGATTTCACTTTATTCCCTTTTTTTTCTAAAAAAAAAAATTTGGAATAATTTCCATCTTCAGTAACGTTTTTTTTTAGGCATAATTTTTAACTCTGGAAGGTATGTTAAGAACTACTTAATTGGCTAGCAGTGTTTTAAAACATTTTTTTTTTTTTTTTTTTTGTTATCCACTATTAGAAAGTGGTATTTTTAAAATTATTTTTTTACTCTCTTACACATTGGAAAAAATTTTATTTAATTCAAATAATTGGTTAGTTGATTATTATCAAATAAATATTTACTTGAATCAAATAATTATTATTTGAATCTATTAATTGGTATTTGTTTCAAATACAAAAATTATTGTCTCAAGTAAATATTTATTTGATAATAGTCAAGTAACCGATTATTTGAATCAATTAAATTTTTATTTCAGTGTAGACTGTTTGACCCCTGACAATCTTTTTGAAACGAAAAAAAAAAAGAATGGATTTTAATGAAGTTTGAAAAAGTTTGAAATTGCAGGCCATCCAACTAAAATTACGTTGATTTTTTTTTTTTTTTCATTTAAAATTTTTAGAAAATGATTATTTTTTAAAAACGACGTTACGATTTTTTTTTTATTTTAAACTAGTGATAAATAAAGCTAGATTTTCTCTCTATTTTGACGTTTTATTTATTTATTTTTTTTTCTTCATAAAAATCAAAATTTCATCACGAATTATGAAAACAAATTTTAAAATTGATTTTTTTTAAACAAAAGAAAATTTTTGAAAATAAAATGAAAATAATTAAATTTAAAAAAATAAAATTAAAAATATTATCTATATAATTGATTTTTAAAAAGAATAAAATTGAATAATTTACGTTAAAATTCATTTTTTTTTTTTTCCTATAACGCAGTTTTTAGTTTAAAATTTTGTCAATGGGTAAAACATCTTTAATGAGAATAAAATAAATAAATAGACACTGGGACAGAAAATTTTTCAATTTTTAAATGACCCATTAACATTTTTAAATGTAAAAAAATGTGGAAACTATCTTTATCATTATTTTATTACTCTCTTTACAAATAATAAAAAATGAAATTGTTTACTTTCATATTTTTTTCAAAATTAAAAGCGTTAAGCTGTCATTAAAAATTAAGTGTGCGCCAATAATTACTAACAACAGTGTCAAGAGGAAAAAAATATTTAATATGAATATAATTTACATTAATCATATATGTATAGAAACAAAAAAAAAATGTAAAATACAATTTATACAAGTTGAACGTAAAATTATTGACAATAGAAAAAAAATTAATATTTTTTTTAATTATATAAGAATTTTGTAAACTTTTTGTATAAATTTTATGAAAATTTTTTTTTAATATTAATTAAATAATTAATAAATATTTTTAATATTTTGGAATAATTTTCAATATTTTTTTTAGAGATATATATATATGTAATATTTACATTATGGATAAATTAGTATATATATTTTCAATATAAATGTATTTTACATTATAAAATTATTTTTTTAAAATATATTTTACATATATATTTTTAATGAAAAATGCAAATAGAAATAAAATATAAATATAATAATTAGAATGGATTTATTAAATAGAACAACTATATAATTAGAGAATCCATATAAATAGATCAGTCATATAATTAGAATAAATACATAAATAGATTAAAAAATTATCAATAATAAACATATATTGTTTTGAATAAAGAAAAACATAATCGGTAAAAAGTACTTTTTTTTTAAAAAAAAAAAGGATTTTCGTTAAATTCTTATTAAAATCTGAAGAGAGAGAGGACAAATTTGTATCTCCGTTTAGAGTGTAACGTTAATGAAGCATCATCAAAGATTCTGTGTGACAGAGTCGCGATCGATGAAAAAAAATCTTATCAACTGGACTGTGATTATCGAAAAATAAAAAAGAAACAAGAATTCAACTTAAACGAGTGCAACTGTTTTCTGCAAGTGTCGAAGAAAATTGTGTGATATTCAACTTACGCTGATAATTATGTTTTGTTAAGCGACAACAGACTTTTATTTCTAAGGATATTCGTGATAATTGTTTTATCAAAAAAAAAAATAATAATAATAAATAAATAAAAAAAAAGTTTTAAATAATTAATGACAAAAAAAAAGTCGGAGAAAATAAATTGAATGAAAACACGATTTTTAACGTGTTCAACCAAATAAACATATCAAGGTATATTAAATAAACATTAAATACACAAAGAAAATTGCTAGCCAAATTTATGGGCTTAACATAATTACAGAGATAATTATTAAGCCTCACAATTAATTAGCGTTTATAAATTTTATTTTTATCAGACATTTTGTAAAAAAAAAAAAAAGAAAAAAAAGAAAAAAGGATTTTTGAGTTTTTAAGACTGATAAATTGTCTATTTTCAGCGGAGATTCCATCAATAAAGGACAAAAGCGAGATGACAAAGGTAATTTTTTTCTCGTTAAATTATAGGTTTTTATATTTTTTAATCAATGACTAAATTTCAATATTTATTAATTTTTCAAAAAAAAATATATATTTTTATATTGTTTAAGGGGAGGTACAAGTGAAATTCATGAAAAATTGAAATTTAAACATTTTCCACAATTTTTAATGTTTTTCATTGACAATTTTTTTAATACATACTTTTTTCCATCATTCTGAATAATCAATCGTTTTGGTTTTAAAAAAATTTTATTTTTTCAAAAAAAAAAAAAATTTTTTTTTGAAAGTGTAAAAGAGACAAAAATTATTTTTCTTCAATTTTCTATAATGGAATATGATTCTAAAATCGAAAAAAGGTGAAAAAAAAAATTAACAATTCTGCATAATGTAAATTTTTATTAATTGAAATTAATTTGAAAAATTGTTTTCAGTTCTGTAAAGTTTAATTATTTTCTGAAATTTAACAAAATCTTTTGAAAATTTAATTATTTTTAATGATTTTTATTATATTCTTCAAAAATTTAATTATCTTAAATTTAATTATCTTTTAAATTAAAATTAAATTCGATTAAATTCTAAATTAAATTTAATTATCTTAAAAAACTTTTAAAATTCAATTTTTGTCTATATAATTACTAATAAATTTTTCAGCAACAGAAATCATCAAAAAGTTCTATTATTCTCAAAAATCTGAATTATAAATCTTTGAAAATTCAATTACTTTTAAAAAATATTATCTAAATATATATTTGATAAATTATTGTCACTTTTGTGAAATTTAATTGTCTGTAATTTAACAATAGTAATATTTTAAATTTAATATCTAATAACATTAGTTATTTTAAAATAAAATATTTATTTAACTAATTGAATTTAATTAAAATAAAAAAAAAATCGTCTTTTTCGATATTTTTTGAACTTTATTAATTTTTCATTAAAGTTTGTAAAGAATATTAACAATTTTTTTTTTCGGCTGAATTTTTCAGATAAAAAATCATCACAAAATTCATCAAACGCGAGCAGTCGAAATCTATGGGTATCGGGATTGTCGTCAACAACTCGTGCAACTGATTTAAAGCAAATATTTTCAAAATATGGAAAAGTAATTGGCGCAAAAGTTGTGACAAATGCAAGAACACCGGGCGCACGTTGTTATGGTTATGTGACAATGTCAACCAGTGAGGATGCCTCAAAATGTATCAGTCATTTGCATAGAACTGAACTTCATGGACGTTTTATATCAGTTGAAAAGGTACGTAATTCAAAAAAAAAAAAAAAAAAAATCCTCTTCGAAGTGATTGAAAAAAAAAATTAGGCCTTTTTTTTTAAATCACTACGACTTTTTTTTCATTTTTATTAATTAGGCAAAGGGTGATTCTCAACAGAGTCATATGCGAAAGCGAGATTCGAATAGCAGTAAATCGGAGAAACCAAAGGACGAGAAAGAAAAGTTGAAAGAAAATCATCAGGAAACAATTGAGAAGAAGGACAAGGAGGAGAAGAAAAATGAATCAGAGGAGAAAGAAATTGGTAATTTTGTTATTTTTTTATTTAAGTTTTAAACTCAATTATTTAATTAATTCAATGTTTTTATTATTTTTTTAAAAATATTTCTATAAATAATTCTTTAAAATAATAATTCAAATGCTAATTCAAAAAATGAAAATTCAAAAAAAAATTCTGTCAATTGAAATTCATATAAATAAAAATTCTAGCTAATGATTTTTATCAGAGATTCATAAAAAAAAATTCAAATTTTAATTAATTTATTGTTATTAACGAAAGAATATTAAAAGTAAATTAATTTTTAAATAAACTTTACTTTTAATGAATTTTGAATATTTAATAATTATTTTTACATAAATGATAGTTTTACGGAGTATGGAAAAAATATATTAAGTCCTGGAATTTTGTTTGAGACAAAACGTAGCAATCCGTACTACTTTTAATTATTTATTTAATTTTATAAAAAAAAAAGTTGATAAAATCTCGGATGTAAGAGATTTTCAAAGTTTCTAAATAATATTTATTTTCTAGGTGATAAAAAAATGGACGCAAAAGTGGAAGATGGGGAAGAAAAGAAAATAGAAAAAGACGCTGAGAAGAAGGATGAGAAGGAAAAGGAATTGGACGAACGTTCAATAAAATCAACGAGCAAAAAGCCGGAGAGCGAGAAAGGAAGACGTGACGAAAAGCGAGTTCGTTCCTTTGACAGACACAAATCTCGTAGTCGTTCTCGTAGCAGAGAACATCGTCGGCGCGATGATGTACTTACCTTCGCAAAAATTCGAGTTAGTTTTTCATTTTTTTTTTTTTTTCAAAAAAGTAATTACTTTTTTATTTAATTAACAAAATAATTTTTTTTTTTGTTTATAAAGGAGGAACGAGATAGACAAAGATTACGCGAGAGGGAACGACTTCTTCGTGAGGAGGAGCGTCGTCGTCGCGAGGACATGGAACGACAACGTGAAGTTGAACGTCGACAGCGTGATGAGGCGGTGCGTCTTGATAGAGAACGTGAAAAATTGCGACGGGAACGCGAACGTATTGAACAGGAGAAAGCGGAATTATTGCGTTTGGAACGTGAACGTCAAAAACTTGAGAGAGAAAAATTGGAACGCGAGAGATTGGAATTGAAGAGACAACAAATGCGTTTAGAGGAGAGTCGACGTGCACCACCACCGCCGACGATTAAAAGAACGTCAAGCGATCGACGTGATCCACGTGATTTGTACGCGGAACCCGAGAGAAAAAGAATGACCACCGAACTTGGACGTAGACACAGTCCCGAAAGAGGAGTACCCGAGAGACGATCAGATATTATGGATCGTGTTTCTGACAGACGTATGGAAACTTCTCCATCCACTAGATACGATACGAGCAGGTTTGTCATTCATTAAAAAAAAAAAGGAAAAACATTTTTTTGTAAAAAAAAAAGAAACTAATGAGAATTGAAATTTTAAAATAGATCAGCTCAGGATATTGGATTAAAGAAGGATTACAAAAGGAGCAGTGAATTTTCGTCTCGTAGTAGTCGACCAGAAACATTTACTGATGTTTCACGAGGCAGAGAAGTAATTGTTCGTCGTGAACCTTTACCAACTCAAACTCCAACTATTGACCCACGACAGGTTAAAGACAGGTATGTTTTCTTTCTTTTTAAATAACTTTTTTTTTTTTATTGAAATTTTTCAACAAATTTTTTATTGCTAGGTAAAACAATTTTTTTAATTATGACATTTTTTTTATAATTCGAAGAGTATTTTAAACTATTTTGTTTTTTCTCAATAGAAAGTTTTTTTTTCTTCTAAAAATTAGATAATCAAAAATTTACTGAATATAAAACAAATTTTCCGTAAATTTTAAGAATAAAAAAAGTTATTCACGAGAAATAATTTTTCATATTTTTCTGCAAATTATTTACCAAATTTATTTATTTAAAATAATGGAAATAAAAAATAAAATAATAGAAAAACATTGATATTGTCTTTTGCATAAAGTAAGTGAAATGATTTTTTTTTGTTTGTTTGTTTCTTTTACTGAAGATATGAACGACCAAGTGCTGCGCCTTACAGTCGCGATCGGGATGTTCGACGATCAGACCCAGAATCACATCGAAGTTCACGAGACACTCACGGTGGCCGTTATAATGAAAGTTCCAAACCTCCTGGATCAAATACACCACGTGAGTTTTTAATTTTTAACTTATATAATTACTTTTTTTTTTCATTAATATAATTGTATTGTATTATTAATAATAATCACTATAATTTTTTAAATTAAAAAAAGAAAGTGACGCACAAGTCCTAAAATTCATTACACAGGCACACAAAAAAAAAAGTTAGCTGTTTCTTGAACTAGACATATATTTCCTATAGTATTTTGGCCCGCTGAAACCGAATCTGAGCTCAGAATTGCTCCATCACCCTCAGTTTTTTTTAAATCGACCAAAACCACCCCTAAGCGGACAAATTCACACTTCGGAGATAAAAAATAAATCAACTTATTTTTTTAAAAAACCGAATTTTACATCTACGAAACTTTGCTCCACTAACTCAAAAACAAAGCCAGCATTGATCCAGCACCCCCTGAATTTTTTTAATCGAAAAAACTACCTCTAATCTGAAGCATCAAATTCAGGAGATAAAACAATAAAATAACTGATTAAAAAATTTTATAACAAGGTATTTTTACTCCAGCAAGGCAGAAACAAAGCCATAATTGCTCCCTCACCCTCTAAATTTTTTTCAAATCGATAAAACCACCCTTAAATAGAAAAATTCAAATTTAAAAAGTAAAATATTAAATTACCGGCTTTTTTTAAAAACAGAACCTTACATGTATGTAGTTTTGCTTTACTAACTCAAAAAAAGCCAGCATTGATCCATCACCCTCTGAATTTTTTTAATCAAAAAAACTACCCTTAATCTGAAGAATCAATCTTAGGAGGTAAAACAATAAAATAACTGATTAAAAAAAGTTTATAACAAGGTATTTTTACTCCAGCAATGCGGAAACAAAGCCAGAAATGCTCCCTCACCCTCTAAAATTTTTTTAAATCGAAAAAACCATCAAAGAATCAAACTTAGGAGGTAATACAATATAATTATATTGTATTACCTTCTAAGTTTGATTCTTCAGATTAAGGGTAGTTTTTTTGATTAAAAAAATTCAGAGGATGATGGAACAATGCTGGCTTTATTTTTTTGAGTTAGTGGAGCAAAGTTTCGTAGATGTAAAATTCGGTTTTTTAAAAAAATAAGTTGATTTATTTTTTATCTCCGAAGTGTGAATTTGTCCGCTTAGGGGTGGTTTTGGTCGATTTAAAAAAAACTGAGGGTGATGGAGCAATTCTGGGCTCAGATTCGGTTTCAGCGGGCCAAAATACTATAGGAAATATATGTCTAGTTCAAGAAACAGACAATTTTTTTTTTTGTGTGCCTGTGTTAGGTAAAATTTCTAATTGATGGAGATTAATAATAATATATTTAAATATATTCGGTAGAATTTCTATTTAAATAAATTATTATGTTACAAATTTTTTAGTTAACCAAATTTTCATTGAGTATAATTTTTATTTAACAGAATTCCTTATTTTACACAATTTTTTTTAACAAAATTCTAATGCTTTTTAAAAGAGTGTGAATTTATTTTCTTTACTGAGTGTTCAAAAAATATTATTTTATGAAAAATTAAAAAAAAAAACTATATTATAAATCAGTTAATAATTTTTTAAATAGAACTCGAAGATCTTAAAAAATTTAAATTTGAACTTCTTTTATAATTTTAATTATTTTTCACTGATAATTTTTTTTTTTAATACTTTTTTCATGATTCTGAATAATCAATCTTATGGATATTAAATAATTGTAAAATTGTCAAAAATTATTTTTTTTTTCATTTTTTTGATCATAGAATATGGTTTTTAGGTTCCAAAAATATATTGAGAAAAAAATTGACACCTTTAAATAAGTTATATTTTTATTGGTTTGAATTTTACTGTTAATAATTTAAAAATTCAACTTCTTCCACAATTTTTATTATTTTTCAATCAATAATTTTTTTATATACTCTTTTTATGCTTATGAACAAATAATCGTATGGGTTTTTAAAATTTTCAATTTAAAAAAAAATGCAATTTCTAAAATTGACAAAAAATTTTTTTTTTTCAAATTTCAATAATTTAGATTCATTTTAGACTCGAAATAATGCTAGAAAAAAAATTAGCGTAAATACACAACGTAGAATTTGAAAGGTTAAAATTTCAATTGTCCCTCCCCTTAAATGTCAGAATTTGTGGTTCTAATTTGTCTGAACAAACGTTGGACAAATGAAAATTTGACACAACTTTTAAAATGAAATAAGAAATTACCAAGAAAAAAAATGTGATTGATTAATTGAAAAATTTGCTCCGAAAATTAAAATAACGAATTCGAATAAATAAAAATTCGACGTAATTAATAATTTTATCGAAATTTTGATCAAATAAAAAATTCAGTGAAATAAATAAATTTTTTCATTTCAAAATTTGATTCAATTGAAATTATGTTAAATAAAAATTGAATTAAATTAGAAGTTTTTAAAATAGAAATAATAGTGTTACAGAAATTGTGTTAAAAAACTAATTCTATTGATAATGAAAATTAAGTAAACTAGAAAATGTGTAATTAAAAATATTCTATAAAATGAAAATTCAGTTAATTTTCTAGAATTAAAATAAAATTAAAATAACTATCTTTTTTTTAAATTTCTAAAATTTATTATATTTTTACAAACTGTCTTTAAAATCTCAATATTTGTCCCACAAATTTTTATTTTATTATTGAAAATTTTTTAAAATCGAAATTTTTCTTTTAACTTATTCCTTTTTTTAAGATTTTCTTTTAATTTTCTAAAATTTTCCTTTTTTCAAAACAATTTTTTCCAATTTATTATTATTTTTTTTTTTTTTTGAATTTCTTAAAATTTATTATTTATTTTTATAAACTGAGCCAAAATGTTTAGTATGAGAGGATTTTTTTCTTAAAGTTGTTTAAATTAATTATTAATTAAAAATTGTAATAAAAATTAAATTATTATTTAAATTTTAAAGTAAATTTTCAATTTGAAAGTGAGCATTTTTTCAAATTCATTTATTTAGGTGACAGTCGATACGTAGATAACAGTCGTCCCGGCGGATGGCACTCTGGACCACCTTCTGCGAAATCTTTTAATTCCGTCCCAAGTGGCGGTACACGTGATCCACGCAATGAAACTTCCAGTTGGAGCAGTCGATCTTCCGATAATGTTAACAGGTAAAAATTTATATATTTTTTTCAGTTTTATTCAAAAATAAGGGAACAAAATTGGGATTTTTCAAATTTTTAAACCAAGTTGAATTTTGGTTAATAATTAACTTAAAAAATACTTCTTTTTTTTTTTATTACGAAACAGTAAATATTTTTTTTAATATGGAGAAAAATTTTTTTAATGTCTTAAATTAATTTTACAGGACTTTGAAAAAAGTATTTAATTCCTTTTTTTTTTAAGATTCTTCACTTATTTATTAACTTTTGTTTGCGTTTTTTTTTTTTTTTTTTTTTTTTGTTAAATTACATTTTTTTATAAGTTATTTATTAAGATAGGAATTTCACTCTCTTCTTTCGTTTCTATAATTGTACTATCAAATTTTGAAGAATAATTATTTATTTATTTAAATAAATATTTAATTTCCAGAAAGTTAATGAATAAAAAAGTGGTGGGAAATTATTAATTTTTCTTCACCATTGAGTTTAGAAAAATTAAATTAATCAAATAACTGACGAATAATAAATAATACTATATAAAGTAAGTAAATAATAATATAATGAAGAAAGAAAATTTTTTCATCATTAATAAATTTAATTTATTTAGATTTACTTTTTTGTTCATTAATTTGTTTTTTTTTTTTTTTTTTTGTTAAATTTTTTTTGAAATAATCTTATGTCAGATTAATTATAAAATAAAACATTTTTTTTTTTTCATTTAAATATAAAAATTTCAATGAAATAAATGAATAAAAAGTGTGTGAAATTTTATTTTCACAACGGAAGAGGATTAAGTTGAATATTAATTTTTTTATAAACAGATGGGGCAATTCAAATAGTATGGGAAGTGCGCTGAGGCATCCTGGTCCACCAATGTATCAAGGAGGGCCAATGCAATCAATGGGAATGTCCGCACCAGGAGCCCCAACATCCTATGACCGATTTGATCCTTACAAAGGATCAATGCCTATGCGAAAATATTAAAAAAAAAAAAAAAAAATTGAAAGAAATGAAAAAAAAATATCGAGAGTGAAATTATATTTGAGCCTGAAGTCAGAATTTTCCAATTAAGAAAATTCGCTACAAATGCCAGTCACTAATTTCATATACATATTATATATATATAAACAAATATATGTAATTTTACATATATATATATACATATATATGTACATTATAACATATGTCAGGCATATACATATGTTATTGGAAAAAGTTTTAAGTCACTCCATTAAAAAGAAAAGTGAATCTAGTAATTTTAAGAACTACAACATTAATTGATTTGCGATAAGTTTGATGTTAAAGATTTTAGAAAAAGAAAAACATCATAAACACACACAGACACATTATACCAAATTATTTTCAGTTATTGCAGTTTTTTTTATAAAATTGCCACTGAAATATAATCGTAATAGTATTGCGAGAGAAAGAGAGAAAGAAAGAGAGAGAGAGAGAGAGAGAAAGAGAGAAAGATAAAAAGTGTGAAAGAAAAAGAATTACAAGATATTTAATTGAGTAGCGACTGTAATTTACATAAATTAAAAAATTTCTATAAAAAAAAAATTCGTAGATATACTTTGTTCCTAATTAAAAAGAAATTGTTTTATTGGATAAAATGAAAAAATAATGAATACGATCTTAGAAGTATAATTCACGATTGATGATACTTTTAACTCTTTTTTTTTTTATACTGCTTTCCGAATTTTGTGGGGAAACTTTATAAATTTACATTATATATGTATTCAATCTTGAATTGTTTAATACAAAATTTTTAAATCCTGACAATTCTATAGATTTTGTACCATAAATACAAATCCTCGTAAAATTATTGCAGTTTAGATTTTTGTTATTTTTTTCTTCAACTTTTTTTTTCTTTTCTTTTCTTTTTTTTTTATTAATGGCATTACTTTTTTTCTGAGAAAATGCGTAGTTCTTATATATAATTTATTTTGTGAGTTTTTTTTTTCAATTTTTAATTGCACATATATACGACTTGCATTTTTCGTTTTGTGATCAGGGGAAAAAAAAATTTATAGAAAATATTGTATTATAGTTTAAGGCCCTCCAAGCTTAATATTATTTTGCATTATTCTTATTATTATTAATAGGTTATATACACAACGTGATGTAAAGAATATATTAAATAAATGTAGAATAACTGCAAAATTTGTTTTTCAATTTTCAGTCTATTTTTGTGTTCTCCAATTTAATTTTATCAATTTTTTTTTCTTTTTTTTTAGATTTGAAACTAAATCTAGATTCTGAATTTCCATTTTTTTTTTCTATAATTTTGTGTTTAAATTTTTCGTCACTATACAATTTTTTGTTCACGATTTTGATTTTTACACATTTTTCTGTCGGTTTTTTTTCAATAAATAAATGAAAAAAAAAGAAGGGAAAACGAATAATTCAGACTTCAAAAATGTTTTAATAAAAATGTGAACAATATTTAAAATTTTGTAGAATTAAAAGTTTCAATTATTTTTTTAAAATAAAAATTACAATTTCTTGTCAATAGGAAACAATTAAGGCAAAATTCTTCATCTGCGAACTGTTGGATTAAATCTTAATAAAAAAATTAATATAAAATAATATTGAATTAAACAATCGTTTTTTTTTATATTAGATATATTTTATCTAAAATATTAGTTTATTTTAAAAAATTATAAAAAGTACATTTTTTTTTTTGTTATTTCCATTGAAAAGCTGAGATTTTTTCCAAGTAAATATAAAAATCAAACAAAAATGAGTTTGTGAGAAAATATTAAAAAAACAGGGCAAAAAAATTGTTTTTTTTTTACATTTTTTCGCTAACCGATTCTTATGATTTTTTATATAGAGGTAAGCGGTACAGTTGTTGCCCCCCTCACAGTGATTGCCACCATTACATTACAAACAGAAATAATAACGAAATTTACATATAATATTTTGTTTTATTTATTTATATAAATTCTACAGAATATTCTGCTAATAGTGTAAAAAGATTTTTATTCTTCGACTCACTATTATGAAAATAATAGCACTTTTCGAGAACAGTGTCCTTAGCTCTTTGAAATTTTGTCAATTTAGTTGTAAATTTGCAAGGTTAGTGGTGATACTTTCTTTGACTTTTTAACGAAAAAAATTATACATATCATTATTATTTTTTAATTATATGCATGAAAATAAGTTTAATAATAAGTAAAAATATTTGTTTTAACGTAATTTGACTCGATTTACCGAAAATTATAGAGAACAACTACTATCTTGCAATTAATAACAAATAACAGTCATTGCCCTCCCCGGGCAATGTTTACTTTTTGGTTATTATGACATTTTTCAGTGATTAACCGTTTATTTTCAAGACTTTTTTGAGAAAAGTATTTTTAATTTTTGGACGTTTTTTCATATTTGGTGAATTAATTTTTTAAAATAAAGATGTAATTAGAGCCGCAGCATGTATTAGAATAATTTGTAATATTTTATTAACATTTTTCTAATATGAAGTATGATTTTAGGCTATCGAAAAAATGCCGAAGGTAAAAAAAGGTGTTTCGTATATGCTTCTTTAAGCAATGAAAAACTTCAAAATCATGTAATCATTATATCAAATCAAAATAGCCAAAAATAATTTTTATTTTTACAATTGAGTTAGATTCGACAATTTTCCCAATTTTTTAGGTTAATAGTATTATTTACACTTAAAAGTCATATTTAATGAATCTTATTATTGTTAATAAAAGAAAATTATTTTAAAAATTACTTCTTCTTTATTAATTTCAAATTATATTCATTCTTTAATAAATTATGCAAAATTTATAATTTACATTACTATTTTATGTCTAGTGGGCAATCATTGTAAAATTGATGGTCAATCACTGTGAAAATAATGACAATCACTATTTTTTCTGTCATGTGAAGATTTTTTTATTTTTTTTAAATTTATACTAATATTAAATAAACAATTCATTATTATTTTCAGATTAATGGAATATTTTAATTCCTTTACAAATGGTTTCATTTCTCATTTCGATAATTAAACATTTGTAATTTGTATAAATATATCCCCTTTTTGCTTATACTGGCAATCACTGTACCGTTTACCCCTATTGAAAAAAATCTCTGCTCTTTAAAAAAAATTAAAAAAAAAATTCAATTGTGAAAAAAGAGTTAATAATGAAAAATTATGGTTAATTTTGAAAAAATGAAGTTGAAAATTTTTTGGTTGGTAAAATCTTTTTTTTTATAGGGCATTGATAACTACATGAAAAATCCCGTCAAAAACCCCTAATTAAATACAATTTTTAATGATTCACTGTGTTAAAATATAGGATTTCTCATACTTTTACTGAAACCCTTTTAATTATTATTAATGTTATTATTATTATTATTATTATTATTACATTGTTTTAAATGTTTTTTTTTTCTTTTTTTACCGACTTTCTATTTTACCTTCTGTTTTACATTTTTTATTACAATTCATCTGTTTCTTCTTCTTCTTAATCTGTTGATAATGATATTTATTTTGATTCCGATTGTTATTTTACATTTTTTTTTTTGCCATAGAAATTCTTTTATTTTCATTTTAATAATTATCATTTTTTTCTTATTTTTTTTTTTCATTAGATTTGGTTTTTAGTTTCAATAGATTTAGATTTTTTTGCTCTGATTTTAATTTTCAGTCTCATACTTTTTTTCTCTTAATTTGAATTTTCAGCTTCACCTTTGTTTTTTTTTTTTTATTTCTTTATTGTGGTTTCGTTTATCCGTCTCGATTTCGAGGCGAATGAAGGCGTGAAATTATTTTCTATTTTTTTTTTTTTTTTTTGATGAAAAAAGGCGGCAAGCAGAAAAAGAGTGGAATGCGTGTCTGATGACGAATTGTCGAAAAACAGATGATGATGATGATGATAATAATGTTGATGATAATGATGATGATGAAGAAGAAGAAATGGTAGGGAACACTTTCCCCTAGGAGGATGGCGCCTCTTTGGAGGAAAGAAAGAGAGAGAGTGTGTAACAGTGAGAATAAGTGTGTCGAGGTCTTTTCACGGACAGTTCTTTGGTAGTCGGAACTGTTCGTCGCGACTTGATGCGCGACACTTCCGTCTTCTCTTGGTGAATCTTTTTTTTTTTTTTTTTTTTTTTTTGCCCACTATATATATATATACGAAAATGTATCATTTTTAGAAATTTAATTTTGGATTCGCATTTTTTGGTCGTCGTCGTCGTTTCGTTTTATTTTTTAAATTAAGAAAAAAAGAAAATAAGTGCCGTGATTTGTATCAGTTAATGTGTCTTTTTAATGGAATGCCAGAAAAGAGGATCTGATGTTTATTTTCCTCAGAATGTCAATGTCCGCTCTGGGTAAGCGCAAGTAATTTCTCGATATGTTGTACTCGATATTTTTTTTTTTTTTTTGTTTTTTATTGACATGGACTTTTTTTTTTTTTTGCAAATTAAGAGAAACTTTTCAATGTCGTCGCGCGCGGTCATTTCAATTATTTTAACTTGCCTACTTTTTGCTACTTTCTTCCCGAATAATCATCATTCATTATCGTTTTATTTAATGAAGACTGAATGTTTAGAGTGTAATCATTTTCTTTTAAATATTGTTAAATTTTTTTTTAAAAACTTCAATTCTATAGTTATTAATGAATTCGATTTTTGCAATTTAATATAATTTAATTAATTGTGCCTTTGAATAATTTTATTATATTTTTTTTTCTTAAATTATATTTAGTATAATGAAATATGTCGATAAAATAATTTATAAAAATAACATATATTAGTAAATAATTGTAAATTTATTTACACGTTGGTGAAGTTACTAAAATTTATGATCAACAATAATGAAAATAAAAGGAAGAAAATAATTAATTTTTTGCCTAAAAATTTTTTTAGATAAAAAAGTATATTTTGTACAGAAAGATATTTTTTCTTCTAAATCGTTGATCATAAACTTTGTGAACTTCACCGACGTCTTATTTTTTTCGATTTAATTTCTATTATTTAAATTTTTTTTCGATTTAATTTACTTTTTAATTCAATTTATTTTGATAATTTTCCACAAGTTTTCTTTTCTTAAATTTTTTTTTGTTTCGAGTTTTTTGGAAAAATTCGTTTCATTTTTTTTCCATCAGGAACTTGGGAAGAAAAATAAAAAAATATCGCGTATAATATAATATAAAATATTATTATAAATTTTTTCTTTAAATTAATTTTCATTATATATTTAATTTAATTATATTAAATTTAACTACATTTGATCAATTATTTTTCAATTAACATTCAATCAATTAATTGTATTTACCATTAAATTGTTTTCATTAATTTATGTGAAAATTCATCAATTTTATTTTACCAAGATAATTTCACTGAATCAAAAAGTTTACTTTTATATTTATTTTTAAAATTAATTTTTTTTTTAAAAATTGCTTGTACTCTGATTGTTTTATCCAATTGTCGATCCAATTACGAGGTTCATTAATTCTTTTGTTCGGTGACAAATTTATTATATATATATATATATATATATATATATATATATATATATATATATATTTCTCTTTTTCACACGATTGATTACTTTCTATTATTACTGTTACATTTTTTTTTTAAATCAGTTTTTGCGTTCATGATGGTTTCATTATTTTCTTGCTATCCTTTTTGAATTGTCACGAGTTTTATCAGTGAATATTATTGATTATTTTTTACTTTTAGGTTGAGTCTACAATAAACAATTTTTTCTTATAATCCTTTCTTTACGTTTCATTAGGTACATTCGTGGACAGATATGCCTACACTTTTTTTGTCCTTTTCTAACGCACGTGTTGCCATGACAACATGTGAGTTAGAAAAAGACAAAAAAGTGCAAAAAAAATTAAATTTTGCATTGATAGAAAAATTAGTTTATTGTGGACTTAACCTTATACTGCTCGTGTATAGGTTATTTTTTTCTTTCCATACAAGTTTCGCTTTCGACTTGTGTTGTGAGGGAATCTTCTTCTGCACATTGAATATACATTAAGAAGTACAAGAAAAGTCTCATACGCGCGTGTATATATTTTTATATTTAATGTTTGTTACCGAATCAAAACAAGAATTAATGACAGTTTGGTGAAACTGTTTGGCCTCAAAAAACAGAAAATTGTCGTCGAGACTCGGGAAACTGGAATCTCTCTTTTTTTCTGTATTAAAACCATATCTAGATACATATTTAACGCGTGTATGCTCTTCGTTATATACAACGTATCTAGGTTACCATGGCAGAGTACATTCACATCGTTTGTATATGACAAAGAAGAAATAACTCATTCTTTCAAAACAAAAACAAAAAAAATTAATTTAATTTTCCAATTTTCCTGCAATTGTCTTTATACTAATAATTATAGAAAAGTGTTCAATTTTAAGAATTACCAAGACATTTTTTTTTTAAATTACTAAAAAAAGATCATTCATGTGAAACTTAATTATTCAATGAAAATTAATAATAATATATTTTCACGATGGAAATTAGAAAAAATTGTTTGAAAACTTTTATAATGCTTAAATTTTGAAGATATTCTATCGAGAAAAAAATTGATGACAAAAAACAAAATAAAAAAAAAATGACAATTTGAAAATCGTTTTGGAATTTAATTGATTGAAATCTTGATTTTTAATTCATGAAATCTAATCGAAAGTTATATTCAAATTAAATTCTCGAAGAGATATATATATATATATATAGATGAGAAAGTGAAAATTCCTATGACTCATTATACATATATGTAAAGATTATTAAATTGCAATTTCAAAAGAGATTATTTCAATGATGATTATAGAGAATTTAAAATTGAAATTGAGCATTATCTAATATAATGAATATATAGGTTTCTAAGATGCGCGACTCTCGTGGAAGGAAAAGAAAAACTTGTATCTATTGAAAACGAAGCTGATAATCTTTAAATGAAAGTGAAAGAACTTTTAGTTTTATTGAATTGTTTGTAGTAACAGGTGTTAACTTTACATGCTATTTAAAGGAAAAAAAATTATAATTTACAAAAGTTTAGCACACTTTCACCAACTTTGATGCAGTGCCTTTTTTTTTTTTACTTTTTCTCGGAATAAAAGTACACACATATTGACAACTAATTTGATCTCCGCGAGACCGGTTATTTTTATTCTTTGATGATGAATATTCCTCTTTTTGTAAAACGTCATTCAGATCCGGTTTATTTGAGATCGGGACAATTTCTTGTGAAAGGTTTTTAGCATTTGAATATTATAATCTTTGGGAATTAATATATTTTCTATTTATATATATATATTTCGATGCCAAAAAATAATTTATCAATTTCTTTTCAAATTTAAGAAATAAAAATGTTTTTCTCAAAAATTTTGATATTTATTAAAAAACGGGGCAATTTTTTTTTAAATGCTATATTAATAAATACAGGTTATATGTTTAGCTGAAATATTTAGCCAAAAATTATAATTCATAAAAGACGATCTTATTTCTCTATTTAAAATTGATGAAAAAAAGACATGGGAATTTCCCATTTACAACAAGGCACTTGAACAATATAATTGCTCGTACGATTGTCTCCAAAAGAGATAAGTGATCGTTTCTAAGTATAAACACACCATATTATTCCTATCAACAGCGAATCAGTGAGTGGAAGAAAGGCACACTTTCTCGTCGAGTAACTTTCACCGTCGATGAATCTACATTCTACGTATAGGCTTCATAATAATTCAAACCAAAAAATCCTGTTTGACTGTCAGAACACGTAATTTCGACCCTAACCCCCCCCCCCCACATATATATATCTAAAACCAATATTCATGACGAAAATAAAATATTTCTTTGTCCAAAAGTAATTTTTGCGATATAATTTGTACTAAAAAAAATGTTCAGGCTTTAGAAAAAAAAAATTGTATTTTATTTATTTTTAGCTGACAATATTTTAATTTTTATCAAATTTTATTTTAATTATTCTGCCGTGTGCAAAACTAAAAAACCGTAACTTCATTTTTCAAATAGGTTATGTTGATCATAACATTTTTCCTTTATAGAAATTAAAATTATGAAAAATTTGATTCTTTCAGTTTTGCACGACAGTATTGACAAAAAATATTTTTATTTTCAATTTACATAAACAATAGCTTTTTTAAAGATTCTCCATAATTTAGCCATTTTAGATTTCCAAAAGGATATAAGTATAGAGTAAACCATTCGTGAAATATGATAATACGTGTGTAATTTGTTTAATAGACAGGAAACTTTCCAAATTTTTGTGTCAAAAAATTTTGCTAAAAATTTTGTTTTTATTTCTTTTTTTGCAATTATTCTAAAAACAATAAATAATTTTAATATATTTTTTGTAATAATAGGAATAAATTAATAAAAAATCATTCATTTTGAAATTTTTCCAAATTAACGCAAAATGTAATATAAGAAAAGAAATGTAAATCTAAATTTTATTTTTGCATTTTTTTTTTTTTTTAATGTAAGAAAGACAAAAAAAGAAATGAAAAATATTTATTTTGAATTTTCATATTTTAATATGGTATTGCATGTATAATTAACACACGGATTATGGTGATGCATAATAATTTATTTAACACAGTGTCTTGTGCAATGAACCAAAGCTGAGTTCCTCGAAGGAAGGAAAGTGGAGTTTTTTTAGTATATGATCAGAATAACAAATAATCTTATGTAACCAAAATGGATTCGGTAATCGTTCCTTCGGATAAATTTCAGAGATATATGTATGGGATTCCCAAGATTTGTCACAGATAAATTTCATTTTATTTTTTCATTCATTTTATGATTCAACATTGTATAGAAGGGTTGAAACAGTAATTTAATATAAATTTACGTAATAAAAATTATAACTTTTTATTTTCTATTCTTTCAAAATTATTTTTTTATTCTTTTTTTTTTTTTTTTTTTAATTTTAATTCTTAGTATTTTTTTATTTATTACTGTTTTAATTATAATTAGCTCGCTTTTTAGGAATCTAAGGTCAATTTTGAAAATACACTAATTTTTTTTTATTATTTTTGATTGAAAGATTTCCAAAAAGTCCAATAATTATTATAATAAAATCAAAAAATTTTGATTCAAGAGTAAGTAAATTTTTTATAATATTTTTAATTTTAAAAAATAATTATTTTATAACGATTTTAGAAGAAAATTTTTTAATTATTTCCCTATTCCTTGTATATATATATATATAAAAAAAAACCTTGTTTATTTTTGTTTACTATTCTAATTTTTAAATTTTCAGGACTCTGTATAATATGGAATTTATTAAATGGTGCCATATCATACAGTGACGAAGTTGCAATTTATTCCAATTATCGTAAGTAATTATAATTAAATCCGTATATTTATGGTTATGAAATAAATTGTAAATAAAAGATTCGATTTAAAAAAATTTTAATATAGATAACTTTATAAGTGAACAATATTTAAACTATACCTTAACATATACTTTAATATTCAGCTTTAATGTAAAAAAAAAAAATTTTTTTTCAACAATTTCTTCATATTTATAAAATTTGTCATTTAAAAAACAAAATTTTTGAGGTTAGTTTTCTAGGAAGTAAAATACATAAAAATAGTTATACCAACTTTTTTTTAAAAAAAAAAAGCGTACGGACATGGACCACGTCAAGGTCAAGTGAGAAGATGGACCGAAAGCGAAGCTTTTCTTGGTGGATCACGAGGAGGACCGTTATATCGTCGCGATATTCAGGTTCGTCCTTATACGCAAATAGTACGTGTTGTCGAGGAAAAAACCGATCCACTAACGCGAATTACCGAGACACTTGGTGCTCTCAATACAGTTGGATCTTATATTGTAAATATGACACGTGGTGGTGATTCTGCGGCAAATCCATCCAAAGAATTGCCTTCGGCATTGTACACAATTTCAAAAAATATTCTCGGTAAAAATGTCACTGACAGCATTGCACCAATTGTACGCGGTGTCACTTTGCCATTGAGACCGGTTTCATTAACATTGAAACCGGCCACAACAACAACAACAACAACGACGTCGACCCTCAAACCCGTGACATTGATCTCCACTGATATTGTTTCCGATTTACAAACACAACCAAGCGAGGAAATAATTGTTGACAGAGAAAAGGGACCTTCTTCATGTACAACTGCCGAAGGTGGTCCAGGAAGATGTCAAGATCTCAGTAATTGTCCACATCTTCTTTTGGATCTCACCAAATTACGACAATCTTTGTGTTTCAAGAGTCTTTTTGTTCCCGGTGTATGTTGTCCTGTTGAAAAAATCGACATCGATGAAGTAAGGTAAATAGTTACTTTTTTTTAATGTGACAATTTATTATTTTTTAATTAATAGAAAATAAAATAATTCATTATTTTTATTATTAATTTTTTATCTATATTTATTTTACTTATTTATTAATTTAATTATTTATTATTATTATTATTATTAATTTATTTTCATTAAATTAAATTTTCACTGCGGTGAAGTTCAAAAATGGGGAAATTGAAAAACAATTATAGCTTCATTAATAATTTTTTAAATAAAACTCGAAATTTTCAAAATCTAAAAATTTAAACTTTTGTTGCAATTTTTATTAATTTTCATTGTTGATTTTTTAATACACTTTTTTCATAATTCTCAACAATCAATCGTATGAATTTTTGAAAAAATTTAATTTTTTAAAAAAATAAAATTTCTGAAAAATTTAAAAAAAAATGGTTAAAAATTCACCTCCATGAAGTTGGCGTCGACGCTCAATGCCGAAAACAATTTTTGCCAGGACTAAAAATGGCAAATTATTTTGTTTTAAAAGATTTTCGATCCCAATTAAGGCCTTGAGAAATACTTTTCAAAGTATTATGTGGACCCAAAACTTTTTTAAAAATGATAAAGATACTTTTGGGTTCCGTGAAAAATATAATTTTCGACGCTGAGCGTTGACGCCAACTTCATGGAGGTAAAAATTCATTTTTTAAAAATTTTTTTATAGTGAAATATGATTTGAAGTTCTAAAAAAAATTGTTACCCCAATAAACAAAAGCCAATTATATTATGGCCTAAATTTTTATCAATTATTCCTTAAAAATTCAACTTCTTACAAAATTTTTATTATTTTTTATCGGCAATTTTATTGTAGGCCTTTTTTTCATGATTTTGATAAAATCAATTGTATGGATTTTCAAAAAATTTTAATATTTTCAAAAAATAAAATTTCTAAAATGGTCTAAAAAAAATTTATTTCTTTTTAAATTTTGATACTTCACAATTATTTTGTTTATTGTTTTTATATTTATAATTAAAATAGTTAACAATTTTTCTTTTTTTATTCAGTTATGATAGATATTTTTTCTTCTAAATCGTTGATCATAAATTATGTGAACTTCACCGACGTAAATTTTCATACGCGGAAATTTTTAATTTTTTTTTTTATTTCATTTTATGTAATTTACATTTTAATTGAAATTTTTTAAACCGAATTCGATTGAAACCATTGAAACAAAATTTAATTTCTAGAAAATTAATAAACGAAGAAACAAATATTTATTGATTAGAAAAAAATTCTCTTAAATGGAAATTTTGCAAAAAAAATTCCAATGAATAAAAATTTATACTCAATAAAAATTTTGTTAAATTCGAAAATGCGACAAATAAAAATTCTATTAAACGGAAATTTGATTAAATTTTGCCAAATATAAAATTCTATTAAATACAAATTTTATTGAATAAAATATAAATTAATGTATCTAATAAATAACTTTTTTTTTTTTTTATTAATGAACGAAAATAAATAATTTTGAATATTTGAATTTTGTCAGTTCAACGCCTCCGCTGGTGATTCAAACGACAACGAAGCCAAGGCCGAGACCGACAAAACCGCCAACACCAAAACCAATTCCATTGTTTCCAATATCAACGACAAATCGTCCAAATTATGAACTTGTCACGGCTCCCGATTTATTTGGAAATAAAGGCAACGATACGGTGGAAACAATTGACAATAATTTTATTCAAGACGACGATGGTAAATTATTTATCCGTATATTATTAAAAAAAAAAAAAAAAAAAAAAAAATTTATTCACTTTTTGCTCCTTTTGTTAAATTAAATAAATTTAAAATTCTCGTTAAATTAAATTTGCTAACTAATAAAATTTGTCTAAAGAAAATGGATAAATTAATAAAAATTTACTATTGTTGATAAAAAAAAATTATTTTTACTTTTTTTTTATTAATATACAAATCAATTAATTAAAATAAATAAGTTATATATCGCTATTGAATTTCTAATAATAAGAAAACCTCTCGCGAATCTCTCTTTCGATTGATAAACTTTGATTGTAGGATTTCCCCGCGTTTATATAAATATATATAATAGTTGACATTTATAAAGGGAAATTTCTTTTGTGAAATATAGGCAATTACTATTTAAAAAGTTGTTTTGCGGTAAACCGTCTAATTTACAGAATGCGGCGTTAGAAACACTGGAAAGTATCGAGTTGTCGGTGGCGAGGAATCATTGCCAGGTCGTTGGCCATGGATGGCAGCTATTTATCTTCAAGGTGCAAGACGCACTGAATTCTGGTGTGGAGGTTCACTCATTGGACCAAAACACATCCTCACTGCGGCCCATTGTACCCGTGATCAACGTCAACGTCCGTAAGTTTGCAATTTATAACAAAAAAAAAAAAAAAATTATTCTCTTTCAAAAAAAAATCCAATAAATTATTTTTAATTATCATTTAATTATTTCATTTTAAATTAAATTTTCTATTTCTTTTTTTCTATATCCAAATAATTTTTGCAATTTGAAATTTCTATTTTTTGTTGTTTAATTATTAAATTAAAAAGAAATAAGATTTTTCGCGTGAATATTTTTTTTAATACATTTATAAAATGATATTTTTTCTTGAAGATTTGCAGCACGACAATTTATGGTTCGTCTTGGTGATATTGATCTTGAGAGAGATGATGAACCATCGTCACCAGCGACTTATGCAGTAAAAGAAATTCACGCTCATAATCAATTTTCGCGTGTTGGATTTTATAACGATATTGCTGTTTTGGAATTAACACGACCCGTTAGAAAATCGCCGTACATTATTCCAATTTGTTTACCGCAATCAAGACATCGTGGACAACTTTTTGCTGGTGCAAGACCAACTGTTGTTGGTTGGGGAACGACTTATTATGGTAGTTTTTTCTTTCTTTTTTTTCTAATTTTAAACAAAAATTAAAATAGAAAAAACATTCTTTCGATTTTATTTTAATGAAAAACATTTATTTTTAAACAAATATTATAAATTCCAGGTTACTAGAAAAATAAATTTTTTAATTTTCTTACATTTCTTTGATATTAAAAAATTTTGAAATTAGAATAACGCGTTTTTCTACTATATTTCATTATTTTCACTAGAACGAAAATCTTTTGTGTCTTCCGATTTCTTTTTATTTTTTGAAAATAAGTAAAAAAGTGAATTATTTACTGAAAATAATTGACAAAAAGGTGATAAAAAAAATCTAATAATTAAAATCAATTAACGTGCAAAATAATTAATTTCTATCTAATCAAATTTGAAATTTTTAATCAATGATTAAAGCATTAATAGTTTAAAATTCGTATAATTCAAAACTTAAATCAATTAAAATTTGGATAATTTTAAAATTAAGACATTAAAAATTTGGACAAATTGAAATTCAATTAATTTGAAATTTAAATCAATTAAAATTCGGATAATTTGAAACTTTAATAGATTAATCTTTAGATTATAGATTGAAATTTCGTTAATTTTAAGTTTCGATTGATTGAATTTGCATTTGATGAAAATTTTACTGAATAAATTTGTTTTGACAAATAATAATTATTTATTGAAAGTTGGAGCAATTAAAATTAAAGTTTAGATCGATTAAAATTTCAATCGATCTAAATTTAATTAAATTGAAATTTGAATGAATTAAAATTTGAACAGATTTAAATTTATAGATAAAGTAAATTTTGGCATTAAATGAATTGATGGTTTATTAGAATTAAAATGAATTTAAATTTAGATCGATTACAATTTTAATTAAGAAATGCTTCAACAATAATTTAAATTTAGATTTATTAAAGTTTGTCTTTAAATAATTTTTAAATTGATAAAAAATGTTGTAAAATTCAATTTTTTTTTTTTTTTTTTTTTAATAGAAAATGAATATTGTGCAAAATTAAAATTCTTTTAAAGTACAATTCTGCAAATGTAATATTCCACAAGACAAAGTTTCTATTAAATTAATTTTCGTCTAAATAAAATTCTGTTAAATTGATTTTCGATTATTTGCAATTTCTAAAAACATCTAAAACATTTTCCTGAAATTGAAAACAAATTTTTCTAATCAATTTTTGTATAACATTTTTTTTTCTAAATTTCAATAAATTTTTTGTAAATTTAAAAAATGAATTCCACACTATTATATAGATATTAATTCCCTTTAAAAGTGGAAAAAATGAAATAAATTAATAAATTTCGTTTCCAGGTGGAAAAGAAAGTACAGTTCAAAGACAAGTGACATTACCAGTGTGGAGAAATGAGGATTGTAATGCCGCCTATTTTCAACCAATAACCAGTACATTTTTGTGCGCGGGTTTCAGTCAGGGAGGAAAGGACGCATGCCAAGGTGATTCCGGTGGTCCTCTTATGCTTAAGCAAGAAGGTCGTTGGATGCAAATTGGAATTGTCTCATTTGGAAATAAATGTGGTGAACCCGGTTATCCAGGTGTTTATACACGAGTTTCCGAATATGGCGATTGGATCAAATCAAATTTGCGTTAAAATTTCTTTCATATATTTCAACAAAAATATAATAAAAATCTTCCATAGGTGTCGATTTAATTGTAAAATTGTGAAACGATTATCAGTTTTTTTAGACACTATTTTTTTGCCATAAATCAATTTTTGTTTTACTTTTCTTTTTTTTTTTTTTTGACAAAAAAAGATTTCTGCCTCTAAATTAATTTTCGTGATCGTTTTTTTTTTATTATTTTATTTATTTCCCAACAATTTTACGTTCACGAACACAATTCTCTTCATTAAGATGAGAATTAAATACAATATTTCGATTGAAATATTATTTCTTTGTAAATTTTGCGTTTTTGACAATATTTTTAAAAATATTTATTATAATTTTTATAAATTATCAGAGAAATCTCTTTAAAAATTAATTAATGAAAAAAATTTAAATAACCTAATATTTAATTATTGAGTATAATTAAAAGTTTTAATTATTTTACTAAAATGTTTAATTAAGAGCTAAAAATTATTTCACTGACATTTAAAAAAAAAAAAAAAAAATATTGGAACTTTGTTTTCATAAGAAAATTTAATAAAAAGAAATTTCAAAATTTTGTAAAATTGTAAAAAATTAATTATAAAAATGATAGATAGGTTTTACATTTTTCTAAGAAGAAAACTAAAGAGAAAACTAGTTAACGAGTATAGTCAGTAAAATTTTCAACCAGTGCCAAGAGCTAATCTTTCTTTTTTTTTTTTATAATTCTTGCACAGTATTTTGCACATTCGTGTGATAAATATTAAAGAAACGTGATAACGATTCTGAAAAGTTTCTTCAGAAAAGTATGTAAATATATATTATAAATTATTGTGTGCGTAGGTATTTTAATATTAAATATTAATGTAAAAAAAAATATTAATAAACTGTACATACACCTAATGGAACTGTCACGAAAACTATTTTCGAACATTTTTTTTTTTAAAGATATTTTGCTCTTTAAAAAACTAAAGTTTTTTTTTAATATTTACAGTGTAAAATTTTCGTCTTTATTTAATTGTTTAATAAAAAAAATTTACCGTTTTCGCAATTGGTAATTTAATAATTATAACGATTATTATTGAATTTGAAAATTATATTTTCAATAAATACGTAAAAAATGAAAAATATCAAAAAGAAAACAATTGATTATCGAAAAAAATTCATGATGACACTTTTTTCTGCTTCGATTGCAGTTATATAAATTTACAGTGTATTTCAGTTTTAATAGGTTCTGAAGTTCTTGTAATTACTTTCAAATGTAATTTGTTGTTAAAAATAAGAAAAAACATAATGTAAAAGTTCTCAAAATTTTAAGAGTACAATTTCTATCAAAAAAAAAACTTAAAATAGATTTTTTTCCATTTTTCTTATAATTTGAAAAAAAAAATTAAAAATTGTTTGAAATTTTTTCAATAAATCTAATGAAATTAAGAAAACAAAAATCGAAGAAAATTTGAGAAATTTTGAAATAATTAACATTTTTATGTAAGAGGAAAAAAAAATCATGGAAACTGCAAAATTGAACAAGTAAAATTATTAATTAAAAATATTTTTTCAATTTATCATGTGTTTAAAAAAAAGACATTTTTTTTCCACAGACAAAATTCTAATATTAAACCAAAATACAGAAGTGTTTCAGTGAATGATTTGGAAAAAGTACTGAAAAAATTTATCAATGCTGCACTGGAAGATAATAGTAATACATTTTTTTTTTTTCTAAAATTCCAAAAATATTTGTATTTTGTATCAATAAAAATTATTTTTTTATTATGCCAAGAGGAAGCTGTCACATTGGAAATGATGGTTTGCGGAGAAGAATATTATAAAAAAATTGGAAAAATAATTGAAGGACATCACACAACAAAGCATGTTTTAAAAATTTTAAAACCCGATAAAGAGAATGAAAAAAAATTAATAGAAAAAAATATTTCGAAATCTAATCGTCTTGAAAATATTGAAAATTATACAAAACAATCTGATAAAAAATCTATTCATTCTACCGATTTAATTGAAACTACCAAAGTCTTGGTATAATAATAATTTTTAAATTTATTATCTGAAAAGTAATTGAAAATTTAATTTTTTTTAAAAAAAACTTTTAAAAATTATTATCTACTTATTATTTTATTTAGAAACCGAAAATTCAAGAAAAGAAAATCAGTGAAAATACCAGAGAATTGACATCAATTGTCAAAAAGAATCCAAAAGTGAAATTAATACAGAATCCAGAAACGAATATAACGGAAATGTAAATATCGAAAAAATATTTTATACTAAAAAAATGTTCATTTTTTATTATGAATTTTTTTTTTTTTCTTTAGGAAAACGAATAAAAATAAAAGAAATTATACTTTTGAGACTTGGAAGGAAGCGAAGAATATAATTTATAAACGTTTAATCAACGAGGAGAGAAAAAAACAAGAACAAAAATTGTTAGAAGAAGATAATATAGATAAGCAGGTGATTGGTTATTTTAAATTGAATTTTTGAATTTCCTGATAGATTTTATTTCTCCATTGTGTACTTTTTACAAAGTTTTACAATTTTTTCTTTTCCACTATAGTTTTTTAATTTTTGAATTACTATTTTTTAAATATTGAAACATTTACAATTATTGATTTATAGTTCTATTTAAATTGGAAGCGAGATAAACTGAACAAATTAAAGAAGAATCAAAAAAATAATGAAAAAGTCACGAAGCCGTTACAAAATTCGGAAAATAATTCTAATAATGAGAAACGTATTGCAAATTTACAGGCATTTCAACAATGGAAAATGAAAAAAGACGCGATAATAAGAAAAGATAAAATGATCTGGAAGTAATTTTTTTTAGAATCAATTGCATAAAAAATATAGAAAAAAACTCGCAAGTATAATATAAAAAATAATTTTTTTTTAGAATGAATAATCATCAATTTAATGAACAAAAAAATGCCTCTATTACTCCAAGTCAAATGACAAAAATTGTTGATTTTGATAATTGGCTCGAAAAACTCGATTCAACTTTGCATCAAAAATATTTGAAGGAAAGACGATTTCAAGTGAGATCATTTTATTGTCAACCAACTTATTATGGAACTGCAGTTATTCATTGATTTAAAAAATTTCAATTTAATTAAAATTTTTAATTAAATAAACTAAAATAATTACACGGTTTCAACAATTTTTTTCATTGCTAAATTACAAAAAACAAATAAAGAAATAAAAAAAAGGAATTAAAGATTTAATAGAATAAAATTAATTATGTATATATATTTATTTTTAAATACAATTATTGCATTGAATGTTTTCATACATATATATATATATATATTATATATATATAATAGGAAAATTTAAAATTGGCATTAAAATGACTAGAATTAAAAAACAAAAGAAGCAAATCGATGAAATAATAAAGTTTCAAGCTCTATACATGAGAATATTCATATTTTACGACTTGTTAATGTCTTTCAAATTATTAATTGCCTTTTCAACAAGAATTTGTAAATTTTGTGGTAAATTCGATGGAATATTTTTTTCTTTCGTGGAAAATTCACAATTTTCGACAGTTTCAGTTTTTGTTAAATTTTTTACGTTTACTTCTTCATTATTCCACATATTTTTCGATGATACGTCAGAATCAAAATCGTCACCTAATTATGGAAAAAAATAAATAAAAAGAAAATACTGAATTTTAATTAAAATAACAATTTTTAATGTTTTATTTAATAAAAATGAAGTTTAATTAAAAATTTTTCAAATTTTTACTTTATAAAAAAAAAATGAAATAAATACTAGATACCTTTTATTAAATTAATTTTAAAAAACTCACCAATATCAACGTCTGCTCCTGTATATCCTTCGAGGAGTTTCATTGTTGGTGATTGAACAGCGTTGTCTAATTCACAAATTCTCAGTGCTAAAATTCTAAAATAGAAACAAATTTTAATTGTAAATAAATTTCAAACAAATGTAAAAGATTTATAATAATCGAAAGATTTCATTAGTAAATTTATCTGCATTAATTGATTTACGTTTGGAAAATTCTCATTTTTGAGGGTTATTAATCAAATGTTGAAATTTTTTTTAAAAACTCATATTTTAATTTTTTTTTTTAAATTGAAACTTTTGATAAATTGTCTTCAATTTTTCGTCTACCTCGAAGTAAAACGTTTTTTTATTTTTGATAAAGAAAGGTTGTTTTTTTTTAATTATTTGTTTAAAATAAAATTGAGATAATGTGGACAAGAATGTTGTGAAATTATTTTTACATAATTTAACAATAATTGTTTTTAATTTAAAAGAATAATATATAAATATATTCAATTTATAATTTATATTATTTGATTATGTTCAAAGTAAAATTGTATTTTAATTTTCTCAAAATATATAATTGATAGAATGTTCCAATTTCAATTAATTTAAAACAAATACTAATGAAATACACTTTTTTAGTAATAATAATAAAAAAATATTTCTAAATTAATAATTAGTATTGTTCAAGAATAATTCGATAGCAAATTTATATATTACATACTTGTTTGCTTTCTTTTGATGAGATAAAGCGAGAGCTTTGTCATTTAATGCTTCAAGCAGTGCACCACAAAGACAATGAAGATCAGATATTGCAGCTGAAGCTTTTTGTGGCGTGATATTCGGCCCCTGATGAAGTAATTGTTCAACTGTGAAAAATAATTTTTACTAGATATAATATGAATATTTGCAGTTGTGGTTAAACAATTTTAATTTTTTTTTAACCTTGCTTATGAGTCATTACTGTTCCAGCAGCCGAATTTCCGCCAAGTTTTATCGAACCTTTCATTCGTTTGCTGTCCAACATACCCTAAGAAAATAATAAAAATTAATAATGCAAATTTAAAAAAAAAAAAAAAAAAAATACTATTTTACAAAACAAAATTGGTCATTTAGAGTTTAGTTCACGATTAAACAAATTTTTATTATTTAATTCTTTTTAAGTTTTTATTAAATTACAAATTTAATTTTAAATTATTAAAATTAATTCTGTCACGATTTATTAAATGAAAGAAACCCTAATAATAAAATAATAATTTTAAAGCAAAAACAGAATATTTAATTGAAATGAAATGAATATTAACTTTATATTTTGACAAAGATTGTCTATTGAGTTCATTTTCCTCCAGTAATTGTTGCATCCTTTCTTGTAAATATCTGTTGAAAAATGGAATTATTTTTAACGAATTAAGAATAAATGTTTCATCACTTTCTTTTTTTTTTTTTAGTGTAAGAAATAAAATTTTTTTTATCACTGACCGATTTTCATTGACAAGAGAATCCACATCGACTGGTTTAGAGGCACTGAGGGCTTTCGAAAGTTCATGATTTAAACGATGTGCCTTACATTTAAAAGCATCTCTTTCTGTTTCCAATTCATGTTTTTCGTCCAATACTGATTGCAAATCAGTTTTCAATTGGCTACACTGTGAAAAAATGTCTAGATGAATTTTTTTTTAATACATTTTTGTCCTAATTGATAAAAATTACTTCAAAAATAATTTTAGTATGTATTTTTTAAAATTATTATTTATTAATATTGTTTTTTTAATTTGTCAAAATATTTTTGAAAACTAGTTAAATGAATTACATTGATATTTAATTTCTCCAGTTGTTCAATCATTTCTTCACGTTGATGAGCGTCTGGAGCGAGTTGAGATTCTTTTTGTTCAGTAAATGCACGACTATTTGATCGTAAAACTTTTATATCAGCTTGAGAGTCAATAAATTTTTGTCTCAATGTTTCTACTTGTAATCGAAGACATTTATTTTCCTCTTGAGTTTCTATTAATGATTCTAATGTCCTAAAACTAATTTTAAAAAAAAAAAAGAAAAAAAAGTCGTATTTTTGTAAAATAATTTTAATTTTTTAAATAAATAAAAGAAAATAAATTAAAAAATAGAAAATTTTTTTGAACATCGAAAACAATATTTTAAAAAATTTTAATAATTAAGAAAAATTATTTTACCCATTTAATCCTACAGATTCATTTGTTTGTTTTCTTAAATGAACTAATCTCTCTTGAATTTGTTCTGCCATTAATTTATATTGATCACGTTGCGTTCTACATTGATCTAACTCTTGACTAAGAACCATCACAGCTTCTGTTTTTAATTGCAATTTTTTCTTCAATATTGCATTCTAAAACAATTTATTTTTATCATTTTATTGAGATTTTAAATATTATTTCGATAATAATTATATTTAAAAAATGTGCATTAACATTTTACCAAATCGATCTTTATGTTTAAATTATTATATTATGAAATTTAAAAATTATATTTCAATTATAATTTTATTTGAAAAAAAAAAAAATTTCAAAAATTTTCGTTCATATAATTATTATTTAAATGATTAAAAATGAAAGTAGATATTACTTTAATATTTAAATTTATTTTCTATTAATTTCGTAGTCACCTATATTATAGTTTTTTTAAATGCTAAGTGCTTCTGCACTAAAGGGTTTTTTTTTCTTTTAACAAAATTGTAAGTCCATACATTGTAATTAAATAAATAAATATAAAATACAATATTTTTTAAATAAAATTAATATAAAAAAAACTACAGATCAATACTTTTTTTTTACAGTGTATAAAGAAAAATAATAATGTATACTTATTACTAATGTAATAACCTAAATAAGTAAAATTATATTAAAAAATATTTTCAAAATGTCAAATCTTTATTTTGCCAAAATAAATAACAAATGAACTGAAATTTTTTTCAACACAATTTTTAGGTTAGAAATGCATTCTATTACAAAAATCAATAATTCTTGATAAATTATTGGATAAAAGTAAAAAAAATACAAAAATTGATTTAATAAAGAAATTAGAATGTTAAATGTACCTCTATATTGCAGTCTTTTGAATATTTGCCAGTTTCCTGATTTCCATAATTGATCTTAGCTTCCGGTATATTAGCCATTATGAATTAATAATAAATATTAAAAATCATTAAACACTATTTCTAAAATTAACATTTGCAATCCTAGTTATAGAGAAAAAACAAACTTTTTAATTATATTTTTATTGATATATAATTATGTTTATATACAGTTTATACTTCCTCTCAGTCAGGGTTGTGTATCTAATATACCTCACGTAAATTGAGCCACTGTAAAAGTGCACGTAAATTTATTTTGACCGATAAAGAGAAATCACCTTGCGCGCACTTAAAATTCGATTGATTAATTTTTTATAAAAAATTAAAAAAGCTGCTGCACCAAAATTTATAGTGCACATTTTGACTAGATGCGTTATTTAAAGGGTTGTGGTGGTATTATCAACTCATCATACTGTCACATTTTAGATGTTCATTAACAATCCATTTAAATTTGACGCCAGTCAAGATGGACACTCCCACTCCTTTGATCTGATTGGTTGACTATTCTATACAGTTGAGAATTAAAAAACCTTACTATATATTTGTATGTGTCATGGGCAGTTTTGGTTAGTTTTGGATTTGGCTTTGGCACTGCAGTAGTTGAGGTGTAAAGACATATAAACTTAAGGGCATTTACACAACAGTACAGTGCACTTTATTGTTAAATTTATTTATTAGTTCAATTTATCGAAACTAGATATAATAATAAAACTTAAAATGGTAAGATTATCATTTCTTTGTTATTGATTTTCAAATTGTTGAAAAATTTAAGTGGCACCTGATATTTTAATGAATTAACCTCAAAAAAAAATCTTTCTAGGATGTATTTCTAATGATTCGACGAAAAAAGATGACGATATTCACCGATGCAAAAGATAATACAACTGTTCTTGAGCTTAAAAAAATTATTGAAGGTAAGTTTTTTTTTTTAAATTAAAGTTTACTTTTTTATTTGTTTTTCAAAAAAAAAAAAAAGTGACAATTGAAAAACTCAACAAAGTCATCTCTCGTTACATTTGGCATTTATATATTATGGCATCAAGTTTAGATTAGCTGCTTTTTTTTTAAAAAAAAAAAAGAAAAAAAACTTTTCTTTTATAATAAATATACAATAATTTAACGATATATTTTTTTGTTCATCTAGATTTATATTCTTTATTATTATTATTTAAAACTAGGATTTTATTCATTTCATGATTGTATAGTTTCAAAATTGTCATCTTTTTTATTTGAATAGTAAATAGAAAAACTTAGTCAAGTTTTAGAATTTCTGATACATTTATTGAAAAAAAAAAATGTTTTGATAGTTTTTATATTATCTTGAAAAAAACACCTGTATTTTAATTTTAGATTGACGTGTAAACAACTATCTAAATTTAAACACCTATTTTTAAAAATGAAATATCTATACAACTTGAGTATATAATATTTTTACAAAATTGTGTTTAGTTCTCTTTTTAATTTAATTTTTTGTCAGATTGTATTATTTTTAAAATTATTTATTAATATGATTTCAATTAATTATTTAATGTAAATTTTCAAATTTTTATTGGGTAATAAAAATAATTTTTTTTTTGGTACTTAAAGAAAATGAGATTTTAATGTTCTGTGTGTGTTTAAACCCTTTTAATTTCTATAGATGTCCCAAAATGTATTTATAATTATCATTCTGAATTGTTATCTTTAAATCTTAACTTCAACTTTACGAAACTAAAAATACATTATTTCTACATTAATGGTAATTAGTTGTCCCTAGCTGAAAGCAATTCATAGAAACTTGATTCTGTGATTTTAAAATGAGCCAAAAGTTTTGAACGTTCACATGAAAGAAAATTTTTTTTCTTTTTTTGCAACTTCTTTAAATAAGAATTTTATTACAAAATATTGTTTTAAATATCTAAAAAGAAGTAATTATTTAATAATTGTTTAATTTACTGTTTTATTTTACATTGATATCATAATTTTTTATATTTTATAGATTGAAAAAAATAAATTGTTCATTTGAACGCTCAAGATTTTAACAAATTTCTAGTTTCTCCGAGAACAAATTACAAATATTTATTACTTCTTCTTATGCTCCGATAACAAAATTTAATTTATTAAAATTCAAAATTTATTTATTATTATTAAATGAAATTTCAAAAAAGAAAAAAATTAACATTTAAATAAAATAATTTTAGGTATACTAAAAATTCCACCGGTCAATCAACAACTTTTTAATAAAGATAATGTGGTAATGACCGATTGTAAATGTCTCGGTGAATATGGATTAACACCAACAACTGCAAAAGCACAATGTCCAGCATTAATAGGTCTCGCAATTCGTCAGGATTCGGGAAATTTCGAAAATTTAGAAATGACTCCCTTCTCTTTGCCACCTGATCTTCCTGATGTGATGAAATCACAAGAAACCAATGGACAAGAACAATCTCCTTGAACAGTCACTTTAAATTGTGAAACAAACAATATTGGATTATAACAAACAATTATTTCACAATAACATCATCATCGTCATCACCATCATCATCATCATCGTCATCATCATCAATTTGAACGAATTTCTTGGGAATACAATTTAGACGAATACGAATTTATTTTACATGTACTATATATAAATTGTATAAAAATCTGTAAAATTCAACAGTTAAAAGACAACAATTGAATTTTACATATGTAAAACAATTACTTTCGTATTCTCTAATATTCTTGGCTACAGTTTTTAATAAATTTAGAATCGTGTACCAAATATTTGAAATCATCATAAGATAAATTCAATTTTTTTTTCAAATCTCAAACAAATAATTAATCTAACGAATAGAATGCTCAGAAATTCTGATATATATATATATATTTTTTTTTAAAACATTTTTTGTTACTTGAATAACTTTGACAAAATTGACTTAAGGGCATTTGTAATACATTTCTCACGTTAAAAATTTTTTAATCTTAATTTAATTTCTCGATATTTTGCAATTATATAAATATTTAAATTATATTTGTTAAAAAATATTTACAAATATTTAGAAAAAAAATTCCAAATATTCAAATAATTGAAATATCAAAAATATTCAGAGATTCATAAATTAATGAAAAATATTTTTTGAGAAATATCAAAATAGAGTTTATTATTATTATTTCTAAAAACATTTTTGATATTTCAATTTAAATGGAAAAAAAAGATTTATTTAATAAAATAAGAGAGATTTTAATTCTTTTTAGAAAATTGGATTATTTTTAGTGTCTTAATTTTTTTGTTTACGATTTAAATAATTAGTGTCATAATGTATCGCATGCCCTTAATTAAATGGAAATTATATATTTGAAAAGGAGGGGTTTAATTATTATGTAAGTAGAGTTAAGACGGAAGGAAAGTTTTTTTTTTTTTGTCCAAACGAGAAAGATAAGCATGATGAATTTATTTTAATAAAATAGCTATTAAGAAAAATTTCCATCTTCTGTAGTGCAAAGAAAATCACAAAATTAATTATAATAATTAAATAAATATAAAATAAAATTTTAAAGCAATTGAAAATTTAAATTTTAAGTAAATATTAAAATTCAAATAAAATTGAAAAGAATATTAAAAATTGTATTCTTTTTTTAATATTATACATTTAGAATTTTATTTATAATATATAATTATTTTTTTTCAAGGGGGAATTATGGAAATTATACTTACGTAATATTTGAACGTCTCTTTAATACATTGGCAACTGATTAATATATTATTAAAAAAAAAAAATTGTATTTAAAAAAAATACATCACTTGTATCTCCTAGATTTGTAAATATATTAAGAATATTTAACTATTTCAAAACCTGTTAATGAACTTTTCATTTCCATTAATTTAATATACGTTAAATTGTTTGTGACTACATAATCATAATCATTGATAAATTGTAATTTACACGAGAAGAGAGTAGCGTTTTTTTTTATTTTTTTTTTTTAAATATATCGCTATAAAATAACATTGTGATACCTCGGAGAGTAATAGGAATGCAATATTCATTTTACCAATTTTGCTATAATTAATCTGTCAATTTATAGAGCAGCTTTCTTTGCACTTTTGTAAGCCCAAATAATAATGTAACTTTTAAAAATTCATACAAGCGCGAATTGTTGATATTAATTTTTAGTAATATTCTATAGTATCGATTTCAAACGTAGAATATAATTGATTTTATTTTATCAATGTATTTTACATTGACAAAATGCAATTTTTACTACACTTTATTAAAATTTATGATTAGAAAAGAAATAAAATAAAAAATTTTTAAATACTTTAAAACAATTAGTAAATTTTTTTTAGAATAATTAAATTTTTATATGATTTAAGTTTAAAATATTAATATTTAGTGGCATATACAATAATAATTAATTTGGTGAAAATTTTGAAATGGATAGAAAATTAAAGAAAAATTATAATTATGTTTCATCTCTATTGAAATTATTTCAAATGAAAAAATACATTCTTAAATCCTGTAGTGTAAGCATAGTATTTTTATCCAAAGGTTTCTGTAAATTACATATTCAATACGTCGTTTTTTTTTAAATACTAAAACTTGCTCTGTAATTTTCTTCTCAAAAAAGAATTAATAATTTTTAAATTTGTCGAATTTATCACTTAGGACTATAGATTATCAATTTTTACTTGATGTTAATTACAGAACGAGTTTTTAAACATATATAGAATACGTCGCTTTAATAGTAAAATTAGCAACATAAACCGTACGACTGATATAATATTAAATTAAAAAAAATACTTTTCTTTAATTTAATAAATAATTATATATATATATAAAAAAAAATTTGACGGAATATGTAACGAACTATTAAGTTCGCTGCGGCACTAAATAGATAAAAAAAAAAAAAATAAAAGTTTCAATACAGGAATTGAAAATAAACTGTCATCAACCACCATTTGATTTGTATTCAAGATTTGAAAAATTAAAAACAAAACGACTCAATTAATCAACGCTTGCTTGGTATAACACAATAAGCAGGAGGTGCCTTTAAGCGAATAGCTGTAAATTATTATTAATAAACTCTGTAAGCGATAAAGAAAAAAGAAAATTACCTCCTTAAGTTGTACATAAAATAATTTCAGCTTTTCTCTTTTCGATAAAAAGAAAAAAAAAACAAAAAAAAAAATACAAACAATAGGGCTCTTTATTGAATTACATATTCAATAATAATTTTATCATTATGTAATTTGAGGGAATAAAATTATTCAATATTTACAATTTAGTTTTTTTTATATTTTCACCTAATACGCAAAATAATTTATATACAAAATTTTTACACTATTTTGCTTTATAATACTATGAGAATTTTTTAAAAATAATATATAAATTAAAAAATTTGAAAAAATTATAAATATTAAAAATTATTGTGATGATTCTTTTAGATCACTTTTTTTTGATAGCATTTCCAGGATAAAGTCGTTATAAATAAATTTCTTTCCTGGAACAAAATGACCTCCTTCATGAATAAATTTCTTTTTAATGGAAAACACATCACTCAATTCTTGCGCCATTTCTGAAAATAATTTAAAATAAAAATAATTTATTTTAATAATTGAAATTTAGAAAAAGAATATCTAAAAATAATTTACGTACGAGTTGGAATTATTTTGTCGCCCTCTCCATAAACATGTAAAGTTGGCAATTCTATTTTAATGTCTTTATAAAATATCGCATGCGGCTCGCAAAGTGATTTAAATCCAGAAATGAGAATCGCAAAATTAAATTTAATTGGCGAAACTGAGAAATAAAATATTCTTAAAAATTGAAACTTATAAATTGCATTTCATTATTATTAAATTGAAAATTTTGTCCGAGTATTTAATTAAATTATAAGAATTTTGTTTTAATATAAGAAAAATGAAAAATATTCAATTATAGTTTGTTTTTTTTTTTATCGAAACATTAAAAACTTAATTTTATTAATTGATTTGTAATTTGGATTATCGTTAAAATTTTCAAAAATGAATTTTGAATAAAAAAAAATATTTTCTCACTTTTTTTCTGTTGCATCGCACAGAGAATTGAAACAAATGACGCTCCTTGAGAGAAACCAATTACTCCATCAAATGGACCTAATTCCCTGAAAGTTTTTTCCACCAACAAAATACTATCTTCAAAACCCACTGATAAATTACTAGGTTCTATTGCTTTAAATACTTTATCTTCAGTATTAAACCACCAACCGAATCCTGTTATTAGAAAAAATTTCTTTATTATTATCTATTTTTTAATATAAATAAGTCAATGACTCAAAAATTTGTAAAGTGTGACAATATTTTTTTATTCGAATTTTTTTTTTTTATTAAATTCAAATTTTTCTATAAATTCAAAGACAGTAAATAAATAATATAAGTTAAACAGTTTTTTTTAAATTTAAAGATTTATATAAATAATTTGTTATAAATATTTTTGTGTGCGAATTTACAATTTTTTTTTTTTCTATTAATCTACAAAATCAATTTTTCTGGCGCTTGGCATTATTATTTTACGTTAATACTGCTTTCAATTAAATTATGTAATTTGTTTAAAAAATATAAAAAATTTATTTAAAGTATTTAAATTAATAAAAATCAAAATGAAAAATTTCGTAACTTACATTCGATAATTTTTAAAATTGAGCTGCCGGATCAAAGAAGGGCACATAACTAATGTATTTTAAATGGGTTATGTGCCCTTCTTTGATCCGGCAGCTCAATTGAGAAACATTAATCGAAAATGAATTTTGTAAATTATTAATAGAAATAGAAAAATTTGTATAAAATCACGCACAACAATGTTTATAATCAATAACTTGTATATATAAATCTTCAAATTTGGCAATTTACATTTTTTTATTCACGATTTTGAGTAGAAAAATACGAAAAAATTTCATAAAAAAAAAAAAATTCTACTTTTCAAAAAATATTGTCACAATTCACAAATTTTGATTGAATAAAAAAAAATAATAAAACTTAATTTAAAATTAATTTTGTTTGAATAATTTATAAAAAGTTTAATTTGAAAAACATATTTTTATTAAAAATAAAATTAAAATTTTGAAGGTATAATGAAAAAAATGTTTTATTTAATTAAATAACCTTCTGCATCGTCCTCTTCTTTTTTCTCACTACTTTCCAAAGGTGGAACTTTATGAGGAGCTTTTATAAATGTAAAATCTATTTCTTTTTTAAAACTTTTTCTAAGTGATCCAAGTTTCCCACTGAAAATAACGTCCGACTGACGATATCCATGAATTGCTAAAATCTGTGATTATAGTAATATGTTTAACAAAATTAACATTTATATAGTGACAGAAAAGAAATTTCATATAATTTTAATTCTATTATTATTAATAAAATTTTTTCAAATTTCTAACATATAATTTTTTAATAAAAAAAAAATTTCTGTAAAAAATTCTGTAGTCATTTTTTGAAATTTTTTTTTTAATACAATTTTTATTACATTTTCTTGCATGAACTTGAATAAAATACATATATTATTGTTTTTATTTAAATTTACTAGATATATTAAAAGTTTTTGTCTCTTTTATTTAATTCTATTTTAAGGTACTTACTCACTTTTAACTTCATTTCACTTTTGATTGTTAAATTGTCAAAAAATTGTTAGTTCTTCTTTTTTGGTTTTTTTTTTCGCATATGAAAAAATTGACAGTTTTTGGTTATGTTATTGTTATGTTGACTTCAAACACGTGATAAAAACTCTACTATTTCGACAGTCGGTAATGTAAATCTAACATATGGCAGAAATATTTGTTATATGTAATTGTATATAGTATTAAGACTTAATATAAGAAATTCAATTTCCATCTCATAAAATAATGGGAATCATTTAAAAACCGTAAATTATTACTTTGCAATTGCGCACAGATGACAATCAAAATATACTATATGACGTCAACAGAGAAGAACCAATCAGAAATGACCACATACAATTCTCATATTTGCTAACCAATCCCCACTTTCTGGAGCATACTTCGATTTATTCCCCGTATTTTCTCAGTTTGCACTCGCATTAGATTGACGATATTACATCAGACAAAAAAGAAGTATTTGCTTTCTATAAGGAAGCAAAATAATAAAAAGCCAGTCATCAAACAGATTCCAAAGAAGACGGATCTCTTTTTTTAAAAAGAAATTTTGAAAATCATAAATACATTTTCATTGGTCAAAAGAGTGCACAACTCATTGGTTCCTGTTTTTAATTAAAAATCAAAGTGTGTGACAGTTCATTTGAAAATAATTTATTGGCAAAAAAAAAATTTTTTCTTTTTTTTTATTGAACGTGATTTGTTTTTTTTTAAAATTATTTCTTATGGCAGATCATTATGAGTGCATTGAAAAGTGTAATCATCACGTTGCCTAAGGGCGGTCTTAAAAAAGACACGGGCTTAATTTCAACTGGTACAAAATTAAATTTCACAACTTCCATTCTTACTGATAAGCAACACAAATTTGATAACAACAGGAAACTAGTGAAACATATGGAAGACACAATGATGGATACGACAATTTTAAAACAGGAACCAATTAATATTCGTGGAAAAAAACGACGACTCGATCACCTCACGTGGGAGGAGAAACTTCAAAGAAAGTAAGTATTGATTTTTCTTTATAAATAAACATTTATGTTTTGCCGCTCATATAGGATTTCCTTAACCTCGATTAATAATTTAGAGCTTTTTTCAGTACTATAGTTGATTGTACAGTTTTATATGCGTTAATAATAATGATGCAATATTTCAAATTATTGATGTCGTTTTATTTCGTCATGCACACTATTCTATTAGAAAAATTTATTATTATATATTATTAAAATTATTATTATTTTTATTATTATTATTAAACTATTGTAGAAATATTCCACTATTTTAGGAATTAGTTTTATTATTTATTTTTGATTATTTATATATTATTTTATTATATTTATATTTTATTGATTTATTTTTGTTTATTTGTATATATGGGCGATTTCATGTGAGATTTCAGTCGACCATTTAAAATCGGCTAAATATATTTTTTCTTGTTCTGTAGTAAAAAAAAATATTTATTTATTTTTTTTGACAAATTTTCAAAATTTTAGTTTTGTACATGTAGACCTATTTTAAAAATAACTCGAAAAAAATGGATTTTTTCAATTTTTGCCAAGAGAAGAAAGTTTCAGTTTTTCTTTTACTTTTCAAGATTGTTAACGAAAATTTATTTTTTCAGGCATCGGATTATACGACTTTTTCGACTATTTCCGACTTTTTTTTACATTTTTAAAAAAAATTTTTTAATAAAATATATTTTTTTTAGTATAAAATGCAGATCTTCTTCATATCTTCTTTATTTCAATTATTTAACAAATTTTTAACTAAAATTCTTCACTAAATTAATTATTTTTAATAATTTTAATCGAATTCATCACAAATTCAATTATTTCAAATTATTTTTCAATTAAAATTTTTATGAAATTTAACAATTGTTTATAATTTTAAAAAAAAAATAACAAATAAAATTACCAAAAAATTTTAATTCAAAATCATAAATCAATTCAAAATCAATTATTACCCAAAATTTTAATTCAAAATCTTTTAAAATTCAATTATTTTCAAAATTTTCAATTTAAAATCAAATAAAATTCTATTATTACCAAAAATTTCAATTCAAAATCAATTAAAATTCAATAATTATCCAAAATTTCAATTCAAAATTAATTATTATCAAAATTTTCAATAAAAAATTAATTAAAATTGAATTATTATCAAAAATTTCAATTCTTATTTAATTATTTTCAAAAATTTGAATTTAAAAGCTTCTAAAATTTAATTATTTCTAAAATTTTATGAAATTTCACAATTTCAATTATAACTCTAAGGAAATTAAATTATTTTTAACTATTTTTATAATATTCTTTCATAATTCAACTATCAGAAACCATTTTTCAAATTATAGTATTTTTGTCCGCAATTTCTAATAAATTTTTTAGTGAAATCATCAAAAATTTTTAATTAAAAATCACTTGAAATTCAATTAATTTTAAAAATCTCAATTGTAAATCTTTGAAAGTTCAATTACATTTAAAAAATGTTATCTGAAATTATTTGATAAATTATTTTTAGTTCTGTAAAATTTAATATTATTGTCTGAAAATTAACAAAATCTTTTAAAATTCAATTATTTCTAAAAATTTCAACTTTAACTCTTCCAAAAGTATTATTATTTAAAAAAAATTTGTGTTTAAAAATCTGTAAAATATTTTTGTTAAAATAAAAGAAATCGACTTTTTTTGTAATATAAATCGACTAAAACGACTTTTTTTTGTGCCTTTAAGTCGATTCGAGGCCTGTCATTTTTTATTAAAAAAATAACAATTTTTTATAAACTTATAAATCTTCTTTATTTCAATTATTTTACAAATTTTTAACTTAAATTCTTCACTAAATTAATTATTATTATTATTTTTAATAATTTTAATTAACTATTTTCCAATTAAAATTTTTATGAAATTTAATAATTGTTTACAATTTAAAAAAAAATTAGCAAATAAAATTATGAAAAATTTTTAATTCAAATCACTTGAAATTTAATTATTTGCAAAAATTTTAATTATTTTTAATGATTTTTATAATATTCTTCGAAAACTCAATTATATGAATAAGTATTTTTCAATTATAAACTTTTGGAATTCAATGTTTGTATGTAATTCCTAATAAATTCTTCATCAACAGAAATCACTATAAAAATTTTTTTTATTATAAATATTGTCTGAAATAAAATAATCTTTTGAAATTCAATTATTTTCAAAAATTTCAAAATTAAAAGCTTTTAAAATTTAATTATTTCTACAATTTTTTTGAAAATTTAAAAATTTCAATTATAACTCTACTAAAATTCAATAATTTTTTTTTAATGATTTTTATAACATTCTTCGAAAATTCAAATATCTGAAACCATTTTTCACTTTAAAAATTTTTTAAATTATTGTATTTTTGTCAATAAATAAATTAATTAATTTCAAAAATCTAAATTAGAAATCATTGAAAATTCACTAATATTCAAAAATGTTATCTAAAATTATTTGATAAATTATTTTTAGTTCTGTAAAATTTAATTATTATCTGAAAATTAACAAATTTTTTTTTGCGAAATTCAATTATTTTTAAAAATTTCAATTTTAACTCTTCCAAAATTATTATTATTATTTAAAAATCTGTAAAACTTAATTAAGTATTGTCTGAAATTTTTTTGACCATAAAAATTAAAAAAAACTATGACAAAATTTTAAAATCAAATAAATTGCTTAAATAAGATTTCAAAAAATTTTTAAAATAGAACTTAAAAATTTTTTTTTTTTTTTTTTTTGAATTTGGCGTACTTAAATAAAATTTTGAAAATTTATCTTACAATTAAGTTCGATTCTGAAATTATTTAAATTAAAATATTAATTAACCAATTAAATTTTGTTACGTTGGTGAAGTTTGCAACGTTTATATGATCAACGATTGAAAAAAAAAATATTTTTCACTCAAAAAATAATAACTAATTTTTTGCCTACAATTTTTTTTTTAAATTATTGATCAAGAAACGTTGCAAAAAAAATTTTTGGATAAATAAATAAATAATTTGCATAGAAAAATATTTTCTCTTCTCAATTGTTGATCATAAAAGTTGTGAACTTCACCGACTTTTTTTTGTGCCTTAAAGTCGATCCGAGGGCCTGTTTTTGAAATCCCTTGTTTTTATATTTGGACTTACAATTAATTTTTTATATAGTGGAAAATTTTTTTGCCTCACCTACATTCTAAAGACTTTATGTGCACATTTTCAGGAAGTTAAAAAACAGAGTAGCCGCACAAACGTCACGAGATCGAAAAAAGGCAAAACTTGATGAACTCGAGGAGACGGTGCGCATGTTAACGGAACGAAATGATCTTTTAATTCAAGAATGCACAATGCTCAGATCGGAAAATGAAACACTCCTTAATGAAAGTGAACAAATGAAATTGAATACAGAGACAAAAAAGGACGATCGACTTTGTTCGATGTGTCAAGGTCGTGTCGACTTTACTGTACCCTCTTCGGGATCAGCAGAATCTCGCTTTAACCCTCTGCCGCAGGGTGGGTCAGTTCAGTCGGCAGTACCTCTGACGTTGACGCCAAGTGCAATCGTCCTTCTGAAGATACTGACGCTCTCCCTCCTCTCGAAGAATTATTCAATGAACTCCAAGGAGACGATTACATCGACCGACTCGAAGAATTGGCAGAGAGCCTTTTGCGAGAAGTTACCGCAGAAGTGGAAGCACATTCTTCTCGACCAAATGAGCAGGTACATAATAATAATAATAAAAAAAAAATTAAACTAATTTCTTTTATATTGTTAAATATCTCGAAAAATATGAAATTGAGTTTACTATTTGTATAGCCAAAAGGATCGGATTTCCCATAAAAATAAATAGATAGAATTTTCATATTAAAGAAATTTATTAAATAATTTTTAGAAAAATTTTCATTTCTCCAAATAGCATTTGATATGTGAATTTTTATAGAATTTCTCTTCACCAATTTTTTATTTAAAAATTCTAATAGGTATAATATTTTTATTTTATATAATTCTCATTCAAGAGAAATATTATTCATTTAACAGAATTATTCTTTAATCGCATTTCCGGTTTATCAGAATAGAAACAGAATTTTTAAACTGAATTTAAATTCAATAGAATTTCTATATTTCATCCAAATTTGATTGAATAGAATATTAATTAAAAAATTTGCATTTAGCAACTTTTTTTATTAAACAAAATTTCTACTAAGACATAGTTTTAAATAGCAAAATTTTTATTTCATGGAATTTATATTTTGTTAAATAGTTTTTTCTCTTTAAAAAATGTATTTCAAAATTTTAGTAAATATTTACAAACTTTAAGGGGGTAGTCTGGTGTTACGATGCCTTTTTGGGAGCCTATTTCAGGATATTTTTTTATTATAAAATAAAATATAATTACACCAAATCTTTTTACTTCGTTTTATTCTAATCATGAAGTGTTGAAAAAAATGATAATCGATCATTTTTTACTAGACATTGTTATTTATATTTAATATTACTGTTTATATTAACATTTTTGTTAATAAATAAAAAAATAGCGGACTATATAAGCAAAAAGATTCAAAAATTGTCTCCTTTTTATTTACAAAAAGTTAAAAATAAAAAAAAGTTATCATTAAAATTGCGTAATTTTAGTACGGGCCAGAGCCATGCTTGTGTAGAATAAGCTGTAAAAAAATTGGAGCAATCGGTCGGATAGATTTTTGTAAATCATCTGCGCCATCATTTTTTTTATATAAACAGTAATATTAAATATAAATAACAATGTCTAGTAAAAAATAATCGATTATAATTTTTTTCAACACTTCATAAGGAGAATAAAACGTTGTAAAAAGATTTGGTGTGATTACATTTTATTTTATAATAAAAATAAATTCTGAAATAAGCTCCTAAAAAATGGCCTAAACACCAGACTACCCCCTTAAAATAATATTTATAGTAATTCTACAAAATCTTTACTGAGATTTTGTATATTTTATATCAATTTTTTCTAGTTTGACAACGTTTACCCTAAATTGAAATTTAAAAAAATTAAACTGGAAAGATTTTTTAAATAAATTTTAAATTACGTTTTTCAAAAAAATGCGCTTTTTTTATTTTTTTATTTTTTTAATATTATTAATATTAAATGTTATGGACCTTATTTTATTCCTTTTTGGCGTAACTTAAATCAGAGGGGTTTTTTTTCGAAAATTAAATCAAAATTTTTTTTTAAATTTGTTTAGAAGAAAAAAATATTTTTTTTCATGAATTGCTTTTCTAAGTTGAGTAATTTAAAAAATTCCAATTGATTAACAAGAAAAAAGTTACATGTCTTTTGTTTATAAAAAAAAAATTATTATTATAAGTAAAACTTATACTGAGGAAAAATTCAATTAAGATTTAAATTAAATTACAAAATTTAAATAAATTAAGGAAGTTTATACCCGGAAATGAAAATGTCAAGAAGAAAAGAATTAATTGACATTTAAAAAATTAAAATATTATTATTAATAATTTCCACCGGAAGTACAGGTATCAATTCTCAAGAAAAAATTTTTAACTTACAAAATTTTGCATATGATTAAAATTTTTTTCATAACGCATTCTTAAAATACTGTTGTTTAAGAAAAGTGATAATTTTTTTTTAAACAAATAACCATATTTTAAGAATGCGATATGAAAAAAATTTGATTAATTGGTATCTGTTTTTTTAAAGGACATTATAATAATAATATTTTAATTTTTTTTAATGTTAATTAAATATTTTTTTTTTTTTTTGAGTTCTGCATTTCCAGTTACACCGTGGGGAGTTTTAAACAAGCAAGCCATTTGGCAAATACAGCTATTTGTTTAAAAGAAAAATTTGAATTTTTTTAAATAAATAGCTGTATTTGCCAAATGGCTTGCTTGTCTAAAAATCCCCACGGTGAAGTTGTAGAAAATCATTTTCCGAAGAAAATAAGCCATATATTTCATTGAAATCGAATCATTTTTAAAAAATTCTGTAGAATCGATACAGAAAAAAAATGTTATCCTATGCAAATTGTATAAACAAATAAATTTTGCAGTTTTTAAATTTTTTTACTGAAAATTAATATCTCATCTTTCATAACGTACAATTAATAATATATTATTTTAATTATTTAAATGTTAATTAATTATTTTTTTCTAGAGGTCTGCATTTCCGTGGATTAACGTCCTTAACTCAATTAGTTCAAGCCACTAGTTTTGGCATGTTAACATGATTTTTAAAATTTGATATAAAAAAATAGCGATTATTCCAAATTAATTGTTTTAAACGTTGCATAATTTTGCAAAATTAAACTTTTTTTAATTGCATAATTTTTCATAATTAAGCTAATTTTAGCGCATAATCGTTCATATTTTAAGCGCCTAATTAGGGGGTCTCTAAAAATGTATAATCTACCTTTCTCTATAAATAATATATAAATAATTGTCTAATTTTCAGATATCAGTCAAGAAGGAAACCGCCGCCGGAACACCTGCGTTGGTGGATCAAACATCAAGAAACGTGGAATCCAATACAGATTCAAGAGGTTTGACACAAGTCGATCGAACGACAAATTGCGTTAATGGATTTTCAAGTAATCAACAATTGGCCAAAAATCAGGGAAATCATCATCATCATCCTCATAATAATAATAATCATCATCACCAACAACAACAGGATGTGAAGGTTAAACGCGAGCCAGTTACCGATGTTGACACTGTTTATGGTACTTATGACGAGGTTACTAATTGTATAACAATCATCTATCCCGGTGACGATGACGACATTAAAATTCAAGAGAGTGTTCAAGAAGTGTCAACGGAAAATTTGTCAAATCAAAAAGATGAACAAATGCCTGTGACGCCTGTACAAACGTACATTGATCACCTTTCACCTTATACATGTCACGATTCAATGTCACCAGCGAGCATTCATTCAGATGACACAGATTCAAGTGCAACCGTATCAAATAAACAAGATTCAAATTTTTCCGATATTGGCTATGAATCACATGGATCACCTTTTGAAGAAACTGTTAGCGTTCCTGAAACATCGACGCTAACAGATTTATGGCACGAGAGTTTCTCAGAATTATTTCCCAGTTTAGCCTGATTGGAAAAATAATTTTCTTATCAGTGATTTTTGTTTTGATATACCTCCCCCCCTCTAATGATTGTAAAAAAAAAATTAAGAAAAATTTATTGAAAAGTTGATGAATAATATAGAAATTGAATTCGTTTCAATAAATGCCATTTTGTAATTTTGAATGAAATTGGAAATTATTTTTTTTTTTTCTAAAAGTATAATTTAATATTATATAAAATAATTTTTCAAATCAAATTCAAAAATACCAAACGGAATTCATAAACGTATTTTTTTGTCAGAAACTTTCAATATGTTTTTTTTTGTATTTTATCTGTGATATTTAATGCGAATTTTCGTTTGACAATTTGCACTCTTATTTTTATTATACTATATATAAATATATGATTCTCTTCGTGTCCAATTGGAGATTTTGTGAATTTTGAAAATATTCTTGCACTTCATTGTAATGCCGATAGATATTAATACTTTTTTTTTTTTTATAAGTTTATATTTAACAATAGAGAGTAATAATTTTATGTTACGGTATTTTTTATTCATGAAAAAATAATAGTTTTTTTGTGTCAGCAAAAATGTGTTGAGTCATCCTCGTAAATATTTGGAAATAAGTATCATAAAGAGTAATTTTTAAGCATATAATTCATTTTTTTTTTTTTGAAACATTGGTATATTTAATCGTCTATTATTTATGTAAATAAATTTATTATTTATTTTGTAATCTTCAATATTCTGAGGATTTGAAAAAGCACAAGATGTGAGTGAAATACAAATACACTTGAAAGTCCTCAAAACTAAAGTTTTTCTATTTTCTTATTACCCTCGCATATAAATTTGTGTTTTCAATATTAAAGTTAAAAGAGATAAATGATATAAAAAAGTTTTAATGATAAAAAGTCATTTTTCTCATTTGACGTACTGATCGATTTTTTTCAAAATTTTTTTCAAAAAACTACTTATTTTTACGAAACTTTTAAGCCTAGCCCGATAATGGATAAACAATTTTTACAATATTTTCGGAATTTTTCAAAAATTTTTGAATTTTTTAAAAATATTTTTGTTTTTTTTTAATACTACGTACTTTTATGTATTTTGATGCGCTGATTACGAAAATCATAGTGACAATACCCAAAAATTTGATTTTTATAGTGAAAACCATAAAAAAAGTCCCAAAATGTATGGAATTTTTCCGTTTATTGGGTAAAATATACAATATTAAAAAAAATGTATTTTAATAAGATCTATAACTTTTGTTTCAACATTTTTTTTTAATTTTGCATATTTTACCCAATAAACGGAAAAAACCATAAATTTTGGGACTTTTTTATGATTTTCACCATAAAAATCAAATTTTCGGGTATTGTCACTATGATTTTCGTAATCAGCGCATCAAAATACATAAAAGTACATAGTATTAAAAAAAACAAAAATATTTTTAAAAAATTCCAAAATTTTTGAAAAATTCCGAAAAATATTGTAAAAATTGTTTGCCCATTATCGGGCTAGGCTTAAAAGTTTCGTAAAAAGTAGTTTTTTTTTGAAAAAATTTTGAAAAAAATCGATCAATACGTCAAATGAGAAAAATGACTTTTTATCATTAAAACTCAAAAATTTGATAGTAATATCGTTTAAAAAAAATTTTCGATTTTTTTTTTTGAAAAGTACGTTTAAAAACAAATATTTTGAAAAAAAATGACTTTTAAAATTGACACATTTTTAAGGAAGTTATGAGCATTCAAAAATTAAAAGTCATGAAAATTCTCCAATTTTCATAATTCCATAACTCGAAAACGGCTTGCTAACAAAATTTGAAAAAATTCATGGAAGCTAGTCTCAATTAGTACACTAAAAGAAAAAAAAATCTCAATAAAATCGGAGATGCAATTGCATCAGATGGACTTTCACTTTGACGTGGAATACATTCTATATTATTTCACATCTTTAAATAATTAATTAATTAAATTTTATTATTCAGAATTAGTGTAAAAAAAGTTGTATTTGAAATGTAATATATTTATTAATTTTTTCATACTTCTAAAATTTGTATATTTTTTAGGTTAAGGTTCCTAAAATGTAAAATATTTAGGAAAATATAAAGAGATACATAATTTTTTGTCAACTGTATCATTTTCTAAATTTTGTATATTAATCAATTTATACCTAATAATTTAATTACAATATTATTATTTCTATAGTTATTATCGTTTTTAATAGCAGTTGTCGTTCAGTGTAATGTTAACATTTTAAATTTTTAAATTTTCTCTAAATGGAAATGATAAAGTAGAAATCTAATTTACCCGCCCAATTTGATATTCGTATTTGTTGACGTTCGATTTGTCGTGGTTTAAAAATATTTCTTTTTCTCTTTAAATTTGTAGAGGAATAGTACAATTGTATAATAGTTATTAAGAAATTTCAATTCCTGTAAATTATTATTATGGCAAAACATCATCCGGATCTCATCTTTTGCCGAAAACAACCCGGCGTTGGTAAGTACTTTCTAACCTCACTTTTTCAATAAATCATTTTTGTTATATTTTAATATATTTTTATCCTTTTATTTGTTTATAATAAAAAAAAATCGTTTTATTATAGTATTTTTAAATTTTTAACAAAAGTTTAGTTCTTATTTTAATATTCTAATGTTCGCTTTATTTCCTTGTTTTACTTCTCCTTTCTCGTCCTATTGATTTGAATCCAATTTTCTGTATATATTTCTAATAATTTATTTTTTCTGGAATTAAGAAATTACATGAAATTTTCCTTGACATAAAAATAAATTATAATATTTAATTTGTTTATCGAAACATTCTACTTGACATATTTAAAGAAATGAATTATTTGTTTTGAAAAATGTTCGAGGTAAATAATATTTCATTTCTTTATTCAAAAATTAAAGAAATTGAATGAATTATTTGAAGTGGAGGGTTCTCCCTTATAATATTTACCTATATCCTTAATGTTCAAATTAACTGAATTCACATAAATAATTTTTTATTATATTATCAATTCCCAAAATAGTTTTCAATTTGTTTTATGGACACTTTTATAATAATAATATTAATTTCATTTCAATAATGGCTTCAAGAATATTTTTATGATTAAACATTTTCATTAAATTCATTACATTTTACACATAAACATTTTTGAAATAATTTAAAAAATTTTTATTTATGGAGTTTATTTTAACGATGCTGAAAATTTCACAACGTTTATGATAAACAATTTTTAAATAAATATTTTGTTAAATGATAATATTCATAACCAGAAATTTAAACAAAATAACTAATAGTATTTTATTAATTAATTAGAGACCAAGTACAAACTTGTGAAATGGAAAAATTTCTTGAACAAAATGATTTGAAAAGAAAAAAAAAGAACGAAGCTGAAGTACGCAGCGTTTATGATAAACGATTTTTAAAGAAATAATTTTTTAAAATGAAAAATTATAGAAATTTTTATTTTAAAAAATTATTTCTTTAAAAATCATTTATCATAAACGTTGCGTACTTCAGCATTATAAAAAAAAAAAAGAAAGAACAGAGTGACAGGGAATTTCTGTAAATTTCTACAAAAATTAAAATTTTTTGTGAATTTAAAAATTTTTTAATCTAAAAAAACTTGAATGGTTTTTATTCCCATTTGTTACTACCATTAAAAATTAATTTATTGTTAAATATGTCAGTAACCATATTTTTGTCCAAAGAAAGCAGAAATAAGGTAATTTTTTTCTCAATCCTTCTTAGACACCCTGAATTACTATATTGTCTGAATAAATGTTATTTAATTGTCGTAACTCGATTGTTTAATTCTTAACATATTTTTTTGAATGAAAAATTTTATTTATATTATATTATAAATTATATTATATTATTTATTATATTATTGGGTAAGTCCACGTCAGAAATATCAGAATATGCAAGTGGTTCTTCGATTTTAATGATACTTGGTAAAATTATAGCTTTATATAAGAGCAATGTGTAAGTAAAAGGAATTTTTAAAATATCTAAAATTGTAGGAGTTATATCACTTTTAATTTTGATATTGCATTTTTTCTTTCCTTTATATCTCGGTCAATTTTCAACCGATTTTGATGAATCAAAAACGATTTTTTTCAGAAAATTACGTATTTTCAGAAAATATTAATATAAAAATAAAATTTTGTTATTTAAATAGAAAAAAGTAAAAAACAAAATTTCTTTTAGATTTTTTTTCAATTTCGACCTCTTTTTTTAATTTTTAATTTTTTAATAATATTCCTTTTTATTTTATCTTTAATTTTAAAAAAAATTCATCCTGGAGACTTTTTTAGATCTCGTGATATCGTTCTTTAAATATCCACATCTCAAGAAAACAAGGATCCAGATTTGTGTTTCTACTTTCATTTGTTTTATAATATTATTGTTACAAACTAAAAACTTTCGCGTAATAATGTTTTTATTTTTAAATTACTTGACTAAAACAAGTGAAAATTCAAGCAAATCAATATTTTATTAATAGATTTGAAGCAAAGTTTTTATTTTTTGTAATATTTATAATTTAAAATAAATTGTAATGAAACCTTAACAATGCAACCTGAAATTGTAGCTGAAGTTTTTAGCGCTTTCTTTTAGAGGATTCTAAAACAAATAGTTATTCATAACCATAAAAAATTTCAACAAACAAATGAAAGTAATGATAGAAGCAAGTCCTGCGGTTTTCAAATTGATGAAGACTTATAATACTTAAAGGACGATATCACGAGATCTAAAAAAGTCTCCAGGATGAATTTTTTTTTAAATTAAAGTTAAAATAAAAAGGAATATTATTAAAAAATTAAAAATTAAAAAAAAGAGGTCGAAATTGAAAAAAATCTAAAAGAAATTTTGTTTTTTACTTTTTTCTATTTAAATAAGAAAATTTTATTTTTATTTTAAAATTTTCTGAAAATACGTAATTTTCTGAAAAAAATCGTTTTTGATTCATCAAAATCGGTTGAAAATTGACCGAGATATAAAGGAAAGAAAAAAATGCAGTATCAAAATTAAAAGTGATATAACTCCTACAATTTTAGATATTTTAAAAATTCCTTTTACTTACACATTGCTCTTATATAAAGCTATAATTTTACCAAGTATCATTAAAATCGAACAACCACTTGCAGATTCTGATATTTCTGACGTGGACTTACCCTATTTTTTATAATTTTTCATCTTAAAATAAAAATTATTTTCTAATTGTTAATCATTAATGTGGACTTTGTTTTTTATTTTTAAAAGATAAGTAATTATAAATTTTTGTTTGTTTAATTAATAATTGTTATATTTTAGCCATTGGACGTCTCTGTGAGAAATGTGATGGAAAATGTGTTATTTGCGATTCCTATGTGAGACCGTGCACATTGGTGAGAATTTGCGATGAATGTAATTATGGTTCATATCAAGGACGTTGTGTAATTTGTGGAGGTCCTGGAGTATCTGACGCGTATTATTGTAAAGAATGTACAATTCAAGAAAAAGACGTAAGTATAAATTTATAAAGATAATTTTATAAATTTCGATATTATAAATTAAAAAAAAAAAAATTTAATAAATAAACATAATTTTTTTTTTTTTCAGAGAGACGGATGTCCAAAAATTGTTAATCTCGGATCCTCAAAGACTGATCTCTTCTACGAACGAAAGAAATATGGCTTTAAAAGACGATAGTCAAATTATTTTAATCGAATTGAAAAATTTTCATTTCAACTATTTGTATTTTTAACAAATCAATATGAAAAATGTAAATATTTTAAAATTAAATTTTTTCATTTTGAAAATATAATAAAAACCAACTCGAGAGGATGTGGATATTGATAATTATTATTAGGAAAAAATTGAAATAAATTGTATCACTTTTGTGGAACACTCTAAATTGACACTACATTTATTTATAATTATACTATTTATATATTTTGAATGTACATTATTTTCTTTTAAAATGACATAACAAAATTGAATTATGTCGTGCGTCAAACATTTGATTTTTGAGATTTCATAATCTTACAAACTATTTCAAAAAGTTAAACATTCTAGAATTTTTGTCATTTTTCTTTGTTATTTTTTTTCTTTTGAAGTACCTTGTAAGATAAAAATTATGTACTTATGTACAATTTCTACAATTTAAACTACAAGTAATGTATAATTTTATTTGTACAATTTTCATTATGAAAATACGTACCGATTATTTTAATAGAAAATAATTAAATATACATCTATTACGAAACAAAGAAATTCACATTTAAAATCAGATAAAATTTTTGATAAAAGTTAAAATAAAATTAATAAAAATTTATTATTTTTTTACATTGAAAAAAAAGAACATTTTTAAATAAATCCACAATAATTGCGTTTAAAGACATTAAATGTAATTTCAACAACAAAATACTTTTAAATTCTTTCATGAAAAATGTACAAATAGAATATTATCATATTTCGACACATTTTGCAAGTCAATTTTTTCATTCATTACACTATTTATTTTTTGTTAAAACCGTTTTTTCTATTAATTAAATTAAAATCTAACCGTTCTAGGCCTTTTCATTTTATAATCTATTAATTTTATTCTATATTTTTTATCAACAACATGTCTAAAATTATAAATTAAACAAGTAGATTACAAATATCATTTTCAATCCTCTTTTTCTCAAACGTGTTTGTTTTTTCAATTCCCTTTTGACCTCAAAAAAATTTCACTTTTTTTTTTTTTGTTAAATTAAAAAAAAGTTTCAGATCAATAAAAATTTTTTCCACCAATTTATTGCACAAAAATATAGTCTTGGTAAAATTTAAAAAAAAAAATTATTGTTCCTTCAAAAAGGAATAATCTCAGTGAATAGACGCAATAAAGAAAATATTAATTAACTTAATTAATAAATAAAATTATTGGTCCTTGGTAACATTACACTTTCGGTAATGTTGAATATACATGTCATAAATAATTATAAATCTTTCATATATATTTTTATATCTTGCAACCATGATTAGATTTAAAAGTATGTTAAAATATCTTACAACTAAAATATATTTCTATAACTTTAATTAATGTGTGTTTATATAATATGTGTATTAGATTAACATGCTTTCACTTTCATTCTAATTATATGTATATGATCAATAGATAGTTTTCATTGCAAAAAAAAATGTTTAAAAAATTTATATAAACAAATTTTTTTTTATTTTCATTCTCAAAAATATTTTGGAGTCATTGAAATACGAATATCAAATTCGTTTGTAAATTGAATATATATATTTTTACAAAATATCTGTAATATTATTAAAATACAAAGAATTCTCCAGGATTGTCAACAAATTTAACAATTATTATTTTAAAATATTCGAATCTTTGAAAAATGTCGATTCGTGAAATTAATTCAGATTAATTAGTTTAATTAATATTGTTGGCCTTGCTATTTAATATCAATTATTATTAGTTATTTAAGTGATATGATTTCTACTTTTTTTTAAGATTGTTATCATTATCTCTCACAATTCGAGGAAAAAGTTAATGTAAAGTTTTTATTGAGTCATCAAAAAAAAAATTTTTTTTAATTAATTTAAATATTAAATTTTTCTCCCATTAAAAGATTAAATACTAATTAAAAAATTTTAATCAGAATTTAAAAATATGTCAATTGATGAGAAATAAAAATATAAATATATATTAACAATTTTTAGTTACCTAATAAATTTTTCAAAAAAAAAAAAAATTTTTATTCACTGTTCCAATTTTTTGTTCCAGCTTAAAAATAATTTATTTTTAAATTATTAATAACTGAATAAATTTGCAACACTGTCTTCTGAATTTTTTTTTTTACTGAAAAGTTATCGCAGATGATAAATTTTTTTAATACAATATAGAAAAAAATTGTTCATTGTTTTTCGCAATTTGGTTATTTTTGTTTAATTTTAGTCGAGATTTTAATAAAAATAAAAATTGCATTCGAAAACAAATTTTTCCCCTTTGATAATTATTTTACGTAGTTAATTTTTTTCTCGTATTATTAAGTGATAACTATTTTAAAAAGATGATATTTATGTTATTTTCTAATAAAAACTAATTACTTTTAATATATTTTTAGGAAGAAATGACAAGAGGTACTGCGGTTTATAAGAAGGAAGTATCGTTGCTTTAACTAGTGAGGTTTTCTTTTAATATAACAATAATAAATTCACTGGGAAGGGAATATATCACTAGAAACTATTTTTATACAAAGCTTTTGAATACTAAATCACTAATGCTTCTATATTGACACATTTCTTTTCTTCAAGTATATGTACTAAAAATAATTATACCTACAATACTACTATAGTTTTGTATACTTTTTTTTCTTCACTGTAAAACATTCTAATATTAAAAATTAATTTGTTCATCCAATATTTAAATTAGGTACAATATTAATTAAAAACTAAAATGTTAAAAATAAAAAATTAATTTCTAAAATTAATTAAATATAACAAATTAATTTTGATAAAAATTTGAGCGTCCAATAATTCATTATTTCAAATTAATATTAGATTCAATTATTTCAGTTATTAATTATTAAAAAAAAAAAAAAAAATGTAATTGGATAATAATTTAAAATGAAGAATTCAATTTATTAATTATTTAAATAGTTTTTTAAAATAAAAAAATAAATATTACAATGAGAATAGAAATCAAAGTAAATGCTTCTAATTGCAATATTGTTTTTGTTAAAATTTACACTTTTTGTAAATATTACAAAAAGTAATAAAATAAATTTGTAAATTTTTTTTTGTAAATATTACAAAAAGTGAGAAAACATTGAATTTTTTTTACAGTGATGCTTTTCATTAATAGAAAAAGAAGTACATGAGTAAAAAGCGTTTGTGTAAATATTAAAAAATAACAAGTATATTATAGTTATTGTTGAAAACGTTATTGTTTCACTGGAATAAATGTTATTCTTTACTAGGCCTTTTATTTTCCTTGAAAGCATAAATATTTATGCTATGAATTGATATTTATTGCCTAAATATATTATAATTATAATAAGCTAGAATCAATAAATTGTCTATAAAACACTGCTAATTACTACTTTTGTAATCTAATTGCGTGATAATAAATGCATGAATAATTTGTTATATACTCCTTCAAAAAAAAAAAGAATGTAACGTGAAAATAATTGCAAATTATTCAAAAAGGCAAGAAAAAAGCATAAAATTAAAAACATTTAAAAGTATTTATAAAATTGAATATTATTCGCAAATAAGTGATGTCACAGATTTTTTTTTTTTTCATTAAAACTAAAATCACGGAAATTTAAGCATATTTCGTTTCAATAAAAAATTATTTTCAACATTTAATTACATTTAAATATTCATGAAACATTAAAAATTATTATTAAAAAAAAAATTTATCTACAAAAATCTTTTGAGTAAATTAAATTAGAATTATTGAAAGAAATGAATTTTGTGACGTCACTTGCTGAATTCTTTAAAGTATTTTATCTTTAACTTGACAAAAAAAAAGAATATTGCATTTCCCGCTTCATTCCATCTCGAGTGTACGAAAATAATTTTTTTTTTTTGTAATAGCAACATTATTACATTTTAACAGACTTCTCAACGATTCTTTTAGTATTTTTTTTTTTTTTTTTTGACTATTCCTTTTTTTTAACTCTAAAATTGGCTATAAATAGCATTATCATGCTATTTTCTAAAATGATTTATTATTCATATTATATCTTATCTTATTCTCAGATTCTCAAGTAAACTTCTTTCAAAAGAAAAAAGTAGATCATGCATTTGAAAAATTTTCCTAATTTTTAATTGAATTATTATTATTTGTCATTTTGCGTGTACGTCAGGTCAGTCATTGTCGGGATCACCTAATTTCTCTGCTCTTGCAGAGAGATTTACTTCTCATCTCGATAATGAGGAACTTGCGACAGACCTACCGCTAACGGCAGATTGAAGGCTCATCATTGATCCTCTATAATAGAAAAATTTCTTTAATATCGAAAAAAACAAAATGAATTAAAAAAATTCATTATTTTACAAAGTAAAATTTCAAATTAAATTACCAAAATTTAAGGATATTAACTTAATAAATAATAATATTAAATAAATCAATTCAATATTAAATTAAAAATTAAATCTACAATCAATAAAAAAAAGATTTGTTTTAATTTAATATTAATAAAATGAGCATAATTATTTTCTAAATTTTATTTTTCCTTATGTTCAATTATCCAAGTGATCAAATTTAAAATTAATTACATTCATTTTGAAAGAATAATTTTCTTTCTTCCAATTTTCATTAAACTTGATTTAATTCAAAAATTATATTAATAATGAAAATTACCAAATAAAATTTATGAAAATGAATTATGCGAATTTAATAGGCAATATAAATATTAAATTACCTGTAATGTGCCGATGGTAAAGTTTCATAAAAGTACATCAATTGGGCTTTATGGAAATTAATTGACGGTAAGAATTCTTCCTCCTCAGGATTTTGCCATTGCAAAATATATGTACCAGGTTCTTGCATTATATGTGTTCCCTAAAACACATTTTCGCAAATATTTATTTATTATTTTAAATTGATTATTTAATTTTGATTGGTTATATATATACAATTAATTAGATTTAATTTGAATTATAGTTTGTGTAATTTTACAAATATTTAATTATTTATTTAAAAAAAAAAAATTAATGCAAACGAAGATAATTAAAAATTTTACCTGAATGCTTTCTCCATCGTGACAAGTAATGCTGGGTTCAACTTTTATGCAATTTATACCTTCTTTCCATTCTTTGCTTCCAGTTTCGTGTTCAATTTGCGACGGTACAGTGAGTGTTCCTTAAAAAAGTTTTTTTTTTTTTAATTTAAAAAAATTAAATCTAAAAGCATTCCTTTTTCCAAAATTAAAAAAGAAATAAATATTAATTTTCCAAGTAGATTTCAATTTCGTTTCTTTAAATATATAAATATTTTTCCTAATAAATAAAATATTCAAATTATTAAATTTATTGAATAATAAAATTTTCTATAGATAATTTTTAACATTTTTATACCTAATTTATGAAAAATTATAAAAATCAAACTTAAAATTCGTTAAAAATTATTTTTTCTAAATTAACAGAAAAAAATGGGGGGAATATAATAATGCTAACAATAAAATATGAAAATATTAAAAACATTAACAAAATAAATATGCAAAATTTTTTCATAGAAATATTGAATTTTTATAAAAAAAATAATTAGGTAATAATTTAAAAAGTTAAAAGCGATGTTGTTGATACCTTCAATTGACTTGTGCAAGACGGTAAAAAGCACATTATGTCTCATAACATCAAAATCCCAAGTGAGCACAGCTCCCGGATCATTGGAGCGTATGACAACGTTATGCACTTGACCACGACCAAGACCAATCGATTGATACAAACAATGTTCATGTTCACTGTTAGGAACTTCCAAATCCATTCTGTATAAACTCTTTGGCACAACTCCACCTTCATTGACGTATGTCTAGATTCAAAATAAAACCAAAAAATATAATTAAACTTCTATTAAAACGCATGATTTACAAAAAATTTTAAATATTCAGTGCTAATACCAAGTTTCCTTTATTTAAAATTTTTTTCAGTTAAACATTTGGCTGACAAACTTAAAGAGACCACAAAAGCATTTATCGAATTATTTTAACAAAAAAAAAATTGTTGTTTTTACATAATTGCATTATATTTAAATAAAAATTTTCAAATTATTTGCATTTAATACTTCTCATTTAATTGACAATCAATAACAATAAGCAAATAACAGGAACTAATTCACAATTTAATAATTCTTAATTTCGAAAAACAAATCTTTTAAATTAATTTATTTTTTTTTTTATAATTAGAATTAAATTATTTAAAAAAATAAAGAAACTCAATACTTTTTTCTCTCTAAATAATAAAAATTTGTGACTTCTTTCCTGTTCTAAATATTAAAATTCGTTTCACATTTATAAATTTGAAATTTGTAAATAGTTAAAAACAAATACATAATATTGGGACAAATACGAAACATTAAATTTTTATTTATCAACTATACATATTGGAAATTGTGCTAAATATTTTCATTTTATTGACAACATGTTAAATTAATCCATTGAGAAAATAATTTGTGCCAACTAGTATGTGAAATTAAAAAAATTACATAATCCGGAAATCTGTTGAATTAAGTAACTTTGTGTTTATTTATGTGATTAAATATATTAAATGAGCTGCAATTGAATTAATCTTACATCATCTGTTTCCTCAAAAATGTAAAAGCGTCGAGGTATCAAACTGTATACTTCACAAAAACCTCCCTGTTATCCGATCAAAATTTTATTATTTACGAAATTGAATTTAAAAAACAAAACAGCGTACTATTTTCTATTAATATAAAAAAAACACACACAAAGAATAAAATGTGTGATACACTTTCGTTTTATTTGTAAATTCTCTTTTACTTTATATCACGTTTTCTAATTACCGTATATTTTAAAATTAAATTTAAAAAAAAAACTTAAGGCTACGAAATTTTAGGTATTGTATTATTTATTAATATTTAAAAATAATTTAAATTAATTAGTAGTATTATAAGAAATAATAAAAATTAATAAAATTATATTCTAGGAAATAATTAAAATTAATAAATATAAATTAATAGAAAATAGAAAACAAAAAAATAAAATAATCGAATAATAGAGAAAGTATTATTTAACAAATCTCACCTCTGACGTTCCACCGAGAAAATCAGGAATATATTGTTCGTCGATGTAATCACTGAAACCACCAGCGCCTTGTTCTTGATAATCAGTGCCACAGTAGAATATAAATTTGTTCCTCGTATTTTCATCTGTCAATAAAAATGTTATAAACTTCATTTTACTGAAAATTTATTTTTTTAACGTTATTATTATTAATCAATAATGATTAGTTATTATGTATAATTAAATTAATTATTTATTAATAAAATATCTAACTTTTATTGAATATAAAAAAATGTTAAGTTTTGTCCCATAATAATAATTTTTTTTTTTAAATAAAAATTAAGAAATAAGAATATTAGCTAATGAGCAAAATGAAAAAAAAAATTTTTTTTCTTACGAATAAAAGTACTAATTAAAGTCCACAAAATGGGGAAGCATCTTGGTGCCCGCATAATAAGAACTCTTCCCAAAGTTTCTGGATAATTGGCCTCGACAATCTCAATTATTCGTAAAAGTGCTTTAATTCCGGGTCTCCATAAATGTCGCATATTCAATCCCTCTAAATCAATGAGAAGCGTCCATTGTGATACTGGATGTCCACTAATATTTGTCGCTTCCTCCATCAATTGTAAACCCTCCTCACAAATATGTAAAGCCTGAAAAAAATTTCAATGACAATGACAAATTAATCAATTGTACATTTAAATAAATTAAAATTTTTTTTTTATTATTATTTATTATTAAATGAAAAAAAAATATATGAAAATTTTAAAAATCAAATTGTACATTTTTTTCAGCTTACCAATAAAAGTAATTCATCCTCTCCAATCGACTTGAGCAAACCTTTAACATCCATTTGTCCTAATCTGAGAATATATAGCGGACGGCCTTCTAAAAAATAAAATTAAATATTAAATATCATATTCATTGTATAAATAATTATTGAAATGAAAAAAAAAACATTCAAATTTCAAGTTTTATAAAAAGGAGAATTCAGACGCGAGATTATTTAAAAAGAAAACAAAAACTTTAGGAATAAAAGAAAAATTACCTTTATCAAAATGATGCCAACCACCGGGGAAATAATCCTTGACAACCTGAGGCATTTCGTACTCATCTAATAGTTTATCTATTTGATACTTCTTTCTCCAATGGAGGGACTGTGTCAACATTTCTTTAGCTTTTTCCACGGAAAATTCACTGGCGCGCAAAAAGCGAAGTAACGTTGCATCTCCAGGCACAGAACTACCTCTTAATTCTTCAATACTGTGTCTCAATTGTACTAAACGGCTTTCTTGCATCATATCCAATTTTCCCAAATACCTTTCAATATAATCCGACGACATTTGCATATCTAATGATAAAAAATTTAGAAAATCAATTTTAATTCAATAATTTCAAAAAATTTCATAAATTATTAAACTAATTAATTAACAAGAGGGACCGGTGAAATTTCAATCCATTGAAATTAATGTTTAGGGTTGTCAATTTTTTTTTTTCCCCAACATTATTAAGTGTTCAAAATTATAATATATGCAAAATTTAAAAAAAAAAATTAATTTTTTTATATTTTTTTCAAATAAAAGTAAAAATTAAACTTCTCCCAAAATTTCTCTTATTTTTTTATTAACAATTTTTGTGTTTTAAAACAATTAAACGCATGGATTTTGAAAAATTTTAATTTTTTCAAAAAATAAAAATTTGGAAAATAGTTAAAAATTACTCTTTTTTTTTTATTTATCATAGTGAAATGTGATTTTAGGTTTTGAAAAAATGCACAAAAAAAATTGTTTATCCTCAAAACAAGGTTAATTTTGATTGGTTTAAATTTTACTGGTAATTCTTTAAAAATTCAACTTTTTCCACAATTTTAATTATTTTTCATCGTCGAATTTTTTATACGCTTTTTTCATGTTTTTGTATAACCGTATAAATTTAAAAAATTTTAATTTTTACCTCGAGTGCTGGGTAATTTTGTTTCAATATTGCACGATTCCTTCAAGGGACTTTGTTTCTTCACCTCCTCCACACATCTGAAAAAAAAGAAAATTTCTTAATTTTCATTCATTTTCCAATAGATCTGTTTTTCTTCATAATTTAAATATTGTTTTCAAAAACTTAATGAAATTAAAAAAAAAACTTAATTACATATATTAATTAAATTTTACACTCGATTAATTTTTAATTACAAATTAATTTATAGTTGCAAATTTTCAATAAATTTTTAAATGTTTCAAATAAATCAAATATAAGACGTGCATTTTTCTTAGAAAACTGAAAAAAAACACTTACGAATTTTCATCTTTAATTGAAGGTTCTTTCTCTGGAGGTACCCAGGGGGCCACATAAGTGATACCATCCTCTTTTAATTGATTGATGAAAAATTCTATAATCTCCTTTCCCTGAAATGAAATTTATTTTTAATTTTCACACAATAATTTTTAAAATATTATTTTATTCAAAAAAAAAAAAAAAATTAGTAATAATAAAATTATTAATTAAATTTGTAAAAAAATTCGTTACCTTTGCAATATTCTGTGCATATTGTTTCATTGCCAATTTTTCCATAGAACTTTCAAATCCAAAAAAATTTTTGATATCAAGACTTGCTGTTTGTTCGAAACATGTCCAATCGGGATTTTCCGGATGAATCTATAAACAGTGAATATTTAAAAAGTTGGATCACGCAAATTTAACATCAAAGCCAAGTTATAATGAATTTAACTATTAAATTCAACTAATTGAAAAATCAATTAGAAATATATATATACATGTATATACTTACAAAGTATCGACATTTTTCTAAAACAGTCACTCTCGATGCAAAACTTTCATTATAAGCCTCAATTTCTAAAATACTGTTGTGACGGTTCAATACGTTTCTTTGAATAAAATATATAAAGTCTACGCCTATTATCTGAAATTACAATATTGTTTTTAATTTAATTTTTATCTTCATTTTACATATAATATAATAAATTCCTTTGGAAAAAAAAAATTAACTTCCCTATGAAGAAAAACCAATAAAATACTTTGATATTTAACAATTAAAAATTTTCAATGTAACCATTTTTTTTATTCAAAAAACTTTGAGATAAATCTTGAATTTTTTTCATAATTAAATTCTTTTTATCAATACTCATTAGTTATGTATTTTTTTTATAAATTTTTATCTCTAAAATAAATATACCTTAAAATAACCAAAAAAAATGGGAGACAAAAAGAATTTTTGAAAAAGATGTAAAATTTTGTAAATAAAATTATATTTAAATTATTTTATAAAATATAACAATTAAATATTTAATAATTATATATGTAAGAATAATAATAATAATAATGAATAAATATTTATTCGCGTAATACAGCGACAAATAAGATATATATTTATAATTTTGTTAAAATTATAAATTAATCATTAATATTAAATTACCTTCTTTAAAATGTAAGGTGCGTCAACATTTAATTTACACCTTCGTTCTGTTGTTCTGACTGATCCGCAAGGACTTTCTTCCTCTAAAGTTACTTCACAACCAATAAAAACGGGAATTTGTGGACAGGTCGGAAAACGTCGTTCGTAGGCCTTTAAATTATCAAATTAATAATTTTAATTCTCATCAGATTTAAAAAAAAATTTTTTTTTTGAAATTCATAAAAATATTATTATTATTTTACGTGGTTAAATTAAAATTTCAGAGTAATACTTTATTTAATTCCCGTAACTAATTAATTTTACTTTAATTACATTTTCAATTACAAAAAAAAAATAATAAAGTTTCAATTTCTTTTAATAAATAATTATTTCAATTTAATTATTATCATTAATTGTAAAAAAAAAAATATGCGATAAAAAATAAATTCCTTTGCACAAGATTATTTACAACTTCAAGGACATGTAAAAGAATATTAAAAGAGAAATTTATTTTCGACTTATATATATATAAGTTTAAATGATCATTAGGCATAACTTTATAAACAAGGTAAAATGTTTCAAGTGGTAAACACAATCGATGTATTGATTCTCGCTCGAAAATAATTCCATGCAATGTCAAACTCGTTTGACAAGTTTTCTGGGACATTTAAAAAGCACGTGATAATCGGTCGAGAAAAATTATTGTCTATATACATAAAGCGTAATATGTGTTATAAGGGCGTAATTTGTAGTTCGCACGATCATTATAGTAAATTATAGACTAATAGAAAAATTAAATAAGTAACGCAATAGTAAATCGTACCATGAGAGGAAAAATACTGAAACTCAAATATCTTGAATTTTTCGTTTTTTCCTTTTACAATGACTTTTAATATTTTTTAAATTATTTACATTAATATTTAGTGATTTATTTTCATAAAAAAAATTATTTCATTAAAAATTATAATAAATTTTTTCAATGAGGGAAAATTTAAAAAAATAAATAATACGTAATTTTTTTTTAAAAGAAATATTTTAAAAGTCATATATATTTAAATGCATTCAAAAGATTACAAAAACTTGGCATATTGATAAGAAAATAATTAAACAAAGAATTGCTTTTTAATTCAAACTGTAAAAAGAATGACAAATTAATTATTGTCACATTTAAGACTAGGATAATTAAATTATTTTTCAAATGAGCTCTACATTTTCGGATAATCAAAAAAAGTGTATCTTAAAAATAAATATTCTTTACAATTTTAAATTTTATAATTACTTTATGGAAATTTTTTCTCATGTAAAACATTTATTTCTTAAGGTGTAATTCTTTGTTTGCTTTAATTTCAATATAGTTCAAGAGTGCAGAAAGTGAATAGAAAGTAGGTGAATGTCAAGCAATGAATATTTAATACAAGTACAACAGCAAGGGCTGCTATAGAATATAAACATACCATCATGACAAGTGGAAAAGGGTGTTTGTAAACCCGAACAGGTGATTGATATTGTTGCACCATTATGGTAAATTTATAAAATCAAAATCTAAATAAAACACTTCAAAATATTTGTTTTGCTAGAGATAGCAATTTAATAAAAATAAATTAAAATTTATAAATTTCTTCAATCTAAAACACAATCAACTGTCACAAGCTGACTACTGACATTTCATGGCTTCAATTCAGTCATTGGTCATTTAATCAGCGCAGAAAGCATTGCGCAAGTTCATATATCCCTTGTCTGTAACCAGGGATGGGAAGACTTTCCGAATTGTAGTTTTTTTTACGTAACTTCGTAACTCGTAAACGTCCTCGTAAGTATTTAAATACTTGCGAAGCATTGGGATGCCCCTCCATCACAAATAAATGTTGGGGCAGTAAGGCTGCTTTCACAATAGTATAGCTAAATTGCATCGTCTTGAAGGCGAGATTTTTTATGACGAGACGATATGCCGATTAGGGTCTGTCACTTTATTATAAATAATAAATAAATTGTAGGATAATAAATAAATAAACACTTTTTTGATTGGAAAAACCCCTCTTAGGTAAAACAACCAATTGAGCTGCCGGATCAAAGAAGGGCACATAACCCATTTAAAATACATTAGTTATGTGCCCTTCTTTGATCCGGCAGCTCAATTTTATTCAGTTCGAAGATTGAAAAATGAACAAATTTAATAATTTTCAGTTGAATTGTAGAATTATCATTATTGTTTTGTTAATTTAAATAAAATTGCAATTTATTTGATAATTCTCAATAGTTAATTATTATAACAATTAAAGAATTGTTATTCGTCTTTAAATGTTTGAATATTGTTCACAATACTTAATTGAAATTATTTACAATATAATATTTATTGTAATAACTCTAAGTTAATTACAATACTTAGTTTGAGAATCAGAAGTTACGCGCAACACTTCTTGCTTCTTCTCAAAATGTTCTGAATTTACCATTTTTTTATAAATATAATTTTAAATGCATAATTAATATTATTATAAAATACTTTTACGCTCATATTAATATCATTTAAAATTATTAACAATAATGTTACATGATTTAAAAATATTTACTATGTAATTATAATCAATATCAAATAATATTTATTGGATTTTTCAATAAATATTTACTTTTCGTTAAATAACAACAAATATATGTTTCATAATGAAAAATAAAAAGAAAATCTATTTCAATTTAATAACTTAAAATTTCATCTGAGTCTAAATTTTTAAATCTCGATTGAAATTTCTCGACTCATTTCATTCCACTGAACTCTACACTGTAAAAAATCTCGACTGAATTTTACATCGACGCTCGAGGGTAATAAAAGGACCCTCGACGCTCGTGGTGATTTTACGAACTAAAAGTAAAATTGCATTGTCGGACTGAATTTTAATTTGCTGAAATTAAAATTTATTCTGACAAATGAAATTTCATTTTAGAGTTATTATTTTTCAGTTCGATAGTTGTAATTTTTCAGTTCTATAGTTGTCATTTTACAATCTAAAGATTAATTTTCGTAAAGAATTAGTAAAATTAATTTTTAAAATGTAATCTGAATATTGGTTATATTTAATGCTAAGGAAATTGGATTGAAATAAAGGTTATGTTGTACGGTTCGGTGAAATTTAAAATTTCATAACTTTTCCAGATCATTTTTTCCAAAATTCCACAATAATGATATATTAATGTTATTTAAAAATTATTTCAATTTTGAAAATGAGCTGAAAAAGTAATGAAACCCTAAATTGTACGTGAGACCGTATATATCATCTATTTGAAAATAAAAATGATTAATGGTAAAATTATTATTAAAAAGCAATATTTATTTAAAATAAAATATAAAATTGTGTATTTTTCTTTGGACGACCAAATTTCATATACTCCTCTGCTTATCTGAAATAATTAATAATCTTAATTAAATTTTGTACCACGTGTACAACACATAATCATGCATATATGAATGCATTACAAGAAAAAAAAATAACTTTATAATTAAATAACGTGTTTTCACTTACCTTTAATCAAATAATGACATCTAATATTTGCGATGAGACGCGTTGTCGGCACTTGATTTTTCGCCAATGATGCTTTATTTCTCCATTCAGAAAGATATGAGAAGAATGGTAAATTTCCTCAAAGCACATACGAAATTTACTTTTACGGAATTAAAAATAATTTTTTATTTCGTCAATTAAATTTTTCTGTCCGTAAATTTCATTTTTCTTTCCGTAAATTTCAGCCGAGAATAGAGGTAAAATTACCTCCAGCGTCCTTTTATTACCTTCGACGCTCAGTATTGGGATCTGAAATCATAGGGAATTATGGGGAAACTGACCCCGTTGCGTCAGCCATCTTGATTTTTTATCTCTTTCTTCTACATATATTTTAAAAAGGATGAAACGAAAAATGGCTGACACAACGGGGTCGTCACCAGATGGCGTATCGCAGTATTTCAGATCCCAATATTTTTCATCCGCGACTTAAATACAAACTTAAAATTACTTCGACAGTCAACGTAAAATTCAGCAGACATTTTTTATAGTGTATATATCTGGAATGATGTCTGACATTGATGGTCGCGAACCGAGAGAGAGGTCTGATTCTTGTATCCCTCTCCTTCTCTTGCTAAACTGCGCAGCAGTGTTGTCAGATGCCTATGTCGCTTTTCCCCTAGATCGCTAGATATTTTCCACTAAAAGTAAATTTTTTCCCCTAATTTTCTCTAGAAAAATAAAAATAAATAAATAGAAAACGTAAAAATCTTTAACTCAACGCAAAATTTAAATTTTTTGACACTAATTATGCAAAAGTTATTTGAACTTAGAGAATCGTTTAATAAAATTTAATATAGTTCAATGTAATAAATATATAACAATAATGATAGACATTTTTTTGGAATTTCATTTATTTAAATATTAATTCCAGTTAAAATTTATTTATAAAATTTATGAACTTAAGAATAGACATTGCATTAATAAAATAAGCTTCATGGAGAGGTCACACCTCGGCTGCAGGAGCAGTTGCCCATGGCAACCGTGTAAGAGTAAGAGAGATAGAAGATTTTCCATCTCTGTTACTCTTACACGGTTGCCATTGGCAACTGCTCCTGCAGGCGAGGTGTGACCGCTCCATCACAAATAAACTGTACTAAACAGTAGTGCAGGACTTGGCACGTAGAAGAGCATCCTTTCTTATAGAACTGTGTGACTAAAAAAACCACGAAAGAAAAAAAAAGATACTAAGGCTGCAGTCCCATGGCAGCGTTTTGCGTTGCGTTTTGTCACTAGACCCTGAGTGCAAACATAGCAAACATATATCTGCATCTCTTTTACACTCATGGTCTAGTGACAAAACGCAACGCAAAACGCTGCCATGGGACTGCAGCCTAACTTGGCAACACTGCTGCGCAGGCGTAGTACAATACGTTCCAAAAGTTTACTGTTAACTGTGTTATGTCATGAGTTCCCTATAGAAATTTTTACTAGAAGCAGAGTGCAGACGCCAGACGTCAGAATTGGCAAGTGTTGTAACTTTAATTATTGTTTTGTTTTTGGTCGTTTTGGTTGTTGTTGATGTAAGTAAAATATATTACATAATTGATTATATACGTGTTTAAGGAAAAATAATTCTTAATTAATTAGATTAAAATGACAGTGATACACTTTGATATAAATAAAAATTCATAATTAAATTAAAATCGCAGTTATTAACATATAAAAATTCGTTCAAAGGAATTCAACTTTAATTTACGATATTCAAACTAAAAACTTTTAGTATACCTATAATAATTTATTCATATATAACTTCTGTGATTTTAAACATCAAAATATGATTGCAAAGAACAAATGTATATATATATTAATTTTTTTTACTTCATGTATAAATGCAAACCATCGCACATTCAGTTTATAAATTCTATAAAATACTTGAAAATCTGAAATAATGTTTATTTTCAGGTTTATTTTTATCATATACTACTGTTTTTGATAAAGAAAAAAAATATAAGCTCTCATTATGAATTATTCAAAAGGAGCGAGATTCTTTCCAAATGAGTGTCACATTTGTAAGACAAGAAAGGAATTAAAAAGATGTGAATGCAATATGATTGCATATTGCGGAGAGGATCATCGATTACAAAATTTACCAGTTCATGAAAGTTTCTGCAAAGCAGTTAGGGAATTGTTAAAAGAAAGAAGATTATCGCATGTTTATGAAGAGACTTTTCCTCTATTTGGAAGTGATTGGATTAAGAAAACAGATGAAATTAGTGGAGAAATAATAAAGAAATTAGGAAGATGTATGAGTCCATTAGAAATAACAATGCGAAAACGTCCGCGTGTTTGTTTTGTTTGTCGAGAATTTAAACAAGAAGAATTAAATAATTGTCCTGGTTGTCCAGTAGCGACATTTTGTAAACTTCATCCCAATAATGAAATTCATAGTGAGAATTGTGCAGTGATGACCAAATATTTAAATCTATTAACAACAGCGGACGAATTAAATATTGATTTACAATTTTTGTCATCAAATTTTCCATATATTACAGAAGAAAAGAAAATTGGAATTATAGATCGGCTTTCATATACATTTAAATTAAGTGATACTGATACAAGTAGTTTACAATCGAGATTATTGAAACTTAATCTATTTGATTTTATTGACAGTGCATCAAAACTTCATATTGCTTTGCAAAAAATTTACAAAACAATTCCTTTAGAAATAATAATTCATCTTGATGCACAACAATCTAAACATGCGATTGTAAAGGAAAATTATTGGGAATTTCTATTGCATCTAAATCCAGATATAAAAATATTAAAAATTGTCATCACTGGAAGTGAAAATATGTTCAATTTAGAAACTTCTCTTTGTGAAAAATGTCGTTTCATGGAGAAAAATTTATCTATTGAAATTCATTCGACGCCCTATGAACATTACATGCTACAAGAAGATTATCAAAAACCAAATTTTTTATTTTATTGCCGAACTGATGATGAAAAAAATTCTGCAAGAACTAATAGATGGAATCAAATTAATTGTCCCATTGTTTTGCCAATTGTTTCGGAATTAAATTTCCATGAAACAAAAAGTATTCTTGTATTTTCAACAGCAAATAAATTTAAAATTATTTATGGTGGACAAATTTTTTTACCTTTCAGTGATAAGACTTTACCTGGAAATGACGATTATATTATGATATTCAAAGCGAAAGGAATTACAAATAAACGAACGAAATATCGTCGTGATAATACCAACATGGAAGGAATAATTAGTAAAAGAATGAAACTTACGGAAGAAATGAATCCAGAAGAAGTGAAATCTCTTTCATCATCATCATCCTCTTCTTCATCAAACTCTGATGATAATTGTTCTAATGAAATTGACGAACAAAATAAAAACTTAGAACCATCTTCAAAATTTCGCGTCAATGATTCAAATTGTCAAATTAATTTATCTCAGACATATTTAATGAAACATGTTACATATCTTCAACATGAAAATGATGGATTACGACAACAATTAAATTCATCTGTTCAAGAATTAACAAAACAACAGGAAAAAATTCTTGAACTTGAAAAAATTTGTTTTCATTTAAATGAAAAGAATAAAATAATTAGAAATATATCACGTGATATTGTTAGTATTATAGATATTGATGATGAAGATCTTGGTTCATTGCTCGAAAAGAAAAACTTTGGTTTTTAATTAATTAATTAATATTAGCTAATGACATTTCAGTTGAAAAATTGTCGTTTTTTAAATTAATTATAACTAAAAAAATGTTCCATATTATCTTCTTTATTTTGTAATCATAAATTGCGAGAATTTTAATTTCTTTTAAAGAAAAGATTATAGAATTATATAAAGAATGTTTACAAAAAAAAAAAAAAATCAAGAGCTTTGTTGTATAGATTAGTCAAAAAGAAAAAAAATTGCTATCGACATTGATTATCTTAAAAAAATGTTAAATTTCGTTTTTAAAAAACGTTTCCATTACAATTGATTATTAACTTTTTTAGAATTTAATATATTATTTCGCTTAATGTTGTATGTTTTACATTTTTTTTAAAAACTTGTAATTCTCTTTCTAAAACACGAGATATGTATTTAAAATTTTTGTAATATTTATCTTAAAAGTTTAATTGCTTATAAATTTTTTGGGAAATATAGAAAAATTATAATCTTGCATTTTATGCACATTTATGATGAAAAAAGATTATTATTTTCATTACACTTTTGTGAGAAGTTTGTCTTTTTGAAATGTAATATAAATTTTTTTATATATATGTTTTCTTTTTTGTAATAAAATTATTTTTTTATTTAGTTTTTCAATTTTTTAAATGTGTAAGTAATATCGCTTTTATAAAATGCAGAATAAATATTATATATTTCATAACTTGTTAATAAATAATGAAAAAGTGTTTATAGTCAAATATATGTGTATTTTTTAAATGGTCCGCAAAATTTATTATTATTACTTTTCCATATAAGAAGCATTGTGGTGAAAATTTTTTGATTATTTTTATTTTACATATTTTGATGTTATTTGAACAAAATTTCAGGCAAAAGTTTTTCATTGAAAAATGCTTTCAGATAATTAAATTTTCGAAGAATATTATAAAAATCACTAGAAATAATTGCAATTTTTTGCAAATAATTAAATTTCAAGTGATTTTAAATTAAAAATTTTTGGTAATTTTATTTGTTTATTTTTTTAAAATTATAAATAATTATTAAATTTCATAAAAATCTTAATTGAAAAATAATTTAACATAATTGGATTTGTGAAGAAATTCATTAAAGTTATTAAAATAAATTAATTTACTGAAGAATTTTAGTTAAAAATTTCTTAAATAATTGAAATAAAGAATATCTGAAGAAAATCTGCATTGTATACTAAAAAACGTATTTTGTTTAATTAAAAAAGTCGAAATAGTTGCATTTTATTAAAATAAGTCAAAAAAAAGTCATATTTTTGAAAAAAAATCGGAAAAAGTCTAATAATCCGAAGCCTGTCATTTATTAAAAAAATAATGGTACCAATAAAAGAATATAATTCAAAAATTTAATGAAAATATATATTTTTAAAATTAATTATTTTTAAATACAATTACTAAATTTGTATTTAAAAATATTTTTCAAAAAGTAAATATCCCATAATATAACTAAATACAATAATTGTCAAATTTTTTAAAAGATATTTAAAACTTTTCATTTTTTTCATAGATTAGAAAAATATTTGAAATTAAACAAAAAATAGACAAAAGATACTTTTGAACGTTCATATTATATTTATTAAAAATTAAAGAAAACATTTTAATACATAATGCAGAAAAATTGGTATTATTCAAATACAAGAAACAATAATTAAAACACATAATTATTATCAAAGGTCAATATTTTAATATAAAAAACACATTTCATGCGTTTGTAACTTAAAAGTGATTAAACTCATTAAATCTATTTTATTATTATATTAAGAACATTAAAAAACTTTTATAAACTTTATAACTTTTTTAAAAATTTTATTCCTTATCAATTGCGGAATTAATACTTTTTTCAATACTCTCGATTGCTTCTTTTATCAAAATACTTTTATCAATTAAATTAGGATAAATTGTTTGTAAAACTGAAATTTGATTATTCAGTTTGATATTTGAAGTATTTGCTAAATACAATTCCTGTTTTAATTTTTCAATTTCGGCTTGAAGACATGAATTCTGTTGAACTAACAATGATTCTAATGATATTCCAAATTTTTTTTCGTGCATTGAATCCTCACATGTAACTTGTATATTTTCTCGTTTATCTTCAGTTTCTTCATTATTTTTTTTTTCTCTGAAATAATTTCCCCAGTTTTTGAATAATTTTTTTGATATTCTAAATCTTTGTTTAATTTCGAGTCTTTGTGTTCATTCATTTTTTTCATAAATTTATCTTTTTCCTTTTTGCTCTTTAAATATTCAGAATTTATTTTATTTTTTAGTTCCATCAAATCCAAGAATATATTCATAAAAATTCTATCCAACATTTCTTCTTTATTTTCCGTTGAATTTGACGAATTTTGAATAAATTTTTTCCCCTCTGGAATTATTTCTTCAGCTTTTTCGAGAATATTTCCTTTTTAATTTCGATACTTGAATTCCCAAAAATAGTATTTATTTTCAATAACTTCCTTTGTCATTGAAATCGCTTTTTTGGTTACTTCAGGTTTCCGTTGAATTTGACGAATTTTGCAATTTCCAGTTATAAGCAATTATATATTTATTTGAATACATTATTCCTGTTGTTTCAAAATCTCTTTTGAGGCACAATGACGCAAATGGATTTTCTTCGAAAAATTCAAAATTCACGGATTTTGCAAGAAGATCGCAAATTGTCTTGTGATCATTCTCGGCACGTTCTTTAGTTCCAGCTGTGAGAATAAAGGGAACTTCCATTTTTTCCAATGTCAAAATTGTATTTTTCCAAATTCTTTCGGGTGTCGATAATTTTTTTTCATGAATATTGAGACCACATCCAAAAATAACATCTGGTTTAACAAATTTTTTACTCGAGAAATATTCATCGTAATTTAAAGCGTAAACTTCAATTTTCAAATTTATTTTCATGTCAGAATAGTTGAATACATCAATTATGGGAAAATCGCGAAACTCTGAACCGATAAATATTATTTTTAAATTCTCCAATTGATTGACATGATAAAAAAGAAATGCCCAGAGAAATTTCTCCTCAAAATTTTCTTTATTTGCTCCAATTATGTGAATTATCATTGAAGAGTTGATTTTTTTATTTATTTTTTCCATTGTATAAAATAAAGTCAACGGAGCTGACAAAAAATTGTTTACGAATAATATTTTCGAAAAATTATCTTCTTTTACTGAAATTTTATTGATTAATGGTGGAGTCAACATTTCCATTGAAACTGGTAATTTTCCATTGAAAAGTTTATCAGACAGTTCATTCAATAATGAAAAAACTATTTCAATGAAAGCTTTTGTTGAGTCAGAATTTTTCATTTTAGAAATTTCATCCGCTGTTTGTTCTAATAGAGAAAAATTTACGTTTATAATTGGTGCATTTGAAGACATTTTAAAATCAATTGACAATTCCTTGCAAATCTTTTTGTGTGTTGGATCGTTTTTGTGAGTTTTGCAAAGGAATACCTGTAAAGAAATTAAAAAAAGCTGTTAAAAATAAAAAATAATAGACAAAATTTTTTATAAAATTTAGATATAATAATTTATATAATTAACTATTTTATAAAATTTACTTCAAAATAAAATTCAATTATTATTCAATCAAATAATTAAAATTATCTTCAAATATTTAATTAACTAATTGAAATTATCTTCATATTTTATCCCGAATAAAATATTTCTTTAATTATTATGGAAATTTTTAGTTTTAAACTGATTTACAAAAAAAATTCTAAAGTCTAACTCAAAAATAAATTATACTAAAATTTAGACAAAATTAATTTTTGTTTGTTTTATAATAATTTATGATTAAGGGGAAGGACCGGTGAAATTTCAACTCATCGAAATTCATGTTGTTAAGGGGTGTCAATTTTTTTTCTGTCATTATTTGGGATCTAAAATTATTGTGAATTATCAAAATTAAAAAAAAAAAATTTTTTTGACCATTTTTGAAATTTTATTTTTTGAAAATATTAAAATTTTTAAAAATCCATACGACTGATTTTTTAGAATTATGAAAAAAGCCTACAAAAAAATTACCGATTAAAAATAATAAAAATTGTAAAAGAAAAAGAAGTTGAATTTTTAAGGAATAATTGAGAAAATTTAAATCAAACATAATTGGTTTGGTTTAAGGCCAGGTCCAAGTCGAGTCAGCTGTTCCTTTGAAGTTTCAATGGAACAGCTGACACGACTTGGACCTGGCCTTAAGGGTAACAATTGTTTTTTTAAATTTTTTTTTTAGAACCTGAAATCATATTTCACTATAAAAAATGAAAAAAGTAATTTTTAACAATTTTTTTTTATTTTTCAGAAATTTTTTTTGAAATTGTATCAATAAAATTAGGAAGAGGGGAAAAAATAGAAGAAAGAATAATTCAGGGTTACCACAAAAATTTTTAAAATAATTTTCCCTGACTTCCAGACAAAAATTTTGTATTTTTCCCTGACATTTTCGTATTTTCTATCAAATAAAAATTCTACAAATAATTCTGTAAAATTGTTATTTTACATAGTTATTTCTATTATAACAATTATTATTGTTGTTCTAAATTGTTATTTCAATTATTGTTTATTTGATAATTTTGATTTGATTTTGATAATTTCATAATAATATCATTAATTCCTTATAATAAGAATTTACAAAATTTTTTTAAGTCTGATTTAAGCAATTTGTTCGAATTTAAAATTTAGTCATAGTTTTTAGTTTTAATGGTCAAAAAACTTTAAAGAGTAATTTGAGCGACTCCACGTCAAGTGATCGCACCGATTTAGGCTATTTTGATCAATTTTTATAATATTGATGATTTGGGTTCCTTTAAGGGTCAAAAAAATAAATTCTAAGTATTTTTAAAAAATTCAAAATATTTTTCAAAATATTGCATTTAAATTTTTTGTAATTTTTTTTTTTTTGATTTATTATAACTTCCGTAATTTTTAACCAATCAGGATGAATTCTTTTTTAAAATACTCGTAATTAGATGCTCTTTCATGAAAAAAATTTTGAAAAGAAAAATTCAAAAATTTTAATTTTTATTAAAAAAACAATTTTAATTGTTTAAATAATTCAAAAAGTATATCTTCGACTTTTTTTTTAAAAATTCATGAACATTCTCTACAATGTTCTGAAAAATTTAAGACCTTGAAAAAGATGATATGTCTTATAGTTTTATAGAAAGACTGAAAAATACCATGCCTAGTATGGCAACCACTACCGAGTTGTGCCGTGGGGTGCTGAAACAAAGATTTTCAATAATTATCTGTTAATTATTTGGATTGTTAAAAATGCTATTTACACTGTTTTTTTTGACGTAGAATTAGATGATCTTCCAATTAAAAAAATAATTGACGATTTATCTTCATTTCTTCAAATGTTATTAATTATTTAAATAATTTTTATTATTAATTATTAATTTAACACCCGTTTATCCAAAATAGTTCATATAGGGCTCGTTGGATGCGGATTTTGATAAGCATTGGAATGATATTTTTAAAATTATTCTAATTTTATTTGTTCGTAAAATATTTCATTTTTTATTAACTTTTGTTAGTTAATTAATTAATATCTCGAAAACAAAAAATAATGCTATCTTTAAAATTTAACCATCGATTTATTATGACTTAAACAATATTCATGATTTTTATCGCGCTTCAAAATGGGGAAAAACATGTTTAAAAGTTATAAAAAAATTTTATTTTTTAAACAAATTGTTTAAAAATTCATTTTTTTTTTTTAAATAATTTTTTTCTAAAAGTTTAAAGGTCTTTTGCGTAAAAAACATTCTCAACATTTCTCTCTATTTTTAGTAGGGAAACAGTTATAAGTAAAACAAAAAAATATTGCTCTAATTTGTTATTGTAAATATCTCAAAAAATATTCAAAATTTGAACACTTATTTAGCACCACTATCACTACAATTTACCGAATTTTAAGAAAAATCCGAGACATGACCCCGTATTCTCATATGAAATGCCTTATAGTTATATTAAATCAAAAAAAAAAATCCAAAAAAATTAAATGTGCAATATTTTGAAAAATATTTTGAATTTTTTAAAAATACTTAGAATTTCTTTTTTTAATCCTTAAAGGAACCCAAATTATCAATATTATAAAAATTTATCAAAATAGCCTAAATCGGTGCCATCACTTGACGTGGAGTCGCTCAATTAAGTTTTTACAGATTTTTGAATTAATTTTTTTTTTTTTAAATAATTATATTGCAAAAAATTTTAAATTTTAAATAAATTTTCTGCAAATTTTAACTGCTGTAGTTTTTTGTTTTTTTTTAAACTGACAATTTAATTTTAGAGTTTTTATTTGAAACTTCTTTAAATATAATTGAATTTTAAAAGAAATATTAAAATTATTAAAAACATATAAATTTTAAAAGAGTTACAATTAAAATTTGAGTAATAATTTAATTTTAAAAGATTTTGTTAAATTTCATAAAATTTTTATTTTAAAAAATTGATTGAGATAATTGAATTTGTGAAGAATTTAATTCAAATTATTTAAAAAAAATTAATTTAGAGAAGAATTTTATTTAAAAATTTGTTAAATAATTGAAATAAAGAAAATCTGCATTATATACTAAAAAAGAAATATTTTGTTTAAAAATTTGGTATAAAAAAATGTAAAAAGTCGTATTATCCGAGGCCTGTTGATGTTATAAGAAACTGATTTTTTGTGAAATTTTAAGAATAAAATATAAATTCCACTACTAAAGCTTGACAATTTTTAGTAAATTTTTTTTTTTTTTTTTAGTTAAGGGAAAATCTCTGGAACTTTTAACTATTATGTCCCTCGCGTATATTTTGTTAATTCCAATGAAATTTTACCTGGTTTTTGTTGGAAAAATCAATACTTGATACGAGCAATCATTTCCAACAGGTTTCACATTAATTTATTAAATAAATAAATAATTATTTAATTTTCAATGCACGATTTTCAACAATTTCTACTTGTCCCTAACCATACTTTGTGGTGCTTTAAACGATAAAACTTTATTATTAAAAAAAATTACCAGTTCTAAGATACGTCATTTTAAAGTTAATTAAACGATGAACACATTTTCGCAAGAAAATTAACATTTTGTAAATTGTAAAAAAAGTTATAAGCTTTTAAAAGTTGTCCCTCACTTTTAACCTTTTTGACTGCAATCCTCTTATTTAGCATTTTTCTTTGATAAGACAATTGGCACACCAAAATAACTTATGAGAAATTAAAGTTCAAGTCATTAGAATTATTTTGAGACATATTAAATTGATGTGCCTCGTGTCTTAAAAAAATTATTGTAATTTTAATAACAGAAAACACGTGTGTACAAAATTTGAAAACGACCGAAATACGAGTGATACTCCACGAAAATCAGTGTGAAGTTGACGATTTTCATTTTTTAAATAGAAACTGTCAATATAATTAAAACCTGAAGGTTAAGTTTAAATGTTTGTTTTGAGATTTATATACAGACGAAAATGAATCCTTTGAAATTAATTACCAAAAGAGATAAAATGCGAGAGAAAAGAAAAATTGAAAACGAGAAGCGAGAAATGAAACTGGAAAATTTACGATTATTAAATTTAAATACAGAAATGTCTTTGAAAGATGTTTGGTATTTAAAAATTATAGTTTTACATTTTTAATTCCATTTAATTTAACTTAAATATATTTATCAAATAAACATTTTAATTTTTCAGTAGCTCAAAAACAAGCAAAATGAAAAGTGAAATAAAAAATAATTTGAGATCAAGTAAGAGTGATGTCAGTGATTCTACAGTTTGTGCTTCGGTTGAAAATAATACAGATTTTGACAAGTAATTAAATTATAGTGATTTCTTTTATTATTATTATTATTATTTCTTTTATTCTTTTTTTTATTATATTTGTTTTTATATCTACTACGTTATGAGAATTTTATTTTAAATAAATGTTGAAATTATTAACCAAATTTTATCATTTTTAAAAAATTGTAACTTCACAGTAATTTCCTTTCCATTGTTTTTCATTCCAAAATCAACCACCTGTTGAATACTTTTCTGTTTTAGGTTAACAATAATTTGCAATTTTAAATAATTAATAACTTTTTTAAGACAAAAAATTTTATCTGTCCACTTATATAATTTGAAATCTTCGTACTTGAAGTTTATGTTGACAGAGTTTCAATACTGTGCTCGAAAAAAAGAATTTTTTTTTCCTTTATTGAAAAGTTAAAAGTTCCAGAGATATGCCCTTAAAATAGTAAAAATATTATTCTTACCCCACATTCGCAACTCTTTAGCAAATTCGAATCACTATCGTGGCAAACTCCACAACTCTTTGGAAAAAGAAACATTTCCTCCTCGTTTTTTGTTAATTTTCTTCCAATTCTCATTTGTACATTTTTCAATTTTTCAATTCTCATGCTTAGCCACTCATCTTGATTTAAAGTTTTTTCCTCATAAAAAAGATATTTTTCTTTCATTTCCTGTTGTAAACGGAAAATTACTTCGCATAAATCTTTATGATGAATTTGATCTTGATTCAAATGTTTTTTATCACAATAGGAAACAATTTTACAACGTTTGCAAATTATTTTTCCTTCCGTTTTATGGCAAAAATTACAAATTTGAGGATAATACGATGTCTCATTATTGACAATTGTGAATTTTTGCTCAACATTCTCATCTGGTTGAACAATAGTCATAAATTGAGAATGTCGTAAAAATTTAACTTCCATCGTTTCGAAATGAGATGAAAAATCATTGTATCCACTGTAAATTGTTCGACAATTACTAAATAAATTCAGTAAATCAACTTTTGAAAAATTATGACAAGTTAAAATTGAAGACGTTAATACAAGAGGACAAGTTAATTTTTGTAATTTTGTCTTTTCCTCTTTGAAGTAACCAATTTTACGAAAAAAATCAATTTCACATGAAGCTGTAGAATTTAAGATAGCAATTAAAGAGGGTTCGTTGTAAGAAACTGGATTCATCTCAACTATGATAATTTTCCTCTTAAGCTTACAGTCCATACAGAGATTAAGCACCGATGTATAATTATTCGAAAGTTTATACGATTCGACGTAGACAATTTTCAAATATTTTATTTCGGGCAATAAGTGTAATAAAGATTCCCATAAATTCAGGACCATTATTGTCCAGCCGCAATTTATTGATTTTAAATGAATAATTAATTTTGATGGTATATTATTAAATACTGTTTTCAACGCACTGAAAATTGTTAACGAAATGCTAAACACTTCAGACAGGAGAATTTTCTGCATCTCGGAAATATTTTGCTGTTGTGTATATAATTCAAAGAATTCATCCATAGATGTGAGAAGATAATCGTCAGATTTTACTATTTTTATTCCTGCAACAACTAATGATACAAGTGACGGTAAATTCGGGTTCATTATAAATTTTGCTTCTTTATTTATAACAACACTATTTTTTCGACAATATCTCTCATGAATGTGACTGCTTGGATGAATATTACAAAAACTCGTTATTAAACATTTAGGACATGTTTTCAATTTATCTTGATTAGCTTCACAACAAATGTAGCACACTCGTGGTGAATCGAGAAGAAAATATTCTTCTTGAGTTGGAGATGATTCCTTAATAAATTTTGACTCCACTTCACCAATGATACGGTTTTTTTCTTCAAACCAAATTGATGAATCGATATTTTCATAAATATGCGACTTATTTTGTGATTTTAACATTTCAGATATTACCTTACAAAATTTTTTATGTTTCGGACGATGTTGTATTTGATGTTCCTTTTTACAGTAAGTAATCATATTGCATCCAGAACATCTTTTTACTTTGTTTGTGTCTTTACAAACAAAGCATTCCTGTAAATAATGCGTATCCATTATGATGACACTTTTATAGATTTTAGACTTTTATCGTTATAATCTGAAATTATAAAAATATATGTAAATAAATCTTATTTGCGATCTTTTTTATTTTATATTGCTTTATATAACTATATTATAGGTATCAAGTGACCAACACTTTTTTTTTGTCCTTTTCTAACGCAAGTGTTGCGTGCTGGCAACATGAGTGTAAGAAAAGGACAAAAAAAAAGAAAGGTATCAATGACGAGCAAACATGCTGCACATCATTCTAATTATTTTAGAAAACAAATAGGTATTTCACAAGTCTTTACATTTAAAAATTATAAATCCTTTATAAATTCAGAATATTATTCTATTCCTATAGATAACTTATTTATTATTATAATTACCTTTTTCAAAAGAGGAAAAAAAATATGCTTGCACCTCCGTGGCTTGCACAGCGTCTCAGAATCAAAAAGGTTGGTACGCACGCCAAGCATACCATCAGGGCTGTGTAGCCATTCTAAGGTTGGAGTTACATTGATGTAAATCACTGAAAGGCCTAAGCAGAATAGATTCTTGAACGGGAACGCAATCGTGAACGGAAACGTAAGAATGAGTGAGAGAAGAATAAAGATATTTGCTATCCTTCTCTTACACATTCTTACGTTTCCGTTTACGATTGCATTCCCGTTCAAGAATTTATTCTGCTTAGGCCTTAACTCTATATATCTGGAATGCTGTCTGCCATTGATGGTCACGAATCGAGAGAGAGGTCTGATTCATGTATCTCTCTCCTTCTCTTACTAAACTGCGCAGGCGCGTAGTACAATACGTTCCAAAAGTTTACTGTTAACTGTGTTATGTCATGTTCACGTATACATACTGTTAAATATTTTCTAATGAACCTGTACCGACAAAGAGAGGAATACAAAAATCAGACCTCTCTCTCGGTTCGCGACTTTTAATGGCAGACAACATTCCAGATATATAGAGTTCAGTGATGTAAATGCAGAATGCAAAACTGAAAATAATGAGAGTGAAAAGGATAGTGATATATCCTTGTCGTTTTCACTCTCATTATTTTCGGTTTTGCATTCTGCATTTACATCAACATGTAACTCCATCCTAATTCAAAAAGCCGCGCTTATTTGAATGATACGGCAACACTGCACTCACTTAAGACGTTCTCACACGAGACGCTTGCTTGACGCTTGAATTAAGTATAATTATAGTTACATTAATAAAATTTTTCGACATTTTGTCAATTCGACGTACTGGCTTTTCTATATTTTGTCCGTTCGACGTATTGACCGTTTGGTGAAAAGCAAGCGTCTCTCTCACACATCTGCCTGCGCAGGCAGCCGCAACGAGAGTAAGGGTACAGTCACATTTCGGTAGATAGCAAGGCTACCTTGTCTATCATGTAATATAACGTATACGAGTGAGAGAAATAAAAAATGTTCATATTTTTCTCACTCTTATACGTTATATTACATGGTAGCCTCGCTATCTACCGAGGTGTGACCGTACCGTCAGGGAGAAAAAACATTTAATTTGAATTTTTTACCTCTCTTACTCTCATGTGTCAGTGCGCCATTATATTTGTGAAGGATTCTTTCAAGGCCTGAGCAGAATAGAAACGTAACCGGAATTACGTTTCTATTTTGCTCAGGCCTTCACCTGCGACCAACCCAGGCCCGACAAGCCACAAGTACAACTGAGTCAGGTACTCAAGTCGGATACGGGATATATGTAAGTTCTCGCAACCGTCTTTAATTGTGCGTTGAAAAACGTTTGCGCAAAACATTGGCGGAATCGTTTTTTCAACGCATAATTAAAGACGGTTGCGGAAACTTACATATCCCGTACCCGGCTCAGTTGTGCTTAGGCCAAGTTGGTTTTACAATAAATGCGTCGGACGTCCACGTCCGACGCGCTTATTGTAGACTCTGCTTTATTCAAATGAGTGACGTCAGCACGTCCATGTTCACATCCACGTATGACGCGCTTATTGTAGAACCATCTTTAAGACCAAAGCAGAACAGCTTCGCGAATGGGATGCATGTGTTAGAAAAGGACGGAGATATATTTGTGTCTTTTTCTATATCGTTCGAAACTGTTGTGCGTTGGCCTTATGTCAAGTTCACATAAACTGTTAAGTTGGTTCTACAATAAGCGCGTCGGACGCTTACGCTAATAACGTGTACTTAACGAGAGAGAGGGGTATAGATGTTGTTACGTGCCAAGCCAATATTTAATTCGCGCAAGCGCTACTTGACTAAGTAATTCTCGGATTCAACCTTAGTTGAATTCTTCAAAAAGAAAGCGGGAATTTGAAATAATAAGAATATTAAATTCCGTTTAACGGAGGGAAAAATCCTCTAATTGAGAACGACAAATTAATAATTAAAAGGATAATTAATTATTTATCGTTCGACAATTAGAATAAAACCCTTGGTATTTATTTGATAAGTTCAATATACAGAGGATTGGATCTAAGAGCATAGATCCAACCAGGAGTACAAATATCTTAAGACTGACTATACTAGAACGGAGATCTTCGCTGTGAAGTCCGACTCAGCTCTAAGATCTAGTAAGTGTCCTTTGCGCATGTCGCAACTATAGTTCGATGCATCTACGAGGCGATGCATTCAGCCGCACTGCACTATGCACTTTTTAATTCTAGATATACTTATAGATATCATGTTTATATGCGTTATCATATAAACATGAACATTCACATATCTGACATACGTTATCATACTACAATTGATATTTACGTATAAATTCGTATTTAATCCAATTAATAATAATTAAAATATTATTATTATTTTGCTATATAAATTTATAAGCTATTTTATTATTAATTAATTAATAATAAAATATTATGATTAATTACAAAGTATATTTAATGCGAATTATAATTTATGAAACACCCATTCGTACAATGTTGATATAATATAGATGCTATAGAGAAGATGATATTCTGATATGGAATTTATATAAATAATTATAAAATAATACAAAGCCGTTTTCGTTAAGGAAGATTTCTTTGTTATACCAGAACGTGACTTTCTCGATTTTGCGACTCGAGGTTCCACGTCTGGTCAACACATGTGTAGTGTCCCGCGGAGAGAAGGATCATAAAATCTCGATAGATTTTTATGGCTTTTAAGGGTTTAAGATTTTAAGAGGGAAATTCGAGAATGAATTTCTTTAACATTATTTACTTGTTTTATTTTGTGGATATCTTGAAAGTTGTTTACTTTAGAAAGTGAATTTGAGACGTGGGACCAAATTAAACCGTGACAGAATTAGTCATGGTATTTTTCTGATTTTCTGAAGTGTTATATTTCAGAAAGTCAATCGTGAGAACATTTTTTAGAAAAGATTTTATTTCGTTTAATATTAAGTAATTTTAAACATTAAATTATTTAAATTTATTTGTCCGATACATCGTCGATATCTGATTCGATTATCGATTCGATATATCGTTCTAAAACCCGATCGAGAATATAGTCGATCGTAACAATGTATATCCCCGTACACATCCGACGCGTTTATTGTAGAACCAACTTTAAATATTTTCTAATGGATTTGTACCAACAAAGAGGGGAATACCTGAGTCAGCTCACGACTTTAGGCCTAATCAGAATGAAATCTCTAATCGTAAATCTTAAGCAGTGATGGGTTGTGACGCGTCACACGAAGTTTTGTACGTATAATACGTTTTCGACGTAATATACGTATAAAATGTATAAAACCATGTAGAAAACCACTGACATTTTGACATCTATATATGATCCTCTGATTTTTGCCATAACGAATTTTTCTTATCATTCTATTAAAATTAAAGTCTTAAAATAAAATAGAAATGGTCAGAAAAAGTAAAAGAAAATCTTTTAAAGAGGGTTTGCCCTGGGAAAAAATGGAATTTGAGCGGATGAAAGAGCTAGGCACTGATAAAAATGTTGCTAAATGTTTAATTTGTCAAAACATTGTGAAAAACACTGGCTATAAGCGTATTATTATTGTTTGTTATTGTTTATAAAGTTTTTATTTAAAAATTGTTTATTTTGGGAGATACCAAACAACTAGACTGACAATATAATACTTAGAATATAGGTTATATGTTATTATGCACGTGGCCCGGTGTTCACTCTTATCTGTGAAACCAACTTAGAAATAAAACCGATATAAAAACATTTCAATAATTAAAAATTTTGTTTTATAATTGTTAAAATAATTAATAATTACCTGAATTTTGTTTATATTAACAACTTTCTCTTTCAATAGTGTAAAGTAATGAATGATGTATTTTAATGAAGAATTTAAAATTGCCGCTCTTAAATCACGTGATCAAATGTAATATACATCCTGTAGAAAACTTGGCACGTAAAATACGTAGTATTATACACGTAGAAAACCACGTATTATACGTCATGTATTATACGTACCCATCACTGCCTTTTGTCCTTTTCTCTCTCATGTAAAAACGATTTACGATTAGAGATTTCATTCTGCGTTGGCCCAATCGATTCTCGAAAAACGTTCGCGAACGTGAAACATGAGTTAGAAAAGGACAGAGATATATTCGTATCCTTTTCTATCTCATGAACCACGTTCGCGAACGACTTTCGTGTGAAGCTGTTCTGCTTTGGCCTTTTTTCAATAGCACTAGCAGACGTCATTCCAGATATATAGAGTTCAGTGGTCGCTGCTGGCATTTTTCTTTGCTAAATTATAGTTTGATTAGCTCACAGCGTTTAACTGCATGGTTTGATTCAATCTAATTTTGTAGGTAATATTTAACTATAATTATAACTAAATATTTATTATACATATCATGATATAAAATTACAGATAAAACAATAATAGAAATGGAATCAATGATGACCGATGATAACAAGGGCGAAACTTACATTACGCAACAAATGTTTCGTGAATATGAATTAAATTGGATTATCGAAGATTTTAAATTTATTTACGAATCATTGAAAGTAATTGAATCACCAAGATTTCCTTCTACTTCAACAGAAGATGGCAAATGGTATATTGAGTTTAATCTTGCAAATGTGGACAAAGATAATGTAGAGACCGTTGAAATTTTGTTAAGAAACACATTAAAATTAAACAAATATGTAAAATGTGATATAAATATTACAGATTCTTTTGGTAAGGAACCTCATTTATATTATTCTGATTTAGACAATTTTAGTACTTCTTTTTATTGGTCGTATTCAAAAGAAGATTTCTATAAAGAATGGGATAAATCAACCCTAAGTAGTATTAAAGTGCATTGTAAAGTTATGGTATTGGATTCATTAAAAGATGTTATTCAAAATGAATTAACTCATTATCGAGAATCGGAAAATCTTTTGAACCAAATAGAAATTTGTTTTGATGATCTAACTTTAAAAGACGTCACTTTTAAAGTCGAAAACAAAGTATTCACTGCACACAAAATGATTCTCAGCCTTCGAAGTCCAGTTTTTGCAGCAATGTTTAAAAGTAAAATGAGTGAAGAATTAACTTCAATTGTTGAAATTAAGGACATAGAGTCAACAATATTTCAAAAAATGCTTCGCTTTATTTATACTGACGAAGTAAAGTATTTGAAAGAATCTGCAATACAACTTTACAATGCGGCGGAGAAATATCAACTGGAAAAACTAAAAGGAATGTGTATCAATAGTTTATATAAAAATTTATCCTTAAAAACAGTTATAGAAACTCTGAAATTTTCGGAAAAATTTTCAATCTTTGATTTAGAGAAATGTTGTTTAAAATATTTAGTTTTGAATATGGAAACATTGAAGGAAACGTTTGCATTTGAAGAATTAATAAACATGTATCCCCGTTATTCTATGAAAATAATCGAAATGCAACAGACAATTAATTGTGAAAAGGAAGATGCTAAATTGTCTGCGAATACAATATTTCAATTCAAGGATAGATATTAACATTTAAATATTTCTAAAACCGTTGTTTAATTTATAAATGTGAAAGAAATTTACTCATCGCTTTATGTGAAATTATTTTATTTGTTCTCAATGTAACAAAAGTTAATATGTAAAAATATTTTTATATTGAAATTAATGTCTAATTAGTTTTTTACCTTAAAACTATCTCGTCCTCTTTAATATACCACAAAATTATACTTATTTGTATGAATAATATAATTGGAATTGCGCAAATAAAAAATAATAAGTATCATTAGTATTAATCTTAGTTTGTGAAAACATGAAATATTCAGAGATACAAAGGAACATTTATGTACAATATTAGAACAAAATATTTATTTGACAAATAGTTTTATAAGTTAAAATGTGAAAAAATGCTTAAATTTCATTTGAATTTCTTGAAAAAGTTTATATTCTTAACGTTTTTATTTTTGCGGCGTATAAAATATCACGTCAAAAAATTTTTACTATCCCATCAGTGTGCCACCACTAAAATTAAAAATACGAAGGTTTGATTGAGTGATAGCACTTTTTAAAAAAATTCAATTGAACGTCTTCTTATGAAAATATCTATTACGGCGTTGGATAAAAATAAAAGTTCAATAAAAATTTTAAGACTTTTTTTCAATTATGTGCCTCTAATTGTATTCCTGTGGCAACAATTTAAATATATGATAATAAAAATCGTGATTTCATTTAAATTTATACATTTTTGAAAGGCACAACTGCATTTTTGCTTTAAACAGGTCAATCTATGGTGTGATCGAAACATTTTCATACATATATTTGAACACAAAAACGCCGCTTAAGGATTTTCAGTGAAATAAATTTTATTAAGTTAGGAATATGCTGAAAAAACTTTTTTGGAATCTTTACCCCCTCTTTTCTCAAAATCCTAACGTGCTAAGCAAATTTGGGTGCCAGAATCGTGTTCAGAGGACGAAAATACTTTGAAAACCACTCCGATATCAAAAATAAAAAAAGTAGAATTTTTCAATTTTATTTGTAATTTATTAACATTAAAGAATTTAAAGAGTTAAACATTGTCGGCGTGAGCTAAAAATGAATCACGCATATGAATTTGTAGTGCTAAAATGTACTTAATAATTTTAATGAAATACATCACAAATTCAATTATACAAAAATTATTTTTCAATTAAAATTTTTATGTAATTTAACAATTGTTTATAATTTAAAAAAAAAATATCACAATAAAATTGAATTATTTTTTAAAAATTTCAATTCAAAATAAACTGAAATTCAATTATTACCCGAAATTTTAATTCAAAATCAATTAAAAATCCAATAATTATCAAATATTTTTATTTTAAAACTTAATTATTTACCAAGTTTTCAATTTAAAATGAAATAAAATTCAATTATTTTCTAAAATTTCTATCCAAAATTAATTATCCAATTTTTCAATCAGAAATGAACTTAAATTAATTTATTATCCAAAATTTCAATTAAAATTCAATTATTTCCCAAAAATTTTCAATTTAAAATCAAATAAAATTTCATTATTCTCAAAGATTTGAATTTAAAATTAATTGAATTTTCAATAATTTGAATTTAAAAGCATCTAAAATTTATTTATTTCTGAAATTTTCCATCGAAAATTTTTTTTTGAAATTTAATAATTTCAATTATAACTCTAAGGAAATTCAATTATTTTTAACTATTTTAATAATATTCTTTGAAAATTCAACTGTCTGAAACCATTTTTCAATTAAAAATGATTTTCAAATTATTGTTATTTAATATTGACCTCATTGAGGTCACGGTTATTAGTTATAATTGAAAGAAATCAAATTTTTAGGAAAAATACTGAAAAATGATTTTTCTGTACCAAAGAAATTTAATTGGTGAGCTTTAAATACACAATTTTTTTTAAATTACAAATTGGGATGTAGACAATAGTTTTTCATATATAATATAAAAAAAACGAAATGCATTGAAATAAACAATTAAAACATGTTTTTGAAAAATCAAATCACTAGTGTATTTATCATAAAATTTTATTTGTCTCGATTTGTTAATAGTCGTATCTCCATTTTACATCAATTATAAAACTTGTGCGATACATAGTTGTAAGTTTAAAAAAGTTTGAAAAAATTTTTTAAATTAATTGAAAGTTAATATTATTCTGAATTTATATCACTCAGCAGTATTAATGATATCGATCACTCTGAGACAGAATTAAAATGAATAAAAAATTATTCTTTACGTTTCAACGACACAGTCGCCCTCTTCAGAAACTGAAATTTTTTATTATAAATATAAGATACAAAAAATTTAAAAAATGGTTTATAAACAATTATTAAATAAACTTTACCTAAAGATAGTTTACATATTTTTTGGAAAAATGTAAACTAAACGTAATGTAAAACATATGTCAACTATCTTTTAGTTTATTTAATAATTGTTTATAAAACTTTTTTTTCAAATTTTTTGTATCTTATACCTATTTATAATAAAAAATTTCAGTTTCTGAAGAGGACGACTGTGTCGTTGAAACGTAAAGAATAGTTTTTTATTCGTTTTAATTCTGACTCGGAGTGATCGATATCATCATTTCTATTATTTAATTGAAAGTTAATATGTAACGTACAATAACTACTTCATAAATAAATAAATGTTATTTTCTTGTGACAATTTATTTACAGTTAACGAACTGTTTATAGTTATCACATTACAAATAAAAACTGAAAATAATAATAATAATGATAATAATAATAAAAACATTATTAAATTCTTTGCGATAAATGTTATACGATATAAATTTTTAGAACTTTACTAACATTCATACATTACCATCAGTTTTTAGACAAGAATTCAAAAAAATAGTTCAGGGGCAAAATTTATTACATTATTCATTTCACTATAAAAATATTTTTATAACTTTTGTTTACATTAAGAACGAATGAAATATTTCATATAAAGCGAGAGAAAATTTCTTTCACATTTATAGATTAAACTGTAGTTTCAGAAATACTTTAATGATAATTTTATTCATTGAATTGGAATATAGTATTCGCAGAAAATTTAACATCTTCACTGAAAAAAAAGTTCTGGTTAAAGTTACTAGATGCGTTTGGTTAAAAAATTTCTAGTTATTTTAACAAGAAAATATAGTTAAAAAGACTAAACAGTTCTAGTTAAATAAGTATGGTTAAATTATTCTGGTTAAAATAATTCTGGTTAAAAACGCGCGTTCGCGGACACTGCATAGCGTCTGTTGTTCTTTTTCGAATAGTTTATCGTGCGGATCGCAAGAATGGATGAAAAAGTTAACCAAGCTCTGGAAAATTGGGGTTTGGGAGAATTAAAAGATCTGTTTAAAGGTTGGTTAATTAATTTTATAATATAAGTGAAAAAATTGTTGACGAACGGCAAACCCGTTCGTGTGGAAAATAGTTTGAAGGTTATGTTGAAAACGTGCTCGACACGTTTTATCAGAATTTTAGTTCTGAATAATCATATTTAAATAAACATTATTAAGAGAATTGCAGTGTAAAGGTGTTATTGTTTGATTGCATTTATATGTACATAATACAAATTTTTTTAATTCATATTTTATAATATTTTATAATATAATATAATAATAATAAATTTAATTAATTCTCTGATTAACTAGAATTTCTGGTAAGATCAACCAGAAATTTTTTTACCAAAAATTTTTAACTAGAAAAATTCTAGTAAGATTAACTTGAAATTCTAGTAAGATTAACTTGAAATTCTGGTAAAATTAACCAGAATTTTTTAACCAAATTTTCTAGTACTTTTAACCAGAAAAAGTAGTAAGGGTATATATAACTTTTTATTCTGGTTAGATTAACCAGAATTCTGGTTATTTTAACCAGACTTTTTTTTCAGTGTTGCTTTTTATAATTAATTGTCCGTTGTATTTCGATTATTTCCATAGAGTAACGGGGATACATATTTATTAATTCTTCAAATTCAGGTGTTTTCTTCAATGTTTCTATATTTGAGGCTAAATATTTTAAACAACTTTGCTCTAAATCAAAAATTGAATATTGTTTCGCAAATTTCAGAGTTTCTAGGACTGTCTTTAAGGATAAATTTTTATATAAACTATTGATGCACATTCTCTTTAATTTTTCCAGTTGATATTTCTCCGCCGCATTATAAAGTTGTACTGCAGATTCTTTCAAATTCTTCACTTCGTCAGTATAAATAAAGCGAAGCATGTTTTGAAATATTGTTGACTCTATATCTTTAATTTCAATAATTGAAGTTAATTCTTCACTCATCTTGCTTTTAAACACTGCTGCAAACACTGGACTTCGAAGGCTGAGAATCATTTTGTGGGCAGTGAATTCTTTGTTTTCTACTTTAAAAGTGACGTCTTTTAAAGATTCATCTTCAAAAGATTTTTCTATTTGACTCAAAAGATTTTCCGATTCTGAATAATGAGTTAATTCACTTGGAATAACATCATTTAATGAATCCAATACCATAACTTTACAATGCACTTTAATACTACTTGGGGTTGATTTATCCCATTCTTTATAGAAATCTGCTTTTATTTTCTTCCAAATAAAATAAGTTTTAAAAATGTTGAAATGGGAATAAAATTTTTTAGATTCCTTTCCAAAAGAATCGATAATCTGTATATTACATTTTATATATTTGTTTAAATTTAATGTGTTTCTTAAGAAAATTTCAACTATCTCTACATTATCTTTGTCCACATTTGCAAGATTAAACTCAATATACCATTTGCCATTTTCTGTTGAAGTAGAAGGAAATCTGGGTGATTCAATTACTTTCAATGATTCGTAAACAAATTTGAAATCTTCGATAATCCAATTTAATTCATATTCATTGAACTTTTGTTGCGTAATGTAATTTTCGCCCTTGTTATCGTCGATCAGCATTGATGCCATTTCTATTATTGTTATATCTGAAAAAATCGAAATAATAATATATCAAAAATTTTTATAAAAATTGAGAATTTAAAAGAGTACTCTAAAATTGTCTCTTCTCTGAACATACGCATTTTAGCGTTCATACTTTTTGTTAAATAATTGTTATAGCACAAAAGGGGCCATCCATAAATTACGAAAGGTTTCAATAGGTAGGGGCGGTTCAAACTATTTATTGTTACAATCAAGAGAAAAAAATGAGGCTATGTTATGGAACAATTTATTACATGGGGTAAAATTTCCAAAAAAAACATTACGTAATTTATGAATGGCCCCCAAGTAATTGTATCAAATTTGTTAAATTATATAATTTATTAACTTTTAAAAACACAGTTTTTTATCATAAAAATAAACTATGATATCGATGTGTATAATAAATATAAAAGTTATAATTTATTAATTATTACCTTCAAAATTGGATTGAGATAAACCAGTTAAAAACACTGAAACTGAACTGCACTGAACTATTAAGTATTAAGGACAACGCACAATAAATTCGCGAAAGAGATACATGAGATAGAGAAGGATACAATTATATCTCTGTTCGTTTCTAACTCATGTTTCACGTTCGCGAACCTATTAGGCTGTGTTAGTTTATCGAGATATTTCGAGTTCAAGATATGACTTCAGAAGCTTGGAGGGACAACAAACAGACGACACAATGTTATTCTTAAGGGGAAGAAAATTTGTTCCCACTTTTATCAATTTTATTCATATTTTAAACATAGAAAACGCTTGTTGACATATAATAAAATTAAAATGTGTGTTGATAATTAATTTTGTTATATATTTGATTCAATTACGTTGATAGATTCTCTGAATTCGTGATAAAATATACATTTTGAGGTTATGGGTTTACTAATCACATTTTACATTTTAACAACATTATTAAACAATATCCAGTATGCATGTTATTAAAAAACATATAAAATATATATTTTACGCTGCGTCTATTCGTCCGACTAGACGGAGAAAATAATTTTTGATAATTTTGTCCGTCTACGTATATTTTACAGTGTGACCAGGCCGCAGATAGACTTGACCCCCACCATGTTTCCATCCGCACACTAACACATGCATATACATTCCCTGTATATGAGCCTCTTTTTCATTTTCCGCAGAGATGGGTAAGTAACATACTTCATGTATGTTACCTAAGTTTGCTACGTATGTTACATGTGTATACAACTTGTCCAGTTTGCTACACAACGTTTGTTACATTTCATGACGTAGGCACTCGTAATGGTCAGAAGCAAATATAACCTCAATCTAGTTGGTTCCCGCTATGTGTTTAAGGTGCTTATATACCTCAAATTTCGATCAGATGAACATTATTTCTGGACCGTGAAAATGCGTGAAAAGTCATTTTCACGGCGGGTATTTTTGAATTGTTTTAAACAAAAAATGTTTTTTTTAAGAAATATAATATTAAATAATTGTTTTAATATGTAAGAACACTTTAAAATAGTGATAAAAAGATGATTTGATTGAAAAATTTAGCAAATTTTGCTTTAAAACGTTTCTGCTTCAAGAAAGTGTAAAATGACGATGTTTGTGAAATGGTTTGTACAGTGTACATGTTTCTTTCAGTTATTCGAAACAATTAGTTGAATTTAAATTTATTTGATAAACATTTCAACTTACCGATTTATTTTCAGCACTCATTATTTATTACAAGTTAAAAAGAACCGACATAACATAAACAAAACTCTGAGAGACACTAACAAGGAAGAAGCACTGTACAAACCATTTCACAAACATCGTCATTTTACACTTTCTTGTAGCAGAAACGTTTTAAAGCAAAATTTGCTAAATTTTTTAATCAAATCATCTTTTTATCACTATTTTAAAGTGTTCTTATATATTAAAACAATTATTTAATATTATATTTCTTAAAAAAACATTTTTTGTATAAAACAATTCAAAAATACCCGCTGTGAAAATGACTTTTCACGCATTTTCACGGTCCAGAAATAATGTTCATCTGATCGAAATTTGAGGTATATAAGCACCTTTATACATTTTATACGTATATTACGTCGAAAACGTATTATACGTACAAAACTTCGTGTGACGCGTCACAACCCATCACTGCGGGATGTCCGTTACTGTGAAGCGCTCTCTGTTGAAAACATTTTTAACCCTTAAAAGTAGGATGTTTGTCAATTTTTGTCCAGTTTAAACCAATCAGAGTAACTTTCAGACATAGTGGTGAAAAATGGTACTACTGAACGTAGGATAAAATGCTAAGCCACGCCCCCAGCGGACATCCTAATAATCACGGATCTATTTAACTGATTTTATTTTATGACGTTATAATTTGTGTTGTCTCAAACTCCCAATTACGTTCAATTAATTGAATGCGTTCAAATTGTTTAAAAAATTGAAAAAGTTTCTGCGCGCACTACAGCAAAATGGATTTTAAGTTATTCAAATCTTCCCATCATTTATTAGATCCTTCACGTGTTTTGAAGAATAACGTTTATTTTCCCAACATGTGTCACGTTTGTCGCTGTTTCGGCGAAAAAGCAGTGAATCTAAAACGTTGTGGTGCTTGTGGAATACTTTCATACTGTGGTCCAGAGCACCAAAAACAAGACTGGCCTTCTCATAAACAATTTTGTAAAGCAGTATCTAAACTTAAAAAGAATTGGAATGTCAGCAGTATATTTGAACATCTAAAAAGTTCAATGGCCAAAATGCCTTTAAAAAATATTGAAAATGTTCCCGATAAATTGAATTATTATAATTCAATGTTTAGTTTACAAGAATGTTTAAAAACAGCAATTTCTTTAACACTTCAACGTGATTTAGAGGAAATTGAAAAACAAATGATTTCATTTCCTAGAGTTTGTGCCGTTTGTTTTGAAGCTAAATCGGAACTTTTGATAAATTGCAAAAAATGTCCACAAGCGAGTTTCTGCAAGGAACATGTGAATGATCCAAATCACGAGAGTGAATGCATTAAAATCTTATCGTTCTTTACAACAATCAGGAACAGTATTATGCCTAATGATATAAAAAATTGTTTAAATTCTACCTATCAACCAAAAATTAAGAAATTACCCTCGACAACATTACAATATATCGAAACACGTTTACTAGCAGATTTAAGAAATAAAAATAAATTTTCTAAAGAATTAGAATTTCTTTGTACTTCGTATTTATCAGAATTTGCATCACGACAACTTACATTAATTACGATCATTGAAAAATTGAAACTTAATGCAAAAAAGTCATTGGTAATTCATTTAATTGGAGCAAATATCGAGGAACAATTGATCTACGACTGGGAAATGATATTACACTATTTACCGGAAATAAGTGAACTTAATTTGATTTTCATTGGACCGGAAATAATGTCCGAGACTAAAAAGAAGAATGTTTGTAAACAATGTAATAAAAATAAACGAAAATTACTAATTGAGCCAAAGAAAATTTTATATGATAAATACATCAGCGATGTGACTTTCAAGAAACCTGATATCATTGCTTGTTTCAATGCTGGTTTTCATCTTTTTTCTGATTGGAATAGTACAATTCCAATTTTTAATAAAGCACAATGCCCGTTATTAATAACGGCAGTAAGCAAACCTGAAGGATTAATAAACAAAGATATTATTGATCAAACATTCCCATTGGCAAAATGTATTTATAATGATTACAATCCATATACAAGTCATTTTTATCTTCGAAGAAATGTTATTGTTCCTGTTGAATGTAAAAATCAATTCATGATTCTCTACGAATATCTTGAGACGAAAACTGAATTCAATTGATATGTTTGTTTATCAACAATTGTCTCTCATTATATATTGAAGGTAAAAATAATTTCAAAGAATTTTAATTAAATTACAAAGTTTTTATAAAAATTATTATTTATTTTCTATATATTTCCGATTTATTTCTATACGGAAAGAAAAAGAGTTAACAAAATTTTAAAAGTTTTAAAAAATAGTTCTAATTGACTAATTTTTAGTATTTATTAAATTTTTAAAATTCATTTAAAAATTTTTGAAAACTTAATTAGTAATTTTATAATATTATTGAAAAAGTTGTCAAAATTCTTAAAATAAATTTTAAAAGTCTAAAAAATACCTACTAAAAATTTGTAGATTTGTATTATTTTTTAAAACAGTATTAAAATATTTTTAACGATTTTTCTTTTCGTTTAAGTTTAAAAATCTCTTTAAATGCTTCAATTCTTCTTATTATTATGATTACTAATAAATTTATTTATTAGTGGGACTTCTTGGTTTAGAATTCCAAAAAAATAATTTTTTTTTTTTGCTTGAAAATGTTCCATAGTATCATATAATTACTGTCCCAAAACGTTTTTTAAAAAATATGTAAAAAAACAAAAGTTGCAATCAAAAATTATTTCATATTCCTGGCTCAATGTATTATGTTATGAAAAGTTTAAACGCGTTTTTCTCGAAAACATATTTTTCAAACTGCTGCACGGCTTTTCTCGAAATCTATTGAACCGATTTTAAAAAACTAAAAACCATTCGATTCCTTACAATTAGTTAAAAAACTAGAGAATAAACATTAGCCAAAAGTTTTGAACGTTCAAATGAACGAAATTTTTTTTGCAACTTCTTTAAGTACGAATTTTATTACAAAATATTGTTTTAAAAATCTAAAAAGAAGTTATTTAATTTAATAATTGTTTAATTTACTGTTTTATTTTACAATGACATCATAATTTTTATTAATTTATAGATTGAAAAAAATATTTCGTTCATTTGAACGTTCAAAACTTTTGGCTCATGAATATGTGCAATAATGTCCAAAAAGAATTTTTGCAATTTATTTAATACTTTTCTTACAACAAAAGTTTCAAAACGTGTACTTTTTTGTCAATTCTAAACCAGAAAGTCCCCTTAATTTAATATGTAATTATATTTATGGAAAATAATGCTGAAGTTCACAAGTTTATGATCAACGATTGAAAAAATATATGGGCGATTCCACGTGAGATTTACATATGACTTTTTAAATTCGTCTAAATATATTTTTTTCTTATTCTTTGGAGAAAAAACATGAAATACGTATTTTTTTATTTTTCAAAAATCGGACAAATTTTTTTAGTTATTAATTTTTGGCTTTGCGAAAGTAGTAGACCTTTTTTTTTAATGGATTATATATCTGAAAATATTAAATTTGTTAAAATCTTGCCAAAGAATAATGGATTTGTTTTTTCTTCAACTTTTAAGAAATTTAAGAAAAAAAATTTTTTTTTAATTTTTAATGTTTAAAAATTAATTAAAGTATTAGTCGTTTACCTTGACTAATAATATTGCACATTTCTCTCAATGTCATTAATTTCGTAATGAGGAACTGAAATCATTAAAATTGTTAAAATTTGTTGATAGTCGAAAGTTGTAAAAAAATTTAGATATAAAAAATTATAATAATTTACGTATAAAAAAATTTTTTCTTCTAAATCGTTGATCATAAATGTGAATTTCACCGAAGTGGAAAATAAAGTATTACAAAAAGTAACTCTTATACAACTAAATGAAAAACAATATAGTAATAATTGTAGATAATTTTTTTCAGATTTATATGCAATCTTCAATTATGACAATTGAAAACAGTGACTTGAGAACTTTTGGAAATATTCTTTCAAGAGTAAACTTTTTTTAGAAGTAATGGATTCATTAATTTTTCAATATTTTGTTTCGCATCAGCCTTTAAAAGGTTTAAAAACGTTTTACCATTCGTTAACTGTTGTATTATCAAAAAAAAACTTTACCGTTTACTATTGTTAATAACGCTAATGTATAACATAAAAAAAATTTTATTTCAAAGAAATAATTGTTATTTTCATGTGTCAATTTAATTTGTTGACAAACTGTAGACTTACAATACAAATAAAAATTTTCTAATAATAAAGACTGTAATTCTATGTGTACCAAATACAACCAAGAGAATATTAATTTAAACCTTTGTAAATGCTCTTATTTAAAATACTTATTTATTATATGAAAATTTATATATATATATATATAAATTACGTTGGTGAAGTTTGCAACGTTTATGATCAACGATTGAAAAAAAATATATTTTTCACTCAAAAAATAATAACTAATTTTTTGCCTACAATTTTTTTTTCAAAAAATGATTGATCAAGAATCGTTGCAAAAAATTTTTTTGGACAAATAAATAAATAATTTGCATAGAAAAATATTTTCTCTTCTCAATCGTTGATCATAAACGTTGTGAACTTCACAGACGTTATAAATTTAATTTCATTTTATTGTTTTCTAATTATAATCTGAAAATAATTGATAAAAATTAATTGTTATCTATCAGCATTATAACTGAACATAAAAACTATAAATTCAACACTTAAAAAAAATTTTCAAATTGTTTCATAAATATTTTTTGATATTAAAGAGTTTTTAAAAAATGTGCGCCTTTATCTACCAATGAAACAGTTACAGTAGCGCAAGCGCAGTTGCGTCTGATGACGGTCGCTTTTATCGCTTCTGGCATCTTTGCTAAATTATAGTTCGATTAATAAATTCAGAGTGTTTAACTGCAAGGTTTGATTTAATGATTCAACTCTAATTTTATAGGTAATATTTAAATAATTATAATTAAATATTTATTATACATATCATGATATATTTTTATGATGAAAAAATATGTGTATTTTTAAGGAGGTTCTCCGGCTCCGGTGGTGCTTAGTTCCTTGCGACTATTTTATACTAATCAACAGCTCACTTCACTGTCGTGCTTTCTCTCTCTTTCTCAAGCTAGTAATATACTTGACTCTCTTGAAAAATCAATAAATAACCTAACTTTTCTACTTCAAAACGTTGTAATTCAAAAATTAGTATGGATACCTCTACTAAAACTTTTTTAATATTATTCTATTATAATTCCATTCTACAATATACTCGTTTTTAAAAAAAATTTATCGAAATCTTTTTAAATAATTCAATAAAATGTATGAGTTTTGCATGTTCAGATTAGGAATCCTATGTTAACTGGTGCAACTTTGAACCCAGATTTCTTAGTTTTTAGCATGGCAAGGGGTACTGGGTTTTTTACCACTTACAAAGTACATAAAAAGGAACATTTTCCTAGAGTTTAAAGAAATTTTATATAAAAGTGATTTGCCGGAGAACCACCTTAAACGTTAATCAATAAAATAAATAATAAATAAACGAAATTTTTTAGATAAAACAATAATAGAAATGGCATCAATGCTGACTGAAGATAACAAGGGCGAAACTTACATTACGCAACAAATGTTTCGTGAATATGAATTAAATTGGATTATCGAAGATTTCAAATTTGTTTACGAATCATTGAAAGTAATTGAATCACCCAGATTTCCTTCTACTTCAACAGAAAATGGCAAATGGTATATTGAGCTTAATCTTGCAAATGTGGACAAAGATAATGTAGAGATAGTTGAAATTTTCTTAAGAAACACATTAAATTTAAACAAATATATAAAATGTAAAATACAGATTATCGATTCTTTTGGAAAGGGACCTGAATCTTGTTCTTCAGATTTAGAAATTTTTAATACTGATTTTTATTGGACATATTCAAAAGAAGATTTCTATAAAGAATGGGATAAATCAACCCTAAGTAGTATTAAAGTGCATTGTAAAGTTATGGTATTGGATTCATTAAAAGATGTTATTCCAAATGAATTAACTCATTATGCAGAAACAGAAAATCTTTTGAGCCAAATAGAAATTTGTTTTGATGATCAAACTTTAAAAGACGTCACTTTTAAAGTCGAAAACAAAGTATTCACTGCCCACAAAATGATTCTCAGCCTTCGAAGTCCAGTTTTTGCAGCAATGTTTAAAAGTAAAATGAGTGAAGAATTAACTTCAATTGTTGAAATTAAGGACATAGAGTCAACAATATTTCAAAAAATGCTTCGCTTTATTTATACTGACGAAGTGAAATATTTGAAAGAATCTGCAATACAACTTTACAATGCGGCGGAGAAATATCAACTGGAAAAACTAAAGAGAATGTGCATCAATAGTTTATATGAAAATTTATCTTTAAAAACAGTCATAGAAACTCTAAAATTTGCGAAAAAATTTTCAATTTTTTATTTAGAACAAAGTTGTTTAAAATATTTAGTTTTGAATATAGAAACATTGAAGGAAACGTTTGCATTTGAAGAATTAATAAACATGTATCCCCGTTATTCTATGAATATAATCGAAATGCAACAGACAATTAATTGTGAAAAGGAAGATGTTAAATTGTCTGCGAATACAATATTTCAATTCATAGATTAAAATTATCATTTAATAATTTCTGAAATATAGTTTATTGTATAAATGTGAAATTTTTCATTAGTTCTTAATGTATAAACAAAAGTTATAAATATATATATATAATATATTCTTTTAGTAAAACGAATATCTAATTAGTCTCAAAACTATCTCGCTTTTTTAAGGCAACAGAAATTAAGATATTACAATTTTTAAATTACTACACTTTTAAAACAGAATTTTAGCCGCTGATCAAAACTGTTTTGCATATTGACCAAAAAATTTTTTCCCATACTAACAAAAATTAGATTCAATTTTTCTATTTCTTTTTAGCCGTAATGATTAAAAATGGCATTTTTTGGATTTTTTTTTTTTTTTAATTAAAAATTTGAATGTGGACAATAGTTATTTCTATATATATGTATATAGGGTAACTGATCCAATTATTGTCACTTAATTTTTGATTTTACGAATTAAATTTGCTTTTAAAAGATAAAAAAAATCTGTCATTTATGATATTTATATTGATTCAGAATTTAATGCAGAATACAGAAAAATTATCACTTTTAGTAATAATTACGGTAAAACGTTCTAATTAACAGAAACTTCTTTTATATTCGCTCTGTTCCAGTTATTCTCACTCTAAACATGGCCAAAACCAATTATTGGCACCACTTATTAATATCTTTAAATTTTATAAATTAATAATAGAATTTTACTGGAAACTATTTAGACTTCAAGAACATAATATCAAAATATTAAAAAGAAATTTAAAAAAAGTGCGATATTTCTTGTAATTATTAAAGAAATTATAGGAATTAGAGTGAAAAAGATTTTACCTAACCTAACTTTTTTTGTAGATGTTAAAAATCACTATAAAATATATGGGCGATTCCACGTGAGATTTACATATTATGATATTTTAAATTCGGTAAATATATTTTTTTTTTCGATCTTTATAGAAAAAAAAGGTTTACGTATTTTTTTTATTTTTTTATAAGTGCTCAAATTTTCGAGTTATGAATTGTTAAAAATCTGATTTTTTAGAGTTTTTTTAAGGCCAGGTCCAAGTCGAGTCAGCTGTTCCTTTAAAGTTTCAATGGAACAGCTGACACGACTTGGACCTGGCCTTAAAATACACCTTATTTCAATGACTTCTAACTCTAAAAGCATTGAATTTAGGAATTATGACCAAGATACAAAAAAGTTTCAGTTTTTCATCGACTTTCAAAATATGTTAACGAAAAAAAAAAATTTTGAATTTGTTTAATAAAAAACAGCGATTTTTTATAAACAAATTCAAAACTTTTTTTAAATTTAGAGGCGATTTAAAAAAAATTTTTTTTTTTATTTTTACACACATGAAAATAAGAGGAAAATTTTGTAATTTGTTTTGGAGTGGGCCTGATGATCCTTTTGTTTATATAATTTATTTATAAAAAAAAATTTACTTTTTTCCGTTTTTTTTCTATTTTTCAAAATAAAATGTATATTTTAATTTGCTTTTCTATGAGTTTACTAAAAGATCCTAGCAAAACACTTTTCATTTCGAAAAAATAAAAAAAAAACGAAAAACAGTAAAAAATTTTTTTTAAACGAATTATATAAACAAAAGAATTATCAGGCACACTCCAAAACTTATTACAAAATTTTCCTCTTATTTTCATGTGTAAAAAAAAAAAAAATTTTAAATCGCCCCCCAAAATTTTAAAAATTTAATTTGTTTATAAAAAATCGCTGTTTTTTTAATGAACAAATTCAAATTTTTTTTTCGTTAACATATTTTGAAAGTCGATGAAAAACTGAAACTTTTTTGTATGTTGATCATAATTCGTAAATTCAATGCTTTTAGAGTTAGATGTCATTGAAATTATTGGTGTATTTTAAAAAAACTCTAAAAAATCAGATTTTTAAAAATTCGTAACTCGAAAATTTGAGCACTTATAAAAAAATAAAAAAAATGCGTAAACCTTTTTTTTCTATAAAGATCGAAAAAAAATATATTTACCGAATTTAAAATATCATATATGTAAATCTCACGTGGAATTGCCCATATATGTAAGTTATAAAATTTTCGTTAATAAAATATTAAAAATTAACACAATGGCAACAGATTTTCTATTATAAGTGAGTATATAGCTCGTGATTGAAAGAAGAATTTTAAAAAATTGAAATTTGAATTTTTGACAGTTTTTTTTTTTTTTTTGTCACAAATTACTATTTTCGGAACCATTTAGACCATGTGAAATCGGTTGTAATCAACAGAATAAGGTGCCGGTCGAAATAAAACAAATTTCGAAAATTATCTCTCTCTTTTCTAGAGCCATTTCATTAGCCAATTTATTTATACTTAGGTACATAATTGTTTATAGTTTTTATATTAAAATAAAAACTGATAATAATAATTGAAATGTTTTATTAAATTCTATGAGATAAATGTATGTATAAAGCGAGATAGTTTTGAGGCAAAACTTATTAAACATTCATTTCACTATAAAAATATTTTTACAAATAACTCTTGTTTACATTAAGAACACGAATAAAAAATTTCACATAAAAGCAAGAGAAAATTTCTTCCATATTTATATATATACATTAAACTAAACTTTCAGAAATATTGAAATGAAATTTTATTCTTTGAATTGAAATATAGTATTTGCAGAAAATTGAATATCTTGCTTTTTACAATTAATTGTCCGTTTCATTTCGATTATTTCCATAGAATAACCGGGGTTTACATTTATTAATTCTTCAAATTCAGGTGTATCCTTCAATGTTTCTATATTTAAAACTAAATATTTTAAACAACTTTGCTCTAAATCAAAAATTGAATATTGTTTCGCAAATTTTAGAGTTTCTATGACTGTTTTTAAAGATAAATTTCTATATAAACTATTGATGCACATTCTTTTTAGTTTTTCCAGTTCATATTTGTCCGCCGCATTATAAAGTTGTACTGCAGATTCTTTCAAATTCTTCACTTTGTCAGTATAAATAAAGCGAAGCATTTTTTGAAATATTTTTGACTTCATGTCCTTAATTTCAACAATTGAAGTTAATTCTTCATTCATTTTACTTTTAAACATCGCTGCAAACACTGGACTTCGAAGGCTGAGAATCATTTTGTGGGCAGTGAATTCTTTGTTTTCGACTTTTAAAGTGACGTCTTTTAAAGTTTGATCATTAAAAGAATTTTCTATTTGGTTCAAAAGATTTTCTGTTTCTGGATAATGAGTTAATTCATTTGGAATAACATCTTTTAATGAATCCAATACCATAACTTTACATTGTATTTTAATACTACTTAGGGTTGATTTATCCCATTCTTTATAGAAATCTTCTTCTGAATACGACCAATAAAAAGAAGTACTAAAAATTTTCAAATTTGTATAACAACTTCTAGGTCCCTTTCCAAAAGAATCTGTAATACTTATATTACATTTTACATGGTTGTTTAATTGTAATGTGTTTCTTAATCGAATTTCAACTATCCCTTCATTATTTTTGTCCACATTTGCAGGATTAAGCTCAATATACCATTTGCCATTTTCTGTTGAAGTAGAAGGAAATCTGGGTGATTCAATTAATTTTAATGATTCATAAACAAATTTGAAATCCTCGATAATCCAATTTAATTCATATTCATGGAATTTATGTTGCGTAATGTAAGTTTCGCCCTTGTTATCGTCAGTCAGCATTGCTGCCATTTCTATTATTGTTTTATCTAAAAAATTTCGTTTCATTTTAAGTATTCATTTATTAATTTTCCTTGGCGAAATAAAATTATTCAACGTCCACTTTACAAAGTAGATATTGGGTAGAAATTTTGTAATTTGCAAAAAAAAGGTAATAACGACAAAATATGATAAAATTTGTGTTGCAAAAGGTAAATAAATATCTAGAGACTTAATTCTAGGAATAATTGTGTTAAATGTAGAGCATTAAATATTAAAAACTTAATATAAATTATGCTAAGTAACTTGTCATGTTTACATTCTATAGGTTTTTATATTTCCAATAAATTAGTTGTAAAATGACGTGGAAATTTACATATATATTTTTTTTTTAAAATGTTAAATTCATTAAATTGATGTATTTTTGAGGTTAATTAATTGATATAGTAATAAAAATTATATTGAATTTCAATAGTGTTGTGAAATATTATATAGAAACTGTGTTATTATTATTAATTAATGAACCTCAATAATATACATCAGTTTAATGAATTTAACATTTTTTTTTAAATATATGTAAAGTTTTACATTAATTTATTGGAAATATAAAAACCTATAAAATGTAAACATGACAAGTTACTTTGGATAAATTTATATTAATTTTTTCTTATTGAATGCTTTATTTAACGCAATTATTACTAGAATTAAGTCTCTAGATTTTTATTTACCTTTTGCAACACAAATTTTATCATATTTTGTCTTTATAACCTTTTTTTTTGCAAATTACCAAATTTCAACCCAATGACTACTTTATAAAGTAGGCGTTAAATGATTTTATTCCGCTAGGGTTTATTTTACAAATACGTCACATTTACACTCACTTTACTGCCGTACCAGTGACTCATGCAAATCAAAATAATTTTAACTGCAATTTTCATAAAAATTGGGAATTAAAAAGTGTACTCTAAAATTGTCTCTTCTCTGAACATATACACATTTTAGTGTTCGCATACTTTTTGTTAAATAATTGTTATAGCACAAGGGTCCATCCATAAATTACGAAAGGTTTTAAAAGGGTGGGGCAGGTTCAAGCTATTTATTGTTACAACCAACAGAAAAAATGACACTATTTTATTAAAACACAGATTTTTTATTATAAAAATATACAATGATATGTTTAATAAATATTATTTAGCTATAATAGACCTTTTCATGCTAATCGTTCTGTCCTTATCTAGCGCATACAATGACGCATGAGTTGGAAGAGGACAAAATGATCAGCATGAAAAGGTCTATTGCATGCAGTTAAACACAGTCTGAAGTCTGAACTACTAAGCATTAAGGCCAATACACAATATCTTTGCAAAAGTCGTTTCGATCCTGTCACCAGAGATGGGTAAAAGTGCTTTTATGGAGGTTTTCTACGTATAAAGGCGCTTGTATACCTCACCGATCCCGAGTATACTTCCGTCATGTACCATTGGAGTAAAAGAGACAAAAGATATTTCCATCTCTTTTACTCCAATGGTACACGACGCAAGTATACTTAGGATCGGTGTGGTATACAAGCGCTTTAATACTGTAGAAAACCAGGTTTTCGACATTTTAGCTGCATCAATGGCAACATAACCTCTTTTTGTTATTTACTTTCTGGTTTATTGTTGGTAAATAAGTATTAATTAATAAATAAACTATTTAAAAAATATTAGTCATTTGAGAACTTTCAGTTGATTCAAATAATATTATTTTATTTGCAATAATTTTGTTAAAATTTTGGAGAAATAATTTTGTTTGGTACAAGGAATCTCGCTGCTCTACTCATTTGATATAACTTAACGCAAAAATAATAATAATAAAAACAGCGAGATTCCTTGTACCCTAATCTATCATCCCTCAAAATTTTAGACAAAAATCTTTTCTCATTTTAGAGTGAAATGTATACTACCAAAACACATTTTCCCATACTAGGTCACGTGGGAGGTTCCCACATACCCTTAAGGCGCTTGTACACCTAACAAATTCTAAGTATACTCCGAATTTGTCAAAAGTTATACTAATTATCATAAATTATCATAAAGAATTTCCAAAAGATTGGAAAATTTCGAAATTCACTATAAGCAAAGCCAATCAAAGTTAGTGAAATTTCTGACAAATTCCGAATATACTCAGAAATTGTGAGGTGTACAAGCGCCTTTACACGTAAAATACCTTGTATTATACTCGAGGTTTTCTACATACCCATCTCTGCCTGTCACTCGGCTTTCGTCCATCTTGAATTTTCTCCCACTTAACTTGATCTGCCCGATGACGTCAGTGTTAGACTGCACCACAACGCGATGCGCGCGCATTTAAGTACATTTCAAAACTTTGTAACTCAACCGGTCAACCCTGCAATTTTGTTTGTTTTTATTTATCTTTCAAATACAGAAAGAAAAAAAGAAAATGATTATTGACAAAAGTGTGCAAAGTGTAGTAATAAATAAAAACAGATGTGATATTGAAAAAAATAATTATTTGTTGAGAAAATAAATATTATAAAACATATAACACTTGCGATTTAATTAAATAAAAATAATTATTACCTAATAATTTTGTAATCGAATATAAAGTTATAAATATACATATAACATCCTGAGCGATGACTTTTAAAATGTTAATAATTTTTATTCAAAATTATAAATAAGGAAGAATTTAGAAACGCACATCTATTTATATTTTCGCAAAAATATTTTTTGCAAGTGTAATTGGAAAAAGTTAATCAAATATGTAAATCAAAATATGTATTTATATTTTATTGCCATTACACATTTTTGTAAATTTCAAATTTTGTGCAAAAATTGATATTTTAAATTAAATTAAAATTTTTTAAATTTTCAAATTATCTCTTTCCCGACATAATAAAAAATTTTTTATAATAATTTTTATTATTAAAATTAGCGTTACTTTGCGCATCAATTTTTGCAAAGATTTAAATAAAACAAAAATTGTTAAATATATATAGTAAAAACAACAGAAATTTGAAGACTAAAAAAAAAATTGTGTGCGAATATCTGATAAAACGAGACTTATAGTGCGTATCATTGCATGGTCAACATTTAAGCTGTTGAGTTCATTGTTGGTTTGGTTTTCAGTTTATTCACTGTTCACTCTCAGTATGCGGCGTGGCTCTGAGTAGAGCGTACGCATTTTTCTTTTTATATCTTGTACTTTGTAATATTTACTCTTTCTAAAAACAATGACTATTCGCAAAATCGTTTCGTTTAAAATCTTGAAAAAGAGAAAGTTTTCTCAATAGTGTTGTCTAATCACTATTAGCGTCTCTCTATCTCTCTCCGATTCTCGGTAAAAAAAAAAAAATAAATAATTAAAGACCTCCAGTAGAAGTAACTAAAACTACCGATGGAGTTTTTGTCTACAGTTTATTCACATGTCACATATTCCTGAAGTACATTTAATAACAAAGAAATATAACATTGTGATATAGATAATATATTTAATTAAATGTGTGTCAATTATTTTAAACCTTAGAAAATAATTAGTGATCTATGAAAAAAATAAAATAAATGTAAAGTGTCTTCAATTGGAGTGGCAAGTTAATTTATTATTCGATCTCTTCGCAGTTAATGAGTGCAACTTTAAGCTCTGCCATCAAACTAACCAATTTTGATTCATTAGTGGCATGACCCGTGTGACCCTTGTCATTTCTTGTTAAGTGAATTAATTTATTCCGCACAAAATAAGCTTCTAGAAAATTACATTTTATATCGTTTTTTTTTTTTTTTTTTTTTGTTTATCGACACTAAATATACAAACACATACAAGGATGCTCAAGACAATTAACAATTTATTATCGTCTCTTGCGAAACTATTAATTTAATTTGAATAATGATCAATTTTTCATCACTGCAAAATAGATTTTGGACAATGAAATAAATATCTGACTTGATTTCTCGTTTCATCTACATCATGAAGGTAATTAATATATTAATCATTCAAAATGATCTTCAATATATAATATTCTTTTATCAATTTAATTAAATTAGAAATCTAATTATCGAAGAATATATTTTTAGAAAAAAAATTAATTTACAAATTATGAAAAATAATTAATTATATACTTTTTATAATTTTTGCGTAAAGGAATTTTAAAAAATGTAATTCTAAAAATAAAAGAAAATTTAAAATTATTGACAAAAAATAACATACTTTTGGGAAAATAAAAATAATTATTATTATTTCGGAATAAAAAGATAAAAATAATAATGCAATTTAATAAAGCTCGAGTCGAGTTAATTCTGATTTAATTGCTTCATGCGAGTCTCTTGATTTTAAGGGACTTGACCCTCCGGTTTTTATTTTTTTTTTTTTACATGAACGATAAATGGAATGAAATTTAAAGCAGCGACCGGTTCTCCGTTCTATGCGTTCAAGAAGTTGGCAACGTGTCAACCTTTTTGAAAGCGTTCCAAAGACTTTTTATTTTTAAATATATATACATGTGCAATGAACGTTAAATGAAGAATAATTTTTGTTTATATAAAAATACATAAAATTAATATATTCTAATACTCTTTTTATTTACATTTTCAAAAGTACAAAATTTTATTTTTAAACGTGAATTCCAAAATAAATTTTGATAAAAAAAAAAATATTATATTAATAAAATTGGGAAGTTTACGTTTTTTTCTATTTAATATTATTGTGAGGATTAATATAACACATAATTATACATAGTGAGAATGAGAAAATTTGGGATTTTTCTATTTTAAAAAAATCTTATATATCACACAATAATTTTGCTTTAAGAATGCAGCTAAATCAGTTAATTAATGTTGTTGATTTTGCTTCTCATGATATACGCTAGCTTGTTCAAATGTTAATTGAAAGGTCTTTATTCTCCAATCACAGCGAGTCGAGAATTTTCATAAGTGAATCAAATCTGTGTCATTTGAAATTGTAAATTGTTTTTTTTTTCTATAGAAAAAGAAATTCAGTCAATTTTTTCTTGAAATATCTATTTCAAAATTTTCTCCTTAAAATTTTTTTAAGTTTATAAAAATTCAATTATTTTTCATTATTTTACAATTTTATTCTATAAATTGAATTATTTTTGAAAAATGATATTAGCAATAATTTTTGAAGTATTTTGATGATTTTGACGAAGCTGAAGTACGCAACGGTTTATATAAACGATTTTTAAAGAAATATTTTTTTAAAATGAAAAATTCTATAATTTTTTGCCTAAAAAATATTTTTTTTATAATTTGTTGGTTAATGAAAACTACAAGAAATATTTTTTAGGCAAAAAATTATAGAATTTTTCATTTTAAAAAATTATTTCTTTAAAAATCGTTTATATAAACGTAGCGTACTTCAGCTTCGTGATTTTGTCAAAAAGTTTATTTTAATTAAATATTAAATTTATTAAAATTAAGGGTAAGTCCACGTCAGAAATATCAGAATCTGCAAGTGGTTGTTCGATTTTAATGATACTTGGTAAAATTATAGCTTTATATAAGAGCAATGTGTAAGTAAAAGGAATTTTTAAAATATCTAAAATTGTAGGAGTTATATCACTTTTAATTTTGATACTGCATTTTTTTCTTTCCTTTATATCTCGGTCAATTTTCAACCGATTTTGATGAATCAAAAACGATTTTTTTCACAAAATTACGTATTTTCAGAAAATTTTAAAATAAAAATAAAATTTTTTTATTTAAATAGAAAAAAGTAAAAAACAAAATTTCTTTTAGATTTTTTTCAATTTCGACCTCTTTTTTTTAATTTTTAATTTTTTAATAATATTCCTTTTTATTTTATCTTTAATTTAAAAAAAAATTCATCCTGGAGACTTTTTTAGATCTCGTGATATCGTTCTTTAAATATCCACATCTCAAGAAAACTAGGATCCAGATTTGTGTTTCTACTTTCATTTGTTTTATAATATTATTGTTACAAACTAGAAACTTTCGCGTAATAATGTTTTTATTTTTAAATTACTTGACTAAAACAAGTGAAAATTCAAGCAAAACAATATTTTATTAATAGATTTGAAGCAAAGTTTTTATTTTTTGTAATATTTATAATTTAAAATAAATTGTAATGAAACCTTAACAATGCAACCTGAAATTGTAGCTGAAGTTTTTAGCGCTTTCTTTTAGAGGATTCTAAAACAAATAGTTATTAATAACCATAAAAAATTTCAACAAACAAATGAAAGTAATGATAGAAGCAAGTCCTGCGGTTTTCAAATTGATGAAGACTTATAATACTTAAAGGACGATATCACGAGATCTAAAAAAGTCTCCAGGATGGATTTTTTTTTTAATTAAAGATAAAATAAAAAGGAATATTATTAAAAAATTAAAAATTAAAAAAAAGAGTTCGAAATTGAAAAAAAATCTAAAAGAAATTTTGTTTTTTACTTTTTTCTATTTAAATAACAAAATTTTATTTTTATTTTAAAATTTTCTGAAAAAACGTAATTTTCTGAAAAAAATCCTTTTTGATTCATCAAAATCGGTTGAAAATTGACCGAGATATAAAGGAAAGAAAAAAATGCAGTATCAAAATTAAAAGTGATATAACTCCTACAATTTTAGATATTTTAAAAATTCCTTTTACTTACACATTGCTCTTATATAAAGCTATAATTTTACCAAGTATCATTAAAATCGAAGAACCACTTGCAGATTCTGATATTTCTGACGTGGACTTACCCTTAAATTTTAATTAAATATTAAAAATTGTGCAAGTTCAATTTTAAAAGAATTAAAGACAATGAAATTTCAATTGATCAAAATTAACATTAAATAGAGTAGTGAATTTTTTTTTTACCTTTTTTCGAACCTAGAATCATATATTCCATTATCAGGCCTCGGATTATACGACTTTTTTCGACTTATTTTATTAAAATGCGACTTTTTCGACTATTTTTTGTACATTTTTTTTTACAAAATTTTTAAATAAAATACTTTTTTTTTAGTTTAGAATGCAAATCTTTTTTATTTCAATTTTTTAATAAATTTTTAACTAAAATTCTTCACTAAATTAATTATTTTTAATCATTTTAATGAAATTCTTCACAAATTCAAATTAACTTAAACTATTTTTCAATTAAAATTTTTATGAAATTTAATAATTGTTTATAATTTAAAAAAAATTATCAAACAAAAATTACGTACAAAAAATTTGTAATTCAAAATCACTTGAAATTTAATTATTTGCAAAAATTTCAATTATTTTTAATGATTTTAATAATATTCTTCGAAAATTCAATTATCTGAAAACATTTTTCAATTATAAACTTTTGGAATTCAATTTTTTTATTTGATTTTTAAAAAATTCTTCATCAACAGAAATTACTAAAAATTTCTCTTATATTATAATTATTGTCTGAAAATGAACACAATCTTTTGAAATTCAATTATTTTTAAAAATTTCAGATTTAAAAGCTGCTAAAATTTAATTATTTCTAAAATTTTTTGAAATTTAATAATTTCAATTATAACTCTTCTGAAATTCTAAAACCAGTTTTCACTTAAAAAGTTTTCAAACTATTGTATTTTTGTCAAAAATTTCTAATAAATTTTATTAATTAATTTTGAAATTATAAAAATCACTTCAAGTTCAATTAATTTCAAAAATTTGAAAATTCAATTACTGTTAAAAAATGTTATCGAAAAATTATTTGATAAATTATTTTCAATTCTGTAAAATTTAATTATTGTCTGAAAATTAACAAAATTATTTGAAATTCAATTATATTTCTAAAAAATTTCAACTTTAACTATATTCCAAAATTATTATTTATAAATCTGTCACCATCAAAATTAAAAACTATGACAAAATTTTTAATTCAAATACATATATTGCTTAAATCAGACTTGAAAAAATTATAAAAATAGAACTTTAAGAATTTTTTTTTTTAGAAATTTGTCCTACTTAAATAAAATTTTGAAAATTTGTCTTACAATTAGTTCGATTTTGAAAATGAGCCAAAAGTTTTGAACGTTCATATGAACGAAATTTTTTTTTACAACTTCTTTAAATACAAATGTTATTACAAAATATTGTTTTAAATATTCAAAAAGAAGTTATTTAATTTACTGTTTTATTTTACAATGTCATCATAATTTTTAATAATTTATAGATTGAAAAAAAATTTCGTTCATTTGAACGTTCAAAACTTTTGGCTCCTTTTTGAAATATTAGAAATAAATTGATAATATTCATTATAGAAATTATTCTCATTATAGAATCAATAAAATGAATTTAATATTTAATAACATTAGTTATTTAAAGTAAAATATAATTCTAACCAATTGAATTTTGTTAAAATAAAAAAATCGACCTTTTTGACTTGTTTTGGAATGTAAATCGACTAAAACAATTTTTTTTGTGTCTTACAGTCGATTCGAGGCCTGCATTATGGAAAATTGAAAAAAAAAAATACGTTTCGGCAAAAGCGAAGAAATTTTTTTGAATAAATAGTTTTCTAGAGAAGTGTATCGAAAGCTGACTCTTTTTTTTGCCATTGCTTTGATGACTTAGGCATTTTGTTAATTAATTATTTTTTCTTATTATATTTAATTTTATAATTATTTTTATTTTTTTATTTTTGTTATGGATAAACATTAAAAACTTTTGTTTTCTTTTATTTAAACACCATGTTTGTAATTTTCATATTTAAAAATCAGCATTTCTTCAGTTAATATAAATTTTGATTGTGTCAGTAACACGATAACGAAATTATCGTACCATATCTCTGGTATTTATCCTAAAAGAGATAACGTTTATGTTTGAAAAGTTTTACCTATGTAATATAAAATGTTAGGATAAAAAATAAGTTTTAAATTATCACTAATTTTATGTATACATAAAAATTTTCCGTATTCCATTGAGAATGAATATATAGAGAGAAAGATTATGCTAAATTCGAGTTTTTAGATGAAAAAGAAATATTTTTTTTAAAATAGAAAATAGAATAGTAAGCAATTTTACATTTAGCGGCTAAAGTTAATATTAGCAGTGTCATTGCGATATATTATCGCTTTTATTATGTTTTAAAATATTTTTCTATATAACAGAAAAATTTGTTTTATTTATTACAATTACTCACTAATGTTATTATAAAAAGTGAACTTCTATTAAATTTTTTGTTTCTTATTTAAGAATTTAATTTTTTCTTTCAATTCAATTTCGAATATTTTTATTAACAATTAAATTTTCGTTAATTAAATTTGAATTTACATTATAATTTTAATTTTTTATAAATTAATATATTAATAAAATAAAGATAATAATATATCTATATCTGAAATTCTGAATTCGTTTTAAAAATATGAGAGATAAGATCATTCATTTGAAATTCAAATTCTCATTGTTAATACGCTTCATAAATTTTGCTTTTCAAGTTAAAATAGTTTTCTAATCACTAAAAATAAGTTTTTGTTTTCAGCGAAATTATTATTCTACAATTTAAAAATGCATTATTAAATTTTATTTCAAGAAATAAATTAAATTTTATTTAATAAAATTAAATCTTACATAAATCAAATAATTTTATATTATTTTTAAAAAAATATTCAGAGAAATTTAGGAAATTTTTTTTTTTTTTTTTTTATTTATAAAAATGAAAATTACATTGAATTCAGTTTACGTTTACATATTTAGAGGGGAAATAAATTTTAATTTATTACTAAAATATATATATATGTATTCATGGGACCAGTTGTATCACAAGAACTCTTGAACTACAACACTTTTGCATTAAGTTATCTTGCGAACGATTCTTGATTTGAGACTCAAGGGTGGCTAATAAAAGACGTTTAAAAATCTTTGAAGGATGACTATTATCTTTTATCAATAAACTACACTCATCTGTTTTATTTTATTCCAATTAAATCCTCGAAACTTTCTCTTAATTAATGTTTTATTTCTAGTAAAATTCTAATAATCAAATGCTATATTTTCTTTCTTTTTCTCTTCGATATATGCGCAGAAAATAATATATCTTTTTAAAAAAAAAAAAATGTTTTCAATTATACTGGATTAAATAATTAAAACAATTTTATAAAATTATTTTTTTCAATTTTTAACAATATATTAGAGAAATTAGTTAAATAATGATGCTGAAGTACGCAAAGTTTATGATAAATGATTTTTATTGAAATAATTTTTTAAAATAAAAAATTCTATAATTTTTTGCCTAAAAAATATTTTTTTATAATTTGTTGATTAATGAAAACTACAGGAAATATTTTTTAGGAAAAAAATTATAGAATTTTTTATTTTAAAAAATTATTTCTTTAAAAATCATTTATCATAAACGTTGCGTACTTCAGTTTCGTGTTAAATAAAATTTTTTAATTTTTTTAATGACTAAAAAAATAAAACTAAATCGATTTTTTAACTGTATAAAATATATTTTTTTTTAGTAAATTGTAATTTATTTATTTGTGTAAAAAAAAATTTAATTTTCAGTACAATGAAATGAATTTTGCTTAAATTAATTTTTTTATGCGTGTTTGTAAGAAAAAACACCTTCATGATATCAAATTTATAACGTCGTAATTGCTATAACCTTGAAGGAGCCACTCCTTTCGTAACGCAGTTTTAAGTCGACAAACAAATTTTATTTCCCTAATAAGTATTATAATTATATATATATTTTTTTTAAATTGTGGAAAAAAACTCTCGAATTATTATTATTCGATTAATTGTGATATTAATATCAATTTTTTAACTTCCGTCGCGAACTTATCAATCCATTGGTGTATTATTCTTTTTATTATCGCAGAAAAAGTCTACAGAATTTTTTTTTTTTTTTATTTCTTGATTAATTTTCAATTCTAATTTGATATTTTCATGAAAAATTTCAATTTGATAATTATTGATACAGTAATTATAATATTAAAATAATTTATTTAATATTTTCACTTTGTAATATTATAAATTTATTATTATTTAAGAATTTTCATATACTTTAATTTTGAATTAATTAACATTTTCCATTTTTCGAAAATAGCAATTTAAAATTTGTGACAAATATTGTTGGTTATAAAAAGGAGAGCATTTTTTTTTTATGAAACGACAAAATAGTATTTAATTTCATTGTTGCTAATAAGGTGAAAAGTTAATTCTATTAAATGTGATATTTCGAATATATAGTAAAGGTCATGAGTCAGCATTTTTGTTGAAATTAATATATTCCATTTGTGAAATATTATTCTGTGACACAATAATCTATTTTTGAAATGAATTGAAATGCGCGAATAAATGTTCAATTAATATACTTATTTTTATATTTCGAAGAAATTATTTTAGTGTAATTTTATCATTTAATTTTCAATTTCTATATAAGAAAATTTATATTTTGTTTTTTTAGTATATATAGAAACTGGGTCAATTGTTAACACGACTGCCTACGATCATTACTACGAATAATGAAAGTTGTACAATTAGAGTAATTTACGTTTTCTGGGAATTCAATGAATTTTGTTATAATTTCATTAATTTAGTTATTGTGTCATATTAATGTCGAGTAAATTGGAAATGATTTTTAAATATTTTAACAAAATTGACAATTTTATTTATCTTTTTCTTCAGTTTTGTAAATTGAAAGTTAATTTTTATATAAAGTAAAATTATGTCTATTTTTATGTTTTTTTAATTGGAAGTAAATGTGAAATGTAAATAATATTTAATGTATAATTATAACAGTTTGATTTTTTTTAATAAAAATATGTCGAAAAAAAAGTTTAAATAAATTAAATTTAAAATATAAAATGAAATAAAAATGTAAACAAGTTTCAATATTTATATGTATTAATTTTTTTTTTTTGTACTATTTTCAAATTTGTACAAATTTTCTAAAAATTGGAAATTTTGAAATTTTATTTCTCATTTTTTCTATATTTTTTATAATGCAATTTCACTTTTTTTTTTTTTTTTTATTTTAATAATTTATTTTCAAATTCTTTTCTTCAATTTAAATGAAAAGAGAATATAAAGCTTAATTTTTCAATTGAAAAATGTTTTCCAAATTAAATTAGTTTTGTTTTTATTTCAGGTAACTTTCCGTTTTATGAGAACTTGAATCAAATATTTTAAAAGATTTTAGATCCATTCCAATATTCGAAAATATATTAAATTTCGCTCATTGAAATCGTCATTAAAATTACGAAGCTGAAGTACGCAACGTTTATATAAACGATTTTTAAAGAAATAATTTTTTAAAATAAAAAATTCTATAATTTTTTGCCTAAAAATTATTTTTTTATAATTTGTTGATTAATAAAAACTACAAGAAATATTTTTTAGACAAAAAATTATAGAATTTTTTATTTTAAAAAATTATTTCTTTAAAAATCGTTTATTGCGTACTTTAGCTTCGTATTAAATTTCATTTCAATATTTTGAATTAATTTTTTTTTTTTAAAATAGGAAAATAAAATCGTAAATTCCAAATATTCAAAGTGATCTCTCTTGAAAAATTGAAATCTAAATTAAAATATAAATAGAAATAAAAATATTTATTTATTCTCATTTCAAAAATTTGGGATTTATCTTTAGATTTTTTTTTTATTTTTTTTTCTTAATAAATTGAATTTAGATTTTTTTCTATAAATTTCATTATTCTTGTGCGGTATTTATTGAAAATGTGATATATGTTGAATGTAAAATTTGGCCTCAATGAAAGTTTATATTTTGTAAATTCAATTATTTTATTCATTCGATGTTGTTTCGTGAATTTTAGATGCAGTGGCTGACGATAATGATATGCTTCTACGCCGGAGTGGCAAGAGCTCGAACAGAAGAGGATCAAGCCTCGTCTACAAATCAGGCTTCGACACCGCCGAGTCCAATTCCTGAGGAGGTTCTTCACGAGCATTGTTTTTATCAACAATCAACTGAATGTCCTTCAGCAAACTCGGGAGAATGTCCTTGCAAAAGGATTATTCTCTCACACTCACACGTTGAGGAAAATGCTGTTTTATGCTGCAATCTCAATAGTTACAAAGCATTTGAAGATGGACTATCATGTTCAAGTTAGAATTACTTCTTTATATTATATTATATTTTTAGATTAATAAAATTTTTAACATGTTTTGTATAAATCAAAAAAAAAGAAATTTTTCAATTTTTTTAAAAATAATTATTCAAGGTGCCTATCCAATTTTTAAAATCGGAATTTAATTATTTCTTGAAAAAAACCATTTTGATTCTTTTTTCTAAATCTTGAATTTTTCAATAGAATGATTTTTTAATACCTATTTGGAATTTGTTTTTTATATAAATTTTTATATTTATTTGTCTTTATATAGAAAACATTGAATTTTTTTTTTTTTTTTTTTTTTTTTTTTTTTTTTTTTTTTTTTTTTTTTTTTGAAAACCAAAAAATAAATATGAAAAAATTCCATTATTTTAATGTGTTGAAATTGAATAAAATGTTATTTTAGATTTGTAATTTAAAAAAAAAATTTCAGATTTTCCTGTTAATGTTTCTTATATTCACATAAGAAACTCCACCTTAGATGTGTTCAACGCAAGCGAAGTGAGATGGAGGAGATTAAAATCCTTAGCTGTGACTGACGGTAAAATATATAGAGTAAAGGGACAATTTTTAATGATGACTCCAATTTTGTGCCTTAATCTTTCTAACAATGGACTCGTTGAAATGGAGAATAATTCTTTAACAAGATTGGCTCAACTGACAACATTGGACTTATCCTATAATAATTTAACACATCTTCCTGCTCTCAACACCATGAACGGTCGTGAATTTTGGCTCGATATTTCAGGTAAAATTGTAAATAAAAAAAAATATATATATATATTCTTACCTAATCTATAGAAATTTTGTATTTTTTCATATTCTTCATTAATTCTCATTTACTTTTCTAACAAAATTTTGTTGCAATTAAAATTTTTAATTGTAATATTGAGAATAATAATTGAAATTTTTTCAAATAAGTGCGATATTTTAAAATTCTTTTATTTTAGGGACCAACAATCTTTGGTGTCATGATATCTATCAGTACATCAACAAAACTGGAGAAAAACAAATTAATTTTAATAGAGAAAATGATACTCTTTGTTCGGCCAGTAAAACCTGGCATTGGTTCAATACTACCGAACAGGTTCCATTAAAAGAAGTTCTTTATTTGAGTCAGGTACGTTAAGTGTTTCCTAATTATTGACCTAATAATTCGGTATTTTGTATTTCAAAAATTAATAATTAATAATTAATAAATAAAAATATCGTACAATTTCTTTTAATTAGAATTTATTGTTTTTAAAAATATAATTTGACGAAACATACAAGTAAAATTCTAAATTAAATTAAATTATTATATATACTAAAAATTTTTAATTTTTCAAAGTCTTTACAATAATTAAAAAAAAAATAATAATATAAAAATGACTTTCAGTAAAAAAAAATTGAAACAGTATACATAAATAAGGAATAAATTTGCATAATATTGATAATAATAATTTTTATCCATCAGCTACAAACCGAGTGTCCCAAAGGAGAGAACTGGCAATGTCAGTGTAATTTTCGAAGAATGGATATTGTCGAAGGCAAACCTCCGACCTTAGCCGTAAATGTTGATTGCGGTGGTATTCAGTTAACAGAACTACCGGAAAAATTACCGCCTAACACGATAGCCTTGAATGTTTCCTACAACAATGTAAGTTGAAATTATTAAAAATTCAGACAGAATAATTAATTATATAATACAAAATAATACAAAATTGTATATAATTTTTATGAATTTCATTTTTTTTTTTTTGCATTTAGATTACTGTCCTCGATGATTTAAGTACAAATCCATGTTACGAAGATATTCGTGAATTTTACGCTGATCACAATAATATATCGTCGATCAATAAATTGGAGGGTTCCAAATTTTTAGATAATTTCGCTCTTTTAAGTTTGCGTTACAACAAAATCAAATCGGTAAATTTTTTTCAATTTATAAACTTTTTATTCTTTGTATGTATTTATTTATTCTTTCTATTATTTTGGAACACATGAATATTTTCTAAAAGTATAAATTTTAGTTTCGATTTATAATTACAATATTCATATTTTATAAGGCCAAATTTATTATTCAGAAAATTTTTTATAAAAGATATCATTTTTTTTCATTTTAATTTTTAAACAATGGAATTTTTGTTTAATTGAATTTTTATTCAACCTAAGTTTCAATGAAAAGAATTTGTAAATGACAGAATTAAATTTAAATTCGGTTTAATAAAAAGTATTATATCTAAAATTAGGCTATTTTAAATAAAAATTTGTCTTTATAAAATTTTAATCTTTAGTAATTTTAATTAATAGATTTTTAGAAATATTTGTGGGTACAAATTATATAATAGTATTTTTTTCTTTTTTAATTTGGCATTAATATAACATTTATAAATTTTTTCTTTATTTTTTTATTTTGTAGGTATTTGTTTGTAAAGTAATTAATTGCAAATTTAATGATTTTTAGCTTCCAACGTATATTTTAGCGCCAAACGCACATGACAAGAGTTTTGTCAGCAACAGACTAGTGAAATTTGGAGGAAATGAATTGCTCTGTGATTGTAATACCGCCAAATATTTAAAAGTACGTAAACATTTAAATAAATATTGTTTTTACTAAATAAATTCTAAACTTTTAATTTTATTATTTTTCTTAAATTTATTAGCGATAGGACATTTTTTCAATTATATTTTGAACAAATTATGAAAAAAAAATTCAAAGAAAAGTATTATATAATATATTATTCTTTCAAATTAAAAACATTTTTTTTTTCTTAACAAATTAAATTTTTTTTTTAATACTTTCAAGGTTACAATACGATGTGAATTGTGTATTAAATTTTTTAAACATTTGTTGAATATGAAAAAATTGAATAAACATTAATTTTAATGTATTTTTTGTTTTTAAGTAAAATATTATTTATTATTTATTTATTTTACAAATAAACGGGCTTACAAAAAGAAAGAAGAAAAATATTAATAAATTATTTATTAATTCTTTGTAAATTTATCAAAAATAATGTATAAATGACAATTTTGTAATAATTTTTTGTTTTAATAATAATTATTTTACAAAATTAGAATAGGCTAAATAACAAAAATGATAACACTCGAATAATAATGGATTTTAAAAAAATTTCTTTCCAACATTTTGAAATCACACTGATTTCCTCTTCAGGGACTCTGATAATACATAAAATTATAAAAATTAATTAAAAATAACAAACAAAAATACAAAGAAATTAAATTAATAAAAAAATTAATTAATAATGAAACAATAGAAATAAATTAAAATAAAGACAAATTTAAAGAATATAACAAAAATATAAATTATAACAAGAATACAAACAAAAATGTTTTAAAAACGAAAATATAAAAGAAAATTAACAAGATAAATAAAAGTAGAAAAAATACAAAAATTATAGAAAGGACACAATGTATAAAAATAATAAAAATAAATAAAGAAAAATTTACCAATCAGTTATTGTTATAATCGTCATAAAAATTGTCATAAAATAAATTAAACATCAGATTCATTGAAGAGTAAATCAGTGTAAAATTTAATTAAAATTTAATTAATTAAAAAATTTTAAATTGATTATTTAAATTGAAATAAAAATAATGAAAATTTCAATTTCCAGGTATGGCTACAAAGTCGAATATTAGACTACGACGAAGTTTTTTGCGAGAATGTAAAAGAAAAAGTGGTTGACTTGGAGCCTGCCAAGATGTGTGTTTATCCAGGCGATTGGACTGATTATATTTATTACATTATTGCAACAGAAGTAATAATGCTCATAGTTCTTGTGACCAAAGTTTCTTACGATTATTGGGTTTTTAAAACAGCGGGATATCTTCCTTGGCCTGCGAGTAAAATGCCAAAGTTGCCTTGCGACTGGTTATGTGAAACGTAATCAAAAATTTTTTTTTTATTTTACCAATTATTAACAAAATTGACAATTTATTTAAAAAAAAAAAAAATTAAAGAACAAGTCATTTTTTTAATATGCATTTACTCACAGAGTATCTTAGTTTGAATATTTTTTTAACTTGAGTCAAAATTACGATTTTAGTAGAGAGAATAAAATTTGTCAGATTTCATAACAAAGAATGAAAAATTTAAAAGACTTTTAGTCGAAATTTATGACTAAGAAAATTGTTTTTAAAAATTATTATTTACCTAACATTTTTTCTTTCTGAATTTTTGACATTTTTTTAAAAAGACTTGTTTGTTTATTTTATAAGGTACTATTTTTATTATCCCGTGAAAAGTGTGTGTTAATTTTTTTTTTGTTCCTAATTTATAAACATAACAAATGCTTTCATTGTAATGTTTATAACGCGCCTAAGGTAATGCTCAATGTTCAACGCTATATAATTTTTTAAATTAGTTGACGAGTCAGTGACGAATTATTTATAATTGTATGATTGTAAATTGGCTTTTTTCTAGTCTATAATAATGATACGAATTTTAATCATATTATATAAAATAATAATTATATTAGGATGATTTTGTAATTTATAAAAGCAGGATTAATTGCGTTAAGAGATTTTACTAGTGAATAAAAAATATAATTTTTTTTTTTATAAAAATCACTCGACGACATTGTTATTATGTTTTTTGTGAAACATGTACAAGATTATAAAATTCAATTTTTATAAACAAAAAAACAAAAAAACTTGTGACTTATTTTTTGAAACTATTCTTCGTTTTCACTTTTTTTGAAAAAAGTGTATTTGACTGATTTTTTGAAATTTTAATTTTTTTCTTTTTTCTACTGTTTGTTTCATTGACATTTTCATTTGTTGATGATTCATTATTGTTTAATGAATTTTTCCTCTTTTTTTGTTCAGTAGATTTTTTACTTATTTTTTGATCTAATGATTTATTTTTCTTTTGATTTTTAGAAATTTCATTTTTTCCTTTTTTGACACTATTTTCTTGAGCTGTAGTTTTATTAGATGATTTGTTCGTCATTTTTTCGTCGAATTTTTTAACTTTTCGTTTTCCTTCGGACGATGATTTGTCTTTATTTTCTGCATTACGTTCTTTAAATCGTCTCCTCTGTTTGAGTTTTGTTGATATTGTTTTTCGCTTCGGAGCAACGTGCTCTAATTTCTTAACAGTTTTTCTATTATATTTCTTCACTTCCAACATGTATTCAGGAACTTCGCATCCTGAATCTCGCATAACTTCAGCGATACTGAAAAATATTTATAAATGAAATTAAAATTATTGTGTTTAAATTATTTTTAAAAAAAATTGTTCAAATTATTAAAAGTTTTGAATGACAAATTATTGCTGATAACTATTAATTTAATATAATTGTTTAATTAAATTCTATATATTAATTAATTCGAACCTTCTTAAATTTACGCTATCATTTTGTGTGAAGAATGTTATCGCTTTTCCTTTATGTCCAGCTCGACCAGTTCTTCCTAAAAAATATTTTCATGAATCAAATTTTTTTTTTACAATTACCAATTAAATGATGTAATTAATTACCTATTCGATGAATGTATGAAATGCCGGATGGTGGAAAGTCAAAATTAATAACGAGACTCACGCCCTTGAAATCAATTCCACGACTCATTAATTCCGTGCACACGAGAAACCAAATTTTTCCTTCTCTGAAACATCTGACTACATTATCCCTCTGAAAAAAGAAACAAACGAAATGAATTCAAAAATAAAATTATATTTTATAAAAGAAAAATATTATTCAGCTTTTTTTTCTTCAAATTACATGAAAAAGAAAGAAAGAAATTATATTTGAAAGAATAATAATTTCTAAACAGAGAAATTAAATTTCTAGTAAAAATTACTAACGCACCTGTGTTTGAGTTCTGTCTGCATGAATAACATCAACGTTAATTCCATCATAAATAAGTTCATTGAATAACTCTTGGGCCCTTTCTTTGCTTTGGACAAAAACCAAAACTGGCGGTGTTATTCCCTGTAGTTACAAAAACAATATATTTATTTAAATAATAAAAAAAAATTCATAATTTCAAAAATGTAACATAAGATTAAATTATCAATTCAAATTAAAACTTACTGATTCATTAATTTTAATCAAAAATAAATTAAAATTTTTATTTTCTTACCTTTTGAATTATATTTCGCAGTGCCATTAATTTTCCATCTTCACTTCCGACGTACAATAATTCTTGTTCGATAAGATCAGTTGCGGCATTTCTACATAAACGAAAAATCAGAAATTCGATAATTAAAATCAGAAAAAAAAATTTATATCTAAATAATTAAAATTTCATTAAAAATTATTAGAGGAATAAAAAAATTTAAGAAAAGAAAATTACCTTAAACCAATCATCACCGAAATCCAACTTTTGAGATTTTTTCTACACCATTTTGTAACTGCCGGCGTTTGTGTTGCGCTAAACATTGCCTGACGAAGTTTAGGATTCGAGCAAGCTTTTGAAATAGCATTCAATTGATCACGAAAACTTCTTGTTCCATCTTCAAACATTTTATCCGCTTCATCGACAATCAACCATTCGACACTGTTTTTATATATTTAAAAAAAAAAGAAATTATTTTTAATCAATGATAAATATGAAAATTTTATTTTCTTTAAAATTCATCTTACTTGTTTAATGATATTGCTGGTGGATCTTGATTCAATAGAAACATTAATCTTTTTGGCGTTGTTATCAATATATCTGAAAAAGAAATTTCACAAATTATTTATAATAATAATATTAATAATTTAAAATTTTATTATTTCAATTATTAAATAATAAATATTTACAGCGACTGGATAATTTCTTTTACAGTAGCAGGCCTCTGATTATACGACTTTTTCGACTTATTTTAATTTAATTTTAAATTATAAATCTTCACTAAATTAATTATTTTTAATAATTTTAATGAAATTCTTCACAAATTCAATTAAAATTTTTATGAAATTTAATAATTGTTTATAATTTTGAAAAAAAAAATAGCAAATAAAATTACCAAAAATTTTTAATTCAAAATCACTTAAAATTTAATTATTTGCAAAAATTTCAATTACTTTTAATGATTTTTATAAAATTTTTTGAAAATTAAATTATCTGAAAGCATTTTTCAATTAAAAACTTTTGGAATTCAATTTTTTTTTATGTGATTTCTGATAAATTCTTCATCAACAGAAATCACTAAAAATTTCTCTTATTTATAATTATTGTCTAAAAATTAACAAAATCTTTTGAAATTCAATTATTTCTAAAAATTTCAACATTAACTCTTTTAAAATTATTATTATTTAAAAAAAAATGTTTATTTAAAAATCTGTAAAACATAATGAAGTATACGCCTGAAATATGTTTTGACCATCAAAACTAAAAACTATGAGAAAATTTTAAATTCGAATAAATTGCTTAAATCAGACTTGAAAAAATTATAAAAATGAAACTTTAAGAATTTTTTTTTTAGAAATTTGTCCTACTTAAATAAAATTTTGAAAATTTGTCTTACAATTAGTTTGATTCTGAAATATTCGAAATAAATTTTCTTGATAACATTCTTTATAGAATTATTCTCATTACAGAATTAATAAAATTAATTTAATATCTAATAACATTAGTTATTTAAAGTAAAATATTCATTAACCAATTAAATTTTTTTAAAATAAAAAAAAAAAAAACGCCTTTTTCGATTTCTTTGGAATATAAATCGACTAAAATAACTTTTTTTTGTGCCTTAAAGTCGATCCGAGGTCTGCAGTTGAAATAAATAAAAAGTTATTTTAAAATAAAAATGAAAAATTATCAAAACTCACCGAATTTATTGGAACTTTTGGCTCCATATTGCGAGAGTGCTTTATTAATTTTACTAATAATATGAACTCGAAAATCGCGACCTTCACTAATTTTTATACACTCTCTATAAGTTTGTTTAGCTAATTCTCTAGTGGGACTGAGAATAACGGCACGAAATCCTTTTTTCTGTGGACCACCTAATTGATGAATTATTGGAAATAAAAAAGCGGCAGTTTTTCCTGAACCTGTTGGAGCACAAGCTAAAATTTGTTTTCCCTAAAAAAATAATATTTCTTTTTAAAATGTAAAATCTAAATTATAAAATACATAACTAAATATAAAATAAACAATATAAAAAATAAAATTTTCATTATTACCTCCAACATAACAGGAATTGCTTGCATTTGAATTGGCGTTGGTTCTTTATAACCGGAATTTGTCATATTTTGTAGTAAATCATTATTGACTTTATAAACAGTCGATAATTGTTGAAATTTTTCTATTGGATTTGGCACATCATGGCCAATAATTGATATTCGATTTTGTTTTCTAAATGAATTTACCTAAAATAATAAGTGGCAATTTTTTATGAGCCAAAAGTTTTGAACGTTCAAAAATGAACAAAATTTTTTTTGCAACTACTTTACGAATTTTATTATAAAATATTGTTTTAAAAATCTAAAAAGAAGTTATTTAATTTACATTGACATCATAATTTTTAATAATTTATAGATTGAAAAAAATATTTTATTCATTTGAACGTTAAAAACTTTTGGCTCATAATTTTTTTTCTTTTTTTCTTTTTATTGGAACTAAATTAAGTTAATTTTCATTCATAGATGCAAAAATTTACCTTTTCCCTCTCTTGCCTCTTTTGTTTCTCTAATATTTCATTCTCCGTTAAAATTTTTTGCTTTTTATTTTGTTTGATAATTTTTCCATCTTTCGATGCTTTTAAACCTTCGTAGAAAGTTAAAACATTTTCCCCATCATCAACTAAATCATCTTCACGTTTTCTTTTAGATGAAAATTCTAATTCCTCTAGAATGGAACTTGAAGGTTCAATTTTGATTTCCACCTTTTCTTCTTTCATCGGTTTTTTTATTAGCTGAAAAAATTAGATTAACACATTGATAAAAATGAAAATAATAAAATTAATTTTTAAGAAAATAAATGAGAATTTTAAATTAAGGCACATATTTATTTATTTAATATTAAATAAAAGAGTTATATTTATGTTCTAAAATGTACAGAAAGTAATAAATGTTATAAAATATTAATTATACTTTCATTTATATATATAATTATTTATAGAGGTTAGTTTCATATAAATTGGAAATAATTTTTAAATAAAATGATAAATCTTACGGAAAATCTTTCGGCATCATTTTGAAAACGTTTTAAATTAAATTTTGCTCCAGCAGATAACGTTTTAAAGATATCGTATGCATCCATTTTTTTTAATTTATCTAATTTATTGGTAATGTTTATAAATGTAACATTTTTTCCACGTGTATTTATATATATTTACAAATTGAACATAACCTCAAAAATTTGATAAAATTGCGTCGGTAAGAAGGAAATAGTATATATCAATAGTTGATTCTTGGACAAGTGGAACGGAAGTAAAAAATTTTAATTTGGTGGTGATATAAATTTTATTTATTTCTAATTATTACAATTAATAATCGCGTCTTTTGTTGCATATAAATGTCATAAGGTATAAAAATTGGAGAAAAAATCATGTTAAAAAATAGATTTTCCAGTAAATTTTGAAATCGAAATTATAGAATTTCAAATTTTCTTAGATTTGATCACATGACCTAGCTGAGCATTTTTTTTTAATGAACTTCGAATAACAACAACAGAGGATATACATATAGCATGTGGTCGCATGTTTAAGTAATTCTGTTATTTTTAATAAAATAAGTTTGTGATTTTAATATTTGTGGAGATAAATGATAAATATTGTAGTCTGAGAGTCGAATAAGAGTCAGTTTGTGATAAAAATTGACGAATTAAATCAAAATAAGAGATGATTTTATATTTGACCTGTCATTTCTAATCTCCGTTTGATATTATACAGAAGACAACTTTACAGGTATGAGTTATGTATATTGCATTTTCACGATTTTTATTATATATCAAAGAACAAATTAAAAGCATACGGATCTAAAATGAGTTAATTAACTATCAGTAACTATTCAACGTTTATCCTGAGAATGTCGTAAAAAAATATTTTGTCGGTGAAGTACACAACGTTTAAGATATCAACGAATTAGAAGAAAAACTATTTTTCTATGCTAATTATTAAAATTTGTTATCTAAAATTTTTTTTGCAACGTTCCTGTATCAATAATTTTTAGAAGAAAAATTAAGTATTTATCGATAGGAACATATTTTTTTTCAATTCTTAATCATAAAATGTGAATTTCACCGACGTAAAAAATTTAAAAATAATTTTTTATTCTTATAAAAAAACTCTTTTTATCCCTTAAGAATTATATATTTTATTCTTCATTAGAGAAAAATATTTTTTATTATTTTTTAAAAAATATTTATTATATATATTATGAATTCAATAGAATTACAAATAAGTAAAAAAAAATTACAAAATAAAAAATAATCTAAATAAGTATTATTATTTTCTCATTAATTTGATTTTCAAGATGGAATAACAAAACAATACAATACAATATATATATAAAAAAAATTATTAATGCTAATAACAAAAGTAATTTAAAATAATTACTAAAAAAAATTGCAAAAAATTGTTTTATTTTAAACCTGATGCGGAGTGATCGTTCAATTTGTTTTTCATATTTTAACCCCTTGACAGTCGATGGCCCATGTATGTCCAAAAAATGTCGTGCCAGCACTTTTGTGATTTTGGACATATATACGTTCACATTAGAAAAAAATACTAAACATAATTCGATTTGAGTGTCAATGAATATACTAAGGTTTTCGGGGTCGCTGAATCCAAATTTGAGGTCATATTTAAAAAATTAAAAATGGCGGACCCAATATGGTGGAAAAATTTAAAATTGATTCGATTCGTTCAAAATTCAGTACTCGGGGGTTTTTGGGGTCGCTGAATCCAGATTTGAGGTCAGGTGTAAAAAATTCAAAATGGCGGATCTAATATGGCGACCCAATATGGTAGACAATTTTAAAATTGATTCGATTCGTTCAAAATTCGGTGCTCGGGGGTTTTCGGGTTCGTTGAATCCAAATTTGAGATCAGATTTAAAAAATTAAAAACGGCCGACCCAATATGGCGGAATTTTTTTTAAATTGATTCGATTCGTTCATAATTTGGTACTTGGGGGTTTCTGGGGTCACTGAATCCAAATTTGAGGTCAAATTTGTATTTAGCCATATTGGGTGGCCATGTTGGGTTTGACATTTTGAATTTTTAAAATCTGACATCAAATTTGGATTCAGGGATCCCAAAAACCCCCGAGTACCAAATTTTGAACGAATCGAATCAACTTTAAATTTTTCCGCCATATTGAGTCCGCCATTTTGAATTTTTTAAATTTGGATTCAGCGACCCCAAAAACTTTTAATACGATGATATGATATTTTTTTGGAAACTTTTTTTTGGGACCATTTTAGGCTGAATTTCAGTTATTTTTTGAAATTTACTAATATAATTCGTGAATATGCAAGCAATAGAAAATAACTTATGTAAATCAGTAATTTGCATATAACATAACCTTTAAAATTAACTATTAAATCAGTAGATTTTGTGGCCACCGCCATATATTTATATTACTAATTCAATCAGTAATTGATATTTTACTAATTGTCAGTTGCTCAATTCTCGGTATGACAATTAGTAGATTTCTACTGCTAATTAGTAAAATATGACTGATTCAGATTTAGAGAGTAGAGGTCAATAATTAGGAAACACTTAACGTACCTATGACTCAAATAAAGAACTTCTTTTAATGGAACCTGTTCGGTAGTATTGAACCAATGCCAGGTTTTACTGGCCGAATAAAGAGTATCTTTTTCTCTATTAAGGAGGTTCGGGGGATCATTTGAGGGGCAGGCAGGGAAGAGGGAGTACCAATGCTTCAGCATACGAATTTTAATTTCATACCAACATAATATCGTTAATGAAAATATGCATTTACTTTTATTCTATTGTATGAAACACACCTAATTTAATTTATTTAATTATATTTTAATATATTCTTGCATATAAATGTGTATAATTGTGAATTTATCGTTAAAATAATTTAAGAGAAATATAACATTTGGCTGCAGTTGACTTGGCAACGCTGCATTTATTGTGTAGTGTTGGCTAACATGAGTAAAACTTTCGTTGTCTATTTTCATCTCAGTCCGTCATAGGTTATCTCATTTCCTTTCTCGCTTACTCTGTCAGTGTATTTGCTGACAACTTCACATAGTATGCGCGTGTGTTGTCAAATGTCAATTGACAATAAACCTAACCCCAAATAAAATGCAAACATGGAAAGTGTTCTAAGGTATAAAGGCTGATTTATTAATAAAAAACAATTAGATAGGCGTATTAAACAATTTTCTTTTTCAATTTAACACATTTTGTTTTTTATTACATTACATTTCGTATTTCAAATTATAAAATTACTTTAAACCATAGAATTGTTATTGCAAAAAATATATCTATTTATTAAATATAATTAATTTTTTTTCAATTAAATTAATAATTATGATTATCATAATCATAGCATTAAATTTTTTTAAATTAATTATCAAGATAAAAATTAATTGAAATAGCTAACATTGATCATTTTAATATCCATTAAGATTTGTTATTTATTTTTTTGTAATCGATTGTTAATAACTAAATTTATAAATTTTTGTAAAAAAATAAACCATTTTTTAACATTTTTTAAAATTTAATATATTAAGTTAAAATTGTTTTTTTTTCATAAAAACGTTTAAAATAAAAGTTTGTATTTTATTGTATTTTTGAATTCTCGCGGGTAAAGTCAACGCGTTGATCACATTACAGTGTTGCCGTCGTTTCAATGCCCCTATCCGAAATACTGCTTGAATGCATGATTTCTAATTGATTTTTATTAATTATCTTTAAAACTATGCGGTGAAAATACAATATTATTAAATGTTTACAATCAGAAATGTTTCCGCTATTCAATTCAAAGTTTTTTTAAACAGTGTAACCTTTTTTTATGCACTTTTATTGATATTTTGTCTCACCTTAGAACACTATCCCATAAGAGCCTATGTATAAAATGTGAACTTTGACTTCAATTTTCTCAAAAAGTATACGGTAAATCATTTTCATACTTGGTGAAAAATTGAATGGCATCCCAGACATTAGGAAAAAAAATATTTCAAACTTTTTTAACCTTTTTCAAAATACCCCCGAACCTCCTTAAAATTAATTTGTTTTTCTCTAGTTTTGTTGATGTATACTGATAGATATCATATGACATCAAAGTTTGTTGGTCCCTAAAATAAAAGAATTTTAAAATATTTACCAGTAAAATAATAAAATGTTAAAGTAATTTAAAATTTTATTATTTTATTGGTATAAATATTTACATAATTTTTTTTTCTGTTTTTTTTGTGTATTATTTTTAAATGTTTTTCTATAACAATATTATATATAAAACAAATGAAAGTATAGAAAGACAAACAATTTATTTAGTCGATATTTTATTTGATTGAAAATCTAAATGATCGATATTTAAAGTGGTCGACATTATATTTAGACGATATTTTATTTAATCGAAATTCTAAATGATCGATATTTAAAGTGACCGACATTTTATTTAGACGATATTTTATTTGGTCGAAATTCTAAATGATCGACATTTAAAGTGGTCGAAATTTTATTAGTTAGATATTTTGTTTGGTTAATATTCTAAATGAACGACATTTAAAGTGGTCGATATTTTATTTGTTCGATATTCTAAATGATAGAAATTTAGAAGCATCAAATTTTATATCCATCGAAATTTAACTTGGTCGATATTTTAAAAGCTCGACATTTTTTTAGCTATACGAGTTTCCTCTCTATGTTGTTATTATTATTTACATCAATAATTTCAAATTTCCCGCAAAATTTCAATGTACTTTACCGACAAACTACATAGAAAGGAAACTCGTATAGCTAAAAAAGTGTCGAGCTTTTAAAATATCGATCAAATTAAATTTCGATGGATATAAAATTCGATGCTTCTAAATTTCTATCATTTAGAATATCGAACAAATAAAATATCGACCACTTTAAATGTCGTTCATTTAGAATATTAACCAAACAAAATATCTAACTAATAAAATTTCGACCACTTTAAATGTCGATCATTTAGAATTTCGACCAAATAAAATATCGTCTAAATAAAATGTCGGTCACTTTAAATATCGATCATTTAGAATTTCGATTAAATAAAATATCGACGAAATAAAATGTTGACCATTTTAAATATCGATCATTTAGAATTTCGTTCAAATAAAATATCGACTTAATGTAATTCGATTAATTAAATTTTCGACCTTTTTAATTTTTAG